GAGATTGAGGGATTTAGGGATTATATGATTTAATAATTGAATAGCATCTAGGTGATGGGGGAGGAGAAGGAGGGGAAGAAGAGGAGGGGAAAAAAGAGGAGGAGAAGAGGATATATTATTATAAAATGAAATGAGAATCAGTTACTTGAAGAAAATAGAGCCTCGTTTCTATTATATTTACGATATGATACAAGTCATTATCTCCTCCCCTCTCCCTCTCCTCTTCTCACTTTCTTCTCCCAATTCCCTTCACAATCCCCCCTCTTTCCCCTCCCACTTTCCCAACCCCAATCCTCCTTTCCTTTCCTTTCCCCCCTCTTTCCCCTTAAACCAACATATACCTACCTAGTACCCAGTATATACCCCCCAAACCCCCCGCAACCCCCATCAAAAACATTGATAATCCCGCACAGTCTTCGTGGCTCAGTTGGTTAGAGCGTTGGTCTCATATTCTTTCTTATATGAGGTGGTTGTCAACATCCACTTTAGCCATCCAAAGGTCGAGAGTTCGAGTCTCTCCGAGGACAGTATGGTTTGCGGGGGGAGTGTGTGTCTTTTTTTTTGGGTCTTGGGGGGTGAGGGGATTTTTTGGGGGGGAAAGTTTTGGGAGGAGAGAGGGTGGAGGGGAGAGGGTGGAGGGGAGAGGGAAGAGGGAAGAGGGGAGAGGGGAGAGGGAAGAGGGAAGAGAGGGTGAGAGGGTGAGAGAAGGAGGGGGATAGAAGGACAGATGGGGGGGAAGAGGGAGGAGAGGGAAGTGGGTGGGGGCTTGATTTTGGAAGAATTTTGAGATTAGGGGAGGAAGGGGAGAGGAGGTGGAGATGGGAGTAGATGGGGGGGGTGGCGGGGGAAAGAAGGAATGTACGAATAAATAAGGTGGGTTAAGGAGGGGAGGGAAAAAAGAAAAAAAGCAAAGCTTGATAATAAAGTATGGGATTAGGTGGATATATATAGCGAGAACCACTTTTGAGGGTCAGAATGTGCATATATGTGGATAGATATGGAGACGGATATTCACTTTGAATGATTGAATGATTGAATGGATGAATGGATGAATGGATGAATGGATGAATGGATGAATGGATGAATGGATGAATGGATGGATTGATGGATGGATTGATTAATTATTGTGATAATCATACGAACATCTGTTTCTTGAATGATATGTTGATATGTTGATATGACAGACAGGACAAGAATAGATTCAAGAATGAATTCGTGATGTGAAATGTAAATGTAAATCAGCCGGGGGGGGGGGGGGGGGGCACTCACCCATCTATGCCCACTGAGCACTTGGAGGTTTAGAAATAAAGCGAGAGAGAGAAGGGAGATAGAGATAGCTTTGTAGATGATTGTTTGGGGAAGATTGACGTGTGTATCCGAAGCATATCAATATATATTACTCGTACTATAAATAGCAAGAAACTTTCTTAGTATCTTTCTCGGTATTGATTTCATTGATCATTATAATATACTCATACAGGTCGGTATGATCTTTGCCAAAAGACCTACATACCAGTACGGTACCGGTACAGTACTGATTTATTATATGCATGTATACTGAACATATACAACTACCAGTAACTACACGCGTCTCTCTCTCTATCCTTTATTCCAATTTCGGTATTTTTCTCAAAATGGATGGATGGATGGATTGGGGATATCATATGGCCTAGATGGTATATGGATCTTATGCGAAGATCTTTTGCTGGTTCAGGGGGAGGCTTAGACTTGGATTTGGATTTGGATTTGGATTTGGATTTGGATTTGGATTTATCTAGACTTGGAAGTTATTAGACTTGGAGATTAGATTATGGATGGATGGAGGGATGGATGGATGGATGAATTGGAAGGGAGGGAAGGGGATGGGATGGGATGGGATTGGATTGGATAATAATGTATAAAAATGTATAAAAATGAGGAAATGATTGAAATGGATGATTGATCGGTGCAAGGATGATGATGATGATGATGATAATGATGATAAATGAATGTTGGGGTGGAGTTGGTGTTGATGGAGAGGAGAAGAGTAGAGCAAAGAAGAAAGAGGTCGAAAGCAAGGAATTTTGGAATACAGACAGTACTGTAAAGACGTTTGATGTTTTCGATGAATTGATGTTTCGGAAGTGATGGGTTGAGATGGGATGGGATGGGATGGGATGGGATGGGGGAAAACAAATGAGAAGGCATGAATGAACGAGTGGAGGTGACAGAATGGGTGGATTTTGATAGATTGTGTGTGATTGAGTTGCCAGTGTAGATGATCTATATATATATATTTATAGCATGATAAATATAAAAGTATAAAGTAGATAACTATAAAATTCAAATGTAAATTCAAATACTGTACCGGTGCATCAATATTGAAAGACTTTTCCTCAAGGTCTAGATCCTTCAATCATCAAGGAGATGAAAAGTGGAGAGATGTTGTTTTCGAGGTTGTACTCGAGCAACTCGAGCACTCGAATATACCTAAGATGAGAACTTCCTGTAGTATTATTGTGAAATTAGTATGGCTAGGTTTACCTTATCGAGTTCATCGGGAATTAAATGTAATTATTTGTAGATCATGTCTGCTGCGAATTCATAAAGTTTGGGTGTAATACTGTACGGTACTCGAGTAACTCTCGGTATATTTGGAATCTTGGAAGAGATCAGATTCGAGACGGACGGTATCAATTTAAATGAGTCTAGAAGTATATATATCTCGCACTTGTGATGAAGGGATGGTAGCGAGAAATGGATTCTGTAGCGAAAAATGAATATCATAACGAATTCAGAATGTTATTGTAGCATTTTATGGTATCTTTCGAAGAAAGGATCAATATAGGTACTGAACATGCATGTTAATATAAGATTTAGATCTGATGACTGATCAAGCGAGGGGCAAAGTTAATATCTACTCGAGTATAATGTGGTTCATTCCTACAGGATGAGGTAGTATTTCAACATACGGTTTGTACGGATATACCTTGGTGTAGCTTGTATAATTTGTAGATTCGAAGGATGGGTCATAAGAACATCTAAATCTAATTGTAAATTCTAAGAATAGTTTGGAGATTTGGAGATTCGTAGGTTGTGAGACATATGGTAATCATCCCTTTCTTAGTACTCGAGTAGTAGTGATCATAATAGTGAGCACGAAATTAGCTGAGGCCTCATCATGTAAGGCAATTGTAAAACGTCTCACTCGAAATTCTTGGAATCGTATGTTTCTACACAGGTAGTGATTAATTAAGGTTGTGCGGTTATTTTGTAATTTAGGTATATAGATGGCGTATATGCTTAGATAGTATTCTTACCCGGGCGGATATTTCATCCAATTACGAGTATCAATGATTTGATAGGGGGTGCAAGATGGCTGGCTGCTTATTATTCGGTGAAATGTATATCGGTTAGGAGTATGATTTGTGATATATGATTTGATACGTTGTGTTGTATTACTACATCTCCGATAATCAAGGGGTAATGGGTCTAACTGTAGATCGAACAACTATTGGTCATTATATGCACGTTGGGGCGCATAAGCAGAAATTCAAAACGGATAATACCGGTATGGTTTAAAACAAAGCGGTTCACGATGAATATAGACAAAAAGATTGGATGGGATGGAATATAGGAAATCTTGGTTTACCCTAAACTTATTTTAAGGATATAGTTTAAAATCATTATCAACCAATCAAAAATTAATGGTACCTGACATTGACCTTGTTTAGTCCCACTATATATTATCAGACCAATCCATATTGGTAATAGCCTAAGTTCATCTGTACTTTTAATGAGCGCGTCCCTTCTCTTATCCTTGTTAATAGTAGCAATGGGTTCACAGGTTGGTTCACAGAGTCACTGCCAAATTGAGTCAAAACATTTTACAAATGAAGAGAGAAAGGACAAGTGAAGAATGAACTTGTACTAGTAATCAATCAATCAAAGGGAAAATTTTAGTCCTTGAATCTTTTGAATGAAGAAAAAAGACCTTTTCCCACCCCCCCAGTTACTCCTCACTTCCAATTCTGGACATCATTAAGCCCAATTGCTACTGGCATTTGTGATTGTTTATCTTTCACTTTCACACATCGGAGGATCAAACCTCTTTCGAATCTTTTGATCCATTCTAACTACATTTCCCCCCTCCTTCGAGCCAAACCTCTTCAAGTGTATTCCCCTTGATTGCACATCTTTTTCCCTTTCTTCTCCCGGTATCTATCTAAACTTAAATGTCTTGATATTACAAACTGGGCCTTTTATAGAAAGAATGGCCTTCGTCGCAAGTATACGAGCAAATGCTCACCCCTCAACTCCTGATTTCGAGACTCATTACGCTTCAAATCATCAATCGACTGATTCGACTCCATCTGATCTCACGGACTCAACTACCCCGGTCACCCTTCCACTTCCACATCCACATCTAGAGAACCAACATCGGCCGAATCCTCGACCAAAGAATCCTACATATTCGCAGTACTCACAAACACAGTCAGCCACAGCCCGATCCCGCGCATATTCAACAGCCTCCACGTCGTCTATCAACTCTGTTCGTCGCAAACCTTTACCTGTAAGTGCCTCACCTCTGGCAACTAGGTTTTCCACCAGGTATTCCACGGCGGAATACTTCAGTCCATCTATCGAAGAGTTACCAGAGCCGGATCTGCCATATTCAAGGTACACGAATGTTGAAGATAGTCCAACACTTTACGAATTTCCATCGGATTTGAAGAGCGCCACTCCATTTACCCCAGAGAGTTCTAGCAACAGAAGTTCCGTCCGAAGTTCAATAAGAAGTTCAAAGAGCTCTAAGAGTTCTAAAAGTGCCAAAAGTGTCAAAAGTGTCTCGAAACTACAACGACCGTCATCAAAGTATGTATAATAGTCCCCAACACCCGAAGATGTTTATTTACTGGTCTCACGTTGATGCTAATATGCTTTGACTAGAAGATATTCCAGTGAACATATCGCTTGGACGACAGTGACGCCGACGCTATCAGAACAACCCCCAGAGCCCGAAGAACAAATCCTCAGCCCAAAAAGTCCGAATCTCCTAGTCCCGTCTCATTCACATTCACCGGGGGCCTCAAGGCATGCAAGATTAGTTAGTGATCCAGCATTAAGTTCTGATTCTGATTCTACCGGTCATTGGTACGGGAATTCGAGTCCAGGAAGTCGCCCAGGTTCTGCTACTATGTCCATATTCTCATCCAAACCTACACCACCACATATTATTATACCTAATGCTCCAGCACGAACCTACTCTCACGAATCGCATGAATCTTCTTCGACTATACACATACCTAAATCGCCAGGGAAGCTTGGCTCTTTCTTCAGTTGGGGAGGTGCCGCATCCCCATCTAGTTCAACAACTACCTTTTCGGAAGACAAGGCAGATTATTCACCAAATTCTCCCATACCCTCATCAAATGCGTCCCCAAATAAACTTTCAGAATTCGAAGATCCCCATTCAAGGACGTACAATAGTAAAGCGCCGCCAATCGCAATCGATATACCCAAAGCCAATGCAGATGCGGCAAGTTATCTCGGAAACGCATATCTACAAATACCCATAGCAACGCCTAGTCCCCCGCCTTTACTTGTCGACGAGATGGAGAAAGAATTGAAGGATATTAGCCAAGAGCTGGCGTCTTCTATAAGAAGGGAGATGGATTTGGAGGATCTTGTAGACCGATTACAACTCGAAGCCCAAAATTCAGGAACAAATACTAGCAAGCGAACAAGTGATTACTTTTCGGATTCCGGAACAAGCGTGATTCCCAGATATGGAGATCCTGATCCGAAGCAGGAGGAGCTTGATCGAATACAAAGGAAAACGGAACAAGAGAAGGCTTCGATTAGACTAGAACTTACAGATAAGGTACAAGATGAACGAGCCATAAGAAAACAGCTTGAGACACAAATTCGTTCATTGGAAGAAAGGGCGGCTCAGGTAATTTTCTCCGATCCAAGAAACTTAACACAACTGACATAACTCCTTAGGTTGACCTTACAGCTATCAATTCTCTTGGTATCAATGGACGACTGAAAGAATTGGAGACAACCTGTGAGGATCTTCGTCGCAAATTATCCGAAGAGAAACAGATTAGGGAAAACTTTGAAGACCTTTTAACTGCACTCAAGGGAGACCTCGAAACCTCTCACAACGAGCGGGACAACTTACGAGATGAGGTTGTTCCTCAGCTCAAAGCCCGTGTCGAAGGACTTGAAGCGCAAGCTGCAGAGCATGAAAGGCTGACTTACGAGCAATCCAAAATGACTCAAGAACTCCAAACGCTCAAGAAAGAAAATACCACCCTGATCAATGCACAAAGACTACAAATGGAGATGAATCAGTTCAATTCTATTTCGGAGGAGGATAGCATAGGTAGCATAAGCAGCCTGCCAAAGTCTAGGTCATCTATAATGAGCATTGGTGGTTTAAGTGGACTCGGTAGTCTAGGTGGTCTAGGTGGTTTGAAACGATCCAATTCTCTCGCACATACTGGTAAAACGGCTAGATCACCTGGTGGATTATCAAGGACAACTTCTGTCAAGACCACAGAGTCTAGAGATGCTCTAGCGGAACGTGTGAAGGATATTGAGCTTCAACGAGATTCGCTACATCGGGCTCTCAAAAGCTTACTCGAACGTCAAGAGCACCAAAATCATGAAAATGAAAAGAAAATTCGCCAATTGGAAATGGAAAGAGATCGTGCCCTAAACCAATCACCCAGGCGGCAAGGATACGATAAGGAAGTTTCCAGTTTAAGAGAAGAAATTAATACCCTTCGCCGTCGCGCGGATGAAGCAATCGAGCAGAAGTGGCAATGTGAGAAAGGCCTAGGAGGTTTGAAGATGGATCTCGATCGCGCTGAACAAGAAATCGGTTCGCTGCGAAGCCTGTTGCAAGAAAAGGACATATTGATCAAGCGATCGAGTACAGATTCTAGACCCGGCAGCTCACACGCAACCTCTGAGACACTTGAGCGTTCGTATCGGGATCTTCAGTCGGCTTACACAGCTTCTATTGAGCGAGTCAAGGAACTTGAGATCTCAGCCTCTGGTGACGAGGCCACCGCACGAGCTATGGAGCAGCTGGAGAGGAGCTTGTCTGATGCAATTTCCGAAAGAGATGTTGTAAAGCAAGAGCTTGAGGCAGTTAGGGAGCAATCGGAATCATTGAGGGACTCCGAGAAGGTAAATCTTCAGGATGAGATGCTCTTGGCAGATGAGCTACGTGAATCGGCCAAACGTGTTGAAGAATTGGCTGGACAAGTCAGATCACAACTTGCTTCAAATAGTACCCTCAGGCAGCGTCTGGCTGATGCTATCGAACGAGGAGAGAAGGAGCAGAAAGCCAATGCGCAAAAGATTACGTTCCTCCAAACAAAGCTCAAGGCTCTCGAGGACCAGCTTATGACTGCTCAGAACGTATCTGAGGTGAGAATTACTCGTCATGAAGATGAGATTCGTGATCTCAAGGACAGCCACAATGTCCAGCTTCACCGCGTGAAGTCTGACCTCCGCTCACCTCGTTCATTCGGGCCTAAAACTCCCATGTCCCCATTATTCGCAAATGCGAAGAAGGTGCCACGCCTGTCCGTCACCACTTCCGGTAAAGGAATGTCGGTATCTGAGGACTCACAGGTTGAGTTCTTGAAACAACAAGTCGTTAATTTGGAAGCTGCACTTGCAGAAGCCGATACCGAAATGGAGGAAGTTGTCGGTCGTATGAATATCGCACAAATCGAAGTAATGGAACTACAAAACGAAAAAGAAGAAGCGGTACGTCAAACGAAGAAATTACAGAAAATGATTGAGCAAGAAAAATTAAGAGCTTTCAAGGGAAAATTCGCTTCTCTTAACTCGACATTCCAATGAATTAGGGATCGAGGTAGACGGTGATTTTAAGATTATTTCGTTAAGCGACTTTTAGCGTTTGTTAGTCTGCTGGTTGGTGGTTTTCTATCGACGTTCTTATTTATTAATCGACCAAGAGCCCCTGGAATTTGGGTTGGGGCTCAACGGGTAGGCATGGAAGGGTGGATATGGAGTTTTATCTATTATTGATCAGCATCAATTTCTCGTCATCGACAAAATGCATCAAATGGATTGGGCCAGCTCGATGGCTTTTGCATTATATTACTTAAATAGGGTTAAAAGATATCTTAGTATCGGGAGAAATGGTATTTGTCTAATATTATCTCCAAAGGTGGCGAGAATAATAATCTGGGATGGAGAGAGAAGGGAGAGGAGACGGGTTGTAATTATTTGGGGAAATAGGTGGATGGTCGGAAAAGGGGATAAATACATATGGGAAGAAGGATCAAGGGGAAGCGGTGGGGCGAGGGCGAGCTTGTATGATTACTTGTTGTATATTGTATACCTACCTATACTGGATTTTTAGATACCAGAAACTGCATGAGAGAAACTGCATGAGAGTAGTGGCCCAGTAGATGGGGAAAAAGTTTGGTTAAGAGAAGAGGCGAGCTTAAAATATTTGCTTGACCTGACCTGGTGTTTCAATGGAATGAATGCGTTGATCTAATGATGTCTGTTGATGATGTGTGATGTGTGATGTATATAATGTATGTATTGGGAAACCTCTTTCAAATGTAAATATTTTGCAGAAAGTTTATTATATAATTTTCCTCCGGAGAATACAAGTTTACATTACATGTAAGAGACGAAGGGAAGGCTCAGATACTGTAACACTATTTAGGTAGCTAGGTAGCTAGATAGCTAGCTAGGTGGAGGAAGATAGATAGAGATAGATAGAGATGGGGAGAATGAGGATGAGGATGGATAGATAGATGGAGGAAAGATGGATGGATGTTATGATATCGGTACGAGTATGTGATTTTATTTGTGTTTGATTTCTTTGATTTTTAGTTTTAGTTTGTTGGTTGGTTGGTTGGTTGAGTAGTTAGTTGATGTAACCTAGGCTGAGCTTTTGTGGTATATACGGCGGATGGATACGCAGGTCTGGGGGTAGATGGTGTTGTGTTGTGTTATGTGTTATGTTGAAAGTTGGATATGCCGCTAGAGAGTATGTCTAGGTCTAGGTCTAAATCTAGATCTAAGCCCATGTCTAAGCGAGAAAGAAAGTAATACAACCAGCCTAGTTGGCAGACCTAGATCAGAATCAAAAGGCAGGAACATAGTATTGCAGCTAACTGGTAGGTCTAATCTAGTAAGTCAGTCACAAAGAAGGCTGCTGCCAATAGTTATAGAAAGAATTTTGTTACTCTTATATAAATACTTTTGGATAGGTTGAAGTTGTGTAGTTAGTGGTTGGTAGTTGAATCTGGTCTGTTGAATTGATGTATAGATGATATTGGCAGTTTAGCTAGTTTGTTAAATCTAGATTTTTATGAGCGCAATTATTAGTTTAAATATATGAATCGAATTATTGGTTAAATTGGTTTAAATGGTTGAGATGATAGTTTAAACTACGATCTTTCAAACAGCCTCTTTCCAAATGGTTCAAACTAGTTACTCGTACTGACTACACTAAGAACAAGCACTTGATGCAAAGACTTCGAAACCTCGTTCCCTTTCCAAAATACATTGTTTCAATACCATCCATACCAGTACGAAATTTGGTTATTCCCAGGTGGTGAAGTCTCCACCTGCGCCGATAACTGCGGTGCGGCAAAGATATAAACATAGATTTCCAGAGCCCGAACATCGACATATTCTTAAAAATTGTTATTTTGAGCATGACAAGAATCATATTTCCAACAGCACCGCAATGCAATTACAGAAACTTGTTGAGAGCTAGAAGTGCATCTATACACTGCTCTCCTTCTATTTAACGAGGTATATATAAAGCCCAAAGGATCTGCTCCAAGGTGGTTTATTTACTTCCACCAACAAATCCGTTTCCAAAACTCAAATATATCTATCTATCCTATCTTATCTTGCAAATCCTCACCAACACTTACCAATTGTCAATTTTCACCATGAAATTAAACACTTTCGCCAGGTTAGTAGCTCTCGCAACCACTATATCCGCCGCTCTTCAACCCTTTACTTCCCAAATCAAAATCGTGATCTCCAAGCCAAAACTAATCTCACCATCCGAGCCGACAAGCTCCAGATCGCATGGGCCGGTATTGCGTTCCCGGATCAAGTCAGAGCTGACAACGACCATGCTGACCCCTTCGCGGGCGTGACTGCTCGTATGTTGTTTCTTCTCATTCTTTTACCCTTCGCATCACATACAATGCATGGTTCCATACTCATCTCTCCATTACAGATTTTGTAGTTCCCGCCCCACAAGACAAGAATCCCGGCCGGGTATACGCTTGGGTTGGAATCGACGGGAATGTTTTTGGGAAATCTGACCGTGTGATTCGAACGGGTGTTGATATTGAAACGCTGGTAAATGGTACTACCATTTATAGACCGTGGTATCAGTGGGCGCCATAATCTATCGTCTACTTCGGTAAGGAAACTGCTGATGGCCGACCTTTTGTTATTCATTCTGGTGACGGTTAGTACCCTAAGTTACATCTATTACTATTTTGCTTTGTCTGAAGAGCTACGCTAAATCATTAAAATAGATCTAACCCTAGCTATCTCACTCCACTCAACGATGGATTCAGCAAATGCAATAATAACGAACGCGAATGGCGGGTTAACACTAATGCAAACATTTGACGCATCCAAAGTTCTCCACAAGGCAACAGGAAAAACCGCCCAGTTCATCATCGAACGTGTGGAGACGCAAATCACGGATACGGATACGTCTCTGACATACGCTCCTCTGTTGAATTTCGGCACGGTTCAATTTACGAAATGTGTAGCGACTACTTTTGGATATCAATCGGTGGATCTATCGGGTGGATTGGACGGTTCGAGGAAAGTTGCTGTGTATCCTTTAACAATGTATCTTCGTGATGATGTCTATCCTCTTGGAGAATTAGCATTTGGCAAAAAGACTGGCGAACTCACTACGGAGATTGTGTGGAGGGGCGCTGGCACTAATGGTTGATTACATTATAATCGAGATGTCTCGGTTGTGGAGATGATTGGAAAGGTAGTCTGGTAGTCATGGTGTCTGTAGATGAGATATTTTGCTTGTTAATTCAAATTGGGAAACTTATCATGAGAACAGTGGAGAAGTCCGTCCTTGAAGAAGAGCTCGTTGTCCTTAGTATATGGATATGCTTTCGACCTATAATATACCAAAGCCAACGTCTAACAGTGGGCACACTACTTATGGAACAATGTAAAAGTTTAATAAAACGATACTTGTGGAATAATCTTTCGAATATTTCAAGACTGAGTGGAATGATTCAATGTAGATTAGATAGTGGATAATGTATTCTGGAAGGATCAACTGAAGAACAGATTAAATATGTTGTTTAGCAGGTACAGAATTTTTTTATGAAATCATATACCAAAAACGATTAATAGCGCTTTTCCATCTGCATACAAGTACCATAATATGAATAGTACTTAGTCTGGGACCGATTCATTTCCCCTTCTTCGCTTAACTAGAATAGCCTAATCCCATCTACATGATACTGCGATTACAATTGACAATGACTACGATATAGTTACTTAAATTATCTCTAGTTTGCGCCTGTGAAAAATTAATCACTTCTCCAAATAACAACATTCAACAGTGAATATTCACCATTCACCATTCACTCCGCATCCCGCATCCACAATTCGCATATCCAATCACCAACCACCAACCAAAAGATAAAAACAAAACCCAACAACAGGACCAGCCAAAAAAAAAACGGCAAAAATTCAATACACTCTAGGACAACGCATGATGGAGGATTGAATCCAAACCAGACGAACTGAGTTTCCAATAAACGAGATATTCGGACGTGAAGCAGCGGTCCCGTTTGAGGGGATGTGAAAACCCAGTGCGTTACCACTGAGCCATCTGGACCTTGTTTGTTGTGGGATGAGATGCGTTACATTTGTATTTATCGGGATGGCGGTGAAAAGGTGTTGATGTTGATGATACTGATGGTTTTGGTTTGGGTAATATGTAGACCGCAAGTTCAATATCTTTGCGATTTTGCTGTACACATTGTGGTATTTTTGGTTCTTATGACTGCAAGGTATCGCATTTCGATGCGACAATATCTAAGACTTTGAATCGTCTGGAGAGCTTCAATAGGAAATGATGGAGCAATGAATTCACTTGAACTTTTGGGAGATACACTGAGTGTTGGCGAATTTTCATAAGAAATCTCGGGTATCAAGTACCTATGGTTCAGGTCTTAATAGCCAAGAAAATCTCGAGAGAGAGTTGCGGCATAGAATACGACTATCCTTTCCGAAGCTTTTCGGAGGAGTAGGTACTGATGATGGTGGTCTGAAACCACCTACGAGTGGGATTTCTCAAGTAGGGCGAATAAAGCAGCTCTAGGATTGCTAGAAAACACATCGATCGATAAGACTCGAGAGTTGAAAACATCCCGACAAAGAAACAGAATATCTACTCCATTGAGAACTATCTCGATCGATGTTCTGCGGTATATCCCCCACAACCGAAAAGACTTCAAACTCATTTGCAAGCAAAAATATGTGTGATGCTAGACAAATGTGACGACCCTTCAATCTTCAGCCCTTTCCACATCTGGAAACTTTAAAAGCTAAAAGTCAAAAGCTCCTCAACTCAAGGAACCATAAGCTTCTATTGTGCACGGTAAAAACAGACGAGAGAAATACGTATACCTACTGGTAGTCCTCAAGCGAAGTTTGTAGAAATGTCTCGAGCCTCGAACAGAGTGCCCAAACTCATCTGTTCACAAACTGTGGATCTATCCCTGTAGGGCAGGCTTTCCGCGATATTTCACCGAAGCATCAAATTTTCTCCTCTCACCTGGGCCCTGGCTCACTATTCGCTTCCGTCTATAAAATGATCCAAGAAGCCAAGAACTCCACAGCAAGTTTCAAAAGGAGGAAAAGAGCCCTTGCTATTTTCCATACCCCAAAACATGTAGCTGTCATGTCATTTCTACAGTGGATCATCTCATGACATGGTAATATGATGGTATGATGATAATGACATGAGTGCGATCCGATGATCTACCACGAAACAAACGGTGAAGAAAAGAATTGCTAGCACATAGCTCCAGTGCGGAAATACCAGTACGTATTTCAATTTTCGAGAGAAGAAAGATCTCCATACCTTCTCGGTAGTTGGGTCGTTCTCGGTATGAAGACCGGTTCTACGCCAGATGAAGGAGTGTACCGGTATGGATACAGTTATCGGAATATTTTTGGTTCCCATGACCATGGATTGGACTTCTTTATTTGTGGTGGAGCGGACTCAGTGGAACTGGGTGGATCGTGGCGTTGGGTTGGGAGGGGGATTTGGGTTGAAGGAAAATATGAATGTGCATGGCACTGCATGCAGGGCGATGGAGAATCGAGGGGTCAAGTCACAAGTGGTTGGGTGTGAAAGCTTATCTGATGAAGAAATATCAAAACGCTAGAGGATGTGAGGAGTTCGAATACACACGTGCTGGTATTTTCTCAAGAATCGTCATATCTGATGGGACAAAACCAAAGATAGGAAAGATGGGAATTTGCTAGTGCTAAATGCGATTCGAGAGACTCGTGGAGTGATGGCAGAATATCTGGAATCTGGATGGATCAATTACGCTTTGATATTGATTGGGAAGAATATTAGCATAATTCTCAGATGATTAGAAATTGGGCCGAGCGACAATACACTATCGGAACCAGCGGGGCAAGAATAAATAGATACAACTTGCATTTTGTTATTGCAAAGTTGTCTACAAAGAATTCAGATAAATACCGCCACATTTGGAAATTAGTTAGTATTGGCATTGAAGGATTGATAAGCACAGAAACAATATTCAATGAGTCAATGACAGCGAAATAGGGCTAAGATTCTTAATAGGTATAGTAATGTTGGCGAAAGGCACATATTCAATAGATCGATCCTTTTCAAGTTGAGCTTCGTATCAGCGCGCCAATTCTATCATAGCTTGGGCGCGTAAAATGGGTAGTTGTGGGTGTGCCGTGCTAATCGATATCAAGATGTGGAATAGTCCCAGATCTCTTGTGAATTTGGCCAAAATTGCAAGCTTGAAAGTTGAATGCGAGTTTAAGCTTGATCTATTCAAAGAATTGATAGCCAGAAGCGCTGAAATCCATTCTAATTATTGAAATATGTCTGTGAAGCGGAAATAGATTTCTGGGTATCGTAAGCGATCATATGAGTATGGCAAATGTACACATGTACTGAGTACGAGGTAGGTGCCTTCCCTAGAAGTCGATGGAGGGGACCTTGAGGAAGGTCACTGGACAAGAGACCGCTGGCCCATTATGCAACCGCGTGTACACTTCCAAAATAATGAGGATCGCTGCGAGATATTGTAGGACAAGAAATCTCATCGAAATTTCTTGATTGGCTATGTTTTTAATAAGCGGTGTGGAAAGAAAAGAGGAAGGGAGGAGGCGAATATGCTATGCAATGGTTAAGTGCTTGCAGCTTCTATATGCAAGGGGGGGTCTTTTCTTATGCTGTCCGATATCAAGTATCATTTTGTCGTTATATTGCAAAACGGATTATGTACTTTAGTCTAGTTAAAAGAGGAGGCTTTTGTTCTGTATATAATATACAATTGATGGTATCTAGCGTAGATGGCACACTGGACCAGGTAGTATTTTCATTGCATGATATTATTGTGAAAAAAGGCAGTTAACGTGACAAGAACGTGTTTCAATAAATCCTTCAAACGAGTGACACGAATCTGATTCATCATTCATTCATATTAAGATTAGGGAACCTAAAGGCGGGTGGTCACGGTGGTGTGTTGGTCAGCAGCAAAAGACGGGATGGGGATGTGCTGATGTTTCGGATTGGGGTCTGAGAATGATTGGCATAGTTGAAATGGTTATCCTGTTTCCTGGGAATCTTGCAATAGGAATAGAACTTTGAGCTGTGTACTCGGTGAGCACTTAGAAGGCTGAAAGTCTAGTTCTAGATTGAATCGATCGTTAGCCAGTCATTGGAAAGCTCATTGTCGATCCTCCACAATCCTATCTACCTAATAGTTTGATAGCTAAGAATGGGAAAAGAGTCTTACAGTAATGCTTGCAGAGTAGATTAACTTTAATTTGCATGTCTTGGTCATACTTGTACCTCAAAATGTACAGGTACAGTCACGTTCACCCACACTAGGTAATTCTCATTGAGGGGAAAAGTGTCTATGGCTTGTCATTCATTTAAACTTTGGTGGGGTCATGGGCGAAGCCGTGGTTTTGAAATGTTTTGTTTTTCACGGGCCGTCGTCATGGGATCTATTTTTGGTGGATGGATGGGTACATGGATCACTCTAAACATCTTCAGAAGCCTCGAAATAAAATCTAAAGACTTGACCCATTCCTATGATATAAAGGGAATCCGATATTACCGCATTAAGAAAGTTTTCAATACAGTATCGCAAAAAGGTTAAATAAATTCGAGAAGGATTTTTCGTTTTGACCGAGAGGAAAACGCGGAGAAATATCCGATGAAGGGGTGGGTTTCTTATCTTTTGATTTTTACATCGCAAGAGTTGCTATGTCCCGCCAACGCCAGCAACTTCCCACAACAAATCAATATGAAGCTGCGTACGTTTTGATGTCGTGTTACCCCCAAATCGGAGTGATCTTCAAGAGCCATAGTGAAAAGTAAAACGGTTTCCGTAGATCACAATATACTTGACGAGGCTTTGTGGATATGAGGAGATTTCATTTTGATTAAAAAACTCGGAATATTCGGTTATGATATTAAGGTTACGATTAGAATATTATGGTTACATCAAAAAGAATTTTGGATCTCCAGAACAGTATGAAACCGTTATTGAGATAGTACTAGGCTGAAGTTGACAAAATGTCATGTCAGTTACCCGTTCTCATCTGACTGTGCTACTGAATCTAGGCAGAGTACCGGTAAATCATACCAATAACACGTATGTTCCACGTTTTTTTACAGAATGGAATTCAATATCACATAACCTTATCGTGCCACACCAACACCATATGCAAACCTTGGAAAATGACTGCAGCTGATATCTCACATCGAAAAAACGGGATGTGTATTCGAAATGAGTATCTTGAAGCGAAGTATGTACAGTACTCCGTAGATCAGGAGCTTTTATTTCTTGTCATCCATGCAACTGACATTCAATCTAGGATGGCAGATATCTTGTATGTCTAGGGTCAAACTTCATTATCCCCCGCCTGTTCATTGAGTCTCTTAAAAAGCATTCTAAGGCTCGTTCTTGAATCTTGAATGACAAGCAAGGACGAGGATGGCTATGCTGTCATGATTAACAAGATCCGATCAAATTTCCTAGTTACTCGTGTCACTGTTAGAAACCTTGTTCGTACGGGATTCATTGACATAATGGGGGCTGAATTGAACTGTGTACTAATGAATCTGGAGGCATCTTTTATGATTATCGTCCCGTTAACTACTGAACACCTGAATTTCTCACTCACCGCTTCATTGCTCTAAGATGGAAACAACCGCATTATGATATTGAAACTCCGTACCTTTCTTTGCTTTGAATCATGTTTCTCATTCTTTAGAAAGATCCCATATAGTAACAATAATACTCGAGTACTATCCTGTAATATCACATGAATGAAGTGTAATTGTTATCTCCAGACTGTCGAAGCAACCAAACTTCCACTTAAGTTTCATCTCTGCTCTCAGCCATAGATATGTATGCTTTGCGGCGGCGAACGTGGTGTTTTGTGATTAATTCGCTGAAGATCGGAGGAGTTCGTCGGTTGTGATAAGAATAATCCACTTCTTCTCGACACAGCTCTGCACGGTCTAGTTTCTTCCTCCAAATCAAATCATATCTTTCAATATCAACCACTCCATCACGCTTGAACCCTTCCTCTTGTTGATTAGCCTTTAAATTGTTATAATCCACTCTTGAATTGCACAACCCTAGCCACAACATTTTTCCATGTCACATACCTTGTAACTCGATATGCGAGGCACGTTTCGGCAATGGCGTCAAATATCATGTCGAGCTGTCATTCGTTAACAGCACAAAGTCTCCGAGGACCTTTACCAGGTTACATCAAAAAGAGCTCAACATCAACCACTCAACGGTCACCAAATGCTGTTGGGTTTTTGAATCAGGAAACTAATGGAGCCAATAGATATTTATTTCCGTGTTTGCCTACCTCAACTGAGGAATAGTTACCTCTTACCCCTGAGGCTGGCTCCCCTTGACCCGTCGGAAAGATGAACCAGGATCTAATTCTGCACTTCTGCACAACCAACTGCACACTCTTCTTCAGTCCAGTCCGTTGCTTGTTTCTGATGATACCATACAGCACATACGCATCCCCATCTATCAAATGATACGGATCTCACAGACCACAGGTAAGACGCTTATGCCGCATTTTACATAGTCCAACACAGACACTTTCTCCATCTGCAAAGGTGGCTTAAAATACCCGATCATTGCAACTTAGTTCTTCTTATATAGGTATCGGTGTCTGCGTCTTGAGTTGTCCTGAACCTCATCACGCCTGAAAAAAGTCTGTGAGGATAATTGGGCTGGTCTCTGAGGATAATTAGGTTCTAAGACTCTTTCACTTTTTTCTCCACCCTAGCCTTCATATTCATACTCTTTCGTTTCTTTCACTTTATTTTTGTTGCGGTCTTTGCCAAACTTGACCAAGTTGTGAAAAGTAAGGGAAGAGCCCAGTTGGTTCAACAGTCTATTCAGACTGATAACAATGTTTTGATCACATAACTCGAGCTTGATATTTGCTCTTTGGCCAAGGAACCTCACTTCATCATAATGCGGGGCAGTTACTTGTTATTCGCAACGTTGATGTTGTTTCTTCTATCATCCGCTCAAACACTAGTGGCTATAAACGATTTCTCAACATCGGAATCATCATCTTCGGAATCATCTAGTACAATACAGCCGGAAAGTTCTTCGACCTCGAGGAAGGATGAATCGACATCCACATCATCTCCAGCCACTTCAATGATTACGAACACAATCGCTATCTCTTCTATTTTAAAACCCTCTTCAACATCGGTGACTGCTAGCCTCACTGGCAATGTTGAAGTCGCATCCACAGCCACAACGAGTGCTCTGTCGTCGACTTCAACAGTCGCCACTTCTACAAGATCTGGCATAAATCGCAACACACTGATAATTATCCTCGCTTCCGTCCTCGGTACATTCGCTATCATATGTGTTTCAGTCGCCATATATCTTCTTATTCGCCATCGAAGGAATCGGAGTTTCACCGGAAGAGGAGCAACTCCGATAGATGACAACGAAATCGAATCGTGGCGACGCTCCGGGAATGAGAGGAAGATATTTATGGGTGAGGACTTGACTTTCGACAAGGAGACAGGAGGCCTAGATTATCTCCAGTCCAACACAATACAAATGGCACACTCACCGGGTTGGACATGGACAGCCTCTCCTACCTCTTCTCGAACAAGATCCACCTTTTACCCCTCAGGCTTCTCAGGCTACGTCCCCGATACCCCTACTTTCCTCGCCCAGGCACCAAACGCCAGAGTTGGTCTGACGGACGAAATAATGCCCGGCGCGGAACCATTTGTAAAACCAGCCGAACGACATAGATCACGACTATCGAAGTCCGGAGGTCATCTACGCACGAAGAGCAGGAGGAGTAGTACGAGTGGGAGGAGCATGTGGAGTGTCAAAAGCTGCTATGGCGGCGAAATGAAAGAATTGAAAGCCAACGACCGAATAGCAACATGGTTTGATCCGGAAGACGACTTTCGAGTTCCTAGAGATTACAATGATTCACCCGCCATGTCGTTTCGAGAAATGACGCCAGGCCCAGGAACTCCTAACCCGGTCACGGCATTATCACCAAGGCCACCACCCCGAGCTGCGTACCCGTCCTTCTGGGATAGCGATCGGGAGATTGGATTGGCCATTTCATAGTTAGGCCTTGGACGCCAGTCTGTTTTCTATATGCATTACTTGGGTTTGGGGAGGCCGGTGGAGTTTGTTTGTTATAAAGGAGGGAGGGTTATATATATTGATACCAAGGAGGATTTATTCATATTGGTGGAGTCTGAGAGCTCATAGGGAGCAAATGATGCTGATCTGTTGCAATGTTATTGGCGGTTATGTTTTTGAAGGGATTTAAATTCACCACTCGATGGGAGGCTTTATTTATGATATGCACAGTCTGGAGACTGAAGCAAGAGAAGAGACATACAGTAGTATGGCATAGCATACATATATCTGAATGCAAATGTACAATAAATAAATGCACAAACAGACTTTAACCTTGATCATCCCAAGTGTCTCAACATTTCATATCTCTAGCTTATGCTCATACATTCGAACGTCTCGGATGGATGGCGTCCTGTACGCTTCCATTGACAGAATGGCTGATCTTGTAATCAGATTTTGGACACAATAACTTCAACAAACGATATCTCAATGTCCAGCATCACTCAACAACTCACCAATTCAATTCACAATAATCCAACATCTCCACGTGATCCCACACGAATTTCGCGTCACCGCGTTTTGCAGATTTCCCGCCTTCACCGCCTTTCCCTCATGAGAAATAAACTGCCCAATATCAATATAAGCCAAACCCATCAACAATTTCCAACAATACTACATTACCACCGCACACCCCCAAGTTTCCTTCCTCGAAACACATATTTCGAATATGCCACCGCGAAAAAGTGATGTTGCGAAACCTGTTACGGGAGATGAAGCTACGCCTGTGAAAGAGAAAGAGTCGGTTGGGAGAGAGGGAGTTAGTATTGAGGTTTGTTTTTTTAGTGTTGATTTCTTTGCTATTATTAGGGCAAAGCAGGGCTTTATAGCTGATTGCTTGTCTCGGGCGAATTTGGATGTGGGAATGGAAGTGGAATGGAAGAGGAAGTGGAAGAGGAAGTGGAAGAGGAAGTGGAAGAGGAAGTGGAAGAGAAAGTGGAGGTAGAAGTTAAACTAACCATTTATGTGAACGGCGATAGGATCTTAATCTTCCGAAAAGTATCGTAACGCGATTGGCAAAGAGTGTGCTGCCGCCCAATACCCAAATTCAGGGAAATGCGATGTTGGCGATGGGTAAGAGTGCGACGGTTTTTGTTAATTATTTGGCTATGCAGTAAGTGGAGATTGTGGATTTCTTTTGGGGGATAGGGGGATTGGTTTAGTGAGAGGAGGGCAAATGGAACTGGTTTAGTGAAAGGACGGGCAAGCGGATTGGGAGAGGACGTGAGGGCTTGAAGGAGAAAGACTGGGCAAATTGGAAGAGTGTGATGCTGTGTGAACAAGTTGCTAATGTGCATGTGAACCAATTAGAGCAAATGAGAACGCACAACATCGAAGTGTCAAAACGATAGCGCCGCAGGATGTTTTTAAAGCGTTGGATGATTTGGAATTTCCGGATTTTAAACCGAGGTTGGAGGCGGAGCTTGCGAGTTAGTATTTCTTTTCGACTTTTCTTCGGGGTGGAGATTTGTTAGGGGGCAGAGTGATGAAGATAGCATATGCTAATCACAAATATTCTGAACAATAGAATACATCGAAATGCAAAGCGACAAGAGAAATACATATAGAAAGAAAGTCGCAGCTGATAAAGCATCTGGGGAACAAGGGGCAGGAGAAGACGAGGAAGGCGATTCGGAAATGGTGGATCGAGAGGGGGATGGAGAACCGAAGGCTAAGAAGGTTAGGAGGGATGGGGGCAGTGAGGAGACGAATGATGAGATTGAAGAGGAGGAAGTAGATGTGGATGAAGATCATGATGAGGAAGATGACGACGATGTAGAAGATGGCGAGGGTGAAGCGGAGGGAGAGGGTGATGCAGGGGGGGAAGATGATGGAGAAGAAAGACTTGAGGTTGAGGAGCCGGAAGGAAAAGATGCGGAAGATGAGGCGCTGGATAATGGGGAGGATAGTGATTGAGGCTTGGTATAAATTATGTGGGAGAAGGAAGAGGCTGAAGGAGAATCTTATTTGCTAAGGAATCAGGTCGGATGACGAATGGAAGCGAAGCGTGCATTTTCAATTCATGGAGTTTGGTATATGGATATAGGTATCAAGAACAAAAGTCCACCAGGCATAGGAATATATGGTTATCAATTCACATGCTATGGTTCCTTTATGGATAGGGAGGTTAAGCGAATATGTAAAAATAAAAAAGGGCTTTTTAATTCTAGGCTAAGAGAAGAAGAAGAGGGAGGGGAGGGGGTTAATGTCTATTTATACTCAAACATAAAGGAAAATGGATACTTATGAGTGTTGGTTGATGTGTCTCCTCAATTGAAGCGGTGCTGAGCTTCACCACCAAACTCTCTGATATGCTCGTTGAAATATATCGAGTCAAAGCTCCCAGTCGTTCAAGCAGATACATATATATGTATCAGAAAGTAGGGAGTCTACGATTTTGTCACATGAATTGAGGGTTCTAACTACAAGTAAAGTCTGCGTTTTCCTGGGAAATACCTTAGTCTATCATGTCTTTCATAGCTATTTCCTTTCCACTGGAGAGTTTAGGCCTACATTATTTTCTATCTTAAGATATCACATGCTTGAGGATTCATTTATATGCTGTTGTTATTTCTTAGCGATTATTATATATAAGCCTACTGTATGAATCAATAATTTACAGTCAAATTATGATATCCCCCCTCCCCAGACATCGTGAAAGTATCCAAAACATCATCATACGTCCCCTTAACCTCAGCCAACACCCCATCAACCTCCACCTTCGGCGCCGGTCCATTTGCAGGTAAAGTCAAACTTCCATTCGTCCCCACCGGAACATCATACTACCAAAACCCATGCCCTCTTTCCCCATACCCTCTTTCCCCACCCACCCTCCACCCCGCACTAAACCTCCCCTCCGCCGCCATAATCCCTCCCTCCGCCCTCCCCAAATCCCCCAACCGCGGCACCAATCTCCACACGCTTCCTCCCCCAACAATCTGTATACCCATCACCCCGTAATCAATACTTCCACAGGCCCAGTGCCCCACCACCCATAAGAATGTGATGTGTAGCTATTATCCTCTTGATATCCATTCGCATCCCGATATCCCCATGTGCCGGAGGAGAGATAGCCTTCGATGAACGTAGATTGCGTTCCGCAGGGTTGTGAGACGTACCAGTCCCAGGAGAGTCGCATGGGCGTGAGGGAGCGGGAGGCGTGGCGTGAAGAGAGGTGTCCGGCTACTTCGAGGGAGGAGGTGTAGAGGTTGATGTTGTGGGGGGGGGTTCCGGGGAAATGGCGCCGATAGGGTCCCAGTTTGTGAGGAGCTGCTGGGATATGAGAGAGGTTGTGTTGAGGGGGGAAATGCCATAGGCGAGGGCGAGGGAATTGGCGTCTTGGGGGTAGATGGTGGGGCTTGTGTCGCTGTCAACGAAGGCACTGGTAGAGTGCGAAAAGAGTTGCTTGTTGATGCTAGATTGCAGCGTGTGTGCGAGAGAGGCCCAGACTGTGGAGAGGGTGAGAGCCGAGGCCCATGTTGCGAGGGTGCTGCCGGTGGTGAGCACTCGGTAGAAAAGCATGTTGGCTTCGCTGTTGTGACCTCCTTGGGTAAGACGTCCCCAGTCGTTGGTTCCGCTTACGTATAGCAGGTTTGTGCTGTCGGAGTAGAACATCAGGCTTCCTCTTCGAATGAGAGAAGCTATTTAATGACTCCGCATTTTGAAGCTGGCATTTATTAGCATTGGCGAGACAGATATAGGTGAAGATTTTTCGAACATGAAAGTGGAATTAGATCATTTGTAACGAACTTACTCGAGTATGGGTACGTACTGTAGATCTCAGCCATATTCCCATCACTCCTTCATCTGTTTTCAGATACCGTGACAGCAATCAGCAAGAAGTCTTGAACTTTAGGACACCACTTATAACGGACAGCCTTTTATGGTTTTCAGAATGCCTATCTATTAGCTATCGGGATAATTTGAGTGCCAAGAAAATCACAAGGCGAATATGTTTGGGAATGGCTATCATGAATTTATATTTTTTTGGAGAGGTTCATCATCGTTGAAAGATTTTCGCAAGGCAAGGAAACGACTTTTCCAAAGTTTGAAAGTATGCAATACTCGAGTAGAATCGAGAATCCAAGTGGGCGGAGGGGGCCAAGGGGCAGGGGGCAGGGACAGGGAAACACTATTCAAAGCTGCTTATGACTTGACGAAGCTTTTCCAGCATAACAGCAAAGCTCTTCTAGCTCGTTCTTTGTATGGCCTTCTAGTCGAAGGCTATTTCTCTTGTACACTACAATCTCAAACTTCTGACTCAAATCATGATATGAAAGTTCAGTCTCTTATTTCGAAGAAAACTACTTGAAGTGGTAGTGATAGTCGGTCACTACTTTAGATTATTGTTGTCATTGAGGGTATTTCTTAACAGTTTTAGTCGTTATCCGGGAGACTAATCAACTCTTTAATGTCAAAACGGAAATTTAAAAAAAATGTCAAAAAGCATGAACAATATCCTCAACAAGTACTCTACCATTGCGCACCTAAGGGGAGGGGAACGAGTAGCAACAAATTTCTGTAAATACTCCTTTTCGTAATCGATGAGGCCTTGCGACTTTATAGACATCTCAATCATTAATGCGGACACAAGACTTCCGCATATATCCGAGTCGGCCCGGATTCTTACTGCGGATTCACCTATATCACATCAGCCATGACTTATCTCCGGGCAAAAACAGCATCTGAATTTATATAAACCTTCCTTAAACATAGGCCAGGAAATTAATCAAAATCAACAGAGAAATCCGAAAACCGTGCAGGGACTCAGACAATAGTGTGATGCAATCTACTAGAAACGTACCTCGCTTAGCTAGCCTGGGTTAGATACTATATTATTTGTTGATAAAGTATCTTTGTACATTGATCAATAGGGAGCGAGAAAATAACTGATTCGCAACGAAAAGATATGAATAGCAATAGTTACTTCTTATTCTACTCAGCACAATTCCATTGCAAACTGAAACCTTCGGAGTCGCTGTATCACACAGGGTTAGCGATTCGGAATCATGGCATACGAATTGACAAGTTTACCACTGCTTCTTTGCAAAGATCTAAACAGAGAGAATAAGCACTTTCCTAGTGGTAGTCTACTCTACGAAGGATCCTTTTCTCCTTGCTTCAGGTCACCATCATCTCGCTTCTATATTGTTTCTCTATGTTCCACTACTTCCCATGTGCCTAGAAATAATGCAATATTATCGTCTAATATCACTCGTGTGTAGACGAAACAATTTCTTCCCCTTTGAAAAGATTTCTGTCGAAATTCACCAATAAGTGAAGCCGATGTTCGAGCAATCATCAATGGCACATCTAATTAAGGCGCGAGGATAAGAATATCAGGGTTGGAGCATCACAATATTCAAAAGAGTTAAATGCGTGTTGCCAATGAGACGATTCATATGAATGTGAAACTAGAAGGCACATTGATTACTGTCGCTAGGAAAGAGCCAGCTTACATAAACATGGCAACGGAAATGGTTATAGAGATAACTGATGAACGAGTAGAAGATAACATGAAAGATTAAGGCTATTACTCCCATAACTGTCTCAACTACCCATGGATACGAAAACCTGCATGCTTCTCTTCCCGAAGGTTTGGTCCTAATAATTCATTGTGAATCCAAATGGAGAAAGTTGCTATAGCATAGCTGGAAGGTATCTCCAAATTGTTTTATATTCCTCAAAATATCTTTTACGCGCATATGTCGCTGTTCACAGTGTGCACTTCCGACTGGTATTTTCTTCTTCATCAATATGGAACCGCATACTTCCAGACTATAAGAAGATCTAAGTGAATTGCTTGTAGCCCACTCCTCAAATATCTATAAGAAGACCAACATATTCCTAGTGAATATTCCGAAATTTGCAAAGATTTTCCTTTTGATGGCGAGACACATGACGTATAAGTAGCTAGTTACTACTAACTGAATAAGAACGAGACGTCAAAGATACAATCTTGCAAAAAACCAATGGAAGATTATTTATTGCAAGCGCTTGCCACCTGAGAACGGGACCTACTGTAATCATCCTGCTGTACGAACTTATCGAGTTATAGAGTTGGACCATATGCCTGCTGAGGTTCTCAATATTCTATATCAACTTTATAAGAAGTGGAATCACTAAACATAATTATATTCTATCCTATCGGTAGGATCATGAGTGCAACAGCATTCAGCGAGTAATGAATTCTCGAGAAAGAGTGGGATTAGTAAGTTAAGTCGAGGGGGTGGAGGAGGGGAGGGGTAGAATCTATTTCAATATCCTCCAAACTACCCGACAACGATAAAATGGAGGCATTATTGTCATGGTAATTTCTAACAACACTATACACGCCAATTTTCGACAGTGAGAATAGTAAAAAGCACAATAGTAAACAAAGAAGCGACAAGAGAAGAATAATTTAGATATGGTCAGACTTTGATTTCAAAAAGACCACAAATAATATCTTTTACCCACAGGCTAGTCCCTAGAAACCTCATCCCACTATCTGAAAGCCGCTTATAAAGCTTACCGAATATCGAAGAGAAATCTTCTTCTTTTATACTCTACTCTTCTGCATCCTCCCCGCTCAAACTCCTCTAGCTAGGAGAGTATACGCATTCACTTGTTAGTAGAGTAACTACTAAACCGGTATTGCACTAGTGATCTCACAACCAAGACCTGGCCAGTGGTCTCCGAGCTCGGATCTGCTCTTCGTTGTCAATCGAGCTTGGTAACTTATAAAAGAGCCAGAAAATATATGAGCGATCTTTAGATTTATATGAAAGAGAATGATGTCAAGGATATGTAGTAGGAGAGCATGGTAATGCGTAAGTTAAATTCATATGTGGCAGAAATAGAAATATGATAAATATCTGCTTTGATGCTGGATTAAGAGTCGCGAAACCGGAGCGAACTTGCGAATTGCGAGTGCTGTTAAATGCATTGAATAATCATCTCATGCACATTAAAATAGACGACTGAGATTGTCGACAATGTGACAGCCACCCGGCAGTTTTCAAACACAAGACTTCTCGACAACAATAATGGAAAGTTCAACAAACCAACTCAACCCAAATCCGCGACTTAAATTAGGTGGAATAACTTCCCTTTCGTGTTCAAGAAGAAGGAATAGTGCACTTCCTGCTTACTCTCCATCCTCTTCATCCTTTTCATCCTCTACATCCTCCACGAATTCCTTCGGTATATCGCAAGGTTTTTGTACCATTAAAAATATACAACCGATATAAACCTACTCACCCTCCGACGCTAAGAATTCCAATTCCGATTTTGTCTCGTCAGACTCTCAGAGGGCGAATTATGGAAGCCATAGTGAATATAACATGAACTAAATTAGGTTGAGGCTATATAGGAACTGTTGAAGTTAAGTTCGAGTTAAAGAGAGGAGAAGAAGGATATTCATCCATGTTCCTTTAGCTTTTATGATAATTATTTCTATTTCTGCTGTGTTTCTGTTATAGGAGTATTCAGCTACGTTCTGTTCTGTTACTAATCTATAGTTTAGATAACAAGATAATAAGATAGGTGTTTTTAGAAGATTGATCTAAATTTCGCAGGTGCAAGTATATTTCGATCTTGCTGCTTGAATTGGTTGTTAAAGGGGTGTTGAGTATCTGGATTGGAGTCTGTAGGGATGTAACATAATACGATGGGAATAGAATAGAATAGAATAGAATAGAATTAGACTAGAACGACAAATTAAGATAAGATAAAAACAATGGATGGGATATACAAAGCGCCTATCAATTTCAACATAACAATCCTTAGCACTCTTACAATCTTACTTCTGGGCTATTATGGCGGCTCCATACTACTGTAAGTGAACTGAGTTTCCTACAAACTGATGAATTAAGACAATCTCGTCCATCTAAGCGAGTTGTCGCCCAGAACAGGCCGCCACCCTTATGTTTCACCGTCGAACCCCATAATCTGTATAGTCCCATATAAACCATACAGTACAATATTCTCATTGTCAACTAATATAAATTTTCCGTGCAGAAAGATGAGATGCAGCGATCCTACTCTGATGACCTCAACGTCCAGAAGGCAGTCTAGGAAGCATAAAGCGAGGGGAAGAAGCGCTTTCTCTGGGCTTTGGACGGGATCCCAAATAAATGTATTGCTCTTCTTCTCCGAGTCCCCTTCTCTTTCGAATCAAATAGTTTGAAGATCAAATCAGAGTACTGTACCAGCATAGACGTGTTCTTGCTAGCCATATGATTGTTTCGGTGTTGGCTGCCACGCAAGCTTCTATGTCCTTTTGGTCGTAGTTATTAAGTGCTTCTCTCAGGTCAACGTCTACTAGTACTCAAAAATTCCCATTTATAGACTCTCGCTCTCCTCTTCACCTCCCCGGGAATTTCTATCCAACCACATGACCGAAAAGTAGCATCTAATGCTCTCCTCTGCCTCACTAAATGCCACTAAATTCCCCGCTTCAGTGATACTATCCTGATCTCCTTTGACTTGTAAATCTAGAGTTCTAGAGGTGAATATTCGCTTATTCTTGTATTAGTTCTATTACCGGCAATTGCATCCTTTGAATATCCTTTGATCGTAACGTAATCTAGAATAGAAATCAGAAATCAGAAATCAGAATACCGGTATGTTCATAATACAATCCACAGTCTAAAATAACACGTCCAATCTAATGCCCAAAAGATCTCCACAATATAAAATAGCCACGAATAAGCAGGTATGCATTCGCGAATCTCTACTATCACAAAGTACAGTATGAATTAGCGAAACATAATTAGTGGAACAGAAAGCGTGTACCGGTAGTTCTTCATTCATTAGGGATGAGATAGCCTTGACGAATAGATATATCTGTATCTGTGACATTCCAATCTAATTCCCACCTAAGTTTAATCTAATTTAGGAAATCAGGATCGCGCTACCGGGATCTTGCCAAATGTCTTTATACGGAATCTATACGAGTAGACATTTGGATATAGGAAATGTAGCAGATGACTGTAGCACTAAAGTCATATATATATCATATACCGTACTGGAATGATTCGCTTCTAGGTTTAATATTTGCATTTACTCTTTATATAAGATACCGGTATGCTTTTTCGACTCCTCACTCAAGGAGACTCTGATCGTTCTCGAGTATCTGTTTAGCTGCATTGTTTCTCTATACTTGCTACTACTAACAAGTAGGACGATTCTCCACTTGAAGAACCTATTATACTCAGGCAACGATAGAGTAGCTGGATGAAGAATATAGATGTGATTGCACAAATGTACGAAAAAGATAACGTTTTACATTTTGGAAAGAAGAAACGTATACTTGGTGAGAAACAGACTAATAGGCAATATATAGCCTATTGGGATGCGTATTCCCTGTAGATTTAGATATCTCGGAGATCCACAATAATCATTTAACAAAGTGACTCCATATAACAAACAACATAGGAATCTATTCTTGCCCGTCAACTCGTTGTCCACTCTAGCCTTCGGTCCTTCATATGGTATTTCGTATATCCGTAACCAGCTTTAATTTAAGATCGTCCCTTGCCGACCGGCAAATCAACCCTGCTCTACTAATCCGTGCTCAACCTCCACAATCCATCTCCCAAATAATGTGCATCCTCCACCACCGGGCCCTTTCCCTTCTCCTTAACATCCTTCGTACTCATACTCAATAATCCAACCGCACAAGCCTCCTCCTTGCCCTCCGCACAAATAACCACTGGTTCCCCATTCTCCAATTCTCTTCCTCCATACCATCCTTCGCCTTCTCCACTTTCTCCATATACACCCTCTTCTTCTTGGTTTCCAGTAGGTAATCTGCCGCCGGTAGATGTGATGCCTGGGGCCATGAGAGTAGCTCCAGAGAGAACAAATCGAATCGCTCCGCGATCGATGCGGATGCTAGGGAAGCAGGATGGGAATCGGTGGACGAGTTTGAGATGGGGGAGGAGAGCATCGGTCATATGTTGGAAGAATAGAGGAGTAGGGCCAATGAGGTAAAGGGTCACTCTATCTGGACTATTTCGAATGTCAATAAGGATTTCTTGGGAACGACCATGCAGCCCGCAAGTATGAGGTAAAGAAGATACGAGAGCGAAGAGAGGAAGAAGTAGAAGCGCACATTTTCATAGCATCCAGCTGCTCTTTCTTCGGTACTATTTCATCGATATGAGGAGCCAGTAAAGGATATGTAGTAACGAGTTGGTTTCTTATGGCGCGTTGAACTGAGGACTTAACCTTGCTTTTTGAGCCGGGGGAAATGCTATACAGATACTACAATTAGCGTATATACATAATCGAATTCGCAGAAACGTAATCAATATATCTTACTCTTTCTTAAACATCTTGGATTTGAATCTGGTAGTATGATGGTGTTGGTGAGGAGGGGGAGAATTGTTCAGACGTGAATGTGGAGAATGTGCCCCGCGATACGGCTGACTGGTAAGACCAAATCCGCACGGACTCGAGAGGAGGGGTAGAATTGAGGGGTATTAAAGATAGAATGAATTTAATAGAAGGTTATTTGGACATCAAGCAAGGTTGGTACTCACTCTGTCACTCAGTCACAATTTGATATCGAATAGATTTACGTATAGTCATGGAGATTCATTAAAGTTCATCAAATAATACCCCCCCTCGAGAATCAGACCCCCCTCCCCATCCATCGCTAGCCCCGTTTGTTTCCTACAGATGTGATTATTGATCCTATTGATGGTTGACATGGGAGACAGTTCCATCTTCGTTGAGATGAATATTGAGTCTAGATATTCAGTTAGTGATTAGTCTCTAAGAGTTAGACACTGAATAGGATGCTAACCTGTTCTCCTTGAAATCCTTGGTAACCATCGATCCAGGCTCGATAATTCTATGCTCTTCAGGAAGATCTTGCTTTGCGAAGGTCTATCCATGAAGTGTTAGTAAAGTGTATGAGTATTATTACACTTTCGCCGAAACTATTAACGTACAGTCTCGTTGCTAACTTCACCAATCTTCTTTCCAGCCAACTTGCTCAACCACTCTTGATTTTTATCAGTGCCACCGGCAGCACTGTTGGTGATTGGATCGACGAGAGGCATTTTGAAATATGGTTTTGATGAAAAATATATGATTTTTGATATTGAAAGGTTTGCTTGAATGTTTCTTCTTGTGTAGAGTTGAAGGTGTTTGAGAGATATCATGAACAAACAAGAAAGCAGAAACCAGAGAGTCTTTATGTTCGGCGATGGCGAACGTGAACGTGAACTTCCAAGCCTTCTTCCATTTCAACAACTCACCTGCTGGATTCGGCCAAATACGTCATAGCCAAGGTAGCATGTGACATAAGCAACACGTGATGATACCTCTATTTAACTTCGAAGTTTCGCGAGCTTCCCCTTCATTTTGTTGTAATGAATGTCAACGAATTTCCTGGCATTGTCAGATTATTTCAGACTCTTCCTCCAGCTAGGGATGAGTAGTTGTTCCGAGTCAAAACACGATCCAAGAATCGGGCTCAATCATCTTTGCATTTCTTCATTCTTTTCCATCGGAAAAAAGGCTACCTAGGTATACTGGGACCATTTCCTTCACAAGCTTTCCAGTTCTACAAGGTTGTACCTGCATTGTTAAAGTGCGAATCAATTCATTTCGCATTATATTCTCGACGGTTACGCTGCCAGGAGGCATTTCGGTACTTTGTGCTGTGGAGCTAATTAATGCTTCAACCCGACGGGACCGAGGACCATTTTACAACCATTGCTTTACACAATCTATAACCGCATTGGTCACTGACTCACTGCGTCTACTTATACCGCTGCACAATGCAATGTCAACAGTCCCTCTTGAATCCTTGACTGAATCTATTTGATCCGTCCACCCTTATTTTGACTCGTCACCAAGTGCGTGGTGAACTGAGACTATGTGGAGCGATACTATATCCATTATACTAACCTTTCTTGTCAATTACGCTATCCTCTACGCGTTCGCCCCCAATGTTCATCTCATTTTTAAGGCTTTCACTCCTGAGATATCATCACTGGAAATTTCAAACAGTGGAAAGAATAGTATTAGCCTGGATCCAGTAGATTCGTTATTTTCATCGCGACTACCCACCACATTGTGTACATAGTTGTACAGTTGTACAAATACAGATGTACAAAAGCAACCGGCACAGCGCAGTTGTTTGCTTCAAAATTCTTCCAATGCCGGGCTCTGTATCGCTGTAATACTCGGCGCATACTGCCCGAACTGTGTTCATGAAGATGTGGAGAGAGCCTCAACCATTATCGTCAATGCTCATACTGGTACCATATCAGTCATTCATGGGTAGGCCCAAAAATTTACTCACGAGGCTGATCCTTTAGTCCCAATTTTGACGTTTGATTTGTTCAACGTAGACTAATCGACTAGGGGGAGATGCTACGCCTTCTTTAACTCTTATTAACGTCAGGTCAGCCTCAAACGAGTTGTAGCTTCAAGACTACGCCTTTAAGCTTATTCTGAGCTCACGATTTATTCGGGAATTTTTTCACTGCACAGCATTTCACCCCTTGACAGGCTTTTTCCCTACGTTTATCTATTGCTTATGTCCCTCACAATTTTCTGCACTGGTCTTGTTTATATTCATATTCATTCTTTGATTTTTCTATCTTACCCTATTGTTACTCGAGAAGTTGTCTAATATCTCCCCTCTCGGTTATCCCGCCAACTTACTACTTTCGTCAAATTTCGAAAAGATTCAATATGCGTCCAATTATATTCTCTTTATTGGTGTCTTCAGCAACAATTGGTTCTGCCTATAAATCTCTGATGTCAGATGGATGCGGACAAGGAAATTTTCATGATCTTGTGATCAGGAATTCTTGTGCAGATGATTTGTCAATTGTCAAATGTCTCGCAGAAGATGTTGATTTGAGACAATTGGATCAAATCAAACAATGTTTTATAGCTGGTGGATGTGATGCGATCGACTCTACTATATCAGCAGTTTGGTTTTCATATGAATGCAATGATCGTCAAGGACCGGTGGAAGAGGCTATGAAAGAGGATTTAAGGAAGCGAGCCACCGAAACGAGCTCGACTTCAGAAAGTACTACGGAATCCACTACCTCAGAGGCTTCAACGGCTACATCTTCAACCTCAACTTCAGCCAGTACGACGGTTGCCACAACTACGACCTCCGCATCCACAACTGCTTCAGCTGCAGCTTCATCCACGACCGCCACGAGTTCATCATCTACCATAACTGGCGCTTCTGCATCTACAACGACCGCGAGCACAACTTCTTTAACATCCGCCACAACTACTAGTGCAACTTCCAGTTCAACTGGAACTTCACTTGTCTGTTCCACAACCTCCTATTATTCTACGAGTGTGTGCTCATATGGGACAGGAGCATCCACTGGTGTAACTCTTGGATGTGTAACTACATCAGCCGCCTTCACGATTTGCGCGGAAGGTGTTCTTTGTACAACAGCTACATCTGGAGATGATGTCTGTATGTTGATTGATAACACACTTACCACATCCGGGTTAATTGTTACAATCTTTTCGTGGTTGCACTTTGTAGTTTCATTATTGGGTTTATAGTTGTGGGATTCAAAGATCGTCAAGCCGCCAAAACGATGCAAGCTGAGCACATAGCACTCCTCGACGTAGAAAGTAAGCAGGCAATGCAATCACATAACCAAAAGAGATCCAAGTCGATTCGACAACCAGATGCCTTTGGATATTCTGAATCGAATTTACCGTTGATTTCTGAGCCTGGACAAGAGCAAGGATATTCAAATCAGGCGCCTCAAACCATTACCAATGCCCCACCTAGACGAAATTAAGGTTTAGGGAGCTTGGGTCAAGTTGGAAGTTTTCGAAGACGTTGAAGATGTTGAAGTAATGGAATAAAACTCGGAGGGCACATAAGAATGGAGTTTGGGAGCTTGAGGGGTTTTGATATGGATAGGTGTGTGGGGCTTTGTGTTGTATGCTTCTGGAGTTGATGAATTATACCCTGATCTCGATGATTTACCTTGTTTTTATGCGTGCGTGTGAGTGTCCCTTTTGCTTGTATTTTTTTTGGAACAATCTTCTATGATATGTGGTGTGGTGTGGTGTGGTGTGGTGTGGTCTCGATAGGAAATAAATAACCCTCTACTCGAATAATTGATCTAATTTTCCGAGTCATAGTTGGCACCTTAATAATTACAGTACTTGATCTGATAACTGGCAATTAAACGCGAAATCGTGATGTGATGATTTGCTATTGCTATCGCTATCGATTTCCAGAGCGGAATACTCGAGTAAATGATGATGGGAAACTTGAAGTCACGGTGATGAAAGAATGAACGTTGTTGTATTCTACTCCTACCTGTCTGTGTGTCTGTCTGTCTGAAGAATACCGTGACAGTGACACATGGGCTGTGTAAAATGCTAGTCCGTCCTGTAGTCTGGACTACTGAATAATCTGTCCAGGAAAGTTGAGTATCTGTGAAAATTTATTTTACTTTTATTTTGGTATTAGTTTTTCGGATGGCTTCCAGCGTATATCTGCGCATGTTTGTTTCTTGTTGATTTTGTATATCTCCCGTACTCATTGCCACTAACTGGATATTTATCGTTGCTTTATATATTTCATCACCGCTGTCTATGTTTCCTATTCCTATTCTATTACGCGTCGGTTTACATACACTTTCCTCTCTCTTTCCTCGCAGTGTTCAACTAAAACTATTCGTATATCCCACAAGTGATGTTTGGCATAACTATAGCTATATCCCTACAGCTATATTCCATATGAAACGATGATAGGATATGCTTTTAACATGCTTGTAGGAAGAAAAAGACAAACAAACATGTATCGTCGCTTTTATAGCAGATATACCGTGACCCCCATTCGCATAAAGAGTTATTGAATATGGAAAGATACACGAGTAGAGTATCGCTATATTCGTAGACTTGGAACTCGATTCACTGAACCATCTCGATTCGGTGTACGGGCGGGAAGTATATAAGTTTGCTTTATTTGCTGAGATAGCAATACTACAAGACAAACAAAGATACAATCTAGGGTGGGATTTTGTATGCTAGGGTGACGAGGTAGAGGGCACTTGATGTCTTTGCGTTGTTGTATGATTTGTTTTACATGCGTCTGGTCCTGTATATGAGTGTTGTGGGTTGATAAGCTGGTGGCTTTTATTGTCATCATTAGTGTCTTGTCCCTACAGTCTACTGTAGGTTGTTATCAATAAAGAGTCTCCAACCTGGGTCTCATTGTCGAAATGACCTCCACCCACAACTATGTAACAAAATTACAGATAGATAGAAGTGGGATATGGGTGTGCGAATGGGACAACTAGTCATGGTATGCTTGTCCACCTGTTGTTTCTTAGTTTCCTTGAAAGCTTGATTTTGGCAACGTTGCAATTTTGGAATGTTGACGCCTTTTATAGCAAATTTCGATATCAAAATTGTCTTATATGTGTTGGAATAGATCTTTAGGATAGTGACTGAAATATCTACGTTAAAATTAAATAGTCATTGATCATTCTCTCTTGGTACTAGTACCATAATTTTACCAAATACTTCTCATAAGTTTTCAAACACTGTCGCTTAATTTTGCCACTGCCCCTTTTTTTCTTTTTCACCGTCATTTTTGACTATTATCGTGACTTATCACAAGCCATCACAATTTATAATCCTCTAAGTTACTGATCCTTCCCCCAAATTCTTCCATCTGAACTCGCTACTATTTTTTGTATCAGTTGCTATAGGAATTTAATCTAATACAAAACCTGTCACTCTTTAATTATAGGCATCTAATGAGCGTAAACAGGTGTATAATTGATATTATAGGGCTTAGGATATTTGAGAAATTGAGAATGTGATTTAAATGACTACCGTACTATATAGCGTGACGAAGCAACATAAGATCCCCAGAGTAAGGAAGAACTCGAAGAAACACGTAGAAGGGGCTGAAGGGCTCCTAACTTGTCGCTGTTTCTCATTGGAGAACTCGGAGATGGGTAATCAGATTGTAAATGTGTGAGTATCCAAGTATTCCTAAGGAATCATAGCTTTTGGGATGAAGATATGACGCAGCTGAATCTTTTCTGATTTTTTTCCATTGTTTTCCTATCTATTTGATCCCCGCTGTTATAATTTTATCAAATGATCTCTGCTGTTATAATTTCTACTCGTATTGTATTGTCGCCATTTAATTTTATATTTTTTTGCTTGACTTTGATCCGAGTATTATTGTTTTGACACGTAATTAAGCTCTACCAAAAAAAAACAAGTTCCAGCCTTCATCTCCCAATATATGATTGGTACAACTTAAAATCTATTTCATGCAATACCCACAGGGTTGGGCGCTTTATATAAAGCGTAGCTAGATTATAGAAAAGCATAATAACGGTCTAGTTTCAATATGATATGTTTTGTTTTTTTGAATATTCTTAGTCATCTTATACTCGTATAGCTAATCGATATATTTAGATCCTAATAATGGTATTAAATGTCTAAAAATAACTAAGATTATTTTTCGATATATCTAATTATATACTGTAATTGAATCGTCTTCTAATTAAAAAAAGGCACTAAAACCCTATAAATAATGTAGAGTAACTGGATTATTATGCTTTGAGCAATTATAAATGGCTCAACCCTCGATACTCACTCTTCCTCGGATACGCATCCAATCTCTTTGGGTTTGTCATTCGCGTGCCACGTATTCTGTTTACTGTATTATTCCCAAGACTTACATCTAATATCTTGAGGTTAGAAGTACATATTACCAGAGGAGTGAAGTGATTCATGATAGATACAGGTTGGTGGAAGGGGAAGTTGAGAATGTACCGGCGATGAAATCAATTTATAACTCAAAAAACAATCAGCACAGAGAAGCAGCTCCTCATCTTCATCTTCACTAACCCCCATTTCCATATGAATTCAAACATTGCATCATATCTCAACAACATCCAGGACTGATGATTTAATGGATAAGTGTGTGGCAATTAACAGAGAAGCGTGCGGAATGGTTTCTCGGTACTGACCAAGTGGTCTCTTTCTTTTCGTATTCATTTTCATTCTCTATTGAGTTTGTTTTTTTCTGTTTGTTGAACTTGTATAGGTTTGTGAGTCTTTTGGTTGTTTGTTGAAGGTGGCGAGTGGGGCCAAGTGATTTAGCGAGGAGTGAGGTTCAAGGGGAGTAAATGGGAATTAGGAAAGAGGTAAAGTATATAATCTAACTAAGTGAAGTGGCAGAAATACATCGAAAGAGTTCAGGAATGCTGTTCCTTCTGCCCATGGTCGAGATTATAGACTTGAAAGAAGAACATTCTGCTGAAATAAAAATTTAATCATTACATCGATGGATGGATAGCAAGTTTTTTGCTGGGTGTGTTTTCATGCATTGGGGCTTGCAAATATATGTGAAGATCCTAAAGATCGAGAACCATCTACTCTTCCTGTATTCCAGTATTAGGCAGAGGCTGCAGAGCTCCAGAAATCATTCATTCCTTGTCGACTCAGAAAGCTTTCTCATGTAACAATTTCAATGAGAGCGTGACTATATCAACCACTCCGTAATTTTCAAAAGCAAAGTGACAATATCTGGATCACCAAAAGATGATGCAAGATTGGGTTCGGACAATCGACAATTCGTGCTGTAGATTGATAATAATATAGGAGTAATTACAAAGGCTTTTGGGTTCGAGTGTTGAATGGACTGATGCTGAGATAGATATCTTTCATTTTTCATTGTCACCATTTTCCTTTTTATCGTTCTTTATATTCATCACTGTCACCACTCGAATTCTATAATCAACACATATCCAATCCCAACTTCATGAGTCTAACTATGATCAAACCACCCCCTTGGTCAAAATCAAAGAAACCAATGGCTCCTGCCACTTGCACATTGTCAGAAACACGTATATGATCTGTTGGCGACGGTGTCATGCTTAAGCTGTAATAAAAACATGTCATCCGAGGAATATTTTAAGGTTGAAAAGTTGGCGCAAAGTCTGCTAAAAATAACGTAGAAAGCAACAAGAACCATGGAGGGGCTCATAATTCACTCGACAGAATGAAACTTTGATGCTAGAGTGCTTTGAGGAAACCAGAACAAGAAGTAAATAATATCATAATCTACGGCGCAAACGCCGTATCTGTTACCTTTGGTTGCATATCTCCTCTATGTGGTTAATTCGTGAGTAACTATAGATCAGACTGGGTGGTAGTGATGAGGGGTAGGATGACTATCACCTGCAAGTGGAGCTACAGCCTACAAGTGGAGAAATGAAATTACTGAAGAGATTGTAGCGAATATGGGTTTGTGTATAAAGAACAATCTTTGCCTAAGTCAACTCTTCTTCCGGGCATCAGATCTTCTTCCACATAATGCACCAGTCAACATGTGAAATTGTCCACAAGATTTCGAAAAGCCTTCTCTGAATTGGAGGAAGAAGTCTTCCATGAGTATCGGCAAGTCGCCGTAATCAGGGCTGGATACTTCGATAATATAGCATAGGACACCCTTACCTATCAATTAAGTAACTACATTAGACTGGCAGAGTAGGGATTTGATAGTTCACTGTCACGCATATCTTTTATTGTCGCTTTGCAGCTTTTCTTGCCACTAATTGGGCTGACAATCTCTGCCCAATAACTATCGTCTCATCATATCCATTGTCATTTGAAGCACTCAGTAGAAGCATACCACAGTCATCTCGAGTTCGAAGATTGATGACCGGGCTTTCTGACTTTGAGATGGTATAGCTCTCTCTCCAGTTATTGAACCAAACCTGGAGACCATGACAAGTTTACGCCTTGCTCAACATAACTCTTCAACTGATTTGCGAACCCTTTCGCGCCAATTATACTTGCGTACTCGTCCGCGACACCAAAAGAAACTCTGAGGGATAGAATAAGACAGCTTAAATAAGGCATTGTGACTCTAGCCTAGCCATGTGATTTGTAGCACTTCCAAAAGGAGGTGAATCGAGAGAAGGGGAAATTAGTAAGGGGTAACTTATAAGCTTCCAGAAATATACCAAGGTGCTCGACTCACATGGCTCGAAAGCAGGCACCGCTTCTGTACTACATTAAATTCGCCTCTTAAGAATGCGCGTATAAATACAAGAGAATGGGGATGAACTCGACTACAAAACCTCAAACTCTGACTATGTATTCAATTCCAAGGAAGTCAAAATCCCTCCAGAATGTGTTGTTAACCGTAGCAGTTCTTTAAAGTTACGACCAATAACCATGGCCTGAGGGAACGACCATAGCTTATAAGTTGACTATTACTTGACACTGACACAAAGCCAGTAATAGAAAATTGCCCTTGAAAAAATCGCTGTCGTCCAGAAAATAACTTATTGCTGTCGTATTTTATTTCCTGACAGGCAACAATACCGCTATTACAAAGCATAAGGTTGATGACTTTTGTTAAACAACAGATTTAGATGTCAATATATTGACGCCATCCAAGTCACGGAAAGTGTGCCGTCCTTTAGCCATCGAAGTTTCCATCAAATCATGTGACCCTTCTATTTGCTCTAGCAGCTTTGATCTGATGGGTCTTTCTATCGTGACTTATGAGTTATTTTGCACTAGGACCCCCAAAACAAAGCCACCAATATTCACTTTCTTCGCACCACAACCACTTTCGGGGGAGAGGGGTGGAGCGGGGTGTTTCATTCGCGATAGACCACGATGGCACGATCCCATTACGAAGGGTTCAGTCAGGTTAGCTTTTAAATTTTTCACTACGGCCACTAGGTAATATGTAAATACCAGCTTTCATACTCAAAGGTAGATGTTCATCAACATTTTTTGAATCTCTATGCCCAATCTGCTGACTTTTGTAACATTCCTCGAATATGTTATTCGTCTCTCTCTAATCGTTACAGGCTGATTTAGAGACTGTTTCTTGAAGTGCCCAAATATTGTGCTTACATTATCTAAAGTACTCTTGCCGTTAGATGAACGCTTTGGAAAGCGATTCGTTTTAAGTAAGGGAAACTGCACGAACGATTATAGTAGCGTGTAAACAGAATGCACTATGAGTAAGAAATAGTAACCTAATTCAGTAACTTTCAAATCAAATAGCATGTATAGACTTTTAGGAACATGATACTGTACCCAGGCACCATGATCGACCAAACTTGGAAGATGCGATTTTATGTCATAGAGGGTTGAATTCATCTAGTTGACTCGTTAAGTGAAGCACATGAACCAATCATTAGCTTTTTTTTTTACAGCTAAAACCCATTTTCTAAGGAAGTGTCATTCTAGATGCCAATTATCAGTCCGTGAATGGCAGTAGCTCAGATCCTGTGACCTTGACTCATAAACTGGATTACAAAGATAACCCCTTCAAGAAGCCTAAGACCCTCTTTACCAACTCTGGTACAGCTTCAGGACTTCTTGTCAAGTTGTGCGAAGCACCAGGAATAACACCAGAATTCTCCTCATCAACCTTTCCATCTCCCTTCTTCACAAATTCAATCCATCGTTTTACTAGCGCCTCTTTATCGATATATTTCGGAACATATCCATCGTTTCCAGAAAACAGAATGCACAATGGACTGCGAGCTGGCAAGCTTCCAAAGGTCTTCTTTAATTGCTCGTCCGTTAGATCGGAGCTGAAATAGTCATCATCTCCATCATGATTCGGACTTGCCAACGAGAGCCATCTCCTCGCACATACGGGTGAAGGAAAAAATCCTTGCGTGGCACTTGATGGCAAGATCTCCTCACCATCTCCAGCTTCGACCATCTTCTGGGCTAAAGAAATGCTACTTTTCAAAATATCTGCATCCATTTCCTGCCCCAAAGCCTCACGATCGCTTACGGGAGCTTGGGTGATCCCTCCATCAATCGGAGCATTTGTTTCGTGTCCGGGTCCTGTTAGGTATTCCATAACATCTTGACAACCAGTAGAATGGCCCATTAGGATAATCTTGCCTGATTTAATGCTTCGGAAGTAGGAGACACATTTGGATAGCTCTTCGGTATCTTCCTTGAGGGAAGAGATGCCCCATCCGGTGTATGCAGAACTTAGAAGAATTTGGGCGAGGCTCCAATCTGCTGGTAATGCATCTGAGATTGATGTTGGGTATGAGACAGTAAGTAAACCATCAGATAGACCACCAATGAAGATGATAACGTTTTGAGGGTTCAAGTCTGATGCTTTAGGGGTGTGCTCGAAAGCAGTCAATTTAGGTGTCTGTGATACATTAGTAAAGGTATCATTGAGCAGTAATTCGATAGTATAGAAAGAGTCTAGTAATAGAGTTGAAGTTTAGGTTTATGCCATGCATAAGATTAAGTGCACGAATCGGTTTAATACATACAAACAAGTGCGTGACACCTTTCCGCTGAGTAGGGGCTGTGAAAGACATTTTGATATCTCCTTAAATCTACTTTGCTTTCGGGATATTCAAGAGAGATTAAGTAAAGTCCCAAATTCCAAGATCAACAGATGTAAAGACCGGAAAATTGTACTCTATCGTTGTTTGAGAAAACACAACTGTGAGTTGAGATCGGCGAGCCAAAAATGGAAGTCTGATGCCCCGCTGCGCATATCGCTTTATCGCCCACTCTATTTAAAAATAAAAATAAAAATAATATCACGTGCATCTAGCTGACAGGGGTAGTACCTCACTCAAGTTGAAATTTCTCTCAACTTCAAAATCTCTCCCTCTCCAATCAATTCACAACAACAAGCTCTACAACCACAACTAATTTCTCTTTCTCTCTCTATCTCTTTTTTATATTCACAACCTTCATAATGCCACCTCATGTCCCAACCCCATCACCACTCTTCCGTCTCCTTACCCCTCTCCTTCAATCTTTCAGATCTTCCATTTTTCCCCCAACAATAGCCTCAACCACACCCCTCAGAACCTTCACCAGCACTCCATCACTGCACGAAAAAAAGAACAATAGCAGAGTCGATTCTCGAGTAACCCTCATCCGCTACCATCTTCAACATCCCAAGACCCCTCGCCCGCTGCGCTTTTCACGTACGCGTGCGCTGAGACATTGGACTATCCATCGGGCATGGATGATATTAAGACGGCAGAAGAGGATTGAGCAGGAAGAAGAATTATACAGGTTTGTTTTCTCCAACTTAGCAGAGCTTTTCCTGCTTGTTTTTTATTTTTCACATTTCAATCCACTTGTTCTTTTCAAATCACAGCAAAAATTCAATATGATGAAAAATTCCGGATGTTAAACACATTATACTCCGAGAGCGCAAAACCGTGTGGAGATTTCCGTTGCCTTCCTTCTGATTGTCTATCCTTCCTTCAGGCCTACCAAGGCTTGTGGCCTTTTGACCTACATAAAACATCTTTTTCCCCACAAATTAATTTTGTCAAAAAACTAACACCCCACCCCCAAACCAGACTCCATCAATCAATGCACAGCGCAATGGAAGAGCTCCGGCTACTCGATGGCGCCGGACATAAAGATGCCGGCAGATTATACCGTGTGGCCATGGAGAAAAGAGGTATTTTTGGAATAGATGGCGTTCCAATCGAGTACGCGAGGGCACAAACCGATACACCGGCGAAGGAACCATGGAATCATGAATGGAAAAGGTAAGCGTGATACACGACAAACTGGATACCACATTGCAAAGGTAAGCTACTTACATTTTATTTGATTTATCTTGGTGGAGAGTAATATGATGAAAAACCTTATTCACAGACCTGTTCTGTAATCTTTTATGTGGACAAAAAAATAGTACCAACTGCTGTCTGATTTCTCTTTTATCTAATCTTAATTTTAATGATTTCGAAAGTGGAGCGTGATGCTAACAATCGAGTAGGGCTTGCACAGGAACATCTGGAGGGGAGTCAATCATAAGAGATAAATGCCATGGAAGAAAACATGCGCGACTTGTATAATTATAGTTATGACGGACGGGTTCTTAACGACATGGGGAATGGTGACTGATTCAATATGACTCGGATTAAATATTCCTAACGCACGCCATGGCCATAGGCTTTCCATCCCAAGGGATTGGAGATAGGGAACGTAATCAACGATGCAGAATCCCGCAAAATAAATGCTGCGAAAGACGAAGAAAGACGCCGTCGAAAGCCTCTGTACAAAATTACGGAAAGAAATATATATTAATTCACATAGTAATCGGGCCACACCTACCACCAGCCCGCATCAGACGGCACTTGCTATGTAAAATTTATGTACAATGTCAATTGTCTTTCCATGTCCATCTCCACTTCTCAAATATGCATCGAGTCCGCATTCAATATCCATGTAAAATCCATCCATAACCATTAACCCCCTAAACTTATAACCATTAAAACCCAACGCTAATCTGCAACACAAGCAAGTGCACCAACGCAATCCCCGTCCACACCAGCATAGAATTGTCTCTCTCTCCTACTATTCCTTCCTACTCGAACTCCCATTCAACCTCTTTCTTGCCACTTTTCGAGCCTCTCCCTGTAGCCTCCGGGGGTATGTAAAATGAACCCTCAATTAATAAAAGGGGCAGAGAAATCAAAACAGATACAAAGGTAAGGGAAACCAAGCCAGAACCACCCGGCTATTTGCGAGAAGAAATTAAGACTGTGAATTAAGACCATGCTTCGCGGCTGATCATTATTGTGAAGCTTTTTCTAGTCTGTTCATTTCGAAAGAGAAAACAACCAAAATCATGCGCGCAATACATCCGTACCATCATCAACTCTGTTCGTGCTTCTTGGCGTGTCGTTAAATTTTGTTCAGATGTTCAAGTTTCCGTGGTCTTCCTTCCAATCCCGTTGAATGTGCGCGGAAAAGCCGTCCATGTACTTGCAATGGAAGAAAAGGCAAACTCGACTCGATCGTGCATGAGTAGTAATGATGGCGAAGGTGCAGTCGTTCCGGAAATGTTCCAATTATATCCTATTTCGATCTTTTCGTCTCGGCTCAACATATCTCCACCCCCAAACTCCGTTCACCTCCCTTCATAGTATAACACAACATCCGTTGCTTTCCCCTTTTTCGAATGTCAAAAGTGCGGCTCGGGTAGCGGCTTCGAAAACATCGTCCACTCCGTCGCCAGTCAACGATGAGCACTCCAGATATTTCCTTGCGCCGATAGCTTTTGCAATGTCATCTGCTTCTTTCGTTCCCACAAATTCTAGGGATTTCTTCCGCATTTCTTCTCTGGCCACAGGATCTTCTCGTAAGTCCTTTTTTAACCCAACAAGTATAATCGGAACTCCCGGACATCGCTCGTTTGCTTCTTCGACCCACTGGCAAGACATTAGCACTTTACACCAACTATTCCCAGAAATTGCAATCCTACCTTATGCTTGACGTTATCCAATGAATCCGGAGTGTCGATTGAAAATCCTATTAGAATAACATGGGCTTTCGAATATGCCAGTGGCCGTAATCTCTCGTAGTCTTCTTGTCCTGCTGTATCCCATAATGCCAACTGTACAGATTTCCCATCTACTCTGCAATCCGTCACATAATTTTCGAAAACCGTCGGTACCTAAGGATAGATAAGTTGTCAGCATCCCAAAAGTGACAGAGGTAAATGCGCAGAATTGCTACCAACAAAACATACATAATGCTATAATTAACGTTAGTAATCAAACAAAGTTTTCGGCTTATGGAAATGACTTACTGTCGGGAAATATCCAAGTGTGAACACGCTGAGCAGAGATGTTTTACCGCAAGCACCATCTCCAATTATAACTAATTTCCTGTAACAATGTCAATATCAAGTCTTTCAAAGCGCAGCTGCTTCATCATGACCACAATTGTTTGGGGCGGCGCTGGCAACCTCCAAAAGGGGTCTGTTGCTTTTGCTAGTCCAAATAGATAGCGAGGCTAAGTGGAAAACCGAGTCGTCAAATGCTCTCCGCGACTGAAATTCCCATCTGTCATTACTACATGAAATGTGCCAACAACGTACCTTCGCATGACATTTTGTGCAGGTTGTTGAGTCATTGTTGCTGGATCGTATGATATTGTAGATATTGAATTGTATTTGTTGGTAGAGGGAAAAGGATATCGCGCCGAGGATTTTGAGAGAAGACCATGCAACTAGGGGTCTAACGCAATTTCGCGAAGATTCTCGTGTGGATTCGAAGAAAGATTATCGATACGAGGGATTGTTCAAGAATCCAGAAAATCAGAAGCCTCAATTTGGAGATGGTCAGATATAAGTGGTTCTCAGTAATTCCAAGTAGGATGAATGGACCGGTGAATGAGGTAAGACAATAGTATGTACCTAGTAAATGGATGCTTCAGCGTTGAAGAGTGTGTCGTAAAGAATTGTAGAAACACAATGGGTATGAGAATATGTGTAGTTGCTGCGAAGGAGATTTGGAGTTATACGAGGTAATGGGGGTATCTCCTTTTTAATTGTTGCAGGTAAAGTTAAAGAAGAACTGGGTGGAGATTGCAGAAGCGTGAGAAGGGCTGAGTCGTCGAACCGTGCACGTATTCTAGAGCTCTGGATTAGATTTACCTAGTACCGTAACGGGTAGTAGAAGATCTGTGAGATCTACACGAGGTTTCGTTCTAATAACTTTGATGGAAACTTTACGATTGAGTGGTATCAAGTAATAAGTGCGGTACGAACAGGTGATGATGAGTTGGAGAGTTGGATGTAAGTTTGAGAAAGAGGATAAGGTGTAAGAGTATCTAGGTAGGTACCTAGTAGAATATGTATGATTCAATGAATGGTACTGTAATGGAGTTTGTTGTTACTGAATAACGAAAACAAAGATGAGTAAGTGAGATTTGGAAGTACTCGTATAATTTGATGATTGGAGAGTTGGAGAGGCAGAGCAAGAGATGGATATACAGTATCTGATATCCTATGACAACCAAAGGAGCAGCTACAGTTACATTGGTGGAAAGGAGGTATAAGAAGAGGGGAAGCTTGAATATCTGACTAGGTATACGTACTTGTACCGGTAACTTGGATTTCCCTGAGTTATTTCGTATGGCATTGATGAGTTTATATCCTCCTTGTTCATCCCATCCATTCCCTCTCATTCAATATCATCTGCAGTATTCAATATTACTACCTATACTCTCGAATAGTTAGTTATCTGGTACTAATATCTGCCTCATCCAGTATCTAGTATCTTTAGTTATATGTAATGTAGTATCTGTAGCCAGTTATCAAACATCTGCTCCTGGATAAGGTAAAGGGCGGCCATGGCGGCAATATGACAGGTTGATATTCAATCCGCTCTTGCTTGCTTGATTATTATGATCCCTTTCCCTCTAATATCGTGGCCTGAGGTCCGATGACTCAGCCACCTCACTTAGATTCTATAAGCCCTCAAAGGTACCCCGTACATCAATTTCACATTCTAACCCTTCAAGACTTCCTTCTGGATTTCAAAGTGCCTTCTCATATTAACGACCTGTCAAACCTACATAGCCAATAACTTCTCTACTCCACGAATAATTCAAGCGCATCCTGAAATAGTCCAGCCATCATCCCCACACAAATCATAATTGTTCATCCCAAAGCAAACAGACACCTTGGTGGGGCAGTCGCGAGAACTAGTTCTACAACTTTTGAGTAAGTCTGCAAGTGATTATTTGAACCATTTCACCAAATACGGTCCATCGTTGATACCACTGGTCGATCCAATCTAAAGTCACCTCCTTGTCACTTATTAGCCACGATCGTCGTTACCGGGACCCCTCAACCCTATACCCCATCGGAATGCCCGCAAACCAACGAAAGCACACAAGTCAATCACCATACTTGCAGACTCATAGAAATACTACAAATCCATTGTCGAAGGATGCTGGAAAGTTCGTAACTGTACTCAAGAAATTTAGTACGAGCAATTCATCCGAGACTTCTCTCGCCATGGCACAAACTGCAACGAATTCAAATGGTCAACTACCAACCCCTCCCGCAAATGCCAATGGCGCACCTCCTACAGTAAATCGCAAAAAACAGAAACGAAGGGCGAAACAAGCAGCTAGAGCTGCTGCTGAACAAGCACAAGGTCCTCAGATCGGTGGACCATCTTCTGGCGACGTTAAGAGACAAATGCAAGAATTGGAAGCACGCTTTCGCGAAACGGGGCTAGATGAGCAATACGAAGACGACGAACAATTCGACCCTGCGGATGATAATGCGTATTACAGCGACGAGGAAGGCGATGCATATTCCGGCTCTTATGGTCATGATGGTTCCTCAACAAATGGCTATGCGATGCCTTCAACGAACTCCTCCGGGAAGAAACAGAAGAAGAAAAAGAAATCGAAGTCTTCGCAGTCGGATCATATCAATCACGCACACCACGGTCCAAATGGTTCATCACATAATCACATATCGTTACCACTTCCTCCTTTACAGTCCCCTCCGAGCATGCAGCGAGGGCCGGGCATTTCGAAGGAGAAAATCTGGAATACATCATCACAAGAAGAACGTGAGAGGATAAAGGAATTTTGGTTATCTCTTGGGGAGGATGAGCGCAAATCATTAGTCAAGGTAGAAAAGGATGCCGTACTCAAGAAAATGAAAGAGCAGCAAAAGCATTCTTGTAGTTGCACAGTGTGTGGTCGCAAGCGCACTGCTATCGAAGAGGAACTAGAAGTACTTTACGATGCTTACTATGAAGAGCTTGAGCAATATGCCAATCATCAAGGAGGTGACGGTGTTCCACCAATGATGCCACCGCCACGTCGATTTGGCGCCATGAGCGGCTTACAGCCACCTAATCGTTTACCTCCAGTTTTTAATGGGCAACAACCCTCAAGGGGTAGGATAGTAGAGCAACTTGGCGACGACGAAGATGAAGAGGGCGATGAGGAGTACAGTGAAGATGATGCGGACGAAGACGAATATAGTGATGAAGAACCGGAAGAAATTCCCAGGAGTCACGCCACGGATTTCTTTAATTTTGGCAATAGTCTCACAGTACAGGGAGGAATTCTTACCGTCGCGGATGATCTACTCAAAAATGATGGGAAGAAATTCATCGAAATGATGGAGCAACTAGCCGAGCGTCGCATGGCCCGAGAAGAAGATGCGAAAGAACAATATGCTAACGCGAATTACGGTCACCCTCCAAACGGATCCATGCATCCCCATTCCCACGGACACGTTCATAATCATCCACCACCGCCAGAGGAAGATGACTATGACGACGAAGAGGATGACGAAGACGAGTATGATAGCCAGGAAGAGGATTACGATGAAGAGGAGATGGTACGTGGAGAACATAACGTTTGACTAATCCTGTACTAACACGGAACAGGATACCATGACCGAGGAACAGCGAATGGAGGAAGGAAGACGAATGTTCCAGATATTTGCTGCTCGGATGTTCGAGCAAAGAGTTTTAACAGCCTACAAAGAAAAAGTTGCGAAAGAACGGCAGCAGAAGCTTCTCGAGGAACTTGAGGAAGAAAGTCGGGCAGATTCTCAAAAGAAAGCTAAGAGAGCTAAAGATGCGCAGAAGAAGAAAGAAAAGCTGCTTGAGAAGAAGCGGGCTCTTGCCGAAGAAAAGGCTCGGAAGGATGCTGAAAAATCGGCCGAAGAAGCTTTACTTCGAGAAATCGAGGAAAAGAAAGCAGAGGAGCAAAGGCTAAAACGAGAGGAGAATCGGAAAAAGAAAGAGACACAGAAGAAAGCCGACGATGAAGAGCGCGTGCGCAAAGAAGCTGAAAAGCAACGCCGACTTCAAGAACAAAGAGAACGACAAGTCGAGCAAGAACGAAAGCAACGTGAAGCTAAAGAGCGAGAGAAAAAGGAGAAAGAGGAGCTGAGGCGCCAAGCACTGGAAGCGAAGGAGCTCAGGGACAAGGAGGCTAAAGAACGAAAGGAGAAGCACGAGAGAGAAAAGCGAGAAAAGGAAGCGAAAGTCAAGGCCGACAAGGAAGCTAGAGAGCTGCAGAAACGCGAAGAAGTTTTCGCTCAACAGGCCGCTGTTCAGGCTGCTCAATCTGCCGCGCAAGCTTCAAGACGACCAAATCAAGTACCTACGCCTAACATGAGCCATGCCTTGGCTTCACCTCATACTTCAGTTGCAATTCCCGCGGTTCCTAAAGCACCGACTCCCATCAAGCTTCGGGCAAATTCTCAGCAAGACCATCACACATCTATACCTAGAACCCCTTCTAGTAAATACCAGAGTATATCGCCAAATTCCGTAACTCCTCTACCAAATAGTCCTGGCCCAATAGGTCCGCCTGGCAGAACACCAACACAATACCCTCTCTTACAATATCCACAAGCTACTTCTCCAATGCATTCTGCATTAAAAGGGCCCCCAGGTATTCCCCTGAGTCCATTTGCGGGTATGCAACCCATGCCTCTAGGGTTTCAGCCAAATTTGCCAATGGCACCCCCAGGGTTCGGCCGATCGCATCATGATCTAATGTTCCCACATCAACAGTCAATGGGTGGCCAGTTCCGTCCTTTGCCGATTTCCAACGGCGTGCCCCCATTTCAACCTGGATTCAATATGCATCACATGCCACAAGGTAGAGGCTTCCCTATGCATGGACCACCAGGATTTTCACAACCGTCTCCAAACGGTATGGGTAGTATTGGCCAGCTTTTTGGCGCCTCGAAAGAAACGCCACCCTCGCAAGCTCACTCTCGAAACCAGTCTGGCTCCTTTGATGGACTATCATCGACGACCCAAGCTCAGCCTATCGCGAGACCCGCACCAATTGGAAGGCCATCTAGTATTGTTCAGGGCGCTCGTCATGGTGACAAGCATAGTAGTGGCGAGTCTGATGAATCAAACAAACACCTCGGTAGCAGCGCTTTACTAGATGCTACTTCTGATGAACCTCCCAATGTCGGTGTTGGTGCACGGCGCTCGAGTGCAGCTCCTGGCAATCTCACTAGGCAGAATTTCCTACCACCACCGTTTAGTATGGACCGCTCGGACCCGGCAGGTATGATGAGCTCTTTTGGCACATGGGGCGCACCACCAAACTCTTTTGGCTCCTCTTCTCTACCTGGATCTAATGGTTTTGGCGGAGGATGGAATACCAATCTCAATACGAACAACTCTTTCGGAGTGCCGCCTTACTTTCGCCCATCTCAGCCGCGTTCTATAGCTGTGAGATTGATGATCTGTATGGCTTGCCAAAACCTTCAAAGTTCGACTCAGGATGGATGGTTAAAGATTGATGCTATCATGAACGAGGTTGCTCTTCTCAATCCTAGGGAAGAGCCAGTCTCTGAAAAGGAACTGCTCGAAATTTGTGATACTGAAGGGAATCAAATGAATGGTGATGGCACTTTCGAGATCCGTCTAGATGCTAATGGCAAACCCCAAGTCCATTATATCAGTGACTCAATACCTCATAATTTTCGTTCTGTCGGCGCTCCAGGCGAAATCGGAAGCCCTATTAGTGGAGGAGTAAACCCAGGACCTCCTGGTCGGGCTCCTATTGGTGGTTTTTAAAAGACATATTTAGCCTAGCTTCTCCTCGCTGTCCAATTCTCTCATGACACGAACATCACACATTCAGAATTTTGGAGCTTACTTCCTTGTGTCTGTATGTGTTTTCTTCCTATGTCAATGTAAGATTTGCATGGATGGGCATCGACCAAACAAAAGCCAAATGTGGCGCTCTTCATGAATTCGCTTGCATTTCTTCGTTTTCTTTACTGCCGGTCGGTCTGGTCTGGTCTGGTCTGGTCTGGTCTGGTCTCCCTTGATCAGGGAGGAGGAATGAATCAATCAATACCTAGTGGCGTTATTACGCTGAATTATCTTTGCCTGCTTCACAAGGAAGAGGTGAATATCGAATACCAATATCCATTGTTTTTTTCAGTGTTCTACTGTATATGTTCTTACCCAGTTGCGTTTTTTGCTATGTTGACATGCGTGATATTTTGATGCCCATACCTTACTCTGTATATACGTGTTTGTGTATATATGATGGAAATGGTGTTTGAAGGCCTCTATTTGTACCATTTGCAGTTTAACTCTAACCTCGATTGTATAATCATGTTTTGCTAACCTGAAACATACTCGAGTAGAACTTTGATACTGGTATCTAGCCTTATTATTCAGCCGGGAATTTGATCTATACTGTTCAAATATGTGGATATCATATTCCTACATCCATCTACATCTCCATGTTTATATCTTACTTCCGTGATATTGGAAGTGCAAGGAACGATGCGGTAGGTGCGACTACATAATTCATTCTACATCATAGATATAGATGAGATGAGATCAGCATTTGGAGAAATTCGTCATCATTAGGCTCAGTACCGTACCTTTGGCTACTTACTTCTCATCGGATGCACACTTCTTTTTCATACCCTCCTTTATACTCGAGTATACTGTATTCAAGCAGGAATAGAAGATTACTTGTTGCTTACGAGCATAGGATTTTCTGAAGTTATTTGGGATTGTTTGTTGTTATATTAATCTACTTAGTTTAGGCTTTCTTCCTGTCTTATTCTTTTCTTCGTTCATTCATTCTTTCTTTCTTTCCTTCTATTCCTTCATTCTTTAATTCCACCCTTCGTACCTCTTTACAATTACGTATGTTTTTTCCTCGCCTTCACCTGCGAAATCATATTTTATATATATATACAAACATACATATACAACACATGAGCGCTTAAACGTTGACTACTGTACCTAGTATTTATGAAGGAGGAGTGAGGGAAAGTGGGGGGTGGGGTGTGGATATGTTGTTGGCGCTTGCGTATATGATTGGGATTGGGATTGGGATTGGGATTGGGATTGGGATTGGGATTGGGATTGGGATTGGGATTGGGATGGGATTTGAAGGCTTGGGCTTTGGATTTTGGAAGGGATGGGATGGGATGGGATGTGGATGGGTTGGATGGGATGGATGGGATGGGATGAGTTGTGAATTATGCGAGATTGGGTTTGTGGATGTGGGTGAAGATGCTAGATTATATTATGGATGCTAGCTTGAGAAGGCAAGTGAAGGGAAGGGAATGGAGCAAGCAGATAAGTATACAAGTATAAGCAACAAATGACTCACATTGATTTTGATTCACATCACTTGCATAGGAGATACTAGGTAGGTAGGTAGATGAAGAATAATGTGGGGGTGGAGACTCGGATGGGATGGGATTTGAAGGGATGAACGGTTCGAGTGGGAGTTGGAGTGGATGCTAGAGGTTGAGGTTGATGTAGAGGTAGAGAGGCTAATTTATATGGAAGTGGAAGGATCGAAGTATGGATGGAATGGAAAGGTGATGATTGAGGTGGTTGAGGTGGTTGAGGGTTTGGTGTGGTGGTATTTCTTCGTTGTGTTTCTTCGTGGTATTGGATTGGGTGTGTATGTTGAAAAATTTGAGTATGTATGCGTATTGTACTCGAGTATTGTCTATAGTACGAGGAAGTTCTAGAATCGCTATAGTGTTGTTGAATCTGGACATTTCTGGGCATTGACGATCAACTGGGTATCGATGTTAGATTCGGTACTAAGAATTTCTGTGGTCTAATCCTTAGGGAAACTCTGTAGCCTCTTTGATATAGCTGAGAGTGAGGAGGCTCCTAGATGTATCTAGACAAAGGCCAAAGGGTAGGATCTCCGACGCAATGTCCTGCTTGCTGGTTTTGGCAATCGGTATTTACTATTTACTATTTATTATTTGGAAGGGTAGGTAGGGTTCGAGGATATTATATCTTCTGTCACTGATAAACTCCCTTCTAGGTATTCTAATAGTCTTACGACAACTCAATATTCTCCCTTGAAATAAATAACCCAATTTAATATATCACATGCAGCTATGCTATGGAGACGTTCTATTTGAGTTTACCTCCGAAACGAGATTCCTACCATCCATCACATAAGGTTACAGGAATCGATTTCCACGTGTTAGATAACCTTACTCGTACATCCTAAAAAAAAAAAAAAACAGGATAGACACGCATCTTCATAAAAAGCTTCCAGAACTTCATTTTCTCAATTGCAGATCCTGATGAACGGTAATTTAAACGGCTGCCTATCGATCGATATGTACTCGAGTACAGTATTCAAATATGGGCATGGATATGGATATAGATCCGGAACCGAGGAGGCCACCAGGTTTCTCGGATAAGAAGCGTTGTACAGAATAGTAAAAGCTGCGCAAATGATATGATAATGGAGCGGCTATCTAGAGAATTGTGAGGATAAATACATTTGTCAGGAGTGTGTTGTGTGTTGGTCGAAGAATTCCATTGCTAATTTTGGAACAGGGGATTTATTGTTGGTGTACAAGCAAGTACTTAATCATCAGCCACATATACGGCCGTATGTTTATCTACGAACGGTATTTCCCCTTTCGACAAATATTCCGATAACAATTCCCTCTCTCGGAAAAAGACAGTATAATAATGAACAGACAAGACAGTTATCACCAAGCAATAGCTTCAATATGTAAGTTTTTGAATTCTCGTTCCTGTCACTCTTTCTTCCTTCTCCGAAGTACAGTCCCTAGAATTTAAAGGATTCGATTCCTGTTGGACAGGACACCAAATCGGAAAGACTAAACCAAATGCAGTTATTTGGACCAGAACTCCATAGTGGCCCGCCATGCATGTAACCATACATCCACGTGTGATACTGGGGTTCTCAAATTGTTTCAAACAGAGAAGAGCAAGTGGCAAGCAGAAGATCACTGATTTGTACCAGGAAAGGATCTTCATCCCATTTTCCCATCGCATTGTCAGATTTTGATATGAGATTGGTGATGAACGAACGCTATGCTATGCTTACTTTTTCTTCGCTCATGCAAACAAATACCTATCTGCTCAAGGATTGTACAAATCATAGATGCATGGGTAAAGATTTGAGTTTCTACTATGGAACGAGGACGGACATTGATTTCGGCCCCTATTTACATGTCTGCGCCATTTCAGCTTACAGATCACTTCTTCTTCTTCTTCTTCGAAAAACTTCTTCAAATAACTTCTTCAACAAGCATCGCCACAAAACCGCATTATCTACACATGGAAAACCAACCAATCTTCTCTTCATGGCGTATTACCCTCCCCTCTCCCCCTGCAAAAGCAACCACAACCGTATTCCTGCAAGGCTGCATCGCTGCGGCGCGAATGTGACATCGCGTCTCCAAGGACCTATGGGCTCGTAGCCACTTTCCAGGGCCCCATAGCATAGCTCGACAGCGAATTACGAAGGTTTGCATGGGGGATGTGCCAAGATTAGTTGAAGGGGGGATCGGACCAATGGTTTGTGAGGAGGGATTGTGGAGAGGAGATGCATGGAGAATACCTGTCGTACTAGGAAATTTGGAGGATCGGGATTGATAAGATACTTTAGTGAGGGTCTTTTTGTTTTTTTCTTATTGGTTCCTCCGGTTGCTTTTTGGGCGATTACATAGTTATTTCTCATTTACCAACTACGAGTTGGGGAATAACTAGAGGGGAATTTCCTCGTGGTACTTCTTTTTGTGTTCTCTTTTTGCGCTTTGGAAAAGTATCTATCTATCTATCTATCTTACTTCATCATCTTTTGTCTTTTGTTTTATGGTCAATTCGGATACAGTATGCTTCGAAAGATATTCTCAACTGTAGTCTGTGGGCTGGTGAATTGAGCAGACAGCGCGAATTCTACTCTAGTGATCGATCAACCGATACATCGAAAGGCCCTTTCCAATTGTGATACATTTTGAAACTCCTTCAAGTCGAACATTATCCAGCTACAGGTCGTACAAATAGGTACAAGAAAAATCCTCAGGTGGTTTCAAAAAGATATAAATAATCAAAACCATGGACGCACAAGCCAATACAAGCCAATATCCCCCCGGATATCTCGAAGATTATAACGGACACAAACTCGTCGCTACATGTATCTGTTGTATAATCCTAAACATATTTTTCGTCTTTGCGAGATTTACTTCGAGATGGATTCACAATACACCGAGGGGATGGGACGATTTCCTCATGGTGCCTGCGTTGATATTTTCGGTGCTGCTTGCTACTCTGGGTCTTGGTATGTATATCTATTTTATATATTTATATATAAATTATGATTCTTCCACATCTCCTCTCAGTCCACTCATTCAGTAAGAACTTTAAAAACCAAATCTAACACACCAATCCACCCATTAGTCGGTATAAACTACTGCGGCGTAGGCCAGCACATCGAAGCCCTCAAACTCAACCACCCCTCGCAACTCCTCTCCCTCTACAAACTCCTAATATTTTTCCCCGCCACCTACGCCATCGCCGTAACCTTCCCCAAACTATCCATTCTCGCCATGTACCTCCGTATATTCACGGTACCCTTCTACCGCATGGTAACCTATACCGTTATATACATACTCGTGATCTCCTCGACTATTTTATTTATGATGATGCTCTTCCAATGCACGCCTGTGGATTATTTCTGGAACAAAGCTATTCCTGGGGGCAAATGTCATTTGGATATTGAAAAGCTGTTTTTATATGCTAGTTTGCCTAATATTATTACTGATGTCGTTATGTTGGCACTACCGCTCCCGTTTATTTTTACGCTGAATATGACGAGGAAGATGAAGGTTGGGTTGGGTATTACGATACTTACTGGATCGAGGTAATTATTCTTATTTTTTTCCTTCAATCATCCAACCCAAATACTCAACTCCCCCAACCCCAAACCCAACTAACACCCCCCAAAGCGGTCTCGCAACCTCCATCCTCCGCTTCATCTCCTTCTCCCACCAATCACTCTTCCCCGACACACCCCGCGCCGCCGTCGACCTAGCCCTCTTCACCATCCTCGAAACCTGCATGTATATAATCGCCGCCTGTCTACCCGCCTGCCGGCCTCTCTACAACATCTTGCGTCACCCTACTCGCAACATGCAAAACATGGGTGACGACAACCCGAAAGATCTTTTAAATTCACCCCATGACAGTAGCGGCAGAATCCCGCTTCAGGATATCGAACTTCAACATACACAAACAGAGACGCCCGACGGGAGCGAAAGCGAAAATGATAATGGTAGTCGTGGTCGTGGTGAAGAAAATCAAAGAGGAAGATACCATGGACTTAGCGACGGATTCCGAGGAATGCAAGGACGATTCAAGAGATTAGGATCTGACGCCGGCCTATTTCTAAGCAGGAGGGATACATCACCTCACCACCCATCAGCCCATCCATCCCACCCATCCCCCCAATCTCACACCCCCACCCAGCAAGAACAACCCCCCTCCCAGCCCCCCCTCAACTCCAGCCTCAACTCCAGCCTGCACAAATTCCACAAACTACACTCACTACGCTCGTTGTCCCACGAGCGAATATCTCGGCACCCAGAACGAGTACCGGTATTTGAAACACCACCTGAACGAGTACATATAGCCGATATGCACATTGGACATGGGGAGGATATGGAACGGGATAAGGATAAGGATATGGAGCGGGATGCAGAGCAAGCAGGGAAAGGTGTACAAGGTGGACAAGGCACTTATGCCCGGGATGGGATTGTCATTCGGGTGAAACAGGAATATGATGTTTATTATGATCGGACGCCTTTATGATGAGGAGGGTAAAGGGGTGAAGGGTGAAGAGTGAAGGGTGAAAAATAGATTTTTATATTGTGGTTGGTTCGTGGTGGGGATGTGTATATTGATCGATTGTAACAAGTATCCTGGGAGTTTTTGGGTATATTATGGGCATTGGGAGGTGTTTGGAATGGGATATGCATGCTTTAGGTGGTCGGAGGTCTGTTTTGTTGAAACGAGATGTGCATACTCGAGTACTCGTATGATACCCACTTGGGAAGGCGGCGATTAGTTTTATATATATATATGTACAAAAATTTAGGTAATGAAAATGATTAATGTGCACTTATACATTTGCTACATTTGTTATTGAAAAGTTTCAAGTGCTCATGTAGCCATGTAGTGGATTGTAAAATGGTAATTTTTCACTTGATGATACTTCTTCATCAATGAATGCTTGGACAAAAATCTGGCGTGAAAGCTGATTAATGACAACGATCCCGTTTTTTCCGCTGGAATTTTATAGGAATTACATGTTCTACTTGAACCACAACTTTTCAATCCTGTCCCTTTTCATCGTGATGGGAGAAAGCAAAACTTTTAGTACCCCGCTGTAACCCAACAGGTCACTTAATTCTTTCAATCCTCCCCAAAACCGCCAAAACAGCCTCAAAAACAAAGAAAACCAACCACACCACAAACAACGGGATACCCATCCACCGTTCCACTTTTCCCAAGAAAATAATCCCCATCATTGCTGCAGCCGATCCCATGAACACAATGTATTCTACCGGACTCGGTCTTCCCATGTGGTCCCTTGGATTACCAACTACGAATAGGAAACAGACGAGAAGAAGCCAGTAATTTAATCCGATTGTACTTCCGACGATGATACGTGCATTGCCACCTCTAGCGGCGACGATGGCAAGAACTTGACTGGAAATCGTGTTGCGTATGGAAAGGAAGACACCCATGGTAATGGTATCTCTCGAGAAGATGGAGAGTAGGTGCCCTGTGCTCCATGAGATGATGTATGTGCAGATAGAGCTTAATACAAGACTTAAGATTGCCCAGCAAAGGTGTGTTCTGATTTGGGTACCGGATTCGGACACAAGGGATACATCTTGGGGGTTTGCGTCCGATGATACTGCGTTTGAGTCAGGAATATCCACGATTGAATCATGTGCAGGTTCAGAATCTGCTTCTGCCGGATTTGCATGTGAATCCTGGGAAGTAGCGGGGGAGATGACGGTAGAATCTGCCAATGCGGCGTCATCTTGCTCATCGCGCTCATTCAATGTTGACAAGGGCGATCCATCTCGACTATCAAGTTTTGGGCTACCAGGACTGCTAGGGCTGGTGGGTACGGGACTTGGATAGTCTTCATAGGTGGGTCTTTCAAACGTTGAAACAGATTCCCCGCTCGATAAAGCACTGTATATACAGTCTCTATAGACTATTTGTACTTCCGGAATAGGGTCGCATTCCTCTGTGATCCTCAATAGAACCAATATTGCATAAACGGCTGCGTGCATGATTAAAAAAATGTAAAACACCTCGACAGGTATTGTGGCGTAGGGAGTCGTGATGAGAATCCCGAAAACTAGAAGTGTAGCGGCAGAGAGTGCAAGTGTATATTGCTCCGTGTTCTTATCACCGAATAGGATGCCATTGGTACCTTTGTGGAAGACAATGACGAGAGAAAAAGCCCCGAGGATGTTGGTGATGGAAGAACCAATGATATTTCCGAGTGCCAAAGAAGGTTGATCGTTATTGATGGCCAAAGACAAGGTAGCAAGAAGCTATTCTCGTTAGTTACTACACTGCACAAATAGGACGTCAACATTAAAAGCTGGGGAAATTTACCTGTTCCCATCCAATGACTGAAGTCAGAAACCCAATGGTAAGCTCTGAGCAGCCCCATGATATTGCTGCAATAGTAAAGTGTTTAATGAGTCTGTCCAGAAAACAGAAGAGACCAGCTAAGGATGCGGCAAAAATACAAGAATGGAGGATTATCTCAACCCAAGTCATGTTTGCAAACGAATATGAGCAAAGTTCAGTGTGAAGTAGATTAGGTTGTATGGTTATTGAAGATAATGACTTTGGTACTGAATATCGAATTTCGAGATTTTCAAAAACATGAGAGAAAATCAGTGTAGTTTAACAACGTAGTTTTGTACTATGCTATACAAACACGTGGGTGCAATGAGAACAAATAATATATCCACGTGGGCTCCTGGTGAGAAGTCACAAGGGGAAGTACAAGGGCAGCACTTGCTGTTTTGAGCATGCGTGTAGCGGTTTGCTATATCAGAATATGCCTAGCGATCAAGATTGCGAATACTGGAAACTACCAGTTCTTGATACCTTGAATATTTCGCATACGATCTCTAAGTTGAGATTGAATGCCCTCAAAAGAAAAGATCAAGTATTGGGAGAATGTAAAGCGAACTCAACTCCAGCATCAATAATCAGCACTCGAAAAATAAATCAGATCGATAATGCCAGATCTGCAGTTGTAATAGCATTCCTCTCCAAGAGTTCTTAAGTCACCAGTACCTCATCTTCTTTCTGGATGGAAAGACGTAACTTGATGAAATCATACCCATATAAAGTCATGCTCGAGAAAGTACTAACCATCAAATACGGAAAGTCACTAAATACTGCCAAAGATGTGACTAACAGCTAGAAATTGTATCTAGTATGTCAACAAGAGATGCAAAGCAAAGTAATCCTTCTCGGTCCACATTTTTGATCACTTGAATTTGCTTGCATGGCTTACCAAGCAATATGTGACAGACCTGGCACAATGTCACGATATCTGTCCGAGATCTGCAACAAAGCATGGTTTAAAGTTCATATGAGCCAACAAGCTTTTGCCAAGTGAGATAGCCGAATCTAGGAGTGCAACAAAACGGAAGATGAGATGATTGATCATAATACCATCTGACACATATACTGTATTCAGAAATTATCAAATGTCTATATGCCATGCCTTGTTGCGGCCACATTGGCAGAATTTTGGTTTAGTAATCACATATGATATTATAGGCTCATATGCCTATAATGAGGTCTATGAAAAGCGGAAACTTTTTCATGGATGAAGAGAGCCATACTTTCCTATGTATAACCTCCTTCTTGGGTGATTGACTAAAACCTGCCGTTTTGCCGACGAATTGAATCATGACGAAATGAATCACGACAAAATCCCTTTCTATATTGAATAGTATACCAATGGCACGGAAAGATTCCCAGCCAAGCTCATGAAACCGAATCTGGGGCCGAACTATGGCAACAATTGGTTTGCGTATCTCTCGTTTGATATCCAGTGTCGAGTATATGGTCCCAGCGGCAATGAAGCATATGATCAAACACTGAATACCCTCTTCGGTTCAAACACAATATCTTTGTACTTGTCGTCTTTATTTTCGATACTTCCAGGAAGTATATAGCCTCTTTGGTTACTCAAAACTCGTGTACCATTCTTTTCAAAATCTGTTGTGAAATGTGTATGTCCAAAGACCCATACTTTCACGTCTCCCCAATTTAAGCCGGAACCCTCCAGAAGATCGGTTGCGAATGCCGAACTCCATGGATTATTGATATTCTTAGGATTGGATGTTCCGTGTATTAATGGCGCGTGGTGTGTGATTATCAATATCTTCCTTTCGGGCTCTCCCATGGCTCTGGATCTGTTTTGATTCTGAATGTCCGTCACTTGACCGGAAAGCCATTCAAGATCAGATGCATGGGCAGCATTATGGTCGTCGATTGACCAGCTATTTATCTTTCCAAAATCTTTCACTCTCGCCTGCACTGCGTCTCTTGCACCATCAATGATTTTGGACCAAAGTGTACAACCCAAGATCGAAATCTGAGAATTTCCAATTTCGATATCCCAACGTTTCTGATGACATAAAACTAGTTTTCCATCCAAAATTGCTTCAATTTCAAGCCTTCGAGCTTGTTCCAAAGCGGCAGTGAATGAGAGGTGATAAAATTCGTGATTGCCAAGAATCAAAAAGACCTTTTCAAATTGTGCAGTCTGTTTCGCAAGAAATGCCAAGTAACTATCATAGTCGACAAGGCACCCGATATCCCCAGCTAAGATGAGGTAAGGTGCTGACGGTAGAATTTCAAATGTAAGATATTGCGAGCAGACTTCCAGATGTAGATCGGATAGTAACTGGAACGCCGCTGGAGGAGGCGGTTTGTTGAAGAGAGAGTGATATTCGTCAACCATAGAAAGCTTCACCATTATACTTTTGTGATCAGCAAGATTAAAGAGATCGACGGAGCCCTTGATTTGAATCAACAAAACTTGCTTGTTTTATGAAGGAAAGGTGGCCGCCGGACAGGCGAGAATATTAATATAAAGTCTCGCCTGAAATGGTGGGTTCATCAGGTTCTCATGAAGTTGCTTACTAATCGGAAGATCTCTGTGGTCCATGGCAACACCGATAAGTTCCACAACCTCTGGAATATTTGCCTGTTATTCCCAGTATAAGACTCACTCTTTTTCCATGAGCAAGGAAAGTTTAAAGTTCTTCAAAACCGACGCAAGTAATTCAGCTCAGCACAAAGTCATTTTCCCATAAACTCTATATGCGACCTCACAGTATTGAACAATCTATCTACTCAAGTACTCAAGTACTTCAGTTTAACCTTCAGGCTTCATTCAATACATGAGTTTCATTTTTAAGAGCGTATTCTTTGTATATGTAACTAAATCTTGCTCTCCGAGCCCTCCAATATATCCGAATATGTGCCCGTCTGGTTGCAGAAACAGTTCTTCTTGAATATCACAATGTACCTCTGTGTTTGTCTCATTCGAAGCTTAGGTTCGCTTGAACATACGAGTACTGTATATCCAATATCCATCCCTGAGCAACCTCATTTTTTACCGAGTCCGAGCCATTCATAGTATTCAGACCACTTAGACACCATCACCTGAAGCTATTAATCTTTTTATTATCTCTATGCACCATGATAAATATATGCATGTATACCGGCATATTTTGCTAGCAATGATGCCCATCAGGAATCTTATGTACACCAACGCAATATGTTCCAATAGGAAGGAGATCGACAAATGCAGCAGCAGCAGCCACCCGCCAAGCAGTCCTTTTACCCACGTAGGGGTTTTCCCTAGAAGACCTTGGAATGAAGCTTATTCCCCAAGACAATCAAACATAAATCTCCGGTCCATGGTTTAATGCGCTTTCGGCTTCACCATCTCTAGTCACACTCAGCTGCTCCTTCACATACCCTCAACGTCCTTTTCCTCGTGATCATCATAGACCGTATGGCTAAAAGCCTCAAAATCCTCACTATCGACTAACCACTCGATGTCCTCATCATCCGGGCCCAATTTGCTCATTAGACCTGTCCCAGCTTTCGGATATGGTGGACTATTTGGTGTAGACTCTCTGCTTTCCTGCGCCAATTCTTGCTGATTGTCAATTCCATTCGGGTCTGCATTTGATTCCGTGTTCGTCGAGGCTTGTGGAGGCAACATAGGTGGAGCAGACGAGGCATGAGTGAAAGCTGGTGCAGAGGGAAATGACGAAGTGAACATTGGAGTAGGCGTGACATTGGAAGCAGTGGAATTGGAGGCTATTTTACGAACGAAGTTTATTGTAGCACTGGGGTTAGACTCTGAACGAGGAAAGAGTCCCGCTGTGGATGTGGCGGAGGGAGGAAATGGTTGTGTGATGTGATTTGTTGTGGGTCGAGAGATATTCTGTGATTGGCGGGGTTGGAAGGGTGGAGAATTAGCGGGGAATATAGGCATATCTGGGTGAAGGGTAGAAGCTTTGATGAGAAGCGCTACTAGCTGGGGATGAGGGAGTAATGCTAGATATGCCCTTCTCTAAAAAGTTTGTTAGCTAAAAAACTATGGGGCGTAAATACAAAGTGTGAGAAATACCTGGTCGAGCGATTTGCCGGCCCAGCTGACACCATCAGTCTTAGATGGCGCTGGTTTAATCCCCCTTTTTCTTGCACAATCATTACAAAACCACGGCGCTTCTTCATCCTTCACCTCTTCTTCCGAAACCACAGGATCATGACACATCTGATGCCATCCCAAATTACACCCATCACAGAAAACAATCATATTATTATGCGGACTATTACCTCTCCCGCATCTCTTGCATAATGCTTGTTCTTGATTTTGACTTCGCTTATTTGTCGAAGCAGAGGATCGCTTTCTTGAGCTTGTCTCGGGTAATGGAGGCACGAACTGTGTCGGCTTCACTATCTGTCGCCCGCTCTGTGTGATTTTTGGCATTTCCATCGTCGCACTGTTCGAATCATCCGAATCCGAATCCCCACCTAGACCACTCAGAGCATCAGAATCGTCCGCACTTTCACTGTCATCCTTGACCCTTTTCCGCTTCTGACCCGCCCTTGGTCCTTTCCCTTTCTTTTTTGTTCCTGCACTATTTACAGACCCCGTCGGAGTCTCACTTTTAGGTGCAGCACTCACTTTGGGCGTTATCTTTTTGCTAGTTTGATATTTTGGTGGTGGTGTGTTTATTTGCATATTCTGCGTAGTTTTCATCCCTGACATAACATTTCTGCGCATTTCTTCGTAACCTGGTGGTGTCTCTGTGATGCCAATACTGGACAGCCCACCAGTTATTCCTGCTTTCATGCGCTGGAGAATCATTTCGGTCGCGGCAGAGAACTGAGGGACATACTTAGGAGGAAATGATTCGCCCATGGTTGTATCGCTGGATCCATCTGCAGAAGCTGGAGGTCTGTTCGGCGCGTCCATGTCTGTCGTGGTTGATTAATATTCGGCGAGGGCAATGATATTTGCGCCGGCGACAATGATCAAAGCTGCCAGACCGCAAAAAGCGTGATATATTTCTAGAATTGATGAGCTGGATTGAAAGAGTAACGTATTGTTTGACCGAAGCCAATTGAGTAATTGAAAGCCGTATTAACCTTATGGCGAGAGCCAAAAATGATCGATGTACAGACGTGTCGGCACGCGTACTGATAGATCCCAGCAGATGAAATGTTCTGGACAGACCTCCTAGACATACAGCTTCAGCCTGTCGAAAGTGTAGAAGTTGATGCTCTTGGAAGTACTTAAAGATGTCGCTATGAGAGAGTACAAAAAGTGGTCTGGTGATGAATAAACCAGCGATCACATGTTCTTCGATCATGTGATGGGATAAAATTGCACTCCTTCCAATTCAGCCTGATTCATTACGTGTTAAACTTGAGAAGAAGTTCAACGACATTTCATTGGGGAAATTTGTAATATTCAATATCTAAGATGTCTATATAGTTCTATTTTACGGCACCTTCGACCTTCAGTGCTTCGATATCAGATTCATTCATACCCAGAACATCCCTAAGAATCTCATCGGTATGTTGTCCTAGCATAGGAGGTACTGTTCTTATGCTTGGCTTGCTCTCACTATATTTCACGGGAGTGTTGACCATCTTGATGGGACCGCAGTATTCATGATCCATCTCCTTAACCATATCCCTTGCCAACACGTGCTCATGGTTCAATGTTCCTTGGATATCATTGATGGCTGCATATGGTAGCCCGGATCCCTCAAAAATATCTAGCCACTCTTTAGTTGTTTTATCTTGCGTGATCTTCTCTATAGAGCTGTCTAGCTCTGCTCGGTGGGCAACTCTTTCTGTATTAACGACAAATTTGGGATCCTTTTTCCACCCAGAGCGTCCAAGTCCATCACATAGAAGTCCGAATAATCTATCATTTCCTCCACCAAATAAGATGTCCCCATCTTTTGTCTTATACGAACGATAAGGTACGATCGATGCTAGAACTATTGTTAGATAGAGGTTTCAACAAGATAAGATACCACTTACGATGCGCAGTTCCCCATCTCCCTTCATCCTTCTCCCCGCTTATCAAACATGAACTCGCCAGATTCGACAATGTGGCAACTTGACAATCCGATAGAGCAACATCAATGTATTGTCCTCTTCCCGTCCTTCCTCTTGCCAACAAAGCAGCCATGATACTGTTGCTAGTATACAAGCCGGTCGTCAAATCTGTGACGGCAACACCTACTTTCACGGGAGGTCCATCTCTACTCCCCGTGATGTGCATCAGTCCCATTTCGGCTTCTACCATAACATCGTACCCGGCTCGATTTCGATATGGACCTGTTTGACCATAGCCAGTTATAGAAGCGTAGATTAGTCGTGGATTTATCTCTCGCAGAGTTTCGTAGTCCATCCCATATCTTTTCAACGTGCCCGGTAGATAGTTCTCAACGAGAATATCACTTTCGGCAGCGAGTTTATGGAGGATCTTGACTGCCGATGGATGTTTAAATGACAATCCGAGAGATTTTTTGTTTCGATTTACCTGGTCATGGTGAGCCGTGAAGCTTGCGGTAGATTGGAGTATGTGGCCAAGCTACAGCAAAGAAATATGCACTTTCTCCAGGCCCCTCCTTCCCTGATCCATCCAAGTATTTCGCATATGGAGGTCCCCAGTGTCTGGTATCATCGCCCTTGGTAGGATGCTCGACTTTTATCACTTCTGCACTAAATCTGTGAGTTTGAATGACGGTCTGAGTGATAGCAAACCTTACCCAAGATCTCCTAATATTTGCGTGCAATATGGCTGTAAAATCGTCAGGAAGCTCCCATAGAAAACTTCAAAACCTTTGACTTACACCTGCGAGCACTCGGGTCATATCCAATACTTTGTACCCCTTTAAAGGGAGTGTCATATCATTTGTAGAAGCATCTGCCAATCCTCTGCGTCTGATCTGCTTAACCACTGGAGTCAAGCCATTGGAATGTAAGAATGTACGGGAAGCTCCAAAGAGCGACCGTGAAGAGGTCGGAATGGTCATGATCATGATCTATGTACAATGGAGAATGATCAAAGCTTAACATTGTGAGTTGAAGTTCGTTGTTGTTGTTATTGCCCCGCTACCCCAGATTTTTGGTGATCTCGGCCCGGCACAAATAACCACCGAGGTGCTTCGAGTACTCGAATAGAGCAAACTTCATATCGTTATGCCACAATGATAGAATGCAGAGTACAACCAAAGACAATCAGAAATATTGGAGCATATTGAAGTATTATATTATTGGTATTGAACCTTTTACTTTACCACCGTCACACATATTTGCGATAGCTAGCCTTCTTCCTTATCCATCCCATCACGACCTCTCTTAGCACCATTGGCAGGTCGTCTTCCTTTTAAGACTGCACCCTTATTGCCTCTATCTTCATGCAAATTCTTCATTTCATTCCTAGCGTGCCTCTGGGCTTCTTCCACTCTAGGCTTAAATACCAGTACTTCTTCCTTCACAGTAGGGAATTCGTCCTGCTTCTTTCCTAATGCTGCTTCAATGCGCATCCAAATTTCCACATCATATTGCGTGACGAAACTAATCGCATGTCCGGACTTTCCTGCACGAGCAGTTCGTCCAACTCTATGAATATATGTTTTACTATCTTGTGGCATGTCGTAGTTCAACACAACATCAACGGAAGGAATATCCAAACCACGAGCAGCGACATCGGTTGCAACAAGAATTTCTCTTGAACCTGCACGGAATTTATTCAGGGCACCCAAGCGAGAAGACTGTGAAAGCTGTCCATGTAGCGGAATGGCCCCGAATCCAAGGGTTCGTAGTAAGATTGCTACTCTCTGTGTCTCGTTGACTGTTCGTGTGAAAATAATGGCGGATTGACCCGCAAACTCATTCAACAGGTAGATCAAGTATGTGTCTTTGTGAACCAATGGTATGAATATGTAGTTTTGAATGAGAGTCGAGACAGTCTGGTATTTGTTGCTGCTGATACTTACTCGGAGCGGATCTTTCAAACTTGCTCGCTGAAGACTTTCGATTTTGGAGCTGATAGTGGCGGAAAAGAGATACGTTCGTCGCTCTCGAGGTAGAACTTTGAGAATTTTGTCGAGAATTGGTCCGAAATCGAGGTCAAGTAATCTATCGGCTTCGTCCATAACCAGATACTTTAGCGACCTCAATGAGAACCCTTTCGTATTCTCTAAATGATCGAGAAGACGACCAGGAGTGGCAACTATGATGTGAGGTTTTTTACCCAAAGCAATTGCCTGTGGAACCATGTCCATTCCTCCTACTATGACCGCACATTTTACTCTTATTACAGATCCGAGAGCCTCGAATGCCTGAGAAATTTGGTATGCAAGTTCGCGAGTGGGTGCTAAAACTAATCCAAAGAGAGGTTGTGGTTTATCGAGTAGAGATTGGAGAATTGGCAGAGCAAACGCGGCTGTTTTTCCACTTCCCGTTTCCGCCAAACCAATCAAATCTCTCCCTAGAAGTGCGGGCGGTATAGATTCCCTTTGGATAGGAGTTGGAGCTTTATAACCCAAGGTGTCGCATGCTTCGCATAAAGAGTCGACGATACCCTAGTATTGTCAGTGATATACATTTCGCGATATAAATGTAATAACGAACCAAATCTTTAAAGGACTTTATAACCTCCACTTCTTCCGTCACTTCCTCTGCCACTTCTTCCGTCGCATCCTCTACATCATTGTTCTTGGTCTCCTCAACTGGCTCTGGGGAAGGTAATGGGGAGGTCTTTTTTGACTCTTTTGCTTGCTTCGAATTTGAGCCCGAAGATGCATCTTTCTCAGTCTTCCTCCGTTTCACGGAAGACATGATTGATATCTTATCGAACTATATCCAAATTCGTAGGAGTATATTGAGTAATTATCTTGAACTGATAAGAAATTTCAATATTGGCGCAATTCTCTCAATAATGTGGTATCTTATTGAGTTTGAAAATGATCCTCTAGAAAGGCTGGAGAAAATAAATTTTTATCAGCTTATCGGATCCGCTTATCTGATTGGCCGCGCAAAAAAGTTTCTAGCTTAAGAAAATATTAGGACGAGAAAGTCCTACAGAAATAACATCATACAATCCAAAAATCAAAAAATGGCGAGAAGACGAACCAAGAAGCGCACTCATGTCGGTGCCAACAATGGACCGGCTGGAGCAAAGTCTGCCCCTACTTCCCTGGCTTCACGATCGCCGAAGACCATGGTAATTCGAGCTGGAGCTGGTGAAGTCGGACCAAGTGTTAGTCAATTGGTGAGGGATGTTCGACGGATGATGGAACCAGATACGGCTTCGAGGTTGAAGGAGAGAAGAGCGAATAGGTTGAGGGATTATCTCACGATGGCAGGTCCTTTGGGTGTCAGTCATCTCATGTTGTTTTCAAGATCAGAGGCTGGAAATACAAACATGCGACTTGCCCTTACACCAAGAGGTCCAACATTACATTTTCATGTAGAGAAATATTCTCTATGTAAGGATGTGAGAAAGGCATTGAAACATCCTAAAGGTGGCGGAAAAGAGTACACCACTCCTCCATTGGTATGTCTAGAACCTCTTTAATTATCTGGGCTTTTAACTGATTAACTTAGCTCGTTATGAACAATTTCATCTCTCCTGCTTCTGAATCGAGTTCCGAAAATAAGATACCCAAACACCTCGAATCGCTCACGACCAGTATTTTTCAATCTCTCTTCCCGCCCATCTCCCCTAATGTAACACCTTTATCATCCATCCACAGAGTTATGCTTCTTAATCGAGAACCCACCAAGGGTGAAGATGATGGCACCTACACCATCAACCTTCGTCACTACGCAATCACAACTAAGCGAATAGGTCTCTCGAGACCATTGCGAAGGCTTAACGCTGCGGAGAAATATTTACACTCAAAGAATCCAAGAAAAGGTTTACCAAATCTTGGAAAGTTGGAAGATATCGCAGACTATATGGTGGGAGAAGACGGAGCAGGATACATGACGGATGTTACAAGTGGAAGTGAGGTTGACACTGACGCAGAGGTCGAGGTAGTTGAGACACGCACTCGTAAGATTCTGAATAAACGTCAAAAGGAAAAGACTAGCGAAGGACAGGCCAAGGGCGCTAAGAGGGCTGCAGAAAAACGGGCTATCAAGTTAGTGGAATTGGGACCGAGAATGAAGTTAAGAATGACCAAAGTTGAAGAAGGCGTCTGCGACGGAAAGATTATGTGGCACGAATATATCCATAAGTCTAAAGACGAAGTCAAACAACAGGACAAAGCCTGGGAAAAGAGAAGACAAGAAAAGGCAGCCCGCAAGAAGATACAGAAGGATAACGTTGATAGAAAGAAGAAGGCCAAGGCTGGTATCAAGAAGGGTGGCGAGGATGACGAAGATGATGACGAGATGGATGTAGATGAGTGGGATAGTGAGGGTCTAGAAGGGGACGGAGAGACAGAGCGGAACGAGGAGATGGAAGATAGAGGGGAATGGGAAGATGCGCAAGAGGAGATCGCTGCTGTTCGAGCCTGAACTGTACTCATGCAGTATCAATATCTCGATGTATAAATTTTTCAGGCGCATTCAAAGGTCACATGGTTGTTCTGTCAATATGGTAACTAATTTAAAGCATGTTTTTCAATACCTTGTCTGTCCTTTGACGCTCAGTCACGTATTGGGCAAATTACGGAAGTCTCCGTTTCAAACATGCCTCCATACGTTATTCATTTTTGGTTCCAATGTGTTCACGACTATTTGAGATCCGCAGCTCAAAACCAGGCCTTGGAGTGCACAAATCTATCCTATCTCTTTTTTAAATGTAATAGCCTCACTAGAAGCCGGTGCAAGTTTTGTAAATCCAGTGCTTATACTATTGCATCGCATGCATGCGTGCATAGTTGACGCCAGAAACCAGGCACATGTTGTCGATCCTCGCTAAAGACAAGTTAAGGTTCCTCTCGTAGTTCATTGTCCTAGGAGTTGTTATGGAACTTTCAAGCTCAGAAGTCCCACGGAATCTATATGTTCCACATGTCTAATATGATAATTGTACAACTACGACTCGAGCTGCAATCACCGACAATCCAGTTCGTTTACTTCTTTTGTCGTGCGGGGTATTTCGTGTACCGGTAGCCATTACTCGAGTACGGGCCGGTAAGTAGATAGCTGAGTATCTCGATTTGGCATATACAGCAGTGTGTAGTACGGTAAGTTCCCTGAAAGGGAGCATATGCTTTGAGATGGTTACGTATTATCGGGATAGCATCCGAGATGATTGCCCAATAGAAACTTGGATATTTGGTGTAATGAGTTGCAATTGTGCGATGTAGCTTTTGACGAAAAGCATAAATATCCCTCTTTTGCCAAATGTATTATGAAAGGTGCATCAAGAACTCAGAAGTTACTTGGCGGATATTGACTTGGAACTTCATATACAGTGAGTATACTATTTACTCTCTCTCTTCACTCTCTAAATTCTCAACAACGTCTATAGAAACCACCCTTTCACTCCCCCAAAATCACAACACCATGGCCGCCATCCCAGACCCAGAGACAGAAGCAAAGAACACAAGCACCGACTCAGCCATACAACCCGACACCAACAGCGACATCAGCACCCTCGACCTCGCCAGCGATGCCCGCAAAGCCGGCTTCCTCCGCTATGAAAAAGTAACCTTACACCCCGGTCTCTACACCCTCCAACGTTCCTCCTCCCCCAACTACGACGGCACCCACGATTCATCGCAACACATCACTGCCTCCGGGATCAACTTCCTCCACTCCCAAGGTATTGGCCACATTATATGTCTCAACAGCGATGAGCTTAGTAGTTACAGCATCAGCCACTTGCTCGGCAACGCTAAGCCGAGGATTGCTTTTACGCATATACCTGTTGCGGATTATCACTCGCCGAGTCTAAAGGAGATGCAGAAGGGGTATAAGGCGTATACGGATGTTAAGAAGGATACGTTGGTGTGGTGTGGATATGGGTGGGGGAGAACGGGGACGATGATCACGGCGTTGCAATGGTATATTGAGAGGGCGAAAGGGAAGGTGGTTAGGTTAGGTCATAATGATTATGCGAATAATCATGTGGAACAGTTTCATCAGGGGGTGTCGACGGGGCAGTATGAGACGTTGGATGAGTTGCAGAAGTGAAGTCGTGGTTTGGAGAAAGCAGCAGCAGCAGCAGCAGCAGCAGCGTTGAATTTGGGGATATTCAATCTATGTACAGTACTCACAGAATGGAAACAACATTTTAACCTAGTGTTCTTCCTAAACAGTATTGATATTGACCTGAAGAATCTCCAAATTTGTGATTTCACTCGTGATCAAACTTTGAGAAGACGATCAATAATGAATAGAAATAGCAACTCAAACAACTCAACAATGAATTGAGTGCTTGCGATGCATACATATTTTAAAAGAACTAACTACTCACTACCGAGTCACCATACGTGAACAATTTAGCCAGCTTAACATTCTGAATGACCCCAAATAAAAGATTAGCGATTTCGAATAACATCCGTTAAAATGAATATGTATGTCGATAGAGCTCAAGCATGGATACCTACTACCGAGTGGTCCAATGCATATTGCAGAACTATCTACAATACTTTAACATCATATCATGTCATGCTCTTTGCGCCTTTACCCTCCCACTCCACTTTGCACATCACAACAAATTACCAACAACAGCACCTACCTACCTACCATCCATGCATGCATGCATACCAAATGCCTTCACGAGGTCTCAATACTCTCATATAAGCATTCCCTTCCCTTCAAAAGCCACCCAGCACCCAAGCTGAACCGAGCATTAACACGTAATACATACTTATATTATACTACTACTATTCCGACCTACTCCGACCTACTCCTTCCAAAAACACACTAGATATGGTATCCTAACGATGCATGTCCAATCAATGAATCTTGACTGAAAATTCCCCCAACTCCTGACTCCTTCCCATCATGAATATTCCATCTTTTTTTTTAAAAAAAACCAAGTAAGGTAAGTACCCATCCACTAATCCAAGCACGCTGTGTTTGCTATACCATGATACCATAACGGTGTATGACTATGACTATAAAACCTCATCTTGATCCCAACTCCACCAACTGCCTCCCCCCTTACCGCCTCCGCCTGCGCTGTTTATTCGTATATCATCCATCACCTCTTCCACCACCTCATCTTCTTCCATCTCCACAATCTTAGGCGCCATATTTTCAAGTTCTCTCTTAGACTTCTCTTTCCAAGCCCTTATCTCCTCATCATATCCCTCCCACCAATCCCAAGCATCTGCCATTCCCCCACTAACCACCTTCCCGGTCCACTGATCCATTTTCGTCGGAATGGCCCAGGGCCAAAATGGATCCGAGGGGTGCCAAACATCTTTATTGGAGTATTTGGGATGACAATACGTTTCACACATTGCCCATTCGGTTATAAACCACGTTATGAATATCGTGAACAGTAAACCAAACCAAGTAAATTTTCCAGTTCCAGGATAGCGGAGGCGGGGCATAGGGATGACGAGGTAGTGGACATTTGGGTTTATGGCGGGGTTGGGAGGAGCATCAAGGAAAAAGGGACGAGATGATGATTTTGGTGAAATGCCGAGTTCTTTTAGGGAATGGGAATATAAACCTGAAGATGCGACTTGTTGTTCCAATCTTTCGATTCCATGTCTGGCATCTCGTATGCTGCTTGAAGTATGTTTTAAACTCTGACTCATACGCTGGAACGATATTTCCTCCAATCTTCTTTCTTTCTCCTTTTGGGATAGTGGCTGGCCATTTTCATCAAAATTAATTTCTATACTTTCTAACGTCGGAGGAGATGGGGGTTGATTCTTTATCAGGAAAGAGAAATCTCGATCGATAGTAGTAGAATCATCGACTCGAGCTTCTTTTTCTATACGTTGGAGGTCGGCGGCGGCGGAGACTGTAGGAGCACTGTTTGTTGGGGTTGGACGGGTTCGCAAATGTGATTGGGAGGGTATGGAGGGCTCACTATTGCTACGTGCCGATGAAGATTCCTCTTTTATTTGAGGTTGTTCTTTGGTTGTTTTATTATTGGTACGAATTCGTGGTGGTGCGGGTGTCTCGACCCATCCGCCTGTAACTCTTGGGGTGGGCAATAGGAGCGGATCGATGGGTACGGATGCAGGTGGAGTTGGTGCGGAATTTGGAAGTCTCTGGGAGACATGTTCGAGCTCGAAAGGGGATCTTTCTGATGATATTCGAGTTTCAAGATCATTGTTTGATCTACCAGGACTGGTTCTCCCGCTTCCATTTGTACCCGTGATAGCTTTAGAAAGATTCCTTAAAATTGCAAGAGAATCTTCTTGTTTGGAGTTCAGTCCATTTGGGCGTCTCTCATTGCCGCCAAATATCGCAGTAGGAGTTTCATGTATCCTTTGTCCTTCTTCCTTCAGTATCGTTTTTTTGTGCATCTCCTCTTTTTCTTCGTTAGTTTCAGCTCGTTCCGATGATCGTGGCTCGACATTTTCCAAAGTTTCATGGTTGTAATCTGTCCTTGGTCGTGGTTCAATATTTTCTGGATCTCTATGACTGTAATCGGTCCTTGGTCGAGGTTCAGTACTCTCTGAAGCTCTATGACTGTAATCAGTCCTTGATCGCGGTTCAATTTCTGGAGCTCTATGATTATAGTCGGTCCTTGGTTGTGGCTCGGTACTTTCTGGAGCTCTATGACCGTGTTCGGTCATTGGTTCTTCAGCACTTTCCGCAACTCTAAGGTTGTAATCATTCCTCGCCCTATTTTGGCGAGCTCTCTGTATCGCGCTCAGACCGTCTTCCCCCTGGTATCTTCTTGCTAGCCGCGACAGCGGCCTCTCTTCCTGCGGCACAACATTCTCGTTATTATTACGCATGCTGCGTACGGGCATGTCGACATGCACTGGATTATTTCTCGAGAAATCACCGCTTTGTGATCTTCGTTCCCCGGGTAACTTGTTTCGCAAGATTTCTTCCTGCCTTCCCTGTGGAACCTTATTATCTTCACTCTCATATGAAGTGACAGTTCTCCGCTCCTCGCGCCGGTCTCTCAATTCCTTTCGCAAAAGATCTTTCCTTTCTCTCGATTTCGCGCGAGCTGTATCGTTAATCTCATTCTCTTTCTCTACCGCCTGCGAACCATTCCGACTCTCCGGTTTATCAAAGTGTTGCCTCCTTAGCGGCCTTTCATGAACCTTAACAGCATCCGCGCCTCCGTCTTCTTCTTCCTCCCCATCCTCCTCCTCCTCCTCCTCCTCCTCCTCGTCAAAACTCCTCTCTTCCGCCATAATCTCCTCAATCCTACTCGGAATCGACGCCAACTTTAATCGCGGACTCTGATCAAATTCCATACTCCTCGCCGTAAACTCAAGGTTCGTATCCCAACCTCTACCCGTCCCATTAGTCTCCTCATCTCTCAACTTCCCAATATCCCTCGCGACACCCTCAATATCCACACTCGATTCCTCCCCATTCAATTCCATTTCCTCTTCCATAAGTCTCTTCATCCAACTCCCACCCGACGTTGTCCTCGCCTTACTTCCCCATGTCTGGCCAACAGCCCCAGTATTGTTAATCTTCGTGCCGAAAGTTGGTCTCGCGCGTGGTGAAGGCGAACTATCGTATCGAGGTTGTTTGCTAGGAGCCATATGCGCGCATGTTCTTGGGGCTTTTATTGCAATTGTATTTTGTTGACTTGGGTTTTGCGAAATTTTAGGGTGCGAGGAATGAGAACGCGAAGCGCGTTTTTTTGGTTTGTATGGGTAAGTGTATGGGCTTGGATATTTATTGTAAACCGTACAAGCATAAATGTATCGATAAGAAAGTTTAGAGCTTTTAGTGATTATTCACTCGGATTTTTAAAGTAATTGATCATTTTGAGTAAACGATTTGTTGCTTGGTCAACAGGCGGTGAATCCAAGTTTTGATGGTTCGGCTTACCTACTCAGGTAATCAATCTCCATCCCAACTTATGACCATGAACACTTTGGACGAAATATATACATGTCACAACTTTTTATTAGTATATTTTAAGTTGTCAACTATCCATTAACTTTATCATACTTTAAATCATTGTATTATTGCTCGGATGATATTATTTCCATGATTCCCTTCCATAGCCTTTTTCTCTAGATTGATGCCCATTCAATAGTTCAAGCTACCCCCATGGTATCATATACAAGTCCAATATACAAAGCACAACCTCATTCCCATGCCCATGCCCATGCCTCCATGCCCACGCCTCCAAGCAATTGATTACGAGAATGAATCAATGAATCTATGAATCTATGAATCTTCCTCTCCCCTTTCTAGCTCATAAAATAACATATAAACCTCTTTCTGCATACCCAAAACTTCACTAGTCTTACTTTCTTTTATCTTTTCGTCACTAATTCTCCACCATCTATCGACTGTCTTCTTTTTACGCTTAGTTCGAATTGTTTCTGTCAAAGTTGTCCGGTTGCCTGCTTGGCTGGAAGGGGATAGCTTTGGTGAAGATGGTGTGGGAGACGATCGACTAATTGTACTGGAAACTTTCGACAGAGTTTTCCGAGCCGAACGTCCTAGAGAGCGAATGCTGCCACCATCCGAATCCCGGGGAGCTGATGTAGGACCCGTGGTTTTAGTTGAAGATGACACAGAACTAGCTGATGTTGGATTAATGGCAGACAGATGTTTATTATTCAGTGAAGAAGAGTCTACCGAGCTGCGCCCACCTGTGTGTGGAAGCGAGGTGGTAGAGGCTGTCGTGGGTGACAGTAATTCTGGGGTCGATGAGAGGGTGTCATTATCAACGTCACTTCCTCGAGTGGCGTTCATTTGCGATGTCGAAAGTAGTGAAGGGGTAGAAGTTGAGGATCTGGCATACGCAAGTGATGGTTGAAAAGCATTCGGAGTTGAGAATGGAGCCACAACGTTTTGCCTCCGGAATGATTCATAGTGTCCACTATGATGACTCCCCTTGTGACATACTAGACTAAGGAGCTTGTACTTCCGTCGCTCCAATAGGCCCCCAAGTGGTAGTTGTTCAGGAAATGTCACCTTGGCAGAATTCTTCATCGTCGTCGACCTGGCGTCAAATATTGACCTCGAAAGATGTATTGCCATGACTTTTGGAAATTTGGTAATACGGACATGTTTGGCGATCTTTCGCTTGGGCGCAAACTTCGAATCTGGTAGTTCAACATCGAGAAGCTCTTCTTCAGGATTAGTTTCTATAGCAGCCTTCAGCTTATCTATTGAGATTTGAGTTTTCTCCTTGAAAATCCGTGAATTTGATCGAGAATATTCTTGTTCGAATGTTTCCAAGGCATGCACTAATCTACACTTCTCACACTTGAAGTCCTCAATATATTCTGTCTTAAACATTCCATCGAAGCATGCGTTCAGGGTGGTAGAGGTAACCTGAGGAACTACCAATGTGAGAGAACAAAACGTTGTTTGCGTAGGCCTTGGTTTGAAACCACAAGTCAAACACTCGATTTGTGATTCAGAACCACCTTCGAATGGGAACCCGTCCTCTTTATCAACGTCACTACTAGGCTCTCCGCCTTGGTGAGGCGATTTCGAAGATATTGAGCTTGCCTTTTCTGAGCCATGAGAAGAAGCTGATGGCGTTTTTGTCGGAGGAGAATTGGTGCCGGACGTCGCGCTTTCATTAACACTAAGCTGACCTAACCTCTCGTCCAAAACCGTTTCGTCTAAAGTGTGCAATTCTGCAGTTGTGCCAGTGGTAGCCTCCAACTTCCTGGCGTGGTCTCTTGCCCTGTGCCCCGCATGGTACTCGTCGCCTAATCTCTCGGCCACCACTTGGAGAAACTCCTGTGCGTCCTGTTGTTGCCGGCTAATTCTCTGCTTAAAGGCAGCTTCTAATACCGATACAAATGGCATAGCAGATATTGTCTTCCTGTATAAAGGTCTTTCGTTCAATGCGTCCAAGATGTCTTTCAATCCCATAGTGACTACGCCCTTTTGTAGACCTCCTATCTTCCATGCTGGCAAACCCTGCCGCGCCGGGTCTTCCACAATCTGAGTGTATACCTCTGAACTATCCAATCCCCTTCTATGCGTTTCCCTGATCAAAAACATTCGCAAGTCGCCTAGACCCGCGAGGGCCTGAAGTACTGAGTTTATAAAACAATCATTGGCATTATTGACCAAGCCTACCACTCCTTTCTTCCTCGTATTGGATGATCCGTTTTGTTCGTCCATCAGAAAGGTTGGCGCAAAGACATAGACAAGTGTTATTGCAGCAAGAGAAGCGCCCGCGGCATATGTTAAAGTCGTGAATTGTTTATCTGGCATAGTTTCGTCAAACTAAAGACCGTTGAAGATTTCGGGGGAGGTCGAAGAGGAAGGTGGGCGATTTAGATTAGAAATGAGAGAGATTGGGTGAGGAGATGAAGGTGAAATTCAGAGATTCAGGAATAATTTTTAATAGCACTGTTCCATCACAAGACACACCTTCGATTAAAACTATTTTGGCGACTTCTTTTGTGTCCAAGGAATAAGGAGTTGAAGATTGTAGGTTCTGTATAAGAAGACCAGGTCCCCGCTGCCAAGTTTGCTCCGGATCTAAAGTAGTAAAGTAACGAGTTATGCGTCAGATCCTTGGTAGCCTTCCTCCGCAGACAATTCAGAATTTTAGACTTTTCATGAATGATCTTGTAAATAAACTTTTTTAATGAACAATATTTCAAAATCTCTTATCAAAAAGATCAACAGGATCAACCAATATTGGATGGAAAGACATTCTGTCGTTACCCCAGTCTCTGTTGACGCCGATGTTCCGACGCTAGTGGAGGGGTGGATCGAATAAACTCAGGTGTCTCTCAAGCACAGCCAAATATTTTTGGCGATTTGGAACTCCAACGATTATTTGGAGATAGCCTCAAGTCATTGCCTCTCAATGGCTTCATTATTACAATCGCGGGCACCCTCATGCCTAGCATGCCTCCGTCGTACAACAAGTAGCTTTGGTGATGGGCTGTTATTCTCAAGTAGCCAACAAATTCGAGGAAAGAAGATGCTTGCGAAAGACATAGATCATAATGTTACAATTCAATTACTGAAACCTGTGAAAGGAATTGGCAGAAAGGGCAAGTTTCGATTGACCTGAAGACCATGAAAAAAAGTCCCAGGTACTAATTTTGATGTAGGAAAAATTGTCCAAGTCCCCCCAGGATTGATGCGAAATTATTTGTATGGCAGAGGGTTTGCTGTGTATGCGACACCTACAGGATCTGAAGATGTTGGTTCGAGGAAAACCGTCGCTCTTCCTGATAGTACTTTTGGGAAGGGCAAGACCAGAGTAGAGCGTGCACCAGATCAAGAGAAAACAATCAGGAATCCGAGCGGAATTCGCAAGCTGAACCTCCAAAAAGTTGAGTCTGAATTGCTGAGCGTAAGGATACCTCAATTTTCCACAAATTAGAGGACGAGATTGACTGACCGGTTTTGAATAGCCCGAACTTTCCACTAAGCTCTTATCCGACTTGATTCCATCCTGCATAGAGTTCTACGAAACTCCCATTAGTATTGCTACTCTGCCGGTAAAGAAGTTATCGCCCTCTTTAGCGTCATCTTCCTCTGTATCTGCTGCAGCAATCAGCATAGCGAAGCCCGAGAAGGTATCCATATACGGGTCAGTATCGACTACGGATATTGCCGTGAAGATGAAGACCATTCTAGCCCAGGATTCAGAAGGGAAGCGGATAGTCTTCGGACCAGAAAATATCAAATTTGTTCAGGAGACGGATGAGCAGGACCGTGTTAAACACTTGGGCACATTTGAGGTTGATATACAACTCAAAGGGTTTCCTGATTCTGTCCGAAAGGCGATCAGAATCAATGCTCAGAACTAAAGATGTTGAGCAAGGACTTGAGAGATACCTAGATACCTACATAGTCTTGTGTATCGATGTAATACTAGTAACACATTCCCCAAATGGGAAACAGGATACACAGGCACTATCAAATCTTCATTGCAGTCTGAACAACTGAGATAGCATTATTTAGTAGGCTTTTTCTCCATCATCAATTCATGAAATGAGGGGTCAAGTTTAAGAAGAACGCAAGATGTCTAGCTAGGTACCTAGCCACAAGATTTGATACAGGTATAGGTAGTTTCATTGGTAGTAAAAGCTCGATTCCATCCATATCTCCTCACCTGACTCCCATCCCTTTTTGTATGGTTATTTTCTAATAATGTCGACCCAACCTCGTCGTCGAGAGTATTTACAGTTCATGCAACTGGAATATCGGTACTATATGTGATGAGATATTCACCGGTATTGTATTCGCTATGACCGGAAGAAAGGTTTCGGTTCCTTGGATTGCACTGCATGCCCAGGATTGTGAATAAGCCCGATAGGAGAATATTCCAAACCAAGTTGCATAATGGATCAGAGGATCTCGCCGTAGTTTCTTCGGTAGTGCTAGGTATATTGTTATGGCTATGGGCGACGAGGATGAGGATGAGGATAAGGTCAATTTCACCGAAACCCCACTTGTAAGTTGCAACTTGCAACAACTTCACGGTCACGGTCACAGTCTTTATCATACTCCATCTCCACCTCCACCTCCTCCACCTCTTCTCGACTCGACAACCAATCTAAATCATAAATATTGACTTAATCTGATTTACTTGACATTGACCCATCGAATACTAAACATCGGGAAGTTATTGGAAAGAAATAGTAAGAAATAGTAAATAAAAAAGGTACGTCACATTCACTATCAATGAGTAAACTAAAGGTTTATTTAACTCGGGGGTTCCATAAATTCCATATCTTTTTTTAAAGACCAACAATATGTTGAGGATTGAAACAGACCCCCCACCATTAGCGTCACTTGGAAGTGACGGTATCGGTCCTGAAAAAAACCAATACTCCACCCCTCTTTCTGACTTTCTTTCTACTAAAGAAAACCCCTTCCCATCTTATTCAACTAATTTGACTCTTTATTGATTATTACTTTTCACACTTCAGATACCCTTTCTTATAAACTCTACCAAATCCTAAATTACTATCGCAAATCTCAAATATGGGTTGCACAGACGTTCTCAGCCGAAAGTCCGGAGTCATCGTTGGAGATGATGTCCTCAAGCTTTTCAACTATGCTCAAGAGCACAACTTTGCCATTCCAGCGATTGTATGTCATGACAACAAGGAAAGAACATCTTTACGGATAACAACTAACAATGGCAGAACGTCACCTCTTCTTCCACCGTCGTAGCATCCCTCGAGGCTGCTCGTGATGCCAAGTCCCCAATCATCCTCCAAATGTCCCAAGGTGGTGCCGCTTACTTCGCCGGAAAGGTTAAAAAAATTCCACTTAACAAAATCTGCAAAGACTAATTTCCGAATAGGGCGTTGCAAATGGTAATCAAGAGGCCTCCATCGCTGGTGGTATCGCCGGTGCCCATTACATCCGTGCTATCGCACCAGCATACGGTATCCCAGTTGTCCTCCACACCGATCACTGCGCCAAGAAACTCCTGCCATGGTTGGACGGTCTTCTCGACGCTGATGAGAAATACTTCTCGGAGCACGGCGAACCTTTGTTCTCTTCCCACATGATCGATTTGAGCGAGGATAGCGTTGAATACAACATCAACACTACTGCCGAATACTTGAAGAGAGCTGCACCAATGAAGCAATGGCTCGAGATGGTATGTTATCAAGTAATATGAGGAGTTGAGAAATTCATCCATCTAATTCATTCTATAGGAGATCGGTATTACCGGTGGTGAGGAGGACGGTGTCGACAACGAAGACGTTGACAACAACTCCCTTTACACTCAACCAGAGGATATCCTTGCCATCTACCAAGCTCTTTCCCCTATCTCACCATACTTCTCGATCGCCGCTGGTTTCGGTAACGTTCACGGTGTTTACAAGCCAGGTAACGTCAAGCTCCGCCCAGAGCTTCTCGGAAAGCACCAAGCGCATGTCAAGCAAGCCATTGGAGCAAAGGAGGACAAGCCAGTCTTCTTGGTCTTCCACGGTGGATCTGGATCTTCCAAGCAAGAATTCTTGGATGCCATCTCCTTCGGTGTTGTCAAGGTCAATCTTGATACCGATATGCAATTCGCTTACCTTACTGGTATCCGGGATTACGTCCTTAAGAACAAGGACTATCTCATGACCCCTGTTGGTAACCCAGATGGCGCTGATAAGCCAAACAAGAAGAAGTTCGAGTAAGTACCCCTGAGTTCCTTGACAATAACATATACTAATACTATAATAGTCCCCGTGTCTGGGTTCGTGAGGGAGAGAAAACCATGTCCCAACGTCTTACCGAGGGTCTCAAAGATTTCAACACTGCAGGACAGCTATAGATCTATGATGATGATTAGTGGATACACAGATTGCGTTTCAAAAATTTACACGGTTTAGGACATTGTTATGGAATACATAGCGAAGTGCGGAGAAATAGTGGTTGGGGAGGAGGAGTTTTGGTCAAACCTATAAATGCAACGAATTACCCACGATGAAAGTTTCTACTATGACTGATATGATTTTGTTTCCATATAAGGTTTGATTGAAGCTGAATGATTGAAATGACAACAAAGTGAAAATATCGTCCTATTAAGCGCTCTTATCAGGTTGGATATTTTACCTGTCATTCATCCCATTTAGCCGTTAGACTTCCCATCAAGCTCGATGATTAGTAAAAGTTCAAAGCCAGTTGATATTTGTACAAAAACGCGGCCTTTTTGAGGGGGAATAATCATTAATACGAGTTTACGAGTTAGGCCTTCTTATGGAGTTGGTTGATCAGCTACCAGTATGATACATTTGATGAGTATCTATACGTATAGGTAGGTATGTTTAATGATTTAATTGGGCGATAAAATTAGAAGAATTGGTGTATTGATACTGATAGGAGGAGGGGAAAGGGGAGAGGGAGTTCAAGGGGAAGTTCGGATACCGGTATACGAAAAGATATACGAGTACTCTAGAGTATATGTTAGAGATATAGAGGGAGGGAGGGGTGTTGGATTGGTGAGATTTTGAAGATTGTATTGTATTGTGGTAGGTAGGCAGGTAGATAGATAGATAGATAGATAGATACCTGATAGTAATAATGCAGGAAGGGTATTATGATGGTTTTCTGAAGAGTAAGCTGTGTCAACAGGATAGGATATTGGTTTTGAGAAACTTTATGGAGCACCGGTATGCTTGTCTTTCTTTCCTTTTTTTTGATTCTGCAGGTACAGTACGATTAAAATGTTTTGTCAACTCCCTACAGTAATTAACTCGACCAGTAAGAATACTTGCTTGAAATATCATGAAATAGGCTCGGTTGGTATTATTTATTATTCACATACCGATATTATTTTATCGATATACTTTTCGGGGGCAGTGCTGTAAATGACGTCTCCACACAAGCGAACGGACAAAATATCATTTCGAGGGGCAAAAGCCAAGCCAAGAACCCAACTCTCCCATCTACCAAATATTCCCCCTTGTCAAATCCTCAAATCCTCTTAATCCTTAAAGGATCCATACCGGTACTCATCTCAATATTGTTGGTTTGTGTATCCAATACTAATATCACAAGGCCAATCTTCCCTTTTCTTCTGACAATCAAACTTCAAACTCTCTTATTTTGGTCATTTCTTGAATCCTTTTACTTATCAATAGTTGATTTCAACCACTAAACAACTACAACTCGAATTCCTCCGCAATCTCCATACCTCCTTGGCTTCAGACAAATATCATAATCTCTACAAACAAACAATATACTACAACAAATGTCTTCAAACGAGGCAGAAGGAGCAGGTGTATCTCCGCAGAATAAAGGGTCTTGGAGTGCTTTCTTAAAGTCGATCGCTTCGTTCAATGGAGATTTATCTTCATTGACAGCTCCACCATTCATTCTATCATCGACATCGTTGACCGAATTCTCTTCATACTGGGCAGAACATCCTAATATCTTCGTCGCACCTGCTGCAGAGGATGATCCCCAGAAACGAGCACTTTTGGTATTGAAATGGTTCTTGAGCACATTGAAGCAGCAATATGCGAGTCGAAGTGATAAATATGGAAATGAGAAGAAGCCCTTGAACCCTTTCTTGGGAGAGTTATTCCTTGGAAAGTGGGAAGATGCCTGCGGAACAACTGAGCTTGTTTCTGAGCAGGTCAGGTATGTAAAATTTAAATGTGAATAATAATGTCATGTCTAACCTTACCCTCCTCTAGTCATCATCCGCCTGTCACCGCATACCAAATTTCCAACAAGAAACATGGCGTATATCTACAAGGATACAATGCTCAAAAAGCATCATTCTCTCGAACCATCAACGTCAAACAAATCGGACATGCTGTTTTCAGTATTCCTGCTTACGACGAAACCTACCTCATCACTCTTCCAAACCTCCACATCGAAGGTTTAATTTTCGGTTCACCATTCGTCGAACTCGAAGCCAAATCATACATTACAAGCAGCTCAGGTTTCACAGCCAAGATCGACTATAGCGGCAAAGGATGGTTATCTGGCAAGAAGAATAGTTTCACCGCTACATTATACCCCACTGGCAAGGAAAAGGATACTATATATACCGTCACTGGGCAATGGACCAAACAATTCGAGATCCGAGAAGGTGGAAAGAAGAGTGGAGGCTTGGTGGATACATATGATGCGGATGCGACACCTACCACCCCCCTCATGGTTGCACCAATCGAGGAACAAGATCCATTAGAGTCGCGGCGCGCATGGTCTAAGGTCGCAGCTGGTATCGCAGTCGGTGACATGGATACAACCGGTAATGAGAAGACCAAAATCGAAGTTTTTCAACGAGAACTTAGATTAAAGGAAAAGAGTGAGGCAAGAATTTGGGAGAGGAGATATTTCACCAAATTGGAAAGTTGTCCTATCTTGCAAAAATTGGCTCCTTGTATCCAATTATCACCAGATGAGGATAAAACTGGTGGAATTTGGAGATTCGATGACTCCAAGGCTGCTAGATACATCAGATCGGAGCAAACGCTACAACCTCAACAAGTAAATGTGCAAGTCCCGATTGTTTGAATACAGATACGATGGAGGGGATTACTTGATGAGTGAGCTATTGCGGCGCACTTTAAGACAGACATTCGGATAATGGCGTAATTGAGGATGAGATTGATTGATGGTGGAATGAATGACTCAAATTGAGAGTTGGGATATGATATGTGCGGCTGCGGGTCATTTTGGATGGATGTATGGTATGGGATAGGGTGGTTGTTACCCTCGTGCTCGTTATAGATTTTGAGGAGGAAGGGATGGAATTATTTTATACAACTAAGACTAACGAGGTTTTTTGATTGAGTTTGAATGAAGATGAGACGAGATGAGATGTCACATTAGGAATGAAATAAGAATTGCCGAAGGATTGAATGATTGAAATATGATTGGTTTGTAGGTGCTGATGCTGGTATTATGCTGGTCTTAGTGCTAGACCAACTAGGTGAGGATGGGTGCTGCTGGGATATGATGGATGTGAGCTTGATTTGATATAATGTGATGAGAAGATAGTATTATAAAGAAGAGATATAAACGCAGATTAATTATTTATTAAAGGATATTATAGCTATATCTGTATCTGTATCTCTAGCAAGCTCCTTTATTCAACTCAAATAAACTCTATTTGAATTTAATAAAATTGTATTTGAATTTTAATATAAAGAAATAATATTTTAATATAAACTTAAATAAAAAACTATATTGAAATTTAGATAAATTGTATTTGAATAAATTATATTTGAATCTAATGATTATCAATAATCTATATTATATAACTATAGAATTATACAATATACTCTATTACATTTTAATATATATATAAACACAAATAAAGCTTTACCCAGTCCGGTGGCTGGTAGAAATCCTCAAGGATTCGTGAGTGAATTGTATATGCACAATACATCAGACAAATCCCTATCCCCAAAGGTGTCTTCAATCGGATGTGAAAGGTCGTTTCCCTTATATTTCAAAGCTGATCCAGGCGATTTTGGTTCCATGGATACCTCTGACTGGGGCTGTTTATCCTCTAAAACGCGAGTGTAAAACGGAACAGTTATTTTCAATATCTTGCGCAAATCAGAGATCGTGTAAATTTCATCAATATCGTCGGTTTGTATCTCCGGCTTTGAAACTCCACTGGTATGTGCCAAGTCAAAACCATACTCGACCAATGGCGTAAGCGTAACTGCAGTTTGCGAAACCCCTCCCCTCTCGCTCCAGGGTGCTCCAGAACGGTGGGATGGCGTAGATTTTCCAGACTTGGAGTTTTCCCGTTCTTTTTGTTTCTGGTGCCGCGATTCATCCTTATGATCTTTGCGAGACCTTTCGTCTGCATTCAGCTCTCTGTCATTTGTGAAAGTCTTCATTCAGCCCTTTCTGAGCTACCATTGAAACATTATCGATATCTTCCGAATGCTCAATCGGCGTTGAATACCCTGGATATATCTTTGTATCATCGTTGTCCAAAGTACTGGTAGAAATGAATTTCCGTCTCGCTTTAGCATCAAAATGCGCCATATGATTTTCAGCAGCGTCGATGACTGCATCTCTAGATGTAACGACATGTTTAGGCATCTCGAAGCTACTCTCTGATCTATCCGTATCCTTACGTTGGGTTCTCGCTTTTTAGTAGTGCTGTACTCATTCTCAACATGCGTTCTTTGTCGAAAAAGCTTCCAAGGGTCATCAGGAACCGCTGGAAGGAGAAACCGGTGAGAATTTGGAGGATCTCGTGGATGTATCTCAGAATGTGCGACATGATATGGTGGAATCTGAGGCCAGCCTGTTCCGGTGTATGAGCTATCAATATATGGTACCCCTTCATTCCTTCCCGGGATGTATTGTGTTCGGCTCAATAGTGGCATGAATCCGGTGTTCAAACGATTTGTTTCCCAATCTCTCGCTCCTGAATGAAATTCATAGTCCACTGAATGATTCTGCTGTGGTTCTGCACAAAGTTCGATATTTGTATATTGTGCCTGTTGAGCGTCATGTCGAGCCATATTATACATATGAGCAATCAGTGAACCATTGGAAGATAATGCACTGCATTTTTGTGAGCTCCATGGTTTACATGAAGGTGAAATACTCACGGTTGATTCTGGACTGCTCTGATATTGAGAATACTGAAGAAGACGTTCAAGCTCACTTGAAGTCGTTGAAGCTCTTTTGAATATCTATCAAGCTTGTGTTCTCCTAGTGGATTTATGTATCTCGCAAGTCGCGATTCCTTGAACTTGCGTACTTTTGCTAGAGCCTCGTCGACTTTCAGGAGTTTTGGATGCTTCCCTGGATTGGCCCTCAATTCTTCTTTGTATTCGCACAACCGAAGCTTGATCTTGATTTCCAGATCGGGTGAATCGTCCTTGTTGAGAACCCAGGCTTCCACTCTCCAGAAGATCTTCAAACAATCGTCGGTCGTTTGTTGAAATTTTCTGATACCTTCTATACTGAGAAGTGTCGCCTTTTGTCTCTGCTTCACGACGCGCTCACTTTCCTCCTTTAAAAAAATATTAATCTGTTCAATGGAATTGCTCGCAGCACGAATGTTCGTCAACGTTGCTCGAAGATTTTGAGCGGCCGAGCTGGCATCATTCGCATACTTCGTCAGGACCTGTATCAATTGAATACCAAAACTAGCGATTCCAACTGCTGAGCTTGCAGCCCCTAATATTTTAATTGGGTCCATCAGGGTATCGTTATACTGAAGGAAACCATCATTGATAAACGGGAATTCAGTTTCTTTTGCAAGAATGATTCTTGACTTCAACTACATGAAATGTTTAACGAGGCTCCGGGCTGAGAAACAAGCTGCATGGTAACACCAGGTTCTCGCCACATCTAACAATTTTATGCGCGAGAGGCAGAGTGTTACACAGACTTACGGATCGGGAAAGAGTAAAATCAATTAGCAACCCGATTGGCAAGTCAATGTAGTCTTGAGGGGCAGCTGCAGGTGTGTAACCTGTCACTCACATGGGTAACACTTGCACCTGTCAGAAGTCAGTCTATTGCCTGCGTATTAATGAGCACCTCAGACTGCCTGCCCTCTAGCCAAGCCATTCGTGCACAGTGCGGTAGGCCCTCTGATTTGACCTGTCCACTATCGACTTGGTGAATACCAATGGCTCTAGGAGACTTCTCCGATATAATTGGTCGATCTGAGGAGACTATGCATAAACCTACCTAGTACCCCCTGTGTCATGAGCAGCTGTATATTATGAAAACCCTTCTATGTACGGCTCAAGCAGAGCCGCAGCCTTACCGTGCGTTTTGAAGGTGACATCGCGCCAAAACGAGTGTTGCAGATGATAAAGCCTCATCTTCTTAGAATTCTGATCTATTTATTGCCTCATTGCTTCAAAGGCGAGACTTAAGCGGGGCAATCGTCTAAAGTTTGAAGACCACAAGTTATTTCTCTCTTTGCTCTTTGAGGTCATTGAGAAAGAGTACAATAGCTGCGATCAATTAGTCAGGGGATGTGGATTCATTCTTAACGTGGACCAAAGATAACTTCAAACCATCTCCACTTCATTTTTCAATATATGCTGAATAGTCGAGCTCAACATCATGAGTCAACAAAAGGCCGGATGGTGTAGTTGGTTATCACATGTCCTTTACAATCTAAACCTAGATTTAAAACGGACAAGGTCCTGGGTTCGAGCCCCAGTCCAGTCATTTAACTCTTTTGTCTTTTGGTCGTCCTGAATGTTGTGGTCGATGAAGGGGTAAGATGGTTCTTTTTTTCGCTTGTGGCTGAGAGGGAATTTTGGTGGGGACGGCGTGATCCCGTACTACACTTGGAAAGAGCTAGTCTCAGCTAGTCTATCTAGACTTCTAGGTGGACCACAACTGAATGCACAATTTTATACTTGAGCCGAAGGGTAAAGTAACCACACTTGTAAACAGTTCCATGTATCTGAATACTCTGGTCATGAACTTGGATCTTGCTGGCCGTGCAACCCTGAGATCGATTTGCGCCACAAGATAATGGGGGCATTCAGAGCCTAGCAGAGAGTGAAATGTGCGCTGATGTGCATATGAACCTCACTTATTGGTTAGTCGTATATCCGGTTTTGATTCATAGAGCAGCGGAGCCAATATCATAAAGATACTTTGAGGGGGCAATATGGCAATGAAAATAAACTTCTGAAAGCCAAGTCTTGTCCTGAAGTCAGCAAGTATTTGGAAGGATAAGATAAATATCACCCCAGGGCAACACTTCTATAGTCATTCAAGCTACCAATATGATTGTCGGGGGACCATAGCCTCCGCATACTCCAATGATCATCACACTGTCAACCATTGCCACGAGTGATCGAAATTTCGACGTGTAATCGCGGAAACACAACAAGCCAATCCGTAAATACTTCCACAAGATGTCATTATACATACGGTAAAAAGCTCGGAAAGTACGAACAGTATAAGTAAAGAGTATTGCCAGCTAATAAGATACCGAAAGACATTATTTGGTTTGCCAGAATGCTGTGAAATAATGTAAAATGTAAAGCGGACAATGCCATAACAATCCCATGAAAAGGAAATTGACGTGTATCCCCGGAGCGGCATAACGAGATCACATCGCATTGAATAACCTTCGAGTTGAAGGAACCCAGAGAGAGGACATTTGGTGACCGGAAAGACATAAAAAACCGCCTCTGATCTCCAGAAAGACAATAACATTCCATTTCACAAACCATCGACACGTAGGAACTGTGACCTTACTGGCAAGTATCGGTAATCCATCCCATCGTATCTCTAGCCATATAATCTCGCATTCTGACGTAGGCGAACAACACGATACCGAAGTGGGATTTAATCCGTAATATTTGGACTTGTACTATAGATGTAGAAGTCAAAGAAATGAAAATCTCAAATACATTAGGACTCGAACTTACAGTACATAAGAAGCCAAGATACTCGCAAATTGCAAGAGTTGATGTTGGATAAAGCTCCTCCTTATAGATGAGATCGGGTAAGATGTATTGTTGGCTCCTATAACCTTAACACATATATTGTTTACTCAGGAGAATCAAAATTTAAACATACCGGTATACTATATCCCAATAATACTCAATTACTGGCACCGGTACTCCAGAAACCAAGAAAACAACAGTAAATTAAATACTGTAGTTGAAAAAAAAAAAGGAAAAAGACTGCTCCTCCATTAACAACCAATCATGATGATCAGTTGTGTCAAATATACATTGGCGATGATGTCCAGCCAGTATAAAAAGCTCCCATTTACTTCTAGTCACGGTCACGGTCATGGTAAGTTCATGGATTCATGCTGACTAAATGTTTATTGGCATCTTCTTAAACAACTTACCCCATCTCTCAAATTACTATATAGTATTCTCCGACTCAGATTTCACTACTACCCGATATATCAATTAGATAGAATAAATACGATTTGACATTTTGTATTCCTTATATATACTCGATTGACTACTATACTGGGAAGTGTAGTGTAGCTCTAAATAACGATATATATACTCGAGTATATATATTTCATTGTATCTTTCTCTGCCTGCCAAATATAAAATTCTCGAAAATTGATGCCAATACCTAATACCCAATACCCGTACCGTTTCATCTACCTTACCTATCCTCAAAGATCTTTAGGATAGTCTAATATTTATCTACATATTCTAAACATCTCATAATAGATACAATACAATAACCCACAAGTTCTATTCTTACACATCGGCAACCTAAGGCCTCACACTCACACTCCCACTCTCCACATCCTTCTCCTTCATCGTAAAATTCGAACTCTGCTCTTGCAAAATCTGCATGATTACCTTTCCACTATCATCCGCATCCACATGCGTCGTCACGCCCTTGTTCTTCTTGGTTCTGGTGCGAATATAGATTCTCTTGATCCATTTCCACGACTCGATTCCGAGAAAGAACAACAAAGATTCGATGAACACGATGCCCCATTCCCAGCTAATACCCTCATGTTTAAAGACCTTGCGGTTAATCACCGGAATGTAAAGCGTGGGAAACACTGTGACGAATCCCGCGATGATGGCCCAGAATAAAAATCGATTTCTCCAGATATCGTGGATCCACTGTGTGAAATATTTCTTACTGCCGGGTTGCATGCGGAAGAAGGATCTTCGCATGTTGATCATTTCCCACGCGAGGAAGAGGGAAAACCAGGTGAGGCAAACAAATGTAGTGGCGCGAGCTCGGAAAACGGTATCGCATTCTTCGGAATAACGATCATTACATTCGGAGCCGAGATTACCATCACCCCAGCCGAAGAGAACGAGAGAGAAGGCCGAGAGACAAAGTGCAGCCATCCAGAGACCGTAGACTAACATATCGATCATTACCTCGGGAGTAAATACGCCTCTTTTGAGGGATTGAGGTGGTCGATCCATGATATCAGGCGCTGCGATCTCAAAGCCAAGACCCATATCTGGCATACCTAAATTTGATCATGTTAGTAAACAATTTGTCGAACGAAACTGGAAAGATCTTACCAGATGTAATCATAATGACCCATAGAATTTCTACGGGCGCCAGTGGAAAAACGGAAGTTCCGGTAGAGTCCTTGAAGGCAAGTCCGATGAGAAGTGTGCAAGCTTGAGCAATGTTCTGCGCTAACAAATGTAATAAGAATTTTTGAATGTTGTCAAACATTCGTCTACCTTCTTCGATAGCATTAAGAATCGAAGCGAAATTGTCGTCCGTCAGGATGATATCTGATGCATCTTTGGCTACGTCGGATCCTGCTTCGCCCATTGCGATACCGACATCTGCCTTCTTCAATGAAGGAGAATCGTTAACACCATCACCCGTCATAGCAGCAAAGAGCTTTCGTCTATGGAGAGCTTCGATCATGCGAACTTTGGTGTTGGGTGAGCACCGCGCAACGACTAGAGGTAGGATCGGGAGGTTGTCGATTTCTTCCTCGCTGAGTTTATCGAATGCGCTGGCTGCCATAACCATCACATCCATACTATCTTGTGCTATTGTAGAGGTGTTGTGGGGTAAGATTCCAACCTGTGCAGCGATAGCACGTGCGGTTTCCGGGTGATCGCCAGTGAGCATGTGAACTGCGATGCCTGCTTGGTGGCATAGTTTCACCGATTTTTCCGTTTCTGGACGCGGAGGATCATAAAGCCCAATGAGTCCATGGAAGATTAGATTGTCCTCTACTTCCGCTCGGTTGGGTTGGGCATCGGTATTCGTAGGATGTTCCCATAGTTTACTGGCCAATGCTAACACACGTAGACCCTGGGCGGCAAGTGCTTCCATGTTGTTGAGAATCTCGCCACTCATTTCTCTTGTCATTACTATGACCTCTCCGTTTCGCATCCGGACCCGCTCACATGATGAAATCACCCTCTCAACTGCACCCTTGGTGAATACCATCGCGCTACCAGATTCTTGGTGTTCAAAAATGACAGACATCTTTTTCACATCAGAGTCGAAAGGGAATTCGGCGATTTGTTTCCACTGAGGTGAGTCTCCACTTGTCCATCGTTCCCTATTCCAATTGAATCTGGAAGCAAAGACCTGAATCGCAATCTCGGTTGGGTCACCTCTTGCTTTCCAACCTTGTTCGCCTTTGTGAACATGAGCAAGATTTGCCATTGAAGCAATATTAAGGAAAGCTTCAAGGTCAGGATTGTCTTGTAGAAGATTGGAAAATGATTCCGTCTTTTCTTCACCCCAATCGTTACGCATTTGATATGGGGATTTCTCACTGTGAGACAAATCTCCCTTTTCGGGATTGATCGATTCCTCCGAGGGTCCAACAGAGTAGGTTCCCCTAGCTGGCATCCACACTCTCTTCGTGACCATTTTGCCTTGAGTGAGAGTTCCGGTTTTATCCGAGCAAATATCTGCAAAAGTTAATCATTGAAAATTATCAATAGGGTGAAGAATATTACCAGTCACTGCGCCTAATGCTTCGAGGGCTTCCATTTTACGTACAATTACATGTCTTTGCGACATGACCTCAGTCCCTGCAGCCATGGTGATAGTCAAGACCACGATCAGTGAAGCCGGGATCATCGAAAGTCCCGTGGCTACGGCGTAAATAATGACTTCTTGGTTATTGGAAAAACTGTTTGCCGCCAAAACAATGATCGCGCAGACAACAGCGACGAGGAATAACAGGCAAGCAAGTTGGGATAACTTCTGTTGCAATGGAGTACCAACGTTGGTGCCAAGAAAACGACCGACGAAATCAGTTGTGGTAAGAGCGTAAGCTTGGGCATATCGATGAGGCCTAGCTTTGCCATCTGCATTACGCTTGACCTCTCGAATTTTACTAACTTCCGATCGAAGAGACGTTGCAATCGATCCGATTTGTGTTCTCATACCCACTGCAAACACAATACCGCGTGCTCGACCCTTTGTAACCGTAGTGGAGCTGAAAGCAACATTGATACGATCACCAGCTGTGATATCAGAATCGAAAACTGGAGTTGCTTCCTTTACAATTGGCAGCGATTCTCCTGTCAATATCATTTCGTCGGTTTCAAAATTCATGGTTTCTATTAATCTACAATTGATCTGTTAACATAACATATACCCAGAATGGAGGAGAGGACCTAGACAAGTACCGTATATCTCCCGGAATTGTGTCACCGGTTTTGACTTCAACCAGATCGCCAACAACAATGTTAACAGTAGCAACTACGCTAATAGCTCCGTCTCTAACAGCGTGTGCCGTAGGGGAACTCAAGTTGCGCAATGAGTCCATCGTCTTTTCCGCCTTGTACTCGTTAATGAATCCAATCACAACATTGAGCAGTATGACTGCCGAGATGACGCCGCCTTCGATAAACGAGCCAATGCCAAAACTGACAGCCATGGCCAGTATCAAAACCTAAAATTAAAATAAGATGAGAAAGAGGTTCCAACTTCAATGTTCATGAGTAAACGAACCAAGATCATTGCATTGGCGACTTGATGAATAAGAATCTTGATTGGTTGTACACCAGGTCCATCATCAAGTTCATTTTTTCCGTACAATGCGAGACGATTGTCAGATTCGACCTTAGTGAGTCCATCCTCAAGGTTTACTTCCAATTCCTGTGCCACCTGTTCATACTTTAAAGCATGAGCTGGTTTGGTTAAAGGCTTATTCGATTGTCCCGAGACATGCTCGACAATATCGCTTTTAGCCATGACGTACGGTCTTTTGAAGTATTGATAGAATGTGTCTGAATGAATATGCAATCATACAGGGCGAAGTTGAACTGAAAAGTATAGAAGCAGTCTAGAAAGAATGTGAAATAATTAACCATGTATATTAGAGAGACTTCCTAATAGGGGAATTCTGTCTTCATATATAGTATGGCTGTACTTTATATGACTAGGATATCAAACAATACTTATCTATAGTATAAAATGACCAAGACACTATATCTTGGCAACTCAAGGTTTATTCAAAGTAGTTTATATAAAGCACCCCGCATGATTGTAGATGAAATGTCGTTATGACGAAATAGTGTACTTGGTACTTTCTTTAATCGATTGTTACCAAACCACTCCAAGAATAGCCTCATCATTAGAGCCTTGGCGGAATGATTTCAGCAAAAGCCGAGGTCCAAGAAGATGAGTGAAAAGAAGGTACCTAGGTCGTGGTGATTCCTTAACAATGCTATTCACTTGATAAGCAATTGAAAACTACCACGATAAGGACATTGAAAACCTGAGATTTTCACCAAACAATTACAGTCAGTGAGGTACATTATGGTACCTCAAGTTGTTGATGACATTTAGCATGCCACTTTGAGGTTGAAATAAAGTTTAATGGTCTTGAGTTGAGTCTTGATCCGAGGAGAAGAAGAAAGAAGATCTCGGTTATTGCTGACTAAGGTCCATAATGACAAGCCCGCTAAGAGTTGCCCAGAACTTGTTAAAGTTACACTGAACCTTGGTAGTACTTGGCCTATCAATTAAGTGATTTAAAGACTGAGAACTGTCCAATTGAGAATATGATGCGAAAATAGGAAAGTTAAATTCCTCTCTAACCTCAACACAATAACGTGATGGACGCGCGTGATCTACTAAATAAGTCACTATCACCACTATCAACAGTGCTAGTCTGCACTTACATTCATTAGGTTTACACTACATCTCCGGAGTCCCCCCCCTCCTCACTCGCCACCCCCAGACTCCAGACTCCAGATCTCCACACCTTCCCTTTTCCCCTTCCCCTCCCTCTTCCCCTCACCCTCCCCATTCAACCCACAATCCTCAACCCTTAACACAATAAACACATAATCTACTAAATAGTCACTATCACCACTATCACCACTATCACCACTATCATCACTATCACCACTAGTCTGCACACCACACTTGTCTTTGTTAGATTCACACTTGATTTTTACCAGTACGTACTATTTCTACATTTCCGGACTCTAGATCCCTTATCTTCCCCATTCAATCCTCAACCCACAATACAACAACATAATAAACCCATAATCTACTAGATAGTCACTAGTCTGCACTTACATTCATTAGGTTTACACTACATCTCTGGAGTCCTCCCCCCTCCTCCCTCGCCACCCCCAGACTTTAGATCCCTCATCCTCCCCATTCAACCCTTAACACAATAACGTAATGGACACATGATCCACTAAAATAGTCGCTATCACTACTATGTCTCCGGAGTCCTCCCCCTTCGCCACCCCCAGACACCAGATCTCCACACCTTTCCCTTACCCTAACCCTCAACCCATGCTTCTCTCCATACCCTAATATAATCTCACAGACTCACACATCAATCAATCATTCACATCACATCACATCATCTAGTAGCGCCGCCACCATTCCCAGTTCCCATTTCCAAATTGCAAATGTTCATAACCATCATTTCATGTTCATCCATCCATCCATCCATCCCATCCATTTATTACTAACTATCCTTCCTATATACATACACGGATCTTTCACCACTAGTTACCCTCTTCCCCTTCATTTGTGCATTCTCACTCCCTTCCACATTCCCTTCCAGTCCCCTCCGTCCCCTCCGTCCCCAATCATCCCCACACCCAACATTCTCCATCCAACCTCGTCTCCCCGTTTCTTCATCCCTCCATGCAATTTCCAAGAAGCAACTTAATAGCCAGGCTAAAACCAGAACCAACGGACTCAACGAAAACGAAAAGACTTTTGTAATTCTCCGCTTTTCCGCTCATGCATACCAGCAGAAAAACAAGACGCCCAGATATCATTTATTAGATACCATCATTTGTAAAAAGGTGCAGCAAAAGGTATTTTTTGAAAAAAACAAGGATACACGAAAAAGATAAATCAGGTGTTTATCCATGTAAACCACTGGTTCTCTCCTTCATCATCTTTCTTCTCTCCTTGTCTTTGACTATTTAAATTGTTAGCATATACTCGAATTGTAGAAGAACCGGTGGTTCGAGAAGGGGATAAACAAGGAGTACAAACCTGAATCATAGACCAAAAAGTCATGTAATGCATTTCCAGCTGGTACCATCGGTAAGACAGGTACCTTTTTATCAGTGACAACCTCCAAAAGCGCGGGTCCATCACTCTCAATTAACCATTTCAAAGAATCCTTTACGTCATCTGGCCTGATACATCTTCTGTGTTGCACACCCATTGCATCTGCCAATTTCATGAAATCTGGGTTGACGCTGTGAGTATGAGAATATCTATCCTCGTAGAAGATATTTTGCCATTGAGTCACCATTCCTTGTTCTTCATTATTAAGGACAATGACCTTAACACCGATGTTGAATTGAGCTGCGGTAGAAAGCTCAGTGAGTGTCATGTTGAAAGAAGCATCTCCGTCGATGTCGATGACAAGAGCATCAGGTTTGGCAACCTTGGCACCAATAGCTGCTGGAAGACCGTAACCCATAGTACCAAGACCACCAGATGTAATCATAGTTCTTGGGTACCTCCATCTGAAATGTTGTGCAGTCCACATTTGATGTTGACCGACACCTGTAGCGATGATAGTCTCCTCTTTTCTGTCGGCTGTCAAATTTGAGAGTTCCTCGATCAAAGTTTGTGGCTTAATAAGACCATCTCGTTCAGCCTTTTCATAGTGAGAAAGAGGGAATTTCTCCTTCCAAAATCTAATTTGGTCGAACCATTCCTTGCGGTCATCCATAGTTTTCTTCTCGACAACTGGAAGAAGATGAGCAAGGTTGGTAACAACATCACCTTCAACTGCCTCGGTAGCCTGAACAACCTTGTTGATATTCTTTGGCATAATTTCGAAGTGAACAATACCACCACGACCTTCAGCTGCTGCTGCCTTTGCTGCTGGTGCGAATTTGGGAATACTTCCAGTTACACGATCATCGAAACGTGCTCCAAGAGCAATAATGAGATCGGCTTCTTGCATGGAAAGGTTAGCATATGCAGAACCGTGCATACCAAGCATGTGTAAAGATTTCTCATCAAGCTCGTCAAATCCACCAAGACCTTGAAGAGTTGTCGTTACAGGAATAGATGCCTTTTCTGCAAGTTCCTTGAGCAATCTAGGGCCCTCTGGTGTGGAAATAACACCCTGACCAGCATAAATGATTGGTTTCTTGGCGATGTTGATCAATTTCGCAACTCGTTCGATTGAGCCTTGGAGTTGTTTCCTTTGGATAGCCTGTGCCGCTCTCGAGGCCTGACTTGGTAAAGACGGCATGATGTGGTGGGAAGGAATAGCTTTTCGGAGAATGCCAGCTGTAACATCCTTTGGTAAATCTACCAAAACTGGTCCAGGTCGTCCGGAGGTGGCGATTTCGAAAGCCTCGTTAATTCTTCTTGGAAGCTCGGCAATATTCTTAACCATAACATTCCATTTTGTGCAAGCTCTTGAGATACCAATGATATCAGCCTCTTGGAAAGCATCACTTCCGATCGCAGTAGTGACGACTTGTCCAGTGAAAACTACCATTGGTGTTCCATCAGACAAAGCGTCCTGCATTGGGGTAATAACATTAGTAGCACCAGGTCCAGATGTAACGAGAACCACACCAGGTTTGCCACAAGCTCTAGCATATCCTTCTGCCATATGTCCGGCACCTTGTTCGTGTTTTGGTAAGATAAATTCGAAATGTTTTGAGTTGTAGATCGCATCGAACACTGGTAAAATGGCACCTCCTGCATAACCAACTATTCCCCAGTCAGCTCAATTCCTCCATACCCACAGTATTAAACTTACAGATATGCTTGACACCCTGCCGTAACATCATTTCATGGAAGATCTCTCCACCGGTCATCCCAATAAATCTGTTCCACAATTAGCATCCTGCTGTGTGGCTTTCCCGAACGCCATGGCTATAACATACGACTCATCCATCTCTGTATATTTCTGTCCCTGTCCCGACAATTCCTTTCTCGAATCACTTTGCGAAGGCGTGGCATTGAAAGCCGGACTAGGAGATTCTCTAATTTGACTATATTCACATGTCAGTCGTCTGTCTTTCATCCGAATGACTCATCCCCCATCTCTGCATTGAGTCTGAAGCTCCAACCCGCAGCAAACCCCCGCAGATATGGAAGAAAGAGAAAGTCATACCTAGAGACCTGAGGAGCAGCAGTAGCCTGCGCCCTAGTACCGCTCTTCTCAACCATAATACCACCCGCCGCCTTCACACGATTTGACAAGCCCCTCGCACCAGCGACCTCCATCCATCTCGCGTGATTGCCAATTGTGCGAATAGCACGTCGTGCGGGTATTGAGCGAAGCATGTTGACCTTTCTTCAGTTTAAGAGTGGAGATTCCGTAGATTTGGTTCCTATGTCGATATTAAGAGGCAAACGAATAAAGAGAAGAAAAGAAAGTAATTACAATGGCTCAACTTAATCCAGATAAACGAATCGAGTACTTCTCAATTGAATGATGCTTAGAAAAAGAGATGTTATTGTTGCAAAAAGTCGGTGGGAAAAGAAGTCTGTTGAGAAGTTAAGAAAATATGACTCCAGAGTTGTGATTCACACCCTACAACATTTATTTGAAAGTCAGCCCGTTCCTTTTTCTTGTATTGATTTTCTGCGGTATCGGGGGCAAAATGTGGGGAAGCGAGAAGCAGAAGTTCCCTTTAACTTGTGCTTCACTATGATTGGTCGGGGAAAAGAAATGTGTATTAATTGTGCATAAAGCGTCTGTCCAATCAGTAATCAGATTTTACAGTTCACGGCGACGAGGTTAACACATTTCATATGAGATATGAGAACTGTGAACTGTGAACTGTGATATACATCACAAAAGCAAAGTCTCTTTCTTGTCTTTCAATTTCGCTGTACAACTCCGTACCAACAGTACACAACCAAATATAACCTCATGCATCACAATTTAAAATCCCCATTAACCTTCTCCCATCCTCTCACCACCCCCTCATTCTCCCCAATATCCACCATTGCCGCCACCTTCTCCGCCAACGCAATCTTCAACGTTCTTGATCTCTCGGTACACAATTCATAGATGGTACTTAGATTGAAGGTCACGGCATGAAATGAATTGTCTTCTGCGATTAAGGATTCCAGGATTGTCCTGGCCTGTTGATATCATCGTGAGCATAATATGAAGTGGAAGGAAGGAGTGATTGATATGGGAAACATAACATGGGGATGGTGATATGGAATGATGATTGAGAGTAAAATGATACATACCTCCTCACCACGTCCCAGGTATAATAATGTAACTCCGAGGTTTTGTCTCCACATGGCTTTCTCTCCTTTTCCGGCTGTGGTTTCTTCGTTTGCGATAAGCTCTTCCCAAATCACAACGGCCTCTTCATACTTCCCTTCAGCAACAAATGCCAGGGCTCTAATCGTTCCATCTATCTCACTCGCCATGAACTCTTTCCCACCCCCTTTCTTCAAACACTCCCTCGCAGCATCAATATCCCCTAGACACAACCACAGTAATGCTTTCTTTGCCCTTAATTCCTCATCTCCCTCTTCGTTAACCTTCAAACTCTTCAGATGCGTCCCCGCCCCCACCAAATCTTCCATCTCAATCAGCGCACTTGCAACTCTAATCCCAAGATCCGCCAATCTTCCTTCCCATGAGTCGATCTCCCCAATTAAATCCTCCCCAGCGACGTTTCGCTTCTTCAATTTCATCAAGGTACTCCTGGCATCTCTAGCCAAATCATAATATCCCATAACACCTCTTCTAGCATCTCCTAATCCCATACCCTGCAATCTAACTGCTAAAACTCTCAGCTCCCATCCTACCATATGAGTGTCTGTTTCATCATCCCGGTAGTAGGCGGCATTGAGGTCTTCGAGAGCTTTTACTTCCTGAGCCGCGAGTTGAGTCTGATTACAGAGTGTGAGACAGGCGAGACGGATGTAGAATAGGTTAAATATATCATCATATGATGTGGGGCCAGGACTGGATGTCAAAAGAGTAGCACTTAAAATGGCCGCAGCTCGAAAATAGCCCGCTGCTAAGAGTGATGAAAGGGTATTGGCATCTGGATTAGGTGGGAGCGATGAAGCTGGAGAGGAACGAAATGATAGGGGAATCTCGAGAACGGGTAAAGGATGGTAGATTTCTGGACGGAGTAGATAAGAGAAATCTTTCTGGAGTGTCGATACAGTCGATTGGAACGATGTATTTTGTGATGGCGAAAGCGATGTGGGAGCTGTCATAAAAGTATTGGACGATAGATTCGAACCTGGACTTGGTGATGGAAGCCTAGGTGTCCGACTTCTTGGCACTGGACCACCTGGCGAGAGTGTCTGTGTGGTGTTGATGTAATTTGTAGGCGACAAAGGACTATTTAGAGGAGAACTATATAAGTTTTAGTATCGCTTTCTCATATATGGGAGTAATACACACTCGTTGATATCCAGCGGACCTCGTGTCGGCCGTCTGGGTAAAGCTTTCGAGTAATCAGTCAAGAGCTTACTTTGATCCATTATGCAAACGCTGTCTTGTAGATGTAGATAAAATAGTGAAGTCGTGTCCATTTACAGACACATAATCGTTCACTTCACGAGAAGCCACGTGCGGCGTGCCAATGAGCTTCTACCGCATTCACCAACGTCGCGCACTTACACAGACTTCGATATCGACGACATCGCCTATCCTTCTATTCTTCAACCTTTGTATCTTCCTATCCGCAATCGGAACTTTTCACCCAAACTAATACCTGCCATTCTCAATAAGATCCACAACCCCCTTAGTGACAAGCCTAAGGGGTCGATCAAGAATCAAAATCCAAACTCCAACACCCTCCAAACCCTCAATAATAAAAACGTAACGAAAGAATGAAATAAAATGCCTTACCTCTCCCCGAAGAAGCTTGCCTAACATGTTTCTTCCCTCCTGTTCCGTCTGATGAAGCACTTTCCATTTTGTGATGTGTTTTGATGATTCCAGGTACCGAGAACAATGAGAGAATCAATCCATGTTCCAGAATTATGCAAAGACCATCAGATGCATCTACTCGAGTATAGGCTAGTAAGTTATGCAAATATGTAATTATTTATGCATCGTCACGTCTCATCTGAAGTTTTATAAACACAATAATAAAACGAAACTGTATTCTATAATGGGTATTGATACTGCAAAGCTTTTATCATCTTTCAGTCGCAAAAAAGGTATTTAGGCAGCATTTCCACCTTCCACAACGAATACCGCACTTCCACCACCAGGTTTACTAACCACTACTGCCGCCTCCCTCTGCTCTTCCGATAACTCCTTCTTCGAATAATAATCCCTGTCCCAAGCCTCTCTAACCGCATCAACCTTATCCGCCGGAACCAAGTGCACACTACATCCACCCCATCCCGCACCAGTCAATCTACTTCCATAACTACCCGCCTTCTTTGCTATTTCACACAGTTCGTCTAATTCTGGACAACTACAGTCAAAGTCTTCTCTGCAGCTGGTCTGAGTTTCGTTCATTAATTCACCAAGCTTTCGGTTGAAAGTTTCAGTGTGGCCACTGTCGGCATCCAGATAAGATTCGGGGTATTCAAGGACTTTCATAAACTTTAGGACTCGAAGAGCTTCGGTGAAAACGTGAAGGGTTCTTTGTCGAAGTTTAAAATGCTCAGCGCGGACGGGGAAGGTAGAGGTGAAGCGCTCATTCAATTCAGGGACAGTCATATTTATGACAGAGGCGATTTCTTCCCTGGTGTATCCCTCTTCTTTTGTGAATGTTTTCTTTGTGAGTTCAATAAGTTCGGAAAGTTGTTCTTCGAGGGGCGCGGAGGAACCACCAAGATATTTGCTATGGAAGCCGTGAAGAGAGACACCTAGAGGTCCGGAATCGGAAGGAAGAGGGTCCTTGGATTTGTTGATAGCGGCATGAAGATAGGCTGCCGCGAGACTGCATTCTACAACCCTCAAATTGTAGCATACTGGACCAGTGACATGTTTGTCCGCTGCAACAAACGATTGTGCGATGACGAATGTGAGCTCGGGGTTTGTTTTTGGGAAGTGAACAGGTTTTGCTGTTAGAGTTGGATTAAAAGAAACGTATAATGCCGAGCCACGGATAGAGAAGACCGATGCGGATTGATCCATGCCGCCCGAGTTGACCCCTACGGCTCTTTCACTGACCACTGCCAATTCAGTGAGCTGTGTCTTATCAACAGATTTCTCCCCATTGGCAAATAAGACCGCAAGAGCAGAAGCTGTAGTGAAAGCAGCAGAACTACTCAATCCACCACCGGAAGGCACAGTTCCATCCATTAAGACTTCCATACTCTTGGGTCTGAAGCCATCTCCATGTTTTCCCCTCAAAATCTCCAAAGCTCCGCGGAGCCCAGATTTCAAATAATTTGTCCACTCGTGTACTTTTGAATCAATCTCCACTGCATCGAATGGTATATCGAATTCATGTGCTGGGAACTTATCCGCTTGCACATTCGAAACTCGCACCTTGAATGTCGTACTAGTCGATGCAGATTCGTCGATTTGGGTAGAAACTGCGAGTAAAGCATCCGCAGTTATGGCCATGGGTAGGACGGAATATAGAGAGTAATCGATATGCTCCCCGATAATGTTGACACGACCCGGGGATCGTGAAACGAATTGCGCATCGTGTCCATAATTGCTCTTGAATTGCTTGAGAAGTTTATCCCATCTATCGGTTTGTGCAGCCAAGGCATCTTCGGTGTAGATGTCTTTGAGAGACTTTGCAACAGGTACGATGCCAGCCATTGTGAATGAAGGTTATCGAGGGGTGGGAGTTTGTAGGAGGGGTAGGTAGCTGTCGATTTGGATTGTCGCGAACTTACGAACTTAGAAGGCTGCGAATCTAAAAATCTGCAAGGTGAAGAAAGAGAAATGCTCGAACAGGATGTAGAGAGAGTAATTTGAATAGGAGATCACAAACCGTCAGTTCATAAGAGGGGCACGAGATCACAACATTCACTGTCAGTTCTGTCACAAACCGGTACCTAGGTACAAGAGGAAGGACCCCGCCATTGACCCCGCTGTGCCCCGAGTCTTCTCCAGATTAATTGGTGCGCCTCGTTCCGACATCCACTATTTATTTCCAGATGGAAAAACTTAACAGTTACCACTCGTATCATGAGTAAATGAAAGTAAGATTTATCGTGAGATTTGATATTGCAGTTTTGAGTTAAATCCGAGGGAAAAGTTTGATCGATGGCTGGTCCTCTCATGAGAAGAAACGAATATTTATATTTAGATCCTTGCACAGAGTGGTCTGTACCTCTGTACCGAATCACTAATGAAGGGGCTATACTACGCGATTATCCCAAAGAACTTCAAACACTCATCTTGTATTATATATATCAATCTATCTACAGTATCTCTTATTCCTTTCATCTCATCTCATCTCATCTCATCTCATCTCAGCTCAGCTCTTCTTCCCTATCAACCCAGCTCAAACTCCCCAAAATCCCCATCCCATCTTTTCCCCCACTCACCCACTCACCCACCCCATTCTCTCATTCTTCATACCCCTTTGAAAGTGGATTGGTTACTTGTACTCGAGTAATTCCACCCAAATCCCAAATAATAAACCATAGGATCTTTGTATTCTCTTCTATCTCTTTTGGATATCATCTACTCTATATGATCTATGATCTATGCTCTATGATCTAGTTCTAAACGCTTATTATATACCTAGGTATCCATGAGATATCCTGAGTTCCTCCTCCCTCCTTCCTCCCAATCTACTTTCCATACCAAAGCGGATGAGGTATATACATTATCATATCCTAAATCACCACCGCTGCGACGCTTTTATGATGTCCATTCTTCCATCCCAAATTCCAATCATCATGCGAATTATGTGCTAATTGTTATTCCAAACGCCTATCAACGCCAATCTTATGCCCGAATTGCTGGAGGACATATCATATGGCAAGAAAGGAAATCCCAATTCCTTTTCTTCTTAGCCACATGAATCCCTCACTTCATGTCCTTCCCGGTGATGCTTTTTGCTTGTTTCCAATCCAGGATCAGCACTTCGTCGCTTTTCTTCCCCATCTCTCCTTCTCCCTTTATTCCCCTTCTCAAATACACCTGTCGAACCACATTCCCATTCTCAATCAAGAAGCTATCCAAAAAGTTCCAGCTCAATTTCTGTTCCTCGTTCAATGCTGGTCGTGTTGGTGCTAAACTGTGCATAACATCAATATTCTTATCCCAAGTCACCTCTGTTCTCCTCAAATCGACACTGCCGTCATCCAAAGCTGTCGAATTACTTGATTTTTTCGCTCCTCGCTCTAATGACCCCTCGGAATATTTCGCAATGCTGAACCCATTGGTAAGGACGATATCATTTTTGAATTGCCAACGTTGTAGAAAGCATTCATCACACACGTCCGATACCAAGTGCATTTTGTCCATCTCGTAGGGATATTTCGTCACAGATCCTGCTTTCCAATGATGTAAAGATAATATCCTTCTGCCATTCTCATAGAATCCGGAATGGTCTCCGGTGAGATCGATTTGCGAAAGTCCAGCTATTGGCTTAAGTTGGGCAGTTGAATGTCGAGCTATGCAGTCCATCACCAGCGTATCTCCCGAGGTGAATCGCATGTTATTTTTGCACTCATTGTTATTATCATGCACAATTTTGGCCAGTGGCGTAGAAAGAAAGACTCCAGCTCCTCCAAATGCCATCAGCCCGTACATTCTTACAGCTGCCCAGTCCTCGGATAATCCGCCAATGTATTGAGGTTGGGTGTGGTCGTGATGAGCAAGTTCGTCAAGTAAAGCCCGAAAAGAAGGGAAGAATGTGTCGTCATCCATGATAACAGTCCATTTTGTTTGCTTATTGCGAGCCGCATACATGACATTTATCAGGGAGAAATATCGCTGGTTAAAGAAATCTCCTTTCTTAACTGGTGGTATTATTGTGACGTCCATGCCTGCTTTACGATAATCCTTCTGAAGTAGAGCCATGTCGGATTTAGATGCTGGTTTCTCCTCATTTTCTTTGACGATTGCAAATAAACGAGCTCCACTGTTGGGCAACCATCGTGCAAGATGCTGTTTTGTATCGCGGAGACGTTTCATCGTAGTCTGCAGACCAAATATCATATGCGAGGCGTCGATTTGGTGACTTGGAGGGTAAGGTACTTCGAGAGTGAGCGGGAAACAGCGGTCGACGACTCTATCGACAGAAAGTTCTCCCCGTTGGAAAACCTTCTGGTTATCAAATAAGGACTCATCCATGGTTGTGATCAACGGTCTTGCTCCATCATTAGGTTTTGCGATAATATCTCGGTGTGCAACTTTCAGCGGGTATGATAAATTGTACTTGTCCAGCCACTCCAGATTTTCGATAACATGACAGTTCTGTGCCGATTCGGTTGCCGCTGCGTTCTCTTTCCAGTTATCCTCGACCCATCCATCATCCGCTCCTGTCTGTTGATATCCGAAAGTCTTTTTAAGTGTTGCTGGTGATCCAAAATATGGTACCGTATCGGACGATCCATGGCGGGCAACCAATATTATCGCAGTCACAATTATCGAGGATACGGCCAGGAGAAAAGGCCTTCTAGATTTCATTGCTTGACTGATTGCAAACAAACAATTGCAGAGGAAGCAATCCAAAAAAAACTAAACTCGGCGATAAATGGCAAGATACAAAAGAAAGTGGGAGTGGGACAAATGTGAAAGAGTACAGTTGTAGTAAAAGGTCTAATTCCCAAAATACCATCACAAATTCGGTAGGAGATTTGCAACTTTAATAGACCGGGGTGGATAAGGTTTGCGATAAGAAACTTGGAAGTAGGATAAAAGAATGGAACTAGGTCGCCGCCGTCGTGAGTAGTGTAGAAAAGGCTGCTGATTTACGGTGACGGTCTAGACTGAATCATTACGATCCATATATCGGGTAGTTAAAAAATGTCTCGACGGATGAAGGTCTACCTGTCCAATCAACAAAAACAAGAGAAACCAAAAGAAATTCAACTTGACATGATACTTTTGAGTTAATCATGTCATAATATCTTGTTCCAGATAACTCAGTACAATAGTACCACAGGCTCCATAACACACAAGGGGTACAGTATCGTCATCGTACTACCGGTACTATATATAGTAGTGTATACCAATCACGACGCAACGTTTTTGAAACAAAATCTAACTAGAGTTTTCACTTGAAAAGTTATCGACTCTCGCCCACGTCCTCATATTCACAAATCTGCGTGCATATTCACAAACTGCGTATGTTCCGTACACTGTAGATAAAGATCCTCTTTTTGGCGGGGGGATAAAGCCAAATGAAGGATCTGGAGCGATGATTAAAAGTCTTGGCAATAAGCTATGAGAAGCTCTATAGAAACAATAGGGGGGAGGGGAGATGGCAGAAGACACATTGATGATTTTGAGGTTTAATATAAAAGAAGTGTGGAAGAGTGTGAGATCGTAGTGAAGAAGGAACAAGTGGAAGTCATATTGTAGCGGTAACTTAAAACCTTTAGGTGAGATTCTTTTGCTTGGCTTCAGCCTCTATGCCTTTATGAATCTAGGACAACTCATCTCTACCTAATGACCTTAATTTAATTGGTCAATTCCATAATGACAAGGCTGAAAATTAATTGTGGTTGGTGATTTGTGGCGTTGTCAATGAACCGAGGCGGCATTTCGTGAATCCCTCACTTCATGTAAGAAGAAGGCTGTGTTACTCATATCACAAAACATCTTCTCTCCAAATCCACCATTTTTATTTAGTATTCTTTGACAATTCTCAGTTCATCTCTTTTTCAAGCAATGCGATAATACCCTTCTTCTTTTTCATTATCTGCGATCAGCAATTACTCTGAATCCCCAAAATGGAATCAGCACCTCGATATTCAGCTACTCCAAGAGTGCGAGATAGAATTGAACCAGTACGTCCTGAGCAGTCAAGCCAGGAATCTCTGGCGACCCCAACGACTCCCGAAAATGCGCAAATTAAAGAATCCGAAGCAGCTCATGTTCTAAATCAGCCTCAGTCCGATGGCTTTACCCAGTCCGATGAAGCACAGCAAGAGATTGTACAACCTTCGCAAGAGGAAATACGAACGTGTTGGATATGCCAAATGGATGATGCAGACGATGGACCTCAGACTTCACCTTGGCGATCCCCATGTCCTTGTTCTCTACGGGCCCACGATTCATGTTTGATGGAGTGGATTGCAGTATCCGCAGACAAGGAAATGGCACCTAAAATCGTCTGCCCAGTTTGCAAATATCAACTTAAAATCAATCAACCCAAAGACTATCTAGTCATAACAGTCGACAAATTGCAACGTTTGGCGAAGAATTTGGTACTTCCCACAGCGGCCGGTGCAGTCTTTAGTTGCGTCTATGCCGGATCTCTCCTCTTTGGCGTCAGCAGCCTAGAATTGGTGTTTGGGGTGGATGAAGCTCGAGGGATGATATTAGAGAATTATGATGATTTCTTAGACCGTCATGTTCTTGGTAATTACATACAATTACCCATCACTCTGATCTTGACAAAATATTTATTTCCATTCCTGGGAGGTGGGTTCATGGCGGTGCCAAGTTGGAGAACAGCGATAGGGCTACCCTTAATCGCACCAGCTCTCATATTATCTCGAACAAACATCGCGGATTCCATCTTCACAATAGTACCTGTCACTGTAGGTAAATCTCGGATATGACGCGTGCCTGTCTGCTAACATTACTCTAGTATTTTCTCTTTAGCCCTGACAACAAAAACATCACTTCCTGGCCGCCATCCCCGGGTCGCACATTTGCACTACTTCCCTACGTCAGGTTGGCATATAATACCTTATACCAACGCACGTTCTTTAATTTAGAAAAGAAATGGGATTTGGCTGTTCAGCGCAAACCACGAGAAGGCGAAACTGCAGAACAAATCGCTCTAGAAGAGCGCAGAAGAGAACAAGGGGAAGGTTTCTTTAACTTTGAAGTCGAAATCGTCGATGAAGTGAGGGATGAAAACGGGAATCAAATTCTACCAGCTATCCCACGGGCACCAGTGGGTGATCGAAACCAAAATCGAAACCGAAACCAAAATCGGAATAATCAAGAAGGCGACAATGAAAATGATTGGGGAGTCCGCCGAAATGTCAGTACACACAGTTTATCATTCCAGATTATGGGCGCAGTGTTCTTTCCTGCCATATCGAGCATAATGGGCTATGTACTCAAATATTCATTACCATCTATATGGATGAGAGCGAGAGGTGGAAAGCCAGGATTATTACAACACAAATGGGCCAGAAGTGTAGTGGGGGGATGTCTATTTGTGGTGTTGAAGGACGTGGTGGTGCTGTATTGTAAGTGGAAAAAAGCGAGGGATTTTGGGAAGAAGAAAGTCATAGATTTCGTGGGTACGGGGAAGAAGAAGGCGTCGTGAGAGCTGTGGATGTTGAAAGAGGATATATGGATATGGGCTTGGATGGGGTCCCAGTTAAAAATAAAATAATGGATGGGGACGATATCCCTCCTCGCAGAATAATGAGATGAGAGCATTCGAATTGTGTATTTCACGACTGTTGGACATGGGTGGGTGTATCAAATGAATAGTATGTTACCAGGCACAAGTAAAGGCATGGATCAATGCATATCATATACCCATTTCCTCTCGAAGCTGCAACCGCAATTGCAATTGCAATCGCCAGAGACGTGAATCTTCAATGGGTGTATGTATTTTGAAAGTGTTTTTTTTTTTCACTTCAGCGAGACTCCCCCAACAGATATCATCTTCCTAATATCATAGTCCACAACATTCCGACTCGGAGGTTCTTGAAAATTACCTTTATTTGAGAGCCCAGTAAGCTAAATATATTACTTGAACTCCTGAAATAAATATGTTAATGCACAGTAAATTAAAGTACGAGTAAAGTAAAGTATATCAAACCAACCAACCTCGATTCTTACATTCCCACCGTGACTTACTATTGCTTCGCTGCCCAACTCAATATCCACGTCCATATCCATGAATCACCTCATGCGTCTCATGCAACTGAAACTGAAGATATACCCCTACAAGTACAAACGCTTCGATGATTTTACTTATACAGACAGTACCACCACACAACACACCTGCACTCACCCACCCAAATCCCCTCCCCCCCTCAGATCCAAATACAAAAATGCAAAATAAAGAAAAACACACCAGCAACATTCATTCCACCTTAAATCCACCTCCCGCAACCCCTTTCTCTTTCTTTCTCACCAGTAACACAATGTGAACCGTAGAAGGATCTCGAGATCGAATTAGATGATGGGTGTAGAAGCGGGATTTGAAGATGAAGGACATGCAGGTGTGGTCGTGGGAGAAGAATTTGGTGGCGCGTAAGTGGATGGAGTTGAGATATCCTAGTAGATGGAGTATATGTGTTGGGATGGAACTACTAGGTTGTGGCACTTCAATTTGTCCTTGTTGTAAGATGGAGGGATCTGGAACACAGTGCCATCGTTGGAAGGTAGATGTAGATATAGATGCGGAATGCGGGTTTGCTCTGGCGTGGAGTATTCGCAAATTTAGTCTCTCCTGGTACCATTATTATTGATCTAATGACAAACTAGCATCGTGGAAGTAGCTTATCACATTTCTTCTTTCGTACCCTGCATGAAATGCACACTTGCTCCGACGTCTGTGGTTGGTCGAGGCTAGACCGATCACTGGGTGATCGCATGGTGTAGGAAGCTGTTCCTAGGCCAATTACTGTTCTTTGAAATTCAAAGCTAAGGAAGTAAATAATTTTTCGATGATGTGAGGTGACGTAAAGGGGAATGAAGTATAGAAGTTGTTGCGCCGCGATAATTGATTCATAATTCCGGTGAGCGGTGGTTTGCGCCGCTTATGCATGTACTGTAGACAGTATCCCCTTTAGCGAACCAATGGGCAGAAGCGATACTCAGGGGGTCATCCTCAGAAGTGTCTAGGTGTAGCATGAAACTTACCTATAAATATACTGCTCCTGAAGATGTCTTTTCTCTCTGCAATACTATAATTGTCTTGATTCCTCTCTACTTCCAACCAATTTAGCCAGACCCTACCTATCAACTTTCCGGTATGAGTTTATACGCCACATCTTACCTCGAGCCCTAGGGCCCCGGAGATGCTCGACCAACTGCCATTCAGATTATCCACGAACAATTTCTCACTAGTAAACTCGTGGGCAAAGTAATAGTCTCACTGGTCGACATCCGGTATTGGTCTCGAAACGGCAAAAGCATTGTCAGCCACAGGTGCTGCTCTGTTCCTGACCCGTCCGAGACATGAAGACAGCCGAGATGCTCTTGCTGAGATTATAGAGCCCGGTCGTATTACGGTAGTAGAGATGGACAAAGCTTCTTTTGCTAGCATTCAAGCTGCTGCCAAGGTTATCCTCAAGAAAACGAAGGATCAAGTCAATATACTCATCAACAACGCTGACGTTATGGGTATTGAGGAGCTTAAATTTACCGAAGACGGACACGAAATAACCTTTGCTTCCAACTATCTTGGTCACTTCCTATTATTGCAACTTCTCAAGCCTGCCTTACTTGCTAGCTCGCGAGTTAGATGTTTCATCAGCAAGCCATCGCATATCCGACCTTCCTGATAGTGACAATTACAACTTTTAGTGCGGAGGATATAATTATGGATCTGCATATGCGATTTCCAACCTCGCCAACATATATGGCCAACGAAATAGATCGTCGCTATGGCCATAACAGACTTCGTGCAACAAGTCTTCATCCAGGTCCTGTCAACACAAACATCAGCGGACACTTTTGAGGTGAATTCGTAGCTCAAGTTATGAGTAATGAGAAAATGCGTAAGCGTCTGATGAGTGCTGAGCAGGGAGCCGCCACTACTATTATTGCTTTAGCTGGAAAAGACTGGGATGGAAAAGGGGGGGGAATCATTGGAGAATTGTGAGGTGGCGGATCGCGGCGAGGATAATTACCAACTTTTTGGAAATGGATGTATGAAGCAGACCTACAATACTGAAAATGAAAGGCAAGTTTGAAAAGATTCATTAAAGATTATCAGAGTGAAGGATAATATATGATATTGGGTAATGCAAATCGATTATACTATAGTTCATATTACCCTAGCTAGACAAATGCTCACTATCGAATATTCCACTTTAATATAATTGAGTTTCATGGTAACGATAATTATCGGCGATTAAAAATACAGCAGTACTAGATGACTTCAAGCTTGCCTTCTTCTCCAGCACCAAAGTCGCAGATCTAAGCACGTGAAAGCAAAGATCATTTTGACACTCCTACCTCCCAAGATGTATTAACACTTCAATGTTTTCAAAATCACAAAACATACCTCTAATACACTGATCTCTTTAGTTCATTGATTGTAGTCAACATTATGCACACCAGACCTCGCCGCTTGATGTGTAACCACTGGCAGTCATTCCAGAGCAAGACTAATAAAGCCAGAGCTCGAAATTCACGCATACAGTAATTCATCATGCCCCCCGGTGTGATAATCAAGGATGACAGGCTCCTGTCAAGACTACACACAGAAGTCAAATAATTAATATTCAGGGATTTGATGCGCAAAGAGAAAGTGACTTGCTTTCTGATCTCCATCATAACATTCAGACCGTATCCAGATTCTGCGCCTGCATATCCAAGTACAGGGGCTTTAAAGGGAAGATGTTTGAAAGGACGAATGAATGACGCTTGCCAAACAGTAGTCTGATTCCACCCCTTAGGGCTCTGCTTTGCAATGAAGATGAGAAGAATCTAACTGTAATCGATCTGGGCAATTCAGTTGCCGCCGATCTTGTGGAAGAGTTGTCGACTCTAGCATTGCTGAGCATTGCTGAACCAAACAAGACTTGTAATCCCTTAAACCCTGAGTCACTCTCTCGTTGGCCTCAGATATGCTGAAGAAATTTCAGTCAAAATACCCGCCATGTTGAAGATTACAAGTGCCCATAGTCAAATGAGGTTGAAATAGATTGATTTGATTTTGTATCAAATTTATTATTGCCGTCCACTTGACGCCGGCCATGCAGCCGGTATGCTTACTAAGCGGGCCATGACCGACAGCCAAATTTGTGGACACGATGCACCTGGATTCATCAAGCTCCACGACAATTGAACAACCACACTCCTTTAACACTTTTACACTTTTAATTGAATATTCGCGATTGATTCTCGGCATTTCCGTTCCTTCGCCCACAACAATAATCAGTCAAAATGGCTCCCAAATCAACCAAAGACAAATACTCTGTAATTCTTCCTACATACAACGAACGTCGCAACCTTCCTATTATTACGTGGCTCCTTAATCGCACCTTTACTGAACAGTAAGTTTGCGCCAAGCCTGTTGCGCTTCTGCGCCAATTCTCGCGCAAACAAAAGCTGATTAGTCCACAGGGGCCTTAATTGGGAACTCATCATCGTTGACGACGGTTCACCCGACGGAACCCAAATCGTAGCAAACCAGCTTGCCAAAGCTTATTCCCCCCATGTCTTCCTCAAAGCTCGCGCCGGCAAACTTGGTCTCGGAACCGCATATGTTCACGGTCTCCAATTCGTGACCGGAAACTATGTGATTATCATGGACGCGGATTTCTCTCACCACCCTAAATTCATCTCCCAAATGATCGCGAAACAAAAGACGCTTGCTACAAATGGTGGATATGATATTGTTACCGGTACACGATATGCCGGTGATGGGGGTGTTTTTGGGTGGGATTTGAAGAGAAAGTTGGTTTCGAGGGGTGCCAACTTATTCGCAGATACGGTTCTGCGACCTGGGGTTAGCGATTTGACGGGTAGTTTTAGGTTATACAAGAAGGCGGTTTTGCAAAAGGTTATTGAAAGTACGGAGAGTAAGGGATATACTTTCCAGATGGAAATGATGGTTAGAGCCAAGGCCATGGGATGTACGGTTGCGGAAGTGCCAATCAGTTTCGTGGATCGTGTTTATGGGGAGAGTAAATTGGGTGGTGATGAGATTGTGGAATATGCAACGGGTGTCTTGAGTTTGTGGATGAAGGTTTAGGGTTATTGTGTCGATATATTGTATGCATGGTGGAGTTGGTGGGTTTATTGGGATCTATAATGGTCGGGTCCTAGTACGGGGAATTTGATTATGTATACTATCATATGGTTGGACTGGTGCATTTTTTACAATGAAACTTCCTTTTCGCTCAGCAGTCAAGCGGTTGCATCCAAACCTAGCTGTGTAGAGACCCTTCGCTATTGCGGTCATCAGATGTAGGTTTTCAGCTAAGTTTAATGATAATAAACACTTGCTCTTTACGAGTCCTTATTACCATCGATGGCAGATTAGGATGGGCTTTACACGGCCACAAGAATGATGGTTTTTGGTACGGAATCTCAATCCGCTTGAATCTGCAAGGATTTGAGGGCACTAATTCATAGGAGCCAACTAGTCAGGTCAATCTCCTATACACACTAGCTCTTCATCGCTGTTGTTGGGTGTTGATGAACATAAATGAATAAAGTCCGATCCCCCTTTATAATTTATCTCCCGGTTATTATATCATCCGCAATCTTCTCGGCAATCATATAAACAGAAGCTTGAGGATGTCCAGGAAGCGCAAACGGAAAGATCGAAGCATCAACAACTCTCAACCCATCCACTCCAAATACCCTCCCCCTTGAATCCACCACCGCATCCGTATCTCCAGCTTTACCCATTGCGCATGTAGCGCTGGCATGCCACATTGGAGCTGAATTCTGCTGGATATATGCCAGAATTTCTTCGTCTGTTTGTACTGCTAGTCCGGGGAGAATCTCGGAGCCTATCTTGATAGATTTGGCTGGGACGCTGTCCCAGATTTGTCGAATCCGTTTGAAGATTGCTACTGATACTTCAGAATCTGTAGGGTGTGTGAACCATCCTAGATCGATTACTGGTGGGTCGAGCATACTGGCGCTGCTGAGGGTTACATTTCCGCGGGAGAGTGGTGCTGTCAGTGCTCCGCCAAAGGCACCAATGGTAGTGAAATTTTCACCTGCAAATCCTGCTCCGATATATTCTACTTCTGGCCAGTCAGTCGGAAAAGAATTAAGTGATGATATTGTTTGTTCCGAGAAGTTTTGGCGTAGTTCTCCTGGAATATTTTCAAAAGATAGGTAGCCGGCCGCCGAGCTGTATGGACCTGCTCCATCCTCGAAATATTGCTGCAAGATCTCGGCAGAGTTTTCTGGATTAGCTACAATACTTCCAGCACTTGGTGTGTTGACTTGGTTGAGTACAGTGAATGATACTTGATCCCAGAGATTCTGTCCAACTCCTGGAAGTTCTGAAACAAATGGGATGTTTTGTGCCTCAAGAACAGTGCGCGGCCCAATTCCTTCTCAAGTTAGCATACTATATTCAAGTTTCAAGTTCGAGAGTAGCATCTCACCAGATACCATAAGTAGTTGTGGCGAATGAAAAACTCCTGCGGACACGATAACTTCCTTTGTCGCTTGAATAGTATATTCGAATCCTGAAGTCGATACCTGGACAGCATTTGCTCTTGTTGGAGAATCGGAAGCAAATAGAATCTTCAATGCTTGAGTGCGGGCATGAACTTTGATATTCGTATTCTCAATTGCCTCTTTTAAGAAACTTGACTGCGAGGATGATCGTACAGCATGTTTAGGTTCGATGGTGGAGGGAACCCAAGCACCATGACCGGCAAGATAACCACTGCTGAAGCCAAGCGAACTTACTGGAAGACCAACAGACTGTACAGCTTGCGCGAGCGCATCTGTCGTGGGGTCAACCCAGTTGTTCCAGGAAACTTCCAAAGGTCCCCTAATAGAGTCATCGAAGACTGTTGGATCATATACTACAGTTGCAGATGTCGAGTTTCTCTTTTCAAAATTAGGTGGAGTCAAATGACAAGACTTCTTGTAATATGGAAGAAGATTTTCGAAAGTAAAACTTTCGTCTCCTACAAGCTCAGCCCATCTTTGATAAGTCCCAATAGTAGCACGATGATATGACAGCGCATTCAGTGCCGAAGATCCACCAAGCGTTTTTCCTCGAGCATAATGTATGCGCCGATTCCCAGCATTTGTTTGTGGTACAGAAAGTAAGTCCCAGTCAACCAGTGGTTGCTTAGGATAATCTTCAGAGGAATAGACCAAAGGCATTTGCTGGCTTCCATACGGGACTATGCTATAGTTTCCATTGTCTTGTTCGTAGAAACCGCCTGCCTCAATCACGCCAACAGAAGCGATCTTTGCAAGCCTCGAAGCAATGACCAATCCTGCTGTTCCACCTCCAACCACTGATTCTATCAGCAAGCAAACTCTTTGAAAATTGAATACTTGCACATACCCACATAATCATAAGTAGCGTTCCCAGGAACAGCAAATGCATTTGATCGGAGCCGATTTTGGGTTTTCGTTGTACCAACTACGACTTCTATGATAGCGAGGAAAATTGGAATCCAGATAAGACACATTGTCTTGTTCTTCGCGGCGAAATCAGATTATCGGTTGAAGAACGCAACTTTGCGAACTAGAGATTTGCTTTACAATGATATGAGAAGTATGCGAGAAATGTCTCACCCACTGCCAAGTGTCAGCAATACCTATATCACTGTGACATTCGGTTAATTTCGCAGGACGAATCAGGACAGGATACTGCATTCCATCCGGGATACTATAATACTTATTAAGATCACCTTAGGTACAACAATTCATAAATCGAGTGCTTAACATTCTAGACTCTGCAATCGTTTGGACTTTGCCGATGTGAGGATTAGGATTTAGAAGTCCAATGTGACATGTCGCTAGCGGCCGCTAGTGCAACGGTATTTAACCTCACTATCCTTTCCATTTCAATGCTCTGACACTTCAAAATCCAATACCAAAGCAACTTCAAAGTTGAAGCTCCAGTATTACTTCACTTCAAAATGGTCTGTCTTTTCGTGATCGTCTAATCTGTTAACTTTGAGAGTTCTACAGTATTCCATAGTAATTTAGGTCTCTGATGATGGTGTACCAAAACCGGACCTTGTATCGTTTAAGCGCTGACTTCTTCATTCTGTACCTGGATATAGTGCTCACATCCATGCAAGGATTCCTGTACAATTGTCAGCAGAAGCAGGGCTTTATTGTTATAGTGGCTTCATAAATTTGCTACTTCTTTTCGTTATCTATGTTCACTCTTTCAATGCTTAGAATTACATTCTGTAATTCGAAGGTATTCGCAGAGCCTCGAATGTGAGATAGTAAGTGTTTACAATATAGATTTCCGTCAGTATGCCCTGTGACTTCAAGCTGACATTCTCGCACTTTGATAAATTGAAGAATGGCTCAGAAATCACCTCTCAACAAATCAGCTCTGCAAGGAAAAGGGAATGCCATATCTGTCAAAAGTGTAAAGGGAGATACAAATGGGCATACCGATGACTTCGCAAAAGAGCACATGACTGGTGGTTGGAGACCTGGTATGGAATGGACCCAAAGGCAGACTATTCTGGTCACTTTGAATTCGGGGGCTCACTTGGAGTTCTGACTCTCATGATTGCATTCCCTAGTCTCATGTATTAGATGTAAATTGGTGCTACTTACTATGATGGCCAATTTCCTCCACCTAAAGAAAGACAGTCTTCCGCAGATTTCGCAAAACATCTGCTACATTTGGTATATACTGGAGCTTTCCCTCACTTCGAAGCATGACGCATATACTGGGGCTATTACATTTTCGAAGTTGTGTGTTATTTGTTTATGCCTGGCTTTACATGTTACGGCAAACCTTTGCTTCATGAAGGGGGCAAGCAGCTTCCATACTATTGTTCGGCATATTCCAGCTTTTACCTCACAATTGCTGTTATGGCCGTACTCCATGCAACAGGAGTTTTCCCTATCAGTACTATTCTAGACGAGTTTGGTCCCATATTGTCTGTGGCCATCATATCAGGTTTTCTAATGAGTTTCTACGCCTACTTTTCAGCCTTCGCTCGCAGTGCCCAACATCGCATCACAGGGTATCCTATTTATGATTTCTTCATGGGTGCTGAGCTCAATCCACGATTATTCGGTATCCTGGATTTCAAGATGTTCTATGAAGTCCGAATTCCATGGTTCGTTTTGATCGGCTTAAGCTGCGCGAATGCCACACGACAGTACGAACGATACGGCTACATCTCTGGGGAAGTCATGTTTCTTGTCATGGCTCACTTCCTCTATGCCAAGGCTTGTGCCAAGGCCGAACATCTCATCACCACAACCTGGGACATGTACCAAGAAAAATTAGGTTTCATGTTGGCTTTCTGGAATATGGCTGGTGTGCCTTTTCATATTGTCACTGCACGCTATATCTTGCCAATCATGATCCAGCACTATATTCCTGGAACAAATATGCGCTTATGACATTCTCCTATTGTATCTTTTGTCTACTGGGTGTGGGATACATCGAATGGACAGAAAAATTCCTTCAGAATGATGGAACGCGGAACTTTCGTGAAACGCAAGACTTTTCCACAGCTTCCTTGGCAAGAAATATACAATCCCAAGGTCATCACAGCGGATACTGGTGATATTATCCTCGCAGATGGATGGTATGAATTAGCGCACAAAGTTCGTTATAGCTGTAATATATTCTTTGCTATATCCTGGGGTCTCATTACTGGTTTTCATAATCCATTCCCCTGGTTCTATTCCGTGTTCTTCACAGTTATGATTGTGCATCGAACTATTAGGGATATTACCAAATGTAGACACAAATATGGCGATGCTTGGAAGCAGTATGAGAAACAGGTGCCGTACCTCTTTATACCGGTACTTTTCGATTTTATATCTCTTGTCAGATGACCTTGACTAATGAATTACTAGTACGTGATATGAATATCTACGCGTCTTGTTTTCACTCCGGAATCTCAACAACGGTGTAATCTCGAAGGGCGAAATTGAATAAATCTGGTGAGGTAAGAACAGTATTAGCATCGGCACGCAAGCTTGTGCTGGCAATTCTATCTATATGCTCAAACATATCCTGTAAATAATATATCAATGTCTTTTAATCCGACTGTAGATTCGCAAACAATACCCAATGACCTAACCAATAAATTACAAACATTGAAACCTCATTCATTACACACCAACTCGCAGCCTAAATCTAATACCCCGTAGCCAGACTCTGAATCATTTTTCATTTCAAATCAGTTAAGTCATTACAATGTCGATATAAACAATATCGAGTATGGAGATATCTTATTAGATCATCATTCAAGTTTCGAAAGAGCGTTACCCAAATTAGATGTACTAATTTTACCTTGGCATCCGAAAAGTATTGCATTGCATTGTGTCACGGTAAAGCCCACTTATTATTAGTCTTTTTCTCAATTATCGATATTGTATTAAATTATATATCTATATATCGGTGGTCAGAAAGAAAAATAGTTTTACAAATATCAGAAATCGTTAGGTCTAAGATATACTTAAGAGGAGGTGGGATTGGTTTGGTGTATCATGAAACGCATTAATGTCACGGTTCAAAAATGCGATTCGGCAATTCAGTAAATCGTCACGGTCTCTTGGATTTATAAATTTTATAATCGATACACTTCAATATTATAATGTAAGATCTTAATAGTTCTTTCCCTCCTCTTCCTTCCTCTTCCCACCACCCCAGCTCCACCAAATTCATATATCTACCTACCCATTCACCTACCTCACTCATCTACCTTACTCATACTGTAGATTCAACTTAAATTTCAAATCAGCTTCTACCTAGACTTATATAAATTATAATCCCTAATACCCATCAATAAACCAATACAGATAGATTCAAATGCACTAACCAACAATCTCTACAGATCTACGCCGCATATACATCTATTTACCTACCTATGCCTACTGTCCTGAACTTCATCCCAGAGCAACCTTATAGAGTCTCCAGAGATTTCTTGTTGTATGAATAAAGTGATGTTTGAAAGATACAAGTCAACGGACTACCGGTTATTAAGCAAGACGTAGTATACAATGATACGTGCTGTAATTGATGTCACGCTTCTGCAATATACACTTCACCTTACAATCATATACAGTATTTATATATTTAGGGCGACTTTAATTCGAGAATTCTGCTCATAAACTAGGTAGTTTCTATACAAATACATGGCCATGAAACCAATTTAAGCAAACTCTCTTTCTTTCTCAGGTTTCGTTCGAAATTTCAATATACCGGTAGGACCGTAGGAGGATCAGTAAAACATTGAAAGGCGTTGGGCCTCAAAACTTATAATTACTTTAGGTGGTCATATATAAGATATGGGATATGGATGGAGTGGTAAATTACTATACAATACCAGAATAATCTGTTATATATATAAAGAGAGATAGTTGATTTGGCGTGAAAGCGCAGTCTTTAATTTGCAATACCCTCCCTCTGCCTCGAGAAGAAATATGTATCGCTCGACTGCTTTGGACCATGAGTAATGAGTAAGATTACCCGAGTACATGATTTATACTTCATGAGTCTGAGGAGGTGTAGTCTAAGATAAAAACACAGTAAACTTTATCAATTCTATCCCGTTCCCGATTTATGCTTCTTTTCATGTCTGAGGTCTCCAATTACCATATTGAATTATGTGTTACAGCTACAAGTACGAGTAATTTTAAAAAAAGAAAATGATTAATTTCCAAAATTAGCACTTGAACATCTCATTTTGATATCCGAGTAAATGGTACGCAGATGAAATGTTAGCTGCAACCAGAGAAGGTTTGTTTGTTTATAAGACGAGTCTGGTGAATCTTCTAATTCGTACGAGTACAAATCTTCATTCTTCATAGAAACTGGTTTCAGATCTCTCATCGAAGCTCGGCAGAAAGCTGTGAAAGCTCCTTCATATTGAGAGGTTCGTGTACTAGCGACATTGTTACCGAGTAGCTTGGTTGTATTTTAGTGTGTAGTGTGTATTTTGAAGAAGAGAAGAATATCTTGAATGTTTTGGAATGGAGAGAGGTTGTCAAAGTGAAAAGCGAGCTTATGCAGGAGATGTAAATATTTATGTTGTGAGGTGTGATCTGTAAGCTTATTCTCTACGAGGGTTGAGGGTTTAAAGAGAGAATATTGCTGGGAAAAGAAAATATATTTTAGTGTAATACAATAGGTGGCTACTAGTATAGTAGAATGCTAATTCAAGTCCTATACTGCACTGCACTGCATTAGTTCATAAACAATTTTTAAAGCCAGCTAGCCCAACCGGCGCCGAATTAAACTTTTTAGCCACGACGAATAAGGCAATCTAGCAAGCTAAGTGAGCCTAGACTTCAGCGAGAGGACAGTTCTATATAAGAGAAAAGTACGCCGAGATTAGTGTTTGTAATCTGCACTAATTCATCAATTTTTTCTTCATTCTCCGGCTGTCTTTCCTGTACTCGAATAGAAGTAATTGAAGACATATTCATTATCTGAAAATTATCAGGAATACAGATTCCAACAACACCAACACCAGTATCTTCTATCTCACTCAATTGAGACTCTTATGCATAAGATACTGAATAATTACAACTCTACTCTGATTGAAAGAAATACCGGTACATTATTCCGCCATGGGAAACTTGCATCACGAAATAGTACCGGTAATTCAAGAATCCTAGATCAACCTACATAGCTATTAGCAAGACACCGTCATAAACCTCATAGCACTAAATGCCACTTCAGTACCGGCATCTATTTCTTTGATTTCTGGGCTAGCAACATGTGGCTGAAAATACGATATGCAACAAATCCAACCCCCCCCAAAAAGCTTCGCCCCAGTAGGAAATAATATTTTTTCTAATTCAAAAAACTTCAATGTACTCGACTTTCCATTTCCCAAGATTTGAGAATGTGGCAAAATTATATTTTTGAGAATGCCATCTGCTTGGGGACTCTTTTTGCTAATATATAGATTCGAAATGTGGAACTTAACCGGGATACTCATGAGTTAAAATAGGGGCTAAAAACTTTTGTTTCGTGTAACTTCAGTATTTTGGTTCTCTTTTGGTGAGAGAAGAATCAATATCTTGCGCCCAATCGCGGATTATCTTTTCATACTCGACAAGTTGAAGAAGAAGACGAAGAAGAAGAAGAAGCAGAAAGGAGAAAAGAAAAAAGATTGAACATCGAGCATGGAGATTAGCGAGATGATAAGAATGGGTTGAATAAAGTATACAACGACTTCGTCTGGCCAAGTCAAATGAACCTCGAGGCTGTAAAGAGCAAATGTGTTTGCAAACAGTGAGAAGGAACTATAAAATGTAGTCTAAACGTCGAAGATGCCCGGCATGGTGGGTTTGTCTAAATTCTGCATATTAAATATCTTGTCATCTAAACCATCTTCTATTACCTTTTCCCTCAGTTTCTATGAGCGGTATATATTTCGTGTCTCTTCGCCGTATGGTATTGGCTCGTTGCTTTAAATCTGATTTATGTCTAAATTTCGAATATCTCGCATTTGATCGAATGGTATCCGGTATCCCAGAAGCAAAAGCCTCATTCACAACTTTCCTTTCAGCTTCACCCTTTCCACAATAATGAATAACGCATCCCCACTAGCCAGCACCACTCCCTCTCCATCCTCAATAGTAGCCTTCCCAAAAACTTTCCTTCCCTCTTGCCTTTCCACCCAGCTCCTACCCAGCACAACCGCCGGTGTCCCAATCGGTTTCTTATATGTAATGTTTAGATACGCCGTCATGGTAGTCTTTTCTTTAGATCTGGCAGTCTCTGCTGCACACCCTATCAGATCATCTAATAATACCCCAATGAATCCACCATGCGCAGTATCGATATGGCCATTTATATGCGAACCAAAACTCATCAAAGCATCAACTTCGCCAAAAGGTCGCGAGGACGTAGGTGGAGAGTAGAAGAGTTGGACGTATGGTATTGTTTCGGGGCTACGGAGCGTAATGGCTGTGAAGGTATCACCGGTATGTTCTTTGAGGATTCGCGACTCGGAAGAAAAGGGGTGAAGGGAGATGTCTCCGAGAATGGATTTGCACCATAGTGTTAGGGAGAAATGATCCGCGGTTTCCTTTGGTATGGAAGCAAAGGGAAATAGGTCCTTGGGGAATGTCATGGTAGAAAATGGGAGGACTTGTCCATTTTGGACATTATGAATGGACATTGAAGTTAGTGATACTGAGCTTGGTGAATCTCGGAACAAAATGTTGTTGTGGATCCAGTACTTCTGCGATCAGCAATTGGATGTCAAGGATTAGAGTTTGATAAGAAAAAGTGGATTCGGTCTTCGGAAATTAAACTACAGGTGAAGAGAAGTAGGGACTTGAAACATGAAACAAAAAAGGCCTAATTATGCTTTGACCCTTGAAGTCTAGAAGCTAGGAAGGTAAGGGTAGCAAGGAAAGGGAGCTTTGAAATGGAGGCAGCAGGATTATTTATGCTGAGATGTAGGTAGGTATATATCAAAGATTATTCATCCTTCTCATCCTATATATACTCGAGTAGACAGACCTCTCTATGAATATAAGAACATTCTTATAATATAAGAAAGATATCCGCAATATAAGTATAATTAGCAAATCTTATATGATCCCTAATGTCACAAATGCTTTGATGAATATCCTATGGCCCCCATTTATTCTATCACTTCTACATTTCTAGTTAGTATACCCATTCTTAACAGACTACTTCCACTAGAGATTGATAGAGATGTTACTTTTGCTTTTGTGAAGTATATCAAACCTAGTATTGGTTGATGTCCGGGAAGTTTATTATAATAGAGTAGAAACTATTATATTGGTTCCCGGACCTAACCAAAGTTAAAACTCCCCCAGATATACTTTTAGACTTTGTTCTCCTGAAGCTTCACTTCATATCTATTGTTGGGCTGGTCCTTTATTGGTTATCGAGGACGGTCATTCATCAATCAGGTCCTTGATTAGGCCACTCACTCACCACACTCACCACACTCATTCATTTACTCGCTGCCAGCCAATTGAATCTTCATGATTTTGTTTGTGTCAATAACATTTATTCTATGAATTCATCATCAATCCTCCATCAATCATTTCGTTCTTTACAACTACATTCACAGCAACCATCTTGATTCCTCCTTACTTCTTACGCGTCTACTTGAACAACAAAACAGTACACCCTTCCACTTCTTCAATTAAACTCGAAAAGTCACATCCACCAGTTTTGCACAGCCTTCGGCATCCTGTGAAGATCCTTCCAATAATTTACGAGAACACGAGATACATATCAGAGTTCATATGTGACGGAGGATACCTGAGATTCTTCAGCTACACAAGCTTAAAACCTCTGAATACTTGAAGAATATAATATAAATAGTTTCCCTGTCCGGATCTATCTACTCAAGGACTTCCCCTCCGGAACTTTTGATATTTTGCGACAAACATTCCCCGGAAGCTTGTCATACCCCACGATTCTCAGCGAAGATCATCCAGTTCTGGTACGAAGTAAGACACGATGTGGAAGCGTCTGAACACTCCAAAGAGTAGTAATGGTACTACAACACGTCAATCTATGATTAGTGAACCTGTACTTGTCGAGACAACTATTTTTGAGAAATCTTATGGCGCTGCTGGTGGTATAAATATTGATATGGATATGCCATCTTCGGATAGAAATGCTGCCCCTCCATCAAGATCGATGAGAGATAAGACTCCAAAAGGATTACCACTTCTACCATTGTAGGTCACAAGAGTTCTCTATTTCGGAATAAGAGTGGAGATATTGGTGTTAGAGGGAAATTGTCATGGGGGATAATGGACCTTGGGCTTATGTTTCAGCTTAAAGATATAATAACCGTCAAATTTACGTTCTTATGCGATGTTAGCGAACCTCTGCTAATATATATCTTAGTGAAGCAGTTCCTCCTATCCAAGATTCTCGTCAGAATTCCAACAGCTTCAGACCTGTCTCTTCTATTTACTCACAACCCTCACCAGGTCCCATGAATGACCACTTTCCATATAATACATATGCGAAACCTATGACTTCAAATTCTACAGAAGTCTCTCCTCCAAGCTCTCCGGAGTTTGATGGGACCCAGCGGTAGGTCGAGCACTTTATCAGTCTTATACAGATTCCGTTTGGTTATTGCAGTTACAAAGGCTGAGTAACCATATGTGGTCTTTTGGTCAATTCTATGACCTGTTATCGCAATTCTTGTGAATATCAAACTAATATAATTACAAATAGACGCTCAAATCGATATCAAGACCACGAAGTCTCTCCAATCGATGAGGTGCCCGATATTTCACATCTTGGGTTTGGAAAGTCGAAAGGGACCGATTCCAGGTTGAAGCCACCATCGAGCAGTATTCCAACCATGCGGAAAGAAAAGAGGCGTAATCAAGTGGCAGTAGCAGCAGGAAATCTACTGAGCCGAAAGGATGTAGGTGGATCAAAGGGTAGAAATACGGCAGATGTGAAATGGGATCCTTATTCTGGTGAACAAACCACAAGCGAGAAGGGGAGATCACAATCCGTCAAACCAGGAGAATATTCGCCACCTCAATTGCGAAATGTTAGACAAATGGGCAATACATCAACCATTAGTGCTGGTGCGCCGAAACCTCAAAATCAAACATCTTTCGGAGAGCGTGTTCGCAAATTGAAGAATAATGCGCCGGTAGAAAAACCAGAATGGAAAGGGGCAACAGGACGTTCAACTATTGTACCCACGCCGTCAGATAATTACAACATACCTCCACTCAATATCCCAATTCCACCGGGGAGTGAAAATCGCATTACATCAGGCACAAGTACCCCTGTATCTTCCATCCGAAGTGCAAATAGTGAAACGCAGGCGGCACCAACCTTCATGGATCTACCCAATCCATTACCTATCAAGGCAGGATATTCGCTCAGCGGCCGAAACAGTCCACAAACTTATATAGAACCCTCAATTCAAAACTCCGAACCTATTCATGCAAATTATCCTACCAATTTCACCAATTTCACCACAGAATCTCCTTCCGCATATCATCCTTCTCATTCCAAGAACGGCTCCACAGGAACCATCGAGCGAAATTTCCGCGAAGCTCTCAAGAACTCTTTTCCTCCTATCGATCAAAACGAATCATACGTGCAACCTCCTTCTCGATTTAGTGTTAGCACAAAGGCCACATCAGAAGCTACTCAATCTACCAGAGCACCATCTCTTGATTTACAAACCGATATGCATCCTCCACTACCCATTCAATCCCGCACCATGACAACCCAAGGTCCTACATCAATACTCTCTCGCAAACGTCCCAAGGTCATCTCTGATGATAGCGCATCTATTTATTCCATTAAAAGCATTACCCGCAAAGCCATCAATTCAAACAGTCCAATAACAATCTCCATGACCTCTACTATTCCTCGCGAACATAACCACGCACCGCGCTCCTCTTCCACTCTCACGAAATCCCTCCCTAATACCCCCGCCGAAACCGCCTCTTCAGATCCCATATCTATACTCGAAGCGCGTCTCGAAACTCTCGCACATCGCCGACAGAATATCGAAAAATCGATTAAGCAAATGACAGAACTGATGCCTGCAGATACAATGATTATTACAGAAGAAGTCAGGAGGAAGAGAGAGGTGGAAAAGAAACAGATTGAGGGGTTGAGGGAAGAGGAGGCTGAAATTAAGAGGGAGGAACATGAGTGTGGGTTGAAATTGCATAGGGCGTGGAAGAGAAAAGATAAGCAGGCGGGGTATGAGGAGACGGGGTTGTGGGTTAGGAGGGTCACTGGCTAGGTTGTGAGGTTGTGGAGAGCGGAGGGGTTAGAAAGGAGATAAAACGATTTCTTTAGGACGCAAAATGCAAAATGGAGCCTGGGAAATCAAACAGGGGGTTGATAGGCGTATACGCAGGTAAAGGTAACTTGAGGGTGGATGAATCATTTTGGAGTTAAAGGTCATTCCACTTACATTAAGTTGAATTTGGAAGTTGATGATATGGACTTTTCTTTAATGGCACATCGTATATCATTCGTAGTCGAATCTGGAGATGTAGATGGATCATATATACAATGATCTACCCTACATCTCGTTAACTTAATTTCCAAATCTCGAGCCCGAGGAGGGAGAATGTCAAATGATATTGTAGAATAATCACCTGTTAGTATATTAAAGCACCGATGAACTTTGAACTTTTTAAATAAAATTGAATTGTATGAATGAATGTATATGTGGTAATTTCACCTTGTGATGTTGCGTGTATGTATGTGTATGTGGAGTGAAAACTGTATATTGTGATTTACAATGCACTCCCGGAGGGATGGGGGTAACACAGCACACGTGATTAACGGATGGTCGGAGGATAACCTATCGCATCCCCACCGTTTCCGAGCCGTGAGAGAGGAGCTTGAAGCTTTGGATTGGAAATTGGTCAATTGTTGTTTGTATCCATCATCACGTCCTACATTTGATTTCTCTTTCTGATAATTCTCTGGAAACTTCTGTTCCTTTTATTGCTTGCTTTGAGTTGAAAAGAGTTTGTGAAGAGGGTTAGGATAGGATAGGATAGTAATTTCAACAAGGATATTGAGAGAGCTGTCTGTCATCTTTCTTTGCATTACGGTCCGGATCGAACGGAGATTATAATTGTTGGACAAAGTACTCGAGTACTCGAGTAGAAAGATAGGAAATTAGGAAGTCATCATGGAATATGTTGAGAAGAGAATGGCTGCTGGTATGTTATGTTTTTATATGATTCTTTTCTTGTTGGCTACTTGGTTGAGGAGGAGAGAAGAATGAGGAATCTCTTCTTTTTCGTTTTGAAACAGGTTGAGTTGATCAGATCATTATAGAATCAAAACGCTAATCCTTTTGTCAAATTTAGAAGCTCAAAGGCCTGCTGGTGCAGAAGTGTATGTTCTCCCTCTTTCTACCCTCAGTTTATTATATCATGTCACAAACTGGTACAGTGAAACAAAAATTGAAAATAAAAACTAACAATATCCCTCAGCGCTAGCCTAGCAACCCCCCTCAACCTTCTTCTCCTCAGCCTCCTCGCCCTCCTAACCTACACGACCCTGCGCCCCAAAAAGGCCATCCCAATCCCCGTCACCCCCTCCCCCATCGTCTTCCGCACCTTTACTCCTCCCGAACTCGCTCCTTTCTCCGGTCTCAACAATACTCCCGTGTATCTGGCTGTTCGCGGACGTGTATTCGATGTTAGTAATGGAAGGAATTTCTATGGACCAGGTGGACCGTATGAGAATTTCGCAGGGAGAGATGCGAGTCGCGGGTTGGCGAAGGGCAGTTTTGATGCGGAGATGTTGACGGAGGATTTGGAGGGTAGTTTGGATACGCTGGAGAATTTGGATGCTGAGGAGTTGGATGCATTGAGGGGTTGGGAGGAGAGGTTTGAGGAGAAGTATTTGGTGGTGGGGAGATTGATTAGTTGTGGGGAGAAGGAGAGGGAGGAGAAGGAGAAGGGGGAAAAGGCTTGAAGAGAGTGCGCGGTTGCTGGGAGTGGTGAGGCTGGATATATTGGAGCGAAGATGGAGAATGTTGATGTGGAATGGGAATACTTCGTGGATATTTACTATGTTGGGAAAAATTCGGCCGGAGGCCCTTTCAACATCACTCGTAGACGCGAGAAGTACAAACGATTGCTTTCATATTACGAAAATCACACATATCCGTTCAATACACAACTATTCTTCTACGGATTATTATATTGGTGAGCTGACCAAGCATCATCACATATTCTTGGATCCTCCCAAGCTCTGCAATCTTAAGCTACTTTTATTCTGACATGTAATCTGAAATGCTTACGGAGCAGTGAAGTCACTGAGCCGCAATGCCCTTGTCTTGCTATGCAGAATTCTAGATATGGATTCCAACAGTTGGAGATATTGTCCATACATAAATCATCATGTGCACCAATAGTACCTTAATGATCGGCATACAAGTTCTAACACGTTTACAAAAGAGTTGGATTCCTTTTGGGATGAGTGTCATCTTGTATATAAGTTACTTGACCTCCGTCAACGATTCAATGGGCTATAGTTACACCCATGGACTTGACAATTATATACCGGTACACTCATCCGCCTAGCTTTCTTGTTCAATTACCTAGCTATCGATGTGTCGGCTTTGTAGTATTGCCTTTATATCGACACTCTTAAGATAATTAAATGATGATTCTCACTATTCTATACTCTACTTTCACCATCATAAGTGTTGCTGTATTCTTCCAGTATCGAAATCTTCAACGAAACATCAAAGATGCCAAAAGATGAGATTTCAAATATGCCATTTCCCCGTACGTCTTATTCCCTACTGTAGTAAAGGTTTACTTACTGAGAAAATTCTATGTAGAGTATACTTTCAATCCATACCATGGATCATCCTCCAGAATATCTTTATTCCAATTCTTTCCAGACTTCCTACCACTTGAACTGAACTATGGCTCCCGCCTTCAAAATGGGGCGAGACATGGCATGAAGGCTATGAGCCCTTCAGAAAGATGGGTGATGATACTTTCATGATAGTTTCAACTGGACGTAACATCCTCTGGACATGTGATACCGAAGTCATCATGCAGGTCCTAGCACATTTCTTAAAAGCCGGTACTTACACCAGGCCTCAACACTCCCGAATCATCTATCCCCGAACCCCCCGCCATCCTGGACAATATATTCATTCATCTTCAAGTCTAGCCGGGTACGAAACCAAACCAGCGCCAATATCTTTCTTCACCTACCTACGCCCATCATCACGCTCCTAGCTAGCATGCAGACCCGACCTTTTTACCCAGTATCTCTCTCTCCAACCAAACCGAACTCGACACCCTCCCTGCTCGAAAATCGTAATTCGTATATCGCACAAGTCCAGTGCACCTACAAAGAAGAATCTTTCCAAAACTCATGCAAGGAAAGCCATATGATATGATATCGGAGCGCTGATGAAAGAAATACTTCGTCTGTACTCGAGTACACTGTGCTGTGCTTCCATTTCTCCCCCAAGATTCAACAGATATCATGAGCAGTTTAGCTATTGCATATTGGTAGGCAAACCAAACCCATGTTTTACCCCGCGATATACATACCCTCGTTATGTTATGATTAATACTGTACGAGTGCTGTGCTGTGCATCGGAATCCGAAATAGAGTACGTACTGGTCATCTGAGATTAAGAATTTTGCTGGTGATAATCCGTCTTATCCATTATTGGATTTTTACCCTGAGCGCTGGCCTGGCTGCAATCATCGGCGGTTGGGGAAAATAAGAGTAGGGATGGGAGAAATATGGAACATATATTCCATTCGCAGAGGGCCATCGACCCATCGTGCATGTCCCGAAAAGCGATTTGCACAAGCGGAATTTTGCACAGCAGTGGCGAGTTTGTTGGGTGAGTGTAAGTATGAGTATAATGTGGAATTGGTGGATGTAGTCTGTAGAGGGTGATAGCTATGAGAGGATGCTGGGGATGGCGGAACTGCATGTGGTGAGTAAGATGGTGTTTGAGATGGGTTTGGAGATGGAGGAGGGGGTGAGTGTTGTGTTTGTGGGGGTGGAGGGTGGAGGGTGGAGGTATATGTTGGTGTTGGTGTTGGTGTTGATTGTATGGCTTGGGGTTGAAAAGGGATGGTTTGTGTATATATATACTCGAGTATAAATAAGGTGGGCAGGATTGGGAATATATTAATAGGGAAATTTATAGTGGTGTTGTTTATTGTGATTAGTACTTCCTTTTCCATCTTTCCTCTATCAATAACTATATTATCACTGTTTCAAATCCACACCGAATTATTATCCTGGTCTTTTGGAAAAGAAGAGATTCTTTGAACTTTATAAAAGCATGATCAATGCTATCAATTAAATCTCTTTCGAGTATTAAATTCTATTCTATCCATTGACATACAAGTTCCAACCAACTTCTAATCATGCATGAGCAAGACGACCCGAGGCGCATGCACTTCATTCTATCCATAATGGTATTCCAATAAAACTATTTACCTCATTCTCATACCCTAACCAACCAACCATCTCCCTCACCCATCACATCAAACCCCATTCCCATTCCCATCCCCATTCCCATCCCCACTCCCATTCCAAATTTTCACCCCCTGCACAACATCCCCCTCCCTAACCATCTCCTCCGTCAACGACTCACTCTCCAACATCCACTTTGCCAAGAAAGTTTTGACTCCCTCTCTAAACCCCCACCACGTAACCTTTGCGCTACTCAACCCACCATGCTCTAGTAATTTCCTCGTGTAACCCCATTCCCATTCGTAAATATCGCGCTCATGCTTAACTTTTTCCCTCTGTTTTTGCGCTTCATCATCCTCATCCTTTACCTCCACCTCGCCCTCATCCAACGGCAGCACCTGCGAAATCCTTGATGCCAACAAACCCTCCAAACGACTCGCTGTTATCGCATTTCCCCAAACCGTTAAATCCAGATATCTCAATCCTGACAATTCGCGCATGATGAGTCTACACACATCATCCCATACCACATCCCTACCCGCACATATCTCTGCAGTCATAGGAATTTCCCTTGCAATTCTCAAGTTCCTTATCCATGCCCGTGCACCCTGACTTCTATCATGCCAAAAAGGATTCATAGCCTCGATATTCATGCCGAAATCCCAGATACTCTTTCCATTTCCATAAAGCACCTCTTCGGCTTCTTCTTTGGTTTGTTTGCATACGCTTAAAATGCGGGTATGGATACTTGGATTGGGGTGATCGGTGTGGGAATTTGCCGAGAGAATTTTGTAGGTGGTGAGTTTTTGGGGGGTGTTTGGGTGGACGGGATAGAATGATTGGGCTGCGAAGCAGGGAATTGAGGTGGGTGGGAAGTAGTATCCATTGTGTGGGATTTGGGTTGTGATTTTGTGGTGGCGGGGTGGAAGAAGGAGGAGATAGATTTTTAGGCGGATCTCTATGGGGAGAGATAGGAAGGGGAATGATGATTGACTCGACGTCGATGTAGAATTGTTGATTAATGAGGAGGTGATATCATGTGACAAAGACTCAAATGGTATTGGCCTATCCGCAGGGATAAGAGGATTCTTCGCTTGTTCCATGATTTGTTCCGACTTCTTGTCTGTACTTGATTGTTCTAAAGGATAGTAGTCAAGAGAATGCGAAGAATAGAGAATGTCAACTTCAAGGCTTCGACAATTACTTTCACATTGCTTTATATTTATATCTTTTTGAGAGTAGAAAACATTGATGGATAGAATTGATAACTCCGGACACCCGGATGCGTCCATATGAGGAGAGGACGGGGATGTCGTGTTCGGGTAATGCAGGGGGGATGGAATGCCGGTGAAGTCGACAGGGTATGCAGTCTGGATTGTCGGGTTTTGAGACATGGGTAATTGAGTTGTCGATGTGTCTAAAGTGGAATTCTTATACCAGGCGGTGACTTTAAAAATGTTGTGATGTGTTGGTATCGGTGTGGATTCTGCTTATGTGTTCATGAACTTGAGTTGACTACCGTACCATAATGTCGGTGCAATAAGCACGTTGTAGAGATGAGGAATGTACAATATGTATATCGTCGCAGATTTGAAGGTCTTTGAGAAAAAGACTTGAGATAGGATAGAGTGACCGATCGTCAGCTTTGAAAGCAGGAACAAAGATGGTAATCTCTAGGGAAGTGCAGTAAAGTAATTAAAGGACTGCATTCTATCTTTATGAAAGTCCAGCGAGTTTATGTTAGAAGAACAGAAGAACCTGGACACCGCGCAAGGGGTAACACGTTTTTGATATATCAGCCCACCCGGAATGATTATCACAGCATGCGCTGAAAGTGACACCGCATGACTGCTTCCGTTGGACTGAAGTACCCAGGCATGAATGACAAAAATCTCCTTCCTCTATAATAATGCTTACACCGTAATCTGATGCCAGAAACACGCATGTAGTAATTATACACCAATGAGTTCTTGCCGCAAATACTCTGCAAACCCATTATCGATCGAAGCAGAAAATGCACCGAAGAAAGCCATGGATGGAGAATGGCTTGGCGGAGGTATAGTATGAATCTCAGAAGTAATATCCAACTTCTGGATACCTTTGATCTCCAGTAATTGCAAAGCCCATTCCAGTGGTTCATATGCGACGCTTGACAAAGTCTTGAACTCAGCCGATGTATACTGCATTGACTCGTCCCATCCAATTCTTGGTCGTCCTCCCTCGACAATCAATCTCAAGCCCCTCAATTGCATCTGGTCCCTCAAGAATTCACAAAGATTGCTCCATTCACATCGATTTGATTCGCGACAGAAAACAAAGCCCTGTTTGAAGAGAGATATATCTTGCACTAAAAATCGCGTGCCAGGAGTAAGGTCGGAAAAGAAGGGCACGATAGCCTCGATATCCTTATAAAAGCTGAAAGTCCTATTCCCATATAACAGATGTGTGGTTTCTCCATATATCTTGCGATTCACACTCATGATAGAAGTGTGCATTTCGACATCGGTGCATAGTTGATATGTCGTCAGGGCTCTTTGCCGCATGAGTGAGTGATCAATGGCGTAGGAGGACCGCAGAGGATGATTGGCACGATTGGCATATACATCTGGGTTCTGGCTGCGAATTTCGAAGACTTTGTTGTTCTTGTCATCGAAAAGAAGTTCATAGATCATAACCCTGATCTCCGATGGGATACTCATGAATGGTGAAGGGGTTTCGATACCTGCCATGACTGGTACAATGCGTATCGTAAAAGTAGAAGATAGTGTCGAGTTTCTTTGGGTTTGAAAAGTTGTTATTCGGTTCTGCAAAAGAGGATTTCGTCCGCTACAAACTTTTTTTTGGACTGATAATCAGAGCGGGTATTAGATGGACTGGGAATATCCATCAAGGTTCTTATCTGTGTGTCTAGACTCTAATGACACAATCTGAATCACTCATCAGGTCCTCCTTTGAGGACGGCTTGTTAAGCGGAAGGCTAAATAACAAATCATTTGCTTCTACTCGTACTGTACATGAAACACTGAATCATGTCATACCGGTATAATAGTACTCGAGTAGGAGTATCAAGTCTACTCAAGACTCAAGAGTCAACAAACCATTATCGCCGAAGACAAAATGATCAGTGGATAGAAGAGAAAGTGGAAGAGAAAGTCTATCCTAGTTATCGTCAACATGATGACGATAGTGTTAGCTGAGAAATTGGGGCGTTCTTCGGCAGAACCATCAAGATTCAATACATTCATTGATGAACTTGTTTAGGATCTAGATCCCGCTCAGAAGACTATGGGCCGGGCTAGTCTGAGGCTTCTTGGTGCAAAGACATACTTGTACCGGCAATGCTTTGGATACTTCTGCAACAACAAAGTACCGGCTAGTATCATCAGCATGGACTTCCCTATAAAAAGTCTTTTGCAAGTTGAAATCTTTCATCCGAGAAAAGAGTTCCATTATTGGGTGAAAATTATGTAATCGTACTCCGTAGATAGAAAAATCACATTTCGCGCTTGCCGGAAAACCCATCGGGATTTTCCGCATATTGGGAATTTTCCAGCAACCCGATCAGACCGAAGAATAGTTTCGTACAACCACCCATTCCGGAGAACAACCACCCCATATCTCAATTTGGAGGAATTGGATGGGATTTCAATTTCACTACTTGTACTGGAGCCTCTTTTCGCTCTGCTTACTACCTTCATTCTCGATGCTATGTTGTTTTTACGCCTATTAATCTTTCATGAGCCCCTTCATCAAAAGCAGCGGGAAAACTTCACTTCCACTTCCATTTCTACTTCCATCTTCATTATCAATCCCGGATCATCACCACTTAGATATCTTCCGCTTACCTGCATATCCCCAGAATATGTTTAACGGGTTTTCCATAAAAGGATCGTTGTGATCACTATCTAGTTTTTGGCGTTGATATGGCTTCCCAGCCACTTCAATTATCGCGGGAAATATGCAGAAAAAACCAGCCTTCTCGACGCGCATCTAAGCAAAATCCTTTCCCAGCCTCCGCAATCAAGTCGCATAAGGTATTAATATAATACATCTCATTATTCCATGTAAGTTCTTTTGCTCTCAGACATCAATTTAATTTTCTCGAGTCCACTTCTATATATTTACGAATTAATGCAATCATGCGTCTTAATACTTCCACTTCCACTCTCTTTGCTCTATCGTCACTCTTTTTGTTATCATCAGGGCTTCCATTTGCTCAGAAAGATGTTGTTTGGGTGGAGCACGTAAAGAGGGCTACATACTCTGTTGTGAATGTAGATGGAGATTCTTCAACTTCCACAAGTTCTGGGAATGGGCAAGCCGCGAGTACTGTTGTAGAAACAGTTACCAAGACCGAAGGGCAGGCAACGAAGACAATTATCAAGACCGATGCTACTACATTGCCAGCAACCACAAATTATGTAGTCTCGACTCGGACCGTAAAGGATTCTGACACAACTGAGACTGTTCTGATTACCATTACACCATCTCCAACGACGATCACTAGCGTCAGTTATTCAATCGTCGACGTGACCGTTCCAGTGACTGTTCCCGAGCCGTCATCATCAAAACAAACTTCTGCCCACGCAAACTCCTCGACTTCAACATCCACATCAAGCTCTTCAAGAAAAGTTACCTCCAGTTCAGCATCCATTATATCGAGTACTCCGGCGTCATCCAAATCATTGGCGACAACGCCCTCGTCCTCATCCGCATCTCACACAGCATCCAAACCATTACTATCGATATTTTCCACAAAAGGCACATCAGCTTCAACCACACGACCAACTGTGTCGCCTTCAACTTCCTTCAATGCTTCCGGATCGTCCAGTGCAGCCGCATCTTCCTCGACGAATCTGACCTTGTCTTCTACCAGCGCTACCGGCTTGACGATTTCCCAAGCATCTAGCCCTACCTCAACGCTCGAAGTATCCTCGAGCAGTTGCACCGACGAATCATCGACCATCTCATCTCCCACGACTACTCTTTCGTCCTCATGGTTTACTTCTTACAAGGAAATATCCTCAAGTGTATCTACCATCACAGTTTCACCCATAACGACTACTACTTCATATAATAATGGGCACTGGCATACTAGTTATCCTTCTTGGAATTCTACCACTGATCTTCCAAGAAGTTGAGCAACAATTAATGAATCAGGTGTAATTTTCAATCATCCCCGGTCAAGTTTTGGGAGTGACGATCACTACACAAGAGATTGGTCTCGTGAAACCATGACGGAATCATTGTTCTTCCCCAATATTGATGGGACAAAAATGTTAGGTTGAGAATCAAGGGGCTGATCCGAGCTAGCATAACTCAGAAGATCAGTGCTCGAAGTTGGGTACATTTACAAACTTTGGTGTGGCGTAATATTCGTCGGGAGTTATGGAATCGAATGGGTCGAGGCACCAAGAGCTGGGAAGCCTTTTATATCATTGGTTACGTGGGACATGATGAGACGAAATAATGTTAAATAGATACCTAGGGAATAGTAGGGATTGAGACGAAGGATAACTAATAATGAACACAATTAAGATCCAAATGTTCTCTCTAAGCCACAACCACTTTCCTCACTGTATGAAATTATAATTGTAACAATAAGGTTCTTTTCAAATTAGAATCTCTGACTAAGATTGATTGATTGGTTGATCGGTGATCAATGAAGCTGTTCGGATTCGGATAAACGTTACCTCCGTGAGCTCTAATCCTTGTCAACAATCAATCGCAGCTTGGGGAGGCTTAGCGTTCCTTCCCCCGTAACTGGTCGTAATCAGTTAATATTTGGATTCCATACGATTAAAAAGCTTTAATATCTGCATTAATCGCTCGATCATCTCCGTATTCTAACTTGCTTGGGCTACGAAAATCAGCCACTGCGCAAGCAACTGTATCTGAAAGTCTGCCATAATGGCCTCTCCACCTCAAGTCGTGGAGGATCAGGCACGACTCCTTGAAGATGCTTTAAATGTTGTTCGCCAACAAACACAACTCATGCGACGATGTTTAGAAAGTCCTGGGAAGCTTATGGATGCCCTGAAGTGCAGGTATGTCATGGGAGATGGGCTTGTTCATGTTGTTCCATGTGATTGCGACGACTATAATATATGCGCATAGCGGATCTTGTGCTGATTTGTTTCTTTCAATATTCAGTTCAACACTCGTCTCCGAGCTCCGAACGAGCAGCTTAGGGCCGAAACAGTACTACGAGTTATACATGGCAGTGTTTGATGCTTTGCGACACCTATCCTCTCATCTCAAAGATTCCCATCCCACTCATCATCTCGCCGACCTATACGAGCTTGTCCAGTATGCAGGAAATATCGTTCCTCGACTTTACCTCATGGTAACGGTTGGTACAGTTTATATGAGTGTACCAGAAGCACCAGTCAAGGAGATCATGAAGGATATGATGGAAATGAGCCGTGGCGTACAACATCCAACAAGAGGGTTATTCCTCAGATATTACCTTTCCGGGCAAGCTCGCGAACATCTACCTCAAGGTGATGGCGATGGACCAGAAGGAAATCTGACAGATTCGATAAGTTTTGTTCTCACCAATTTTGTGGAAATGAACAAGCTCTGGGTACGACTACAACATCAGGGCCACTCCCGAGAACGAGAAATGAGAACACAGGAAAGGAAAGAGCTCCAATTACTGGTCGGAAGCAATCTAGTTCGATTAAGTCAATTGGTGGATCTGGAAGTCTACAAGAACACTATTCTGCAGCCACTGCTAGAGCAAGTAGTGCAATGCCGGGATGTTTTAGCCCAAGAATATTTGCTAGAAGTAATCACACAGGTCTTCCCGGATGAATATCACCTTCACACCCTAGATCAATTCTTAGCGGCTGTATCGAGATTGAACCCCCACGTTAATATGAAAGTCATCGTCATAGCAATGATGGACAGACTTTCTGCATATGCTGCTCGAGAGTCAGAATCGAGCTCTGGAGTGGACCGCGAGAAGTCAGAGCAGGAGGCTGTCACCAAATTACTCGAAACCACTCGGTTAAACAAGGAGAGTAAGGCTGCTGAGTCAAAGCCAGAGTCAACCTCAGCAGCGGAATCCCCAGAGTCAAACAGTGATCGTCCGTCAACGGAGACTAATGGAGCCAGCACAGCCTCGAATCCCAAGGAAGAAACTGACGATAGCCTCAGTGTAGCTCCAACAGAAGTTGAGACGCCATCTGTAGCAGAGACAGCCGACAATGACGGTGCTAACGATAAGTCAAATGCCGTTCCTGACAATATTAAGCTTTATGAGATCTTCTTTGACCAAGTAATGCATCTTGTTGCTTCCCAGCGCTTGTCTGTACAAGATACCTTGGCATTGTTGGTATCGTTAGTTAACTTGGCACTCAAAGTTCATCCAGATCGTTTAGACTATGTCGATCAGGTTCTCGATTATGCATCGGATAGAGTTAGAGCATATGCCAACACTCCCGAGTTACATTCTCCAGAGGCACAGAAAAACATACTAAATTTGCTCCTGACACCTATCACATCTTACGCTTCCATATTTACGGCCTTGTCTCTCCCGACTTACATCCCGTCATTACAACTTCAAATATATCCGACACGTCGAGCTGTTGCTGGCGAAGTTGCTCGCAATATACAGGGCAATTCCACCAAAATCTCTACTGTGGCCTCATTAGAGGGAGTGCTCGAAGTTCTCAAGGTTCTCATCAAAGAAGGATCTCAAAATCCTGCTAACTACGCTGGAGTACAGCGCAAAGCTCTCGAGACCGATGAAACGATAGAAGAGCAGGGCTGGTTAGCTAGACTCGTTCATTTGATCCATAGTGATGACAATGATACACAATTTAAGCTTCTGCAAACTACCAAGGCAGCTTACTCGGAGGGAAACGAGCGTGTTAAATTTACAACGCCAGCTCTAATAACATCAGCCATGAAGCTCGCAAGACGGTTCAAAGCCAGAGAACATTATGATGACAATTGGGAGTCACAAATATCGGCTCTTTTCAAATTCATGCACTCAGCTCTCACAACTATGTATACCCGGGTGTCTGGATCTGCCGAACTTTGTTTGAGGCTATTCGTAGCATGTGGTCAAATCGCCGACCAGACAAATTTTGAAGAAGTTAGCTACGAGTTTTTCGCTCAAGCATTTACCATCTATGAAGAAAGCATCAGCGACTCTAGGGCACAATTTCAAGCAGTTTGCGTTATTGCGTCCGCTCTGCATGACACACGAAATTTCAACAAAGAAAACTATGACACGCTCATCACCAAATGTGCTCTACATGGCAGTAAGCTATTGAAGAAGCCCGATCAATGTCGTGCTGTTTTCTTAGCGAGTCATCTTTGGTGGGCCGTGCCTATCGCAGCAAAGGGGGAAACGGATGAGAAGAATGTAGGTTCTTGTAATAAATATTTCATTCTGGATTAATAGCTAACATAGACTACTAGCTCTATCGTGATGGCAAGCGGGTCCTTGAGTGCCTTCAACGTGCACTTCGGGTTGCGGATGCATGTATGGATACTGCTGTCTCGGTGGAACTTTTCGTTGAAATTCTTAATCGTTATGTCTACTACTTCGAGCAAGAAAATGAAGCTGTAAGTCCTCTCGGTTATCTATATGATCACCAACATTCGGAACTAACATGAATCGATAGGTCACAACCAAATACCTGAATGGCCTCATTGAATTGATTCATTCAAATCTTCAAGGCAATCAAGATTCAGCCACAATTAACGAACCAAGAAAGCATTTCCAACGTACTTTGGATAACATTACTTCTCGGAACTATGAAGGTGTAGTAACAGCTGCTGCACCTTAGATCACACGCAATACCTTTTTCTTTTTCTTCTATTAATAGTTTGTTGAGAGCATGGAATGGATCATACTCGATGTAAATTTATGTGAGATTGTTTGGGGTTTTACGAGTACCTATGAAAGAGACAGAGGGGAAGAGAGAGACCCCGGGTATGATGTTTTTGGAAGCCAGCACTTACGTTTACGAAGACCAAAATAATGCAGCGAATGTACTTAGATTTGATTAGCTCGTATCAAGCAAAACAGTGATGGGTTGATTTAATTGGTAGGCATAGCTAGAAGGCTATGTAAGAAGAGATGATAATCGAAATAACTCTGAATAAGCGCAACAAATACTCGAGTACTTTACTCGTAAAGGTTGAAACTTGAGATGGACACCTGTGGAAGCTTTGCTTGGTTGTATTTCTATGAGGCTCGAGGTCATTAACTCTTAAATCTGTTCTCGATGACTTTTCTTTGCATTCTTGAGTATTTCTAGTCCTTACTGTAAATCGCTTCATAATACAGGGGGGGAGATTACCGAAGACACCGCGAATCCAGAGTCCGTGATTGTCTGTGTCGCAGATAACCCATTGACTTCGAGTTCAAACTTCAAGCCACCAAAGAAATTCAAAGAATACTTTGAAACTCATCTAGAGCTCTAAATTATTCCACAAGGGCGAAACAACAGCTGGCCTGAATACCCAAATAATTCTTCCAAGGGCAATAATATTAATCTGATCACCAAACGTTGTTCATTGTCCATCTCCGCGGCCATCCCTCCTTCGTTCTCGCAACCTATTAATTCTCTAGCACGCAAACACATCAACCACCAAGAGAAGTGGTAGTATTTTCTTCCACGCCTGACCAATTGGCACAAACTTCACAATGCCTGACGAAAAACATATATACGAAGCGCTACCAATTCCCACCTACTCAGAAGCAATCGGCGAATCCTCCTATGGCTCAACACCCATAACACCCCGCTCCGATTCCTCAAATGAACCCGCACATCCCGCCGAACGAGAAGGTCTCCTAGGAAATGATCCCGGCGCAAGAGTTCCAGTTCCTACTCGCAGAGCTGGATATCGCCCCCCTCCTACCGAAGATGGCATTTCCAATCGAGGCAGTCTGGAAAGAGATACGTTTCTAAATCAACATGGCGAGCGCGAAAGTGAAGATGATGATGGGGTGCGAAGGGAGATAGAGGAAATGGAAATACAAGATCCGCAAACGCCACAATCGGCGTGGGGGAAACGGATGTCCAGTATCTCTGCATCGTTATCCTCGCGCCTGCCATGGATTCGTCGGATTAGATGGCCGAAATTTGATGCGAATTTCTGTATAGTTATTGGAAGGATATTCGCGATACTGTTAGTCATGGCGGTGGTGTATCTATTGTTTATGAGCGACCTTTTCTCGAATGCGGCGAATAGGATAGGAGGGCAGATGTTCCCTGCGGAAAGTGTGAGGATATTTGTGCAGGAGAGTGTGTCGGAGGAGAGAATTGTGAGGTGGATGAATAGGATTACGGAGACGGATCATTTGGCGGGTACGGAGGGGGATTACATTCTGGCGGAGATTGTGCAGGAGCTTATGGTCAAGAATGGATTGGAGGACGTCAAAATGGATGAATATGGAGTTTATCTGAACTATCCAAAGGAGGGAGGAAGGAAAATCGAATTACTTGGGGAAGATGGAAATCCGGTTTGGCAAGCAAAGATTGATGAGCCGCAACTCTATACAAACCCACCGAGGCAACAGACACCTGTTTTCCATGGACATTCGAAGGCGGGAGATGTTACAGGCCCATTAATATACTGTAACTATGGTTCACAGGCTGATTACAAGACTTTTTACGATGGTGGAATTGATACGAGAGGGGCAATTGCTCTGGTCAGATATTACGGTACCCAAAAAGACAGAGCTTTGAAGGTCAAGGCTGCGGAACCATGGGGTTTCAAGGCTGTGATAATGTACAGTGATCCGGCAGATGATGGGTTTACTTTGGGTGATACCGCCCCTAATGGTAGATATATGCCCAAAGATGGAGTTCAAAGAGGCGCAGTCAGCTTGATGAGTTGGGTGGTCGGCGATGTTCTAACCCCTGGATGGGCAAGCGTAAAAGGGGCGAAACGCGTATCGAAAGAGAATAACCCAGGATTGACTAGTATTCCTAGTATCCCTATCTCGTGGGGAGATGCACAAAAGCTTTTGCAGTCCATTCAAGGATTCGGAGTTGAGTGTCCTCCCGAATGGAAAGGTGCAGTTCCTGATGTTAAATACTGGTCTGGCAATCTTTCAACGCCAAAGGTTCATCTTGTTAATGAACAGGATGAAGTTGAGCAGCAGCCAATTTGGAATGTTCTAGGTAAAATTACTGGTGTCGAGCAACAGGAGAAATCTATTATCGTTGGTAATCATCGTGACGCTTGGGTCTTTGGTGCCACGGATCCTGGATCAGGTACTGCGGTGTTCCTCGAAGTTATGCATATCTTTGGTGATCTTGTTTCACGAGGTTGGCGTCCGCAACGTACCATTGAATTTGCTTCTTGGGATGGCGAGGAATATAATCTCATTGGATCTACAGAGCATGTCGAGAAGAATATGGATAAACTACGAAAAGATGCATTTGTCTACCTTAATGTTGATGTAGGAGTTGGCGGTGATACATTCCGAGCAGCAGGCAGTCCAGTTTTCAAGAAAGCTCTTCTCCGAGTTCTAGATCGAACATCTGATCCTTACCAAAATGCCACTCTACGTCATTTATGGGATGCAAGAGGAGGTCAATTAGATGGTCTAGGAGCTGGAAGTGATTATGTCGCTTTTCAAGATATGGCAGGAACTTCTTCTCTTGATTTTGGGTTCGAAGGCCCCGTATATCCATATCATTCTGCATATGATAATTTTGAATGGATGGCTAGTCAAGGTGATCCCAATTTCCGCTACCATAAACTTCTCGCTGAAGTTTGGGCACTTCTCATTCTCGAGTTCTGCGATCGTGCAGTCCTTCCTTTTGATATCAAAGCATATTCACAATCTCTGACGAAATGGGTCATGGATCTGGAAAATTGGGCAGATAGTAAAGGTGGCAATGAAGCGGGAAATGTTCCATGGTCAACAGAACCATTGCGAGAAGCAGCATTACAGTTTGCGCAAGATTCAAAGAGGTTTGAGAAATTTGAATTGGAATGGGATGGATTGGTATTGGGGAGTGGTGGGTTTGAAAGTCCGGGGTTGGCTTCCCATCGAAAGAGTCATAATACGAGGATGGCGAATTTCGAAACTCATTTGTTGGATTTGGAGGAGGGTGGTGGGGTATGTTTATTTCTTTTTTTGTTCTGCTCTTTGCCCTTTTTTCCCATCCTCCATCTCATGTCTGATTCTCATTCATCTCATGTTTCAACTAATCATCTAATTCACAACCTCATTCGTATCTTTGTTTTCATATCATTTTATCTTTTACTAACACAAACAAAACAAACAGATCCCAAATAGAACACAATTCAAACATGTAATTTTCGGACCACAACTCTGGTCTGGATATGATGAGGCTTTTTTTCCGGCAATACGTGATGCGGTTGAGGTGGGGGATTGGGCGCTTGCGAAGAAAATGGTGGAGAAGACGGCGAGGATTATTAAGAGGGCTAGTGGGAAGATGGCGGATGGGAAATGAGATTGTGTGGATGGGGGAAAGGGGGAAGGAGGGAAGGGGGGGGGGGGGGGGCGGAATGGGGAAAGGTAGATCGCATGGGTGGATCGGATGACTTGATAAATACAGGTATACAATACATGAATGATCAGTTTGGATTTGGATTTGGATTGAAGAAAGGGTTTGAAAACTGGGGTTGAGAACTGCTTGTATCAATCGTACTGTATTGTATTGTATACACAGCGAGCATTTGGCGTTTTTCTTTTTTCTTTTTTGCTTTGCCTCGCGTTTATTATACGTTGGAGGGGCTTTTTTTTGGCTAGTAGTTGGGGTGGTTGGGGCAATCAATCAATCAATCGATTGGTGGTGTCTGGTGTTGGATTTGGCTGGGCTGGGGTGGGGGAGAAGGAGGGAGGGGGGGGGGGAATCTCCAGGAGATGAGGAATGGGGATGCGGAATGTATATAAGATGAGTTGGTATAGGTTAGGTTAGGATAGGATAGGAAAGGATAGGATAAGATAGGATGGGATAAAATCTGATATAATAAAATATAATAAAATAAAATAAACTTATATAAACTTATATACTATTAGAGTAGAGTAGTAAGATTTTATATAGTGTATATCTAGGTACTTATAGGTTCATTTGATATAACTTGATGGATGATACTAGTCGGTTGATTGGTTCATTGGTTGATATATCTATTAGATTAGGGCCCGGGTTTACGTTTTTGGGAAGAGGGGGAGAGGGGAGAGGAGAGAGGGGAGAGGGGAGGTTGAGTTGATGGGGGATGGATGGATGGAGATGGAGATGGGGGGTAGATGGATTGATAGATAATGGTGTAAGGTGTGAGATATAAAATATAAATTTGAAAAGTAGGAAATCTAGATTTAGATTTTAGACTTAGACTTAGATCCAGATGGAGATGGAGATGGAGATGGAGGTCTAGATGGAGATTAGTGAATATGAGGGGAAAGAGAGATAGATATAGACTCGGAGTGGAAATGGAGATGGAAATAAATAGGAATGGAGATGGAGATGGACTAGTACAAAATATGAAATATGGATCATGAAATATAAGACATGATGTGATCTGACTCGGATGAAGAATGAAAGTTAGAGAGGAGAGGAGAGTATAGAGTAGAGTTACATCATAGAGTGTATAGTATAATTATAGTAAAAGGTGAATACAATACCCGAGTAATAATCTATTATATAAATGAAGATAGTATAGGATAGAATAAAATAAAATAAACTTTAGATTATCCACTAATTACTAGATAGATAAATAAGAAGAGATTTCTAGAATAGATTTAAATAGATTTAATAAGTTATTTAGATAAATATAAGTATATAAAAAGAGATAGAATAGATAGATATAATTGGATTAGATAATAATATACTAGTAATATAATAAAATATAATAAAATATAATACAATATAATACAATATAATATAATTAAATAAAATAGAATAATAGAATAAAATAGAATGAGATTAAATAAAATGAAATATAATAAAATATCTGAACTATATAAGAATATTATATACAAGTAGAAAATATTGAGTTTTTGGAGAATACATTCGCTTATTTTGTATATATTAGTATACCTCTTCAAAGACTCTCACAACTTTCATTTCACATGATCTAATCTCATCTCATCTCATCTCATCCCAATCCATCTCATCCTATCTCAATACATTTAATTCACTTCTCATATCCTATTCTTATCCTATTCTATCATCTCCTACGAGTATTCTGTAATCTTGTCTTATTTCTTATTTCTTATTTCTTATATCCTAGTCCTATGTCCTAGTCCTATGTCCTATTTTCCTATTCTCTCTGATTCAAATCAAACCCAACTCAAACCCAACTCAAACTCAACTCATACAAAGTCATACAATACAATACAATACAAACTCTTCATTTTATTTCATTTCAACTCGTCTCATCCACCAACTCCCCCTTTCGAATGAATATACATTCGATACTGATTAACCCAACCCATCCAAACCTCCTTCCTTAAACCCCTCCTTTCATTCCCCTTCTATTTCTTCAAAGCCTTACCCCAAACCACCCACTCAATTGAGCACCCAACCCAAACCACCAAAAAAACTACTCTAACTCTCCCCCCCTCCCTTCCCCATCCCCCTCCCCTATCCAAAAACGCCATCAAACTGCCCCCAAACCAACACCAGAACCAACCCCCAAATAAAGATAAATCACACCACACTTTAAACTCCTTCCCTCCAACCCTCCATCCTACCTTCCCCACCAAACCCCGCCCATCCAAAGATTTAAAACACCCACTCCATAATCCAATACCAATACCAATACCAATACCAGTACCAATGATTGAATATGCTAAACTAAACAAACAGTACTGTCCCAGAAAAAAAAGGACAAAACAGAAAGAAGAAAGAACAAAAAAAGAAGATATAAGAAATAGACGCTGGCTGGTGATCAAATCGAGTTATCGTGTTAATAATGATGTTGTGTGTGTGTGTGTGTATTCCTCCTCATTGCTTCCATTTATTCCAATGCTTCCATCACATCATTCCTTTCCAGAAATCACGCTTCTACCATGCCATTCTCCCCAGAAGATTGTTCAACATGCACCGTGCCCTGCGATTTTCCATTTTCCATTGTACTTGTACTTGAAATCTCAACCGATCTATCAGGTAAAGGTTCACTTGCGGCCGCAGCACGATATTCTCTCGCATTCATCATTGAATTTGCATTTGCATTTGCATTTTCAGTAGCAGGTCTCGATAATTCCCTCAAAGGTAAATCCGTACTTTGACTCTTATGTAATGGATGAGCCATATTTGACGAGCCAATAATAGTCGAAAGAAGTGGCCTCTCATTTGTTTCCCTCATTTCCAATTCCGAGTCGCGTATTGGAATATGTTCGGCTTTACCACGGGGTTTGCTATTGGTGCCTTTGGGTACAGTGATTGGAGATGGTTTTCGAGATCTCTTGGTGGTGTAATCATCTGAACTAGAAGATTCGGTGGATGAGCTTTGATTCCTGTCGTGACGTTGACCACGATTGGTGAATGATCGAATTTCCAATTGTGAAGGTGTTTCACCACGTTGTACTTTGGCATCTATGAGTTTTTCGGTAACAATTCGACCTAAAGGTTGACCTTCGGTTCCTCTTCGACTGCTCCCATGACTACCGGCTCGATTCCTGCTACTCACCCTTTCTTTACCCTCCATTACTTTTGCTGATGGAGGTGGTTGTATCATCCATCTTGTTTCTTCTCGATTCCTCGGTGCCGTACTGACAATTGGTGGATGTAAGTCATTGACTGGTGGATTTCTCGCAAGATAATACGTCTCCGGGTTTCCATCAGATCCATTTCTACCACTAGGTCTCCCATCCACTCCAAACATTCGTCCAGCAGATTCCGAGGCTCTTGTGATGGCATCCATAATCCTTTGTCCAGGCCCATGTGTATCTCGACCCCAAAGTTCCTCATCTTCTCGTTGATATCGTTTCTTATTCCATCCTTCACCAGATATACGGGATCCTTCTTCAACCACTGTAGGACTGCTCCCAGTATCCGTACTCATTCCAGCACTACTCGCATAACTACTGCCTTGCCCTGCTGTATTAAGCCCTCTCTGACTTCCATTCTTATCCTTTTTGTCGCCCTTTTTATTCGGGGGACCGGGCCCCATCATAATCTCTTCAGTCCAATATGGATTCGTAGAGAATGGCGAAGGATGCCTATATAGACCTGGTTGTTCAGTTTCCAATGCATGTTTCTCGACTCGTTCTCGTTTGGCTTGTGCTTTGGCTTTCCTTCTATGGCTAATCTTGGCGCAAGTACTACATGATAGTACATAGAATGCTACCGACTGTAGAGCGACATCTATAGACATGATTTTTCGATTTCTGATGTTAAAAACCGAGAAAGCTATAGATTGTAAATGAGGAGACAGTCGAAGTGGTTTAATGCATAAAGTGTATGTTGCGCGGTTCAACCATTCTGTGTTGCGGCTTGTTTCGAATCGCAAAAAGAAGATCTGTGACCGGGAAAATGCTGGTTATGATATATGGGATGACTCTTTTAGATAGCACCTTGGGGAGGTATTGCGTAGGGTGACTCCGTATCAATTATACAAGTGAATTAATTGAGTTTGTCTTTTCCACAAGAAGTGTTGTATGATTGGTAGTTTCCGTGGCTTGAGTGAATGAACCAGCAAATCTTAATATACAGTCATCAATTCCAGATATGAATGTTTGGGATTATAGTTGAAGGTTCGAAAAGGTATATCAAATCAGCCAAGTGATTGATTTCGAGTCCAAGTGGAAGTGAAGTGGGATATAGAGTACCGGTAGGTAGTGAAATACCAAAAGATGGTAGATGGGTAGGTGGGTAGGTGGTCACTATTCCGGATAGTATTCCTACCAATATATCTCAAGTTGTTTGACCAGATGAGACTAGGTGTTTGTCTTGTTGGTAAACTTGGATATTGAATGAAAAACAATGAATTGTATTTGAAGTGATGTCAATTGACAAAGTCTTGTTGTGTACTGTATGCACACAAGTATATAATTGGGGTCAGATGAAAGTTAAGGTAAGGTAAGGTAATCGGTCAATCGGTCAATCAATCGGTCAATCGGCTGCAGAAGGGGGATCCATCCCAAAATCTTTAGTCATACATATCGCAGCAAATGCAGCATAGCCCTTGACTGGTATTGGTATCGATTAATTATAAACCGAGGAAAATCTTAATGAAAGATCCATATCTAACATAATCTAGATATAGTATTGTTTCTCAACATGATTTGTTGCTTTGATAATCTATTGTGAAATGAAAAGACGGGATTATTATTATAATATTCCCCGTTCGGGCCTAAAATCAGACCAATCTCTAATCAAGATATATTATTTATCCCTGTGTTTGCATATTCTCCCCCTTGTGCTGCACTCATAAATGTTACCATTACCACGAGGGGCCGATGAATATGGTAATTGAATTCCGAAGGGTGAGTTAATTTAGATAAGATACTAAGATAGATACTTGTAGTAACTGTTTCGTATTATACTCGAGTAAAAGAATCAGAATATTATTACAGTATATCTAGATAGCCGATACTCACTACATTACATACTCCATATATATATTTATAAATCTTCCCCAATCCTAATCTATTTCAACAATTAATCATCAAACAAAACTTCCCCATTTACCATGCTCATACAAGTATCATAACAAATAGATATTCAGGAGTGAGTTACGAGTTATGTATCTGAGGACCGACCACCCCCATTCATCCATCCCCTCCATCCCTCCCCCATCAACCATTATTCTACCCACAGATCATCCCAAGACCCATTAACCCCCCCTTGACTTGACTTGACTTGACTTGATTTCTTGATTTGACCCCTTGATCCATACATCTCATCCACTTCATAACTTGACATTTAAGTCGGGGAATGAATGATAAATAATAAATAATTTCAGGTCCCTGCGTCGGGTGGTGTCTCCACTCCATAGCTGAGCTTACCCATTATATTATATTACGTGAAACACGAAAAGAATTAATCGAAACGAAACGAAACAGACGGATGAAGATCATTCTTCTACTATCAAATCAATATCAACATATTTTGAACATACCATACCATACAATCATACTCCCATCAATCCAAATTCCATATTCCAAACAGATACCGATACCGCAACTTAAGAGCTAAACCCGATTACAAAATACTGCACAGGAAACCCAGTCATTACATATTACATATGCACATATCTCTAGATGCAGATAGCTATGCCGTGTAACCGTATAACCCGCGTAATGCAATACAATATGCAAACCGGAGTTCTGGTATTGTTATGACAGTATGATGGGTATAATTTGATCGGCTGACTTGTGAGTAAAGGTCTAGGTATGTAATCAGGTATGCATGTTGGTGTGGTTGATAGAGCAACGATGTATAGGTATTTTATATATTCATCACGATATATATATATATATATATATATTATTATTATTATTATTATTACAATATACTGCGGATATGTGATATTTATTGGATTGGCAATATTGGGATAGTTGATATCTTTGTAGAGTATACCGGTATATCATTCAGATTCCGTAGCGCCTAATCTTCTGTATCAATATCGATATTCATAACACAACTTCCAGGCCAACTGTAGAATTGGCGAAAGCTTATTACCTACCTACCTACTTACAGGTCTCTCATCTCAGCCCGAAGCTAAAATCCACGAACTCTGAAGAACTGAAGATATACCGTATCTGAATGTGATCAAAGAATAGCCCGGATCGTATATTTTCGATGACCGGCAGCGCGATCCGCTGAATTGGTCCAAGTAACAATCCCGATGAATTCTATGATTACCTAGGTAGTATTGACCCGGCCCTGCGAGATATACCCGGTAGGTATTGTTGCGAATTCCAGGAAGATTAAGTATACGGGGAGAAGCTTCAGTTGCTTCTATCCGTGCCAAGAAGATGGGTCCTGTTAGCTGTGTAAGGCTAAGGCTAATGCTAATGCTATTTCCATGATTGATCATTGATATGTTTTGAGGATGTACTCGAGTATATGGTGTTGAGAATCATTATGGTAGGTCAGGGGACGATTATATGGTGATGAGGAGTAGGTAGGTCTTTGATGTTGATAACACACTATACTATGTATGATAGATCCCGTTTAAGATGTGAGGACCATATCTACTGAGTACTCGTAGACTATATGATCAAAAACTGAAGTTTTGCTTTCCCGGATCATATCAAGTATGAACAATAAACACCTTTCAATTGGTCACAACGGTTTCAATCATTGATGAATGATTCTCTATGCAAGGATCACATACATTAGTGGTCGACTTTACCTAGTCCATGGTTTAGAGATAGATATTCATTTGGCCCCACCCAATTTGATATCTATCACATATGTATGCGCAGCGTTTCCCTTGATTTGATCACCTCTTGGCGTAAATAAGCCAAGAGAAACTCGAGAAAATGAGATGAATTATATATGAATTCTTTTCTATTGTCTTTTCCTGATTGCTGTGATATTCTGCCCTTAAGGAAATGAGAATTTTCACGTTTTGATGCTCTGGGTTAAGTAAATTGACTTGCATATACATACCTACGAGTAGGAAGGCAGGGCGATTCGATTCGAGGTTACACAAAGGGAACAGGAACGCGAACATCAACAATCAAATATCCCACCTCTTTGTGCGCACATTGCTAGCTGAGCAGACGCCCAAATAATTCACCAATTCTCAATTTTCCTACTGTCAAAACAAAGTGCGACATAAACAATGGCAGCTCACTATCGCGATGATCTCCTCCACGGTACAGACCATCCCGATACCCACGCATCATCAAATCGCTGGCGCCACGAAGAATCCACCGCATTTGCGAAACATGCGAATACGGCACCACGAGAAGCGGACGGGCGACATGAAAGTGGGAATTTGGCCAGTTTCCTGAAAGCTTCGCGAGTGGAGGGTAAAGGCTCACCTGGTTCGCATACACCAATTATGCTCGCGGGGAATGCGCAGCATGGGGAAGTTGAAGCGACGAGGAGGGAACAAGATGAATTGGAGCAGAGGGGTGCTGTGGATGGGGTGAGGAGGGGAGCCGCGGGGGCGACGGTTAGGTGTGGTCCGCTGCTTAATTATAGACGTATAGAAAATGAGACTTGGTATGGGAGTGTGTTGGTTGTGGTTGATACGCAATCGTGTAGGGAGGACTCGGTGCCGGAGTTGTGTTTGAGGGTTTTGGGAAGTAGAGAGGCGACGCAAAATGGTATGGGAAGGGGTGTAGACATTGAGAACGGAAATTCGAATAGTCATGCTGAAGTTGAAGCGCATGGAGTTATTAATGGGGTTGACTATTCTGAAAATCCAGACCCGGCACAAGCACCAAATGACAATACTCCATTTCATGGCGGACAACCCAATGCTTCCAGCAACTCGGAAGAAACTAAGATTAGAGGAGTCAAGCTATATGCAGATACTGCGAACACTTTCTGGAGATTTCTTTTACAAGTTCCAATGCAACAGGAAGAAATTCAATGCGTCTACACGATTCCTGGACTCACATTTGCTGAAGGGGGAAAGACGGATAGACAAAACTTTTTTATACCAGCGATTACGGAGAGTATGAGGATAATGTTTCATTCTTGTAATGGATTTAGTGTGGGTACGGATGAGGCTGCTTATAGTGGTGCTTGTCTTTGGAGAGATGTTGCGCGACAACATGAGGAAACCCCTTTCCATGTTATGTAGGAAGATCTTTGACTATAAGAGTGTCAAATGCTAACATTAGACAGGCTTGGTGGTGGAGACCAGATATATAATGATGGAATTAGGGTGAATGGACCTCTGAGACCTTGGACCGATATTGGTATTCCGAAGAAGAGGAGGGAATATCTTTTCCCTGAAAAGTTGAGGAAGGATTGTGATGAATATTATGTCAAGAATTATCTTCGTTGGTAAGTCAGTTGTTGAGCTCAAAGGCTGGAAAATTGGAAATCTGACATGCAAACGCAGGTATTCGACAGAACCTTTTGCTGCAATGAATGGAAAGATTCCTCAAGTCAATCTCTGGGATGACCATGATGTAGGTTTAGTTTTTTTCTAGTGAGATATGTACCCACTAATCAAGCATAGATTATTGATGGCTTTGGCTCATACGTCGATGAATTTATGCGTTGTCCGGTCTTCCGTGGTATTGGAGGTGTTGCTCATAAATACTATTTACTGTTTCAACATCACATTGCACCTCCACCATCTACATTTACAACTGGTATATTATCCTCGAAGATCTTTCCCTTGTATGGTTATTAACATTTATCAGATGCACCTCAGACTATGTCAACGGATGGAGTTGGAATTGATCCACGTCAAATGGAAAACACATACGTATTGGAGAATGATATCCCTGATCCAAGTTACATTATTGGTGATAGCCCTGGTGTCAGTAGTTTCAACCTTGCTATGGATTTATCTAATTTGTTTGCAGCCATATGTAGCAGAACGCTCTCGTAGCATTTATGCAAGATTGGGTGCAAGAATTGCCTTTTTCGGTATTGATGCTAGAACAGAAGTGAGTAATTTATTTCCTACAATCAAGGCGCTATATTGACTTTTCTACAGCGTACACGACATCAAGTGAACTATCCAGAAACATACAAGAAGATTTTCGATCGTCTTAGAGCAGAGCTTACAGCTGCCAAGGCGTCTCCAAATCCTATTCAACATCTTATTATTTTACTCGGAATTCCTATTGCTTATCCAGTAAGTTTTTGACAATCGATTTGACATATTATTGCTAACATTCATAGCGTTTAACATGGTTGGAGAATATCTTTGCGAGCCCCTTAATGGGCCCACTAAAATTCATGAACAAGCGATTCGGATTTGGTAAGCGACATTTCCATCCCTCCCTCATCAATAGTCACCCTACTAACCTCTCTTAAGGCGGAAGTTTCTTCAACCACTTCGACGGCAGCGTTGATCTCCTCGATGACCTCGATGACCATTACACAGCTCACACCCACAAAAAAGAACGCCACTACCTCGTCTCACAACTCCAATCCCTCGCCTCTCAATTCTCAGTCCGCATCTCCATCTTGGGTGGCGACGTACATCTCGCCGCCGTCGGCCGTTTCTATTCAAACCCTAGCTTGCAAATCCCCGTCTCGAAAGATTTCAGATATATGGCGAATATTATCTCATCAGCTATCGTTAACAAACCACCTCCGCAAGCAGTGGCGAATTTATTAGCGAGGAGAAACAAAATTCATCATTTGGATAAAGAGACTGATGAAACGTTACTCAGTTTCTTCGATCGAAATCCCGGGGAGGATAGAAAGAGTTCAAAGAGTAATACAGTCACAATGCCTAGTCGAAATTGGGCAGTTCTCACAGAAAACTCACGCACTTCATCAACATCTCCAAACGCTCCCAACACATCCACAGTCAATAACACCGAAACCCAACCCCCAGCCCACGATCTCGAACCCACTGCAATCCCCAAAGATGGTCACGCACCTCTTCACACAGGAGAACAGGGCGCAGGCAGTACACATAAATCGACAAAACCCGAACATCATGGCAAGAGCGCAGATGGGAGTCTAGATGTGGTGATTAGGGTGGAAATTGATCAGCATGATCCTGAGGGGAAAACGAGGGGTTATGGTATGTCGGTGCCGGTGTTGAGGTATGAGGGTAAGGTTTTGTGGGTGGATGAGGGGAGGAAGAGTTGGGCGGGGAGTAGAAGGAGTAGGAGTTTGAGGGGGAAGAGGAGTAGGGGGGAGGTGGATGGGGGTATGGGTGGAGGTGTGGGTGGGGAGAGAGGGGGGAGTGCGGGTTAGGGGTTAGTGGGTTAGAAGAGAGGGAGGGGAGGAGGTAATGGGCGATGGGTGATGGGTAATGGGCCACTGCTTAATGAAGGTGGGTGGGTGGATTAATGATGGACCAATGCGTGACCGGGGCTTATACGTATAAACTACCTACCTACACCCACCTACGCTAATAGCTAGCTAGCTGGGTTATATGGGAATATTAGATACCAGTAATGATAATAATCTTTCTTTTCTCACATGTTTTTCTCACATATATTTTATTTTATTTTACACAGTATGTATCACCATCCATTGGCATAGCATGCATAAAACTACAAGTTATTTATCTTGATGTTTAATTTTATTATTATTAGTTTATCACCATTATCAATTCTTGCAACTAGGTATTGTAATTTACCTAGTAGTTATTTTATTCCCTGGGAGCCAAGCTGCTATCTATTGATTAAGTAGTAGAAAGGAAAGGCAGGCAGGCAGGTAGGTAATACTCGTAGAATAGATAAGATATCACCACCAGTCCCTGCTGAGTCATAACAAACATTAAACACTGGGTGGGTATTATAGTAAGATTCGAAAATATCACCCTGATCTTTTTGGGGGGGGAGGCGCGGGGGATGGTGGGAGATTCAATTAATTGGCTTCGAATGTGAGGAAATCACTGGATGGATGGATGGATGGATGGATGAATAGAGGAAATGGGATATTTGGTTTGGGTTGGTATAGTGGTATATTATAGTATGATATCTCAACGCCACGCCACGCCACGCCATTTACTCAAGTATCTTAAAATTATCTTGTACTCAACGCCGCTTATTTTAAGATGTCGAAATTTTAGATCGGATTTAGATTTAGATGTGGATTAAGATTTTAAGAATCAAGAATCAAGAAAAATCAAGAACCAAGAATCATAAATGTGATGTGGTGTAATGTACTCGAGTAAGGAAATATAAGGAAAATAAATAGAAAGAAAGTAGAAACGGGAGATATGATCCGAGGAGAAACGAGTATGGAAAAGCTTGGTTTGATTGGTTTTGCTAGTTTTTGGCGGATAGGATAGGATAGGACAGGATAGGATAGGACAGGATAGGATAGGTGTATCTATCGGCTAAGAATTGAAAAATGAGTAAGTGAGAGTTGAGAACTGAGAACCTATAACGAGAGAGAGAGAGATATTACTACTGTATCTTCAGGGTCGGGGGATTTTGGAGTTTGGAGTTTGGAGTTTGGAGTTTGGAGTTTGGAGTTTGGAGCTTGGAGCTTGGAAGGTAGTAAGTAGTATTGCTGACATGGGTATGGGTGGGTTTGATAGTATAGTAGTAAAGTAGTAAGGTGGGACTCTCAGTGCTAGCTGGTAGGTAGGCTTATTGAGTTGAGTAAGAGGTTGCTACCTAAGCTAGTCTGTTGGGAGTACAGTGGATGCTGTGTATCGGTATCGGTTGATGGATGGTACGTCCGCCAAGAATGTGGTTTTCTTTGATTGTGTGATTGTGTGATTGCATTACTATGGAAAAGAAAGTTTTCGCTGTTGATGGGGCTGGGGCTGGGTTGTTGGTCTCATTTTGCAGGATTGAAATAGGAGATAAATGGATGGCAAGGGTTTGAATGGCGAGAAGATGATGATTATGATGACCAATTCGATGGCATGGATGAGGTAGCTAGGGATTGGGAACAGCACTTGAGTGCTCCTCTTATATCTCCTCTCGCAGCCGATGATATCGAGATGCATCTCGAACGGGTATAGCTCCAACAATACCAAGCGGCGCAATGAGCGTTCAAATATGTTTTGATGTCTTATAAATGCATACCCTCTTCTTCATCCGCACCAGCATCTTCTTGTATCCGTAATTCCATTGCTCGACGTAGAGTTTCGTCATCTAATGTTCCTCCTGTGCTTGAAGTTGTAGTTCCGTTTGTGCTTGATTGTCCATTCGCCGTTGTGCTCGAAACCCCACTCGCTCTCGATTCTCCATTGGTTGTTGTAGATGCGGATGCAGCTGCGGGTATAGAATCCATTACAACCTCGCCCCCTACAATCCTTCCTGTACTAAATGTTCCATCGGCCCAAGGATTACTCCTACTTTCTTCACTTGCGGGAGCTGCTCCGTTTGTTGCGGCGGCAGGGGATGATACTTCTGTTTCTGGTTTGGGTTCGACATCGGCGTCGTATTCGCCCCATACTCCGCCTCTGGTTTCGATTTCTGTGCGGAGGAGCGAGATGCGGGTTTTCATGCGATCTATTACAATTTCGTTTTCGCGGATCGCGTCGACACTTTTACAACTTAGTTAGCAAACGCCCTTCTCACCTTCCTTCCCCTCAAACTTTATCAAGGAGTACAAATCAGAAATAGCATACCAATCCTCATCCACTTTCCCATCCACACATTCGGGCTCCCTCCCTTCGGCGAAAGGCTTAAGTTGTTCATTAGAATAGTCGAGATGTGCGATGCTATTTTGTGTCTCGGCGGCTTTCAGGTACAGGGTGGACATGGGAAGGTCTTTGAGAGCTTCTGCAAAGGCTCTTTCGGAGATGGGGAGGGCGTCGGCGGACATTTTTGGGGCGTAAGGTAATGGTTAAGGTTCAAAAGTGAGGATTTGGGGTTGGGGCAGATTTGAGATTCTTTGTGAAGTTCGGGGATGGTATGGAGGGGTTGGATGGAGCTCTTGCGTCTGTATTTGAGTTCGGGGTCATAGAATATTGCTATTCTTTAGAAGACGATCGTGAATTATGTAGTTGTTTCAGGTCCCTTCAGGTTCATTATATGTATTCGCAAAGTGGTGAATTGATGATTGTATGTGGGAGATTGAAAGAATTGGGGATGGAGGGGGTGAAGTAGAAGCAACAGCTGACTGCGCGGAACTTATCGCGAAATGGTCCGTGCATTTATATTTTTTATACCTACGTAGGTAACTTCTCCAACTCCAGGAATTGGACATTAAACTAGAAGACCGCAGCGGGGTTATTTGCTCCAATGATTCGAACCAACATATGAAATGATAGTTATATCTCGAAGATGAATAGTCTTTGGCCTGCAGCACGTAATTCGTGCTTACAGACTCGGGCCAATCTACAAATATGTTGGACACTTGATGGTTTGCCCTCGAGGCTTGCGCATGGAGCTATACGACCTTATTCGATATCTTCGACGCCCTTCCGCCGCAGGGAGTTAGGGTCAGGTAAATATAAAGGTGAAGGTTACGACTGGACGGGAATTTTTGGATTACAATGCTCGAAGCGGTTTTATACCCCGAAAAAGAAGGCATCAAAGATTCCAAAGAATTCGACATTACTCAAGGAATTACCTAAGGGATTAGCTCCCAAGAAATTATCTCCAAAGGCAGCACCTAAAAAGGGGGTATATACGAAATATGAGCAATTACCAGCAAATTACGAAGACCAAATGGGTCTTGCCTATCGAGAAGATCCTATAACAGAGGAAGAAAACCAGGCGATTTTTGGAGCAGTAATGGATATAGATTCGGCGGGACGATTCTTGAGAGTCTTACATGGACGAAGAGTTGCTGGAACATTACCAGATCCGGATGAGCCTGATCATTTGGCATACTGGGAGGCCGTTGCACAGCGGAAAGCGTTAGCATGGCTAAGGGAGAATGTCCCTGTCGACGAGGATGAAAATGCGACCTTAAGGGCCGAACAGGAATTAGCCGAGATTGAGGGAGGGGTTGTTGAAGATTCTAAGAGAATTGGGATATATGTACCGAATGTTGGAGGAGGTCCAACAAGAGGGGGGAGAATCAATCTCAATATATATAAGTCGGACGATTCGACAGAGCCAGCACAAGGAACCAATAGTGTATATGGTGACAGTGGATTAGATGCCATTAGGAAAGCCAATCAAGCCAATTTTGCTGCTCGGGAGAAGAAAAGGAAGGCAGAAGAAGAAAAAGTGAACCAAGCAGATGAGATGCGGCAAAAGTCGGGCACTTTAGATCACGTCAAACCACGATCAGGAGTAGAACCTCGTAGAAAGGGCGAAAACCCATGGCTCAAACACTACGAAGCGCGGGCTCAAGAAACTGTTCCTACTGCCCTTCCCGAAATGTCTGCTTTCGCTCGTCTTTGGCCATCAGCTTTAGTGGTCCTTTTAACAATTGGAGTTTCGTGCACATTGGCGCATTTCTATATACCTCCCGCCGGAGCCCTTCGCATGTTCCCAGATACCCCACCCGCCATTACCACAGTCTCTGTACTGGTCCTCGCTAATACCGTGGTACTTTTCCTCTGGCATGTCCCACCTGCGTGGCGAATGCTCAACAAATACTTTATGATTATTCCCGTCTACCCTCGAGCATTATCCATGGTTGGAGCGGTCTTTTCCCATCAACGTTTCGCTCATATCCTTGGAAATATGACTGTCCTCACCATCCTCGGAGTCAAACTCCACGATGAAATTGGACGCGCTAATTTCCTTGCCCTATATTTTTCTACGGGTGCAGTTTCTTCTTTCGCCTCGTTGGCATGGTGGGTTTGGAAAGGTGCGTTTGTCTCGTCGTCTCTGGGTGCTTCGGGTGCTGTCTGTTCAGTACTTGCGGCGTTATTATGGTATAGAAGGGATGAGGGGATCAGTATTTTTGGGGTCTCCCCGATGATTCCTTCATGGTTATTGATGGGACTACTGTTTGGGTTGGAAATTATGGCGTGGAGGAGAGTGAACCAAAGTCTTGGGAAACAGCTTTTAGATCATCAGTCGCATTTAACGGGTTATACAGCAGGTATGATTGGGGCGGAGGTAATTAGGTGGAGGGATAGGGTTAGGAAGAAGCAAGTTGAAGAGAGAAGAAGGAATATTGAGTCAGTGATGCTTTAAGAGTTGATAGGATTGCAAATCATTATGTAATATCAAACATGAATCCTTTTTTCTAGGCCCAGTCGTCTGCTCGCTGAATGAGGCTAAATGAGGTATCAGCTAAAGAATAAATAAATTGGTTATATATTACAAGATCTTACTCAGTAAACAGACGGCCGATGACTATGGCCAAACATAAGACTCAAAGTCACTCTTCATCAAATATCTCGAAGCATACGATGATGCACAACATCGAAACCATAGGTGAATGCTTGAGCTCTGGATGTCACGTCCTGGTTCACACCACAATTGTTGGAGAGGATTGCATCACACTGAAAATCGTATGTGCATACCCATCTACTTCAGTTGATGTTTTGCTCTACTGTATATACTAATCATAAGTGCACGCCGAAATCGATGATACCTACCTTTCCACATTTGAACTTTAACACTTCTTCCTCGGTGAATCATTTTTAACAGTCTTCTGTTTTGGACTGGGTGGAAGAGAATATAGATATGACCTAATTATGACCTAATTAGGTGGCTCTCTCAAGTTTTTCTAGATGAGCTCTTGGAATTGAGAGTTTTGATGGAGTTGGCTGTGATACAATTTTCACTTGCGAAGTAGGTAGATACCATCTAAACTTATCTAACTGAGTTTGGAGCGAACCGTATCTGGACAAAGCCAGGCTATATACAATCTAGTTTTAATCGCTAATGTATAAATATGAAATCAAGATAAACTTTATTTTCCAGATTCTTCTAATCATATAATCTATTCAGCTTTTTGATATAATCTAGCTCAGTTTAGATAGTACTGTAGTCATTTGTGTAAACGAACAGGGGTAGAATTATATATGCTATTCCTAAATTGGGTAGGTGCTTTGATGACTAATATTATTTTTCGACATCGGAAAAGGAAGGGACGAGGAAAAGCTTGGGAGTGAAGAAGGAAAAGGAAAAGGAAAAGGGAAGAATGGGTAGGATGATTGATGTTGGAGACTAGATTGAGAGGGGTCATGATTACCTAGGTAGGTAGTTCTTTCAAGGGGAAGAGATGGGAAAAGAAAGCACGACGCCATGGTTTTGAAAAAGGCAGGAGGAGCCTTGATTGATAGCGAGTGGAACTAGCCTTTATCACGATTACATCATCCATAAAGAGATTCTCTTTTATAGGATAATTGAGTGGAGAATAATAAGATGGTTAGCGACGGCTATCTGCATCAGCCATCAATGCATTCAAGTGGCTCCGTTAAGCTCAGCGTCGATCAGGGGCAGCGGAGTAGAGTGGTCATTGCTTGTTGGCTGCATATGGTGGGGAGTTTTGTTTGTTTGCTGTTCGTTTGGAGTAATTTCATGGTTCAGTGATACCTTGGATTGGGTTTCGTTTGCTGTTCTTGGGATTTGGTGGGTGTAAGAGAGATACTTTTTGATATGAGCTCTGTTGATTGAGTGAGATATAAAATGGAAAGGGATTTTGAATCTGTCTCCATAGAGAAGTAGTACTTTGACGGACAGAAGTATCTACATATGTTAAGCTTGGGTTCCTGATGATCCTCCGGTCCTATCTATCTACTTCTGAGAAAACCTGAGTTGATGTTGAACTCGAAGGGAAATTCTGAAGTTGATATGGGAAGTATTGAGATCACCAGGTGTAGGCATAAATGAAACAAAATAAAAATCGACTCGTTCCTTTGCATCCAAGTGATCATGCTAGGATCAACGGGAGAATGCATCAAATGGTTTGAAACGTGTCGAAGCCTGAGGAATCCTATATTCACTTGGCTAACTAGTTTTAATCTTCTAAAGTTGAAGATTGTAAGAGAGTGATTGTTTGGCTATTATATTGATTTTTTGCGCTAGTGGGAAGTGGGGGTTTCATCTCTCGCGACTTGACAACCACTTAAACCTCCATTCTCTACAAACCTTTTTCAATTCAATCAAACCCTCCACCCCAATATCTCCCAATTTCTGTACATCAAACTTTCCCTTTTATCCATTCATTATTGTCACATCAACACAGCTGTAGCAATCAATTACACCACATTCATGAGCCGCCATGGCGACAACAATGAATTCCCTCCTGGAATCATTGATCTGTCATGTTGCCTTACCTCCACGTCTTCCAGGTAAGGAAGACAGGCATGATCAATTGGAGAGTGCCATCATGGATCATTTCATTACTGCTTCGAAGAGCATGAGAGACATTACAAGTGACGAAACCTCAAAGAATTGGGATTGGATTCGTCGGTCGTTAGAAGCCGCCAAATTATTGAATGCTAGAGGCAGACTTTCCAAGAATTCACTTTTGTCCGAATTCCAAACTCTTCAACAAAATGTTTATCTGATACTCAATGTTGTGGAGCAAAATGCAGCTCTGCTTATTTATCGGTAAGTACTAAGCTCCCCGCAATCAATTACGAAGCTTCCATCTGGAATTTTCTACAAGGAGCGATAATTTCTGACTTTTTGCAAAGTTCCAAAAGTGGCGACCGCGTAGTGTTTGAAGCTTTCGAGACATCTGCACGCGCGGAAGATGTCTTGGCTGCCAAGAATGCCCTAGAATGGGATTTCCCCGGGTATGCTGTCGATATTCCATTGTCAACATTCGAGCGGCAAGACTTTCTGGAACAATTGGCCACCTTCTTAGAGCAAGCCAGTACAGAGTCCATCAAGCGATTCGCTGCGAGAACAAACAAAGCTGGGTCTCTTGCCACCGAAGCTCGCAACACTGTCTCGTGTGCGCTCATAACACAGATGCTCATGACGCTACTGGAAGGCAATGGCCGCAGAATATATCCTTCGATTTTAAAGAAGCGGGTTCAAGATGATGTGTTGTGGTTTGATGCCGAGAAGCCATGGAGACGAAGCCCACTTTATCTTATACTGCGAGTCGCCTTACAAAGACAGCTCCACTCAATGTCAGATTTAGGCCGAACACAGTATAAATTCATGAGATGTCTAGCCATGACACAACTCCTTGAGCAGAGTTTCCACGCCGTCAGCATTGAATCTCTTTCATTCTTGAAAACTAAACTATGCCGACGCCTTGCCAAACTCGAAAACGACAGTGGCGAAGTATCGACTGTCCTCGGAGATATCTTTGAACAAACATTCACATCCTTGAGGCCCGTTTTTACAAAGGCAATCCAACGCGCGTCAGCTCTGATTGAAAGCCAGTGGGAAACTTTCAAGAGATCTAATCAGCGACCGGTCATGCCACTCCCGAGACGTGCTGCCGAACGTGATCTTTATTTGACTCTCCCGAACAGTGGTCCTTATCTACAGCGTATAATATTGTCCGAGTCTCTTCGTCCACCTCCACGTTCACACAATCGTAGAATTCCTGTCGACGTATCATCAGCAGCCACTAAGAAAATTGGGAAATTTGGAAGTCGCTATCTTTCCCTTTGCGACATGGAAATAGGTATAGAATTTGGACATAGCGCTCCATCTTCATCTATTCCTGATAATGAGTTGCGTTGCAGAGAGATTTCGAAGCAAATCAAAAAGTACCAGGCACTTTCGGAAGGCGCGTATTCCTCTAATTTGGGAGAAAGCTCTATCATGATATTGAGCATTATGGAACTTTGGATGTCTATGGATAAATGTGCTTGTATTGTATATCCACTGCTTAAGGATTTCCATCCTTTTTTTACGTCAGAGATGATGGATGTCTTACAATTACCTCTTTATAAAGACATGTGCCGATTGCAAAAAGTTCAGGAATATCTGCAAGGTCGCTGCAGCAGTAGAGCAGACATGACAATCTTCGAAGATGCAGTACGAGGCTGTTTTGCCGAGCGTTACTTTTTGGAGTCTGCGGAAGCTCCAAGGCTGCAAGCTCTCTTTCGACGTATCGAGATTGATGCAGATCAATTGCGCCAGAAGAAAGAAGCAGAATGGGAGGATCTGAGCAAAGAACATGATTGTCTGATCAAGACTATCGGTGAGACTTCCTGCATGTATACAGTCGATGGGCATGACAACAGAAACTGTACAAAATGTTTTTTGCAACGAAAAGCTCGAAGATTTGCCATTCAGGTAAGATGGACCTCGACTGTGGTTTTTTTGTCTTGTGTCATTTCTTGCTTGAGAATCCATACTAACTAGAAAATGAGGTCCATGAGCACCCTCTGCCTTCAAATCTCACTCGAGCAAGGGTGGCTGTTTTTGAAATATCCTGTCCCAGGACATTCTTGGTTTATCGAGACACCACCTGGAAGATTCTGAATACTTTGGCTCTTCCAAAAAAACAAGTTGGTAGCTTGGAGCCTTTGGAGCCTTTGGTAAGCTTTCTATCATTCATGCAATTTTGAGTCCGGACACAACTGGACAATGCTGATGGTACTCCAGGTTCTGCTGGAGGACTATCCTGGCCTCTCACGGTATGTAGATGATCGTAACGAGCGTGGGCTCTCATTGGGATCGACGACCAAAAGTTTTCTCAAAACTCAGTAAGTTGATATTTTCAGTCTACGAAATTTGCCCCAGCGTGGAAATATCAAAACACTGACCACATTTATTAGTTATGCCAATGTTAGATTTCCTTGTGATGTTGGAGATGTATGCCTCACCAATGGCTTGAAGTTGTTTTACTACGACATACCTTCCAAAGTGTGGACAGGTCAGGAATGTGAAAACCAACGACCGACATTCTCTCATCATTTCCTGTTCACTGTACCCAAAAGCTCGCCGTTTTCCATACTTTCGCCCGAGTTAAATGGTAATAGAGACGGGCCTTCGTCATACGAGGTAGTCGCAAGTCAATCACGATGCCCCCGAGGTCTCAATGTTCATGAGTTTATGGCGTATCAAGCACTACTCTCTGGTAAAACCCGTCGTCTTCCACAACTAGTGGTGGAGCTTGGCTCGCAGAACCTGAATTTCAGTACTGAAGCAATGGCCATCTTGGTCTCACGCTTGATACTCGAAGCTGGACCAAAGCTTACCGGTGACCCTCTACGTGTCGTTCATCAGTCGTATAAAGACAAAACTTTGTGTTCTAAGATGATTGAGCAGCTGGATCAAAAATTGGATAACATCAGATCAAACTATCGTGAATACCATGCTATGGAATTAATACTGACAATACTCCTGCGTATGAAGCAACTCGCACGATTTGAACACAAAGATTTAGCCTCAAACTCACTACAAACCGCTCGAACAATCACCGAATCATGGGTTCAGACTCTTAGAGAGGAAATGAAGCAGGCAAACGATTTTGATACAGCTTCGAGGTGCCAAGGCTACTGCCTGTGGGCTGCTCTCCTCTGCCGACGAACCTTTTCTTACCAAGATGGCACGCTGCTAGATTCTACGGCACTTCGTTGTTTTATTGAATGCTCGATCACTCTTCAAGATAATCTTTCCACTGATCCTGCGCAGGCCCCATTAAGTCTCAAGAATGCCATCGTTCGAGATTTAAAGGCCGTCTATCGTATGCGACTCATTCTACGAGATTCTCTGATGGTCAGTCCTCAGTCTCTATTGTTAGCGGTGGGTATTGTCTGGCCACAGCCAGAAGGAAGTGAGCCGCGCATAGCTTCCTCTTCATTGTCGTTCGACAGCCCCGAAAAATGGTGGGTTCAAGCAAGAATTATCGGCTCGGGCTTCATGAAAGAACAGACGCTGAGCTTTCACCTGTTCTACGGCTATCTATTGATCGACGGCCAGCCTCTAGGAATGCTTCCCGTTGAATATAGAACATCAGCTACTCTACAAGATCTTTTTGGCGATGTCAATCTGCTCACTTTCCCATCATCACTGCCTGGCTCAGACTTGCAATTACAAATCCGTCCTTTTGGTCATACCATTCATCTTAGTTTCCGTGCTAAGGATATTGTTGTTCGAGCATACAAACAAAACACCATCCTGGAGCTCATACCTAGCAGAGTCTTCCACAGTGGCGAGACCAATTTCGATCTACCCTATCCACTATTGATGAATTGCATTCAGTAAGCAGCTTGAACATTTGTGCGCTTACATACATATACTAACAATATGTAGCTGGTTCAATCTCACAACGGGCATTATTGACATTCGGCAAAAGCCTCATATATGGACTTCTAAACCTTCTAACTGGCAATTGAATGTACGAGATCGTAGGGCTAATCGTCGTGCTGTCTTCCTTGTGGATCCTCATAGCACAACTTTCAAGCGGGTTCAAAGAATATTTGATTTTTTCGAGTATCCAAGTTACTTGACAGTCTATCAGCCAAAATACAGGAATCTATCCGTTGAACTGAAACGTCTTTCATTGGCTTTTACTGTGAATCGAGATAAATTTCTTGAATCTTCACAGCTGCGTGCAATGATCGACGGTGATCAAGACTGTGGAACTTGGTATGGGCTACGTAGTAAAATTGTCCTCCGGGACGTTCTCAATCCACGAGTGCGTAGCGTTCTCATACCAATGCCTGGCCACGTGCTAGATAGTATCAAGTACCATCGACATGGAATACATGTTAACGTGGACATTACTAATCACGGAGATTTCGGTCGTTATTACGTCAATGATACCCTTGGACGAATCGATTGTCCCGCTGAGCCATGGCTACTATATACTAAGGCTCTGATACATGCTACTACATCTTTCCTCCTACCGGATCCTTTAACAAAGCGCACTGGAACGGAAGAAGCTGTCGCTTGTTTGAGATCCGGCCTTTACCAGCCTTGGACACCTCTGCAATTGACAGGGTACATGTGTCTCACAAGAATTGCGATGCTTAGCCCAACCAGGCAGTACTATCCGAAGGACAGCAACTCTTTGCAAAAAGTTTATTGGAACGATAAATTGACAACCACTATCCAATACGATGGCTATGGTTCAATTGTTCAAGATATACTTGAAACGAATGGAAAGTTGACCATGTTTTCTTCCGAAAAGATTGAGCTTCCGCAGCCCATGAGAGAACGACAGCAGCATCTCACAAGCAGAAGTTGCGCTCGCTTGAGAGCTTTCAAACGTCCCGATGGATATTTGGAGGAGCATGAAATTATTCCAGATTCTAAATATGATTCGAGAGATAATTATCGTGCTAGTCAAAGACGCAAGAACATCTTAGAATGCGTCGATAGCATAAACCGGTGGCCTCAAACAATACACACTACGGCAGATTTGGCTGGTGTTCTCCAGAAATACCAAGATCTTGCAGGTTTCACGAGCGAATTTGAAAAGATTCTCCTCACGGATCGTCTAGACGTCGATTTTGGTCTTTCCTTTGGTCCTCTGTACCGCTTCTGTCAACAGGTGTCCGCAGACGACAAATTTCGACTTCAATTTCTTTTTGCCTTGATATCTTTTCAAGATGGTGTTGATATGGATATCATTAGGGTACTGATTGCTTGCTCCGTATTGGACGATTTGAGGGAGCTGGAACCCCCAGCATGGCCCATTTATGTTCAATTTCGCCAAAACCGGATTCCTCATTTGAGCTACCTACTACAATTGCTGAAGTCGTGTCGAATGCCATACTCACAAGATTTTCGTGATGACTTTGAAGGATTTAACCTCCACGCAAAGCAACGAAAAATTCTAGAGCGTCGAGAACATCAGTACGAAACGCAAACGGATGCTGATTGCGAGCTGTTCGCTCAGTTTCTTCTCGCTCAATGGCCATGCCTCGAGCCTAAAATTGAGGGTTTCTCGATTGATGAAGCACAGATAGATATTCCGAAGGCTTTAAGTATCATTCAACCGGAATGGGCGCGGCTCTTCCAGAACATGGAACTCTCCAAGTTTCTTGAGCAGGTTCAAATCGTTCTAAATCGTGTTCACAGCGGAGAAGACTTTGTTTTGCCATATATGGAAGTTCAAGCACAGATGGTATATACCTCAAGAGTCCGGGGCAGCGAATTTACCACGCTATCGGCAAACTTAATGCGAATGCCATGCAAGATCAAGACGGCCCCCAGGAAAATGATTGCCCCAAGCATACAAGCGAAAGACACTGTGATAACTGGACATCTTGTTTCTCAGGAAACCTTTCTTCTTGAGAAGATTATCACGAGTAAGTTCTTCCTTTGGCTACAAGATGTGACGGATGTGCAACACTCACTTTCATTTTCACTTTGCGAAGTTTCAACGATAAAATTTGCTGACATTGCCTTTTCTTAGATATCATAGATTCTAAAGCCTCGCTAGTCCGTATGAAATATGGGCAAGAACTGATGCAAAGTCTTGAGGCCTTCAAACTATTCGAGCTAATTCCCAAAAGTGGTCAAAAGCCCATTGATCCTTCAAAGCTTACCAATGATATAGATGAAGCTAGAAGAACAGTTCTCGAATTATACAATGTCATATATCGATCGTTCAGCAATTCGAATGCCATCTGGCTGCAATTAGGCGGTTTGTTTCCCTGCATCTCAACAGTCACTTTACTTGAAAACCTGCGTTCCACTGTACACACATCTATTAAGTTCGGAAGTGGTATGAGAGAAAGTTTGGTTGAGTACGCTTTGCAAATCACGACTCTTCAGCGACTTCTGAGACTTGAATCAGCCTTTTTGAAATGTGACCTCCAGCGATTAGTCGAGGAGCAAAATAACATAGGACATTCGAATTGGCAGCCAATAGAGGAGCCCGATTGGCTTCTGATTGAAGTGGAAGCAAATCTTCTCATTAGATCTGATCAAGTCGACGTGGCAAGGGCCACAATCAGTCCGGCTTCAAAATCCAATTCCGTTTTACAGATGAACATGGGGCAAGGCAAGACATCAATCATTGTACCTATGGTTGCGTGTAAACTGGCCAATGCTGAACGGCTTGTACGGATCATTGTGCCAAAGCCGCTATTACTACCAACAGCTCAGCTTTTGCAGGGACGTCTTGGATCTCTGTTGGGCCGGAGCTTTCTTCACTTGCCATTTTCGAGAAAAACACCCACAAATACAGTGAAGACTTATTTTGACTTGCACAAAGCCACTCTAACAAATTCGGGTATTGCTGTCGCTTTGCCAGAACATCTATTATCATTCCGACTTTCTGGTCTTCAACGGCTTTCAGATGGCCATGTAAACGAGGGGAATGCAATGGTGAAAGTCCAACAGTGGATGAATAACAAATCCCGTGATGTTATGGATGAAAGTGACCAAATCCTTTCTCTACGTACTCAGCTCATATATCCGAGTGGGGCTCAGAAACCAGTTGACAATTACCCTTATCGTTGGGAAACAGCCCAGGCCTTGCTGGCACTTGTACGTGGGCACCTGTACAATCTCGAAAAAAACTTCCCACGCAGTATTGAAGTCATTCAAAGACCTCGTGGTGGCTACCCAATGCCGTTTTTCCTACGAAAAGATGTTGAGGAGGCATTACTTGGTCGACTTGTTGCTGATATTTGTAATGGACGAACATCGATTCTCGATATCTCGAGTTGCTCCAAATCAGATCGCATGGCTATCAGGAGTTTTATAACGGAGCCCAAGGTCAGCTCCGGTGTAGCCAAAGCCTTAAAATCTATCTTTCCAGACAAACCAGCATTGAAACAAAGTCTCTTCCATGTTCGCGGTCTGTTGGTACACAGAATTTTGTTACTGGCCCTAAAGAAGAGATGGCATGTGCAATATGGCTTACATCCGGAGAGAGACCCCATTGCGGTTCCATTTTACGCAAAGGGTAGGGCAAGTGACCAAGCCGAATGGGGTCACCCTGATGTTGCGATACTTCTAACCTGCTTGGCTTTCTATTATGATGGACTGAATAGTAAGCAGTTGCACCAAAGTCTCGAGCATGTCCTAAAGTCAGATGATCCAGCCTCGATATACGATCAATGGTCTATGAGCTGCCCCACGCTGCCCGACGCATTACGCGAGTGGAACAGCATCAATTTAGAAGATGAACAGCAAATGTTTGAGCTATGGACCTATTTCAATTTCTCTCCCACGATCATCGATTATTATTGCAACAACTTTGTTTTCCCGGCACACGCCAAATCTTTCAGTCTCAAATTGCAAGCTAGTGGTTGGGAAATTCCTTTATCCTCCCTGGATAACCCAAATTCCATGACTACTGGGTTTAGTGGTACTAATGATAACCGAAATTTGTTACCACTGACTTTGAAGCAGCAAGATTTGCCGGGACTTTCGCATACCAACGCTGCTGTTCTAAGCTATTTACTTCAGCCGAGAAATAGAGAATACATCGTTGCTGCTGATGAGCGTAACCGCCATATTTCTGAGGTTGATTTATTACACAGGATCTCAGAAAAGGGCATTCGAGTACTCATCGATGCCGGGGCGCAAATTCTTGAGTTTAACAATGAATCTCTTGCAAGAGCATGGCTTGATATTGATATACATGCAAATGCCGCTGTATACTTCGACGATGCCGGAAAACCCATGTTAGCCCACAAGGGGTGTCGACCGGTACCACTTTCAGCCTCACCATACTCTGATGACTTGAAAGACGTTGTTGTTTATCTCGATGAGGCCCATTGTCGTGGGGTTGATTTGAAACTGCCTGCTATCTCTCGTGGGGCTTTAACTTTAGGTTTGTCGGTCTAATCACAAATCAAGATCCCTACTAATTTGAACCTGCAGGTCTGGGTGTAACGAAAGATCATATTGTTCAAGGGGCAATGAGATTAAGGCAACTAGCAACTACTCAAGCAATCACGTTCTTCGCACCGCCGGAAGTCAACCAGAGTATCTTGGACTGTGTCAAAAAGGTTCAGGGCGATCATCTCGACTCATATGATGTCATATGCTGGCTTCTAGAGCAAACATGTATGGGTATCGAGCTTATGCAGCCTCTATATTACTCACAAGGCATTGACTACTGTCGTAGAGTTCAGGCTGCTGCTGACAACATAGATTTCATTACGGATGCCAATCAGCGAGAGCAATACTTAGATGCTCTCAGGCAAAAAGAGCAGCTTTCCTTGGAACGACTTTACGGAGTCAAAACAAAATCCAAGGCTGCTGTTGGCTCTGGAGCACTAACTCCGCGGATATCTGAGTATGTGAAGGAGCTCAATGCAATGCGCAAAAACTTTCGAGATACTGGAGACGCTGTGCACCATTCTGCCTTGCAGGAGGTTGAACAGGAAAGAGAAGTGGCATACGAGATAGAAGCCGTACGTGAAGTCCAAAGACCTACTCACTATGTTGCTTGGTCGTTTCCTGGCCTTGACAGAGATATCGTCACCTTTGTCAAGACCGGTCGATTGCCTGCCGGCTCTACATGTTGCGAACAGGCTTTTCTAGCTCTGAGAAAGACTGGTGTCGGTAGAAAGTTTGGCATCAATCCCGAGGCTCTCAATTCTCGGTTATTTGTTTCTAGGGAATTCTTACGTTCTGTCAAAGTAACAACTCAGCCGCATGATAACTTTTTGGTAAGTTGACATTATACTGCCTCCGTTATAATTGAACAACTGCTAACAGATATCTTTTCAGCGACAAGTGAGCTGGATTCTTTGGAGTCCGGTTACCGAAACAGCTTTGGTTGTCATACCCGAAGAAACTGAACTGCTCGTCCCAATTCTGCGTGGTGAACTATTCCCTGTCTGTTATCTCTTGACCTATGCAGCGCCTATAACCCGCAAGATGCTTGTCCATTTCAACGATCTCAAATATTATGCTATTCCCGCACTTTCGAAAGATTGGGTTGCACCAATATGGTTGTCAGTACAATTGGGTATCTTCTCAGGTGCTCTTTATTTTGAATTCTCCCACTACGAGTACTTATGCAATTTTCTGGGGTTTGAAACTGATAAGGTCATGGAAGAGACACGGGAAGAATATTTGGAGGAAGGATTTCAAATTATCGATGGCGTTCCTGATGAGAATGAGAATGCGAAGGAAAACAAGTCCGTCGGCTTCACGGCCAAACCTCTAAATTTCCTGCAAGAGTGGTTAAGTGTAAGACGCAAGGGGCAAGACTTCTCTCACACTCCCATGGGATATGTGTGTCAAGGAAAGCCGCTCACAGAAACCCATCCGTTCTTCAGCAAGACCGAACCAGGTACCCACACGAAGCCTCCCGTTCAGTCTAATAGAAGAGGGGTGTTTACATCAAAAGGATTCTCGGCGGATGCTACCCATGATGACGATAACAATGATGACTGGGCTGATATGATTGATGATGATAAGGGCATCTTAATTGACGGGGAAAGTGATTCGGAAGACTATATTACGGGTGAGGAGAGTAGTAGTTTGTCAACTAATTCAGAAGAGGAATTTTGAGATTTAGCTGTGGGATTTGCTGGTAAGGATATATCTGTCTAGGATATTTCTGGGATGAAGAAATGATTGTTAGGTTATGATACTGACAGGAAATGTTTTTGCTCTTTTTATTGTTGCACGAATTAGGTCTTTATTTGTAGCTTATTATCATCTGCTAGCACACTATATTTGCATTTTAATTTTGCTCGTTCAAACGTGACATTGATTTCTCACTAACCCAGATATATATATCATGGCCCCACTAATGTAGTGTAAGGTTACTCCGACGATCATTAGCATTAGATACCACTTCGGCATCGCTATGAGAACGCGGCTCTAAGTGATCTAGAATTGTTTCTGTAGCTAACAGATAAAAGTCTTTACGGTGCCATCCATCAGTGTGTTTAGTGAGAGCTTTGCGATATCATATCATCCAGATCAGAAGAGATTTCATAGATAGTGGATACACATCATTTCATCTCTTACACTACTATTTTTCCTTAAACTTACTTACTTAATAGTGTCAAGGACATTCTAATATTTGATCACAGGATACCTGGGGTAGAGGTAGAAATTGAAGTAGCATGAAGTAAAGCTATGGCATAGCAAGATCATATATATCAACCAACCACCCCAAAACTACTAATCCCCACACTTCCCGTCCCTGACGCCCTAAATTCAAACTCAACCCCCTCACAAATCAACCAACCCCTTCTTCAACCCCTTCAAAAAATCCCCATAACCCAAAAACTCCCAATTCCTCTCCTCCCACCCCAACACCCCCTCCATATCCATACCCCCTCATTTTCTCATTCTCATCCACCCACGTAATCCAAATACTCCACACCCTACATTCCCTCCCCTGATACCGTAGCCCTTCAATCTCTCCATTTCCATCTCCATCTCCATTAACCGACGTAGAATAAATCTCACCCTGCCTCATCCCACTTGCTTTTCCCTCGCGCTCAAGTTGCATGTACAGAGCCTTAAACAGCCACTTTAATTTCAGTAAGGTTGATGTTGATGTTGCTTCGTGCTCGGTATCGTGCTCGGTGCCATCCTCGGTATGAAGGGGTATGTAAATAGAGAGTTGCTGTACAGCGTATCCAGGGGGATCATAGATGGACGTCTCGCTCGTCCGGGTTATTTTTGGGGGGACGGGGAAGGCGGGGAGGCGGGGGTGAGGAGGTGGAGCAGGGTGGGGAGGGTGAGGTTTCCTGGTGTGTGGGTGGGTGTTATTATTATTCAATTCTTATTCAATTGTATGTATATGTGTGTCTGATATTCATCATAGAATCCCCCAATATTGCTTAGATAGATAGATAGATATAAACAACAAAAAGCAAAGATAATACTCACGAGAAACAATAATCCCAATCTGCGCCGCCGGCTCTCCCTGTAAATACCCCACACAGTCGGGTTCTGATAGCTCAGTAGCGGGAGGAGTCTCGGAGAGAGATTCGGTCCCAGAGAGATATTCGATAAAGTGTGGGAAAGCTGGGTTGCTCTTGTTTCCGGCGAGATTTATTTCGATGAGGTAGGTTGTCATGATTTCTTTAGAGAGAGTTGTTGGTTTTGATTTGTTGGTTTTGATTTGATGATTTGATAGTGGTATAGTGGTATAGTGGAATGGTGGAATGGTGGATGTTTGAAAGGAAAGTGCTTGGCTTGGTGTGTTTGGTGATCGGTATGGCGATTTGTCCTCCTTGGGTGATTTGTGTGAATTTTCCGTTATAACTTTTCGCTCTATTGAGAGAGTCTTTTGATGATTTATGATGTATGGGTCGGGTCTTCACTTAATTTATTAATTTATACCTGGAAGCTATCAGAATAGAATAGTTGCTAAGTCAGCTAGGATCAGGCTAGGGATAATCTCATTCTAAGTTTTGTTGGTGGTTACCTAATATATAATATATGGTGGCAATGGGTATCGCTAATGATCTAATCAGGCACCAAAGTTATTTTTCAGGGAAAAGATTTATTATACGATGAATATTTGATTCTCCTGATCCAGGACAAAGGAAATAAAGCGTATTCGAGCAGTGTCTAGTACACCCATCCCGTGGGCCTAATTAATCCTCACATCCCATGTCCAAGAACTCCAACCGTAACACCTACCTATCCTGCCTTGCGATATATCATATACCCAACCTGTTGTTTAAGCACCCCTCCTATCTTGCGGTATCCTATAGCCCAATTTGAGATGTCCAGCACCATCATTTACCCAATATAATGTGTACCCCTCTCACCCCACGCCTCCTCGTCTCTCCTTTCCATACTAATCTTGTGTATCTCAAAATCATCTCCAGCTCTATCTCTTGAACGAGTCCTTCTGCCCTCGGCACTCTCAAAATCTTCCCGCACGTCACATTCGGTAGTTCGTCTGATGATCATCTTGTCACTTCCAGCAGTACTCCTATCCGCGGTATTGTCCGGGGTCGAGCGGCGAATATTTGCGAAGTTCATAGCTCCATCCGGTCTCAAGGTACCAAGTTCCTCGCCTTCATAACTATTTTTTGCAATCATGTTGTTTGTATTAACAAAACGGAAATTGAACATCGGCGACGACTTCTTGAAATTGGAATTGGGAGACGAAGTTGTAGGAGTAGATATTTCATCATCGTCGTCGTGGTCTTGGAAAGATGATATAGTGCGAAGATGATGTGGTGTTTTGGTAGAATTCTTTTTCGAGGACTTCCATCCCGAGCGGGAAGAGAGAAAGGTGCTTAATTTTGAGTTCGAGGGAGAATGATTGTTGCTGTAGGAGGAATCCATTGCGTTTACGGATGCGGCGAGGCCACCGGACGACATAGATTCCATGAATGGTTTCAAGAATGGTAAACATGTAAAGAAAATGGCTCCGTTGAGCTGGACTGTTGTCCAGAAATAGTTGTGATATGAAACCAGTGTTTGATTCGAAAGTGTGGGAGATCCTGAAGAGGAAATGACGACGAGTCGGATTATTGATAGGGGTAGAATGCTGCTAGGTAATCAGATTATTTGTGCTTCTTTAGAGATACTGTTATGGTTCCTTACAACGTTCTAGTCCCAAATGCCATAAAGACGAGAGCTTTACGCCTCAACGGCATTTGTAAACCCCAGACGATAAATATTGGCAAAAGGATGATGCCACTATCGGATACGATGTCAAGTGCTCCGATAGCTATCCAAAATGCGCCCTTTTTCCATTAATCATTGTCCTAACATAAACACACTGATTCAGCTTACAATATTGAAACATTGCTCAGTAGAAAGAACGGCCCATAAGCTCGGTTGATCGCATTGAAATAGAATCGAAATCTCAGCACTTAAAGCCCATAGTGTCACGAATACCTCGGTAAAGCGGTTGAGAATTGCGTAGTTTGAATCTGGAGTCAAAGCCCGTAAATAGAACAATGTGCTCAGTTTCGCAATCCAGAGAGTCGGTATATAGACCAATTGAGATGCATAAGCATACTGCCTCGAAGTCAGTCCTCATGAGGAGGTAGGTGTTCGGGGTGGAGACAATGCACCTTTTGATAGTTGTCCAGCTCTTTGCTGCTGAGAGTATCTTTGTCCCGGCCAAGTCCATTTTGAACCATCATTGAAAGAAAAACACTATGGCAGATTCCAAAGCACTAGATTATTACTTAGTGTTGCTCCCAAGCTGCAACATGGTATGGTATACTGACCATCGCAGCTATAATCAAACTATCATCTGTGTTCCAGCGCCTCACAACAAGATATTTGCTCCCAATCCTCGCCCCGACCCCAAGTATCATTGTGCTCAATCCCAACCATGATACCAGATTGACCAAAGGGCCTTCGTTATGGCTAGATATAATGATCTGTCGTGGAAATAAAGGTATTGATATCATTGTAACAATAATTCAATGATAGTAAAGATTATGAATGAATGGCAATGGAATGAAATATACATCTCTCCAACCCTGATTCTTGCATATATTCGTCAACTGTAAAGTAACTTGGGAATTTCTGATCAAAGCACGATTCAAAAAGAATTTCGCTGGGACGACGCAAGGGAGTCAACAGTTATGCGGTACATATGCCACCCCAGAAAAAGAAATTCCGTACTCCCGAGTTTATGGCTCCCGAGCCGTTCCAACTGTTAGAAGTAGAAATGTGCCCATAGCAATGATAAATTCCAAATTTATGAAGCACTAAATGAAAATGATAATAAACAATAGTTCAATCACTTGGTTGAATCCTTTAACTCGGAAATTTGGTAGCAATTGTTCGGTTGGTTCTATGTCTCGGGAGTTTATGAGGCGTCGTAACTGCAATCATTACCCCATGAACATTGCTCGCTCCTTGATCCCAGACCTCAACACCACGGTCTTGGTCCAGCCGTGCCACATTATGGCGATCATGCACGATGGAATTGGGATCCAACCAAATTTTTCTTTGAAGTTGTTCATTGCCTTGAATGAAACGGTCAGAGCTCCCAACAGCGCCAAACGCGCTCATCAGGTTGCACAAGATTATCGCCTTGGTAGTAATATGTTGCTCCAGAAAGACAGTGAACCTACGGAGATGTGCTTTTGATCCCGGACGCAAGTTTGAGTCTGAATCGTCGAATTTGGGATGATTGATTGGACAAACAGGACTTGAGAGCCGGCATAATTCCCTCGAATGTCTGGCTCGAATGTCTGGGCCTTTGAACATTGTCATATATCGCCCAGTTCGTGATCGGACAAGCCGATGAAGACAAGATAATTTCCAGACAGCTGGGAATTTATATGAAGAGATGAGAGACAACTCAATAGTCGAGTGATATTAGAAGTTGGAGGCATAGATGTAGCTCCGTATCTTATGCTTGTGGTACTCCAAACCTGACCAATGGTTGTCATCGTCTTTCCAATAATAGGGCAGCAATGTTGAATGTTTTGAAGGCGCCTGTCAAATTAGCATGAAAATATCACGTGATACGACTAACTCTCATAGGCAAAGCTTCCCCGCTGCACTGTAACCCTTTCCAAGGTTGCTCGAGCCTTGCAACTTTTCCTTCTCTATGATTAGAATGGATTTCGAATTGAATACACTGCCATACAGAGTTATTCCACTCTATCCCTTGCATCAGCGAACGTATCATATATACAGACATTATTAAGATGCAGCTCGCTTCCATTTGTTGCATCGGGTTTATACTAAAAGGGTGTAATGAGACAGTTTATCCTGTCTTATAATGAACTGTAGGTAGTGTCAAGGATTTCTTTTTCCCTATCTGCTACTCGGTGATCCATGCAAGGTTTCTGCTCTGCAGACTGCAGTGTATCTTCAAGAAAGGCAGATAACTCTCAGTCCCCGTTGGCATTTCCCTTTGCTTCATCTCTCTTCATTTTGGTTACTATTGTCTGTTGTTGAAGAGCTTGTCCAGCAACTATAGTTTTCCCCTGCTGTATAGCATATAGCATTCTTTTTATTTTAATCATGGAGAATAAAAACGTGGAACTAGGTGCGATCGCTAGGTCGATGTCCTCTGATGATATTCCTCATGCCCGATCGAAAGGAAATACGAACAGAGACGATCAAGAAATGGCATATTTTGGAAAGCGTCAGCAATTGAAGGTATGCGCCAAGTGCAGATAACGCAAAAGGAGCTGACATAATACAGCGTAATTTTGGATTCCTGTCGATTGCGGGTTTCGTCTGTAGTTTGCTTTCGACATGGGAAGGAATGTTTGCTGTCTTCCTCTACGGGTTTCAAAATGGTGGACCGGCAGGACTAGTAGTGAGTTTTCCATCGCAGTTTCATCTAAACACAAATTCTGCCGGAACATACTAACCTTCGATATCCAGTACGGCTATATTTTTTGCTTCATTGGTACATTATGTACAGTTGCAAGTTTAGCGGAAATGTCCTCGATGTTCGTATAGCATAGCCTTCTTACGGAGAGTGTATAGATCTGACAGAAAGACTCAGGATGCCATTGAGCGGAGGACAATACCACTGGGTGTCGATTCTCGCCCCCAAGTCCCACGCAAAGTTCCTCTCATACATGACAGGTTGGCTTACGGTTATTGGCTGGCAAGCAGGTCAAGCAAGTATCGCTTTTCTCTGCGCAACATTAGTCCAGGCTTTAGTGATATTGAACCATCCAACCTACGTTCCTGAGCGATGGCAAGCGACCTTGATGTTCTATGCGGTTTTAGCCGTCATTTTGTTTGTCAATACCTACTTGGCCCGTTGGTTGCCAAAGATTGAAGGATTGGTTCTTTGCATTCATATACTCGGATTCTTTGGCGTTCTTATTCCGCTAGTCTACCTTGCACCTCATGGAAAACCAAGTGCTGTATTTGCTACATTTTTCAACGGAGGCGGTTGGTCCACAGACGGAATATCATTCTTTATCGGCTTGATCACAAGTGTTTTCTCCTTTCTCGGTAAGACTTCTTATTCACTTACTCCCTACAATATATGCAACCCAGAGTAGAGCTAATGTTCGTCCTAGGAGCCGATTCTGCTTGTCATATGAGTGAAGAAATTCACAATGCATCGACTGTCGTACCTTGGGCGATGATCAGTACTACTATATTGAATGGCGTCTTGGGGTTTGCATCACTCATCGCCCTCCTCTTCTGCCTCGGAGACATCAATGATGCTCTCACCTCGCATACGGGATTTCCGTTCATTGAGATATTTAGGCAAGCCACTAATAGTAACGCTGCTGCAACCGGGATGACATGTATCATTCTTATAATTTTGTTCGCCGCGGGTATTGGTATCATGGCAACTGCTTCACGTCTACTTTGGTCTTTCGCGCGAGATAATGGAGTACCAGGTAGCGCATATATTTCTCGCGTAAGTAGACAATTTAAACCATTTTGTCGATTTTGTCTGACTCTTCTATATAGGTGCATGAACCAACAGCATTACCAATATACTCTATCCTCGTCAGTGCTACCATCTCACTTCTATTGGCACTAATCAATATCGGAAGCACGGCAGCATTCAACTCGATTGTATCTGTGAATGTTGCGGCATTCTTTACTTCATATATGATACCTATCGTTCTAATCCTCAAGAAACGTCTCCGAAAAGATCCAATCAAAGACAAGATACACTGGGGACCGTGGAAAATGGGTCCAATCCTTGGTCCAATCGTCAATATAGCTGGACTAATCTATTCGATGATCACCATGTTCTTCAGCTTCTGGCCTAGCACTCAAGTCGTTACTCCGGTCACTATGAATTGGTCCTGTGTCATTTTTGCTGGAGCTATTACTTACAGCGTGGTGTTCTATGTGATCTGGGGTAGACACGCCTACAAGTGGCCAATTGTCGATCCTATCAGAAGACAGCAGTAGATCTGCTTTGTGATGGATGTTTGACAACCTCAAAAGTTGTCGGTATATAATATAAAGTACTGTTTTATCTAAATTCTAATCAATCATTACCTAGTTATTCGCATTTAGATGATAAAGCCATAATTTTAATAATTTTCGATAGGTAATGAAAAGCTGGCCAGGTTTAGCAACCAAGATTCAATCACTTTTGTGAGTCGTTCATGCAAGTTCATGAAATTGAGTTTTCACAACTTCAGCATGCCAGCCAGACCAGCCAAAGTTTCGAACGCCCTCAAAAATTTCAACTCAGAAAACGATCTTGTACATCGGACCAAGAGCACAAAAAGGGAAATTATCAACGGGAGACCAACTCCAATTTTCTTCATTCTATCACAAGATGCCGATTGGGTTCCAAACTGTCGGGACCAAATCTAAGTTCGTTCTTACTTGTACAAAGCGAGTCAGTCAATGTTCTTGTTACATTTATGAGTCCAATGTCTATGGTATCTTCTTGAGCGTTTCGGTCCCCATGCTCCGCATTGCTTGGACATGTCAAATCATCTATACTCCAAGCGGTTTATCTTATTCTAATCGTCGAAATATCTCATCCCAGAACAGTCTCCACGCGTTCAATAGATAGTTTGGGATGGGATAGGAAAGGATAGGAAGGCTACTAGTTGAACCATCACATTACCCGTGTAAGACCCACACACAACTCCATGCCCCTCTTTCATATATATCCCTGTGCAAATGCCGGCCGTCAACAGCTCATCCGTGCAAAACAAGCTTGTTGATCCTTCCACCCGCCTATGCTTAATCTATTCCCTTCTCATGCTGCCTTATCTTTTTCTTTCCCTCCCATAAAATAATGATTGACCATTTCGATTCGGCATAACCCAGACATATACCTATGTATCAGTGCAGAATCGTCTGTGCGAATTTCGAAATCATCCACTGTCACCTTTCTTTTCCATCGAGAAACTCAAATCAAACAGAAACAGGGCCTCACAAAACCCGCAACCTCACTCAAAAATGCCCACTCGCACTAATAACAGTATCATTCAATAATCCGATTTGTTGGTTGCAACCGGGTGGCGTATGGGGTTGGGTGCCGGTGCATATTTTGATAGTTGGTGCTGTTTTGGATAAAGCTTGGTTCGTTCAAGAGATTATGCAGGTAGGTAGCAGTGCTCGCGGCTGATACCGTGGCTAATTAGCGTAAATGGGAAAAGAAAGCTGCTGTTGATTGGTGGGTTGGAAGGATGACATATTGACTTGTCAGTTGGAAGGGTTAATCGTAAAATATCTTATTTATTTGATGATTTGATGATTTGACTGCTATGTCTACTCTCTCGGTATCATAGGTTTTATCTGCCTCTCATCATCTCCTCATACCCATACAAACATCATGACATCCCACCCCTCCACCACGTTCTTTCACCCGGTCCCCATCCCCATCCCCACCCCCGCCCTCGCCCCCGCCCTCGCACCCAAGTCCAAATCCAAATCCAAATCCAACATCCACCTCCTTCCCTGCGATCCTCTCACCGATGGCCCAGCTCTTCTCGCTCAACAAATTGCCGCTTTCAGCAATCCACACGAACCATATTTCTTCGTCTTATTTCCTGAGAAAGAGGAGAGGGAGAAAGCTGTGAAGAAGCTGCTTGATAATTGGGTGAGTGATAAGTCGGCGAGGTATGTTAAGATTGTTGATGGGGAGGGTAAGTTTTAGTTCTTAGTTTCTGTCTCTCTCTCTCTCTCTCTCTCTCTCTATGTACTGCTTTGGCTTGCGGGATAAGATAAGGTTAAAGACACAGAAAGTGAAATGGAATGAGCTAACAATGAGACAAGGAACTCTTATAAGTGCAGCAAAATGGCTCGTAATTACAGAACCTCTGAGCGAGGAACAGAGAAAAGAACGGATTACTGTAGATTGGCATCTTGACGAAGATTCAAACGAATGGGCTGCATATCTCATGAATTGGATTCATCAACATCAGATCCGTCGAACGAAGGGGGAACCGTGCGTTAGTATGTACCACCCTTCTCCTTTTCCCTCCCCCCTCTAATTCCATCCTCTCTCCTTCTCCCCGCACCCCTAACACCCCCACAGTCCTCGACATCCTAACAACACATCCCTCGCACCAGGGTCTCGGTGCAGGAACCCTTCTAATGCAATACGGTACTGCCATAGCCGATTCCCTCAACTTACCGGCGTTTATTGAGGGTACGGCGATTGCAAAACATTTGTATGAAAGTCATGGGTTTAAGGCGGTGCTGGATAGGTATATTGAGGTTGAGGTGCCGGAGAAGTGGAGGGGAAGACCGAAAATTGAGTTTTTCTTTTATGAGAGGGTTAGGGTGGGTGGAAGGAGTGAGTGAAGGAGGGGGTGAGTGGGGTTTAGTGGTGAGGGGGTGAGGGGGTGAGAGATGTGGGGGGTGGGGGGTGGGGCTGTATGCATGTATGTATAGTAGTATTATACTGATGATATGAAAATGGACAGTTAAAAGTTCCCACAATCAATCTCAGGATCTCCCGGGTTTTCTATCCAAACGGCTGTTGAATAACGTGAAGCAATAAAACTCCGTATACGCACCACTAGAAACACGGTATCTTGCTTGATACTCTTCCTTCTCAGCACACCACATTCAATTCCCGGTCATACAATACAATACTCAAAATGAGGCATTCACTTTCCTCATAGTTTACAACTCTTAAGTTTCCACCCAGCTCTCAGAATATCTGTGGAGTCCGGGTCGATGTATAGAGAACTCCCACAACGAGTATCTTTCATAATATGAGCGCTGGGTAAGTACCAAGCAGCACCCTTGAAGAACACTGCCAGCTAAGCATTACTTGATTGATTTGTAGGGGTGCATGTGAAATGAACAAGTGTACCGCGTTCACGAATTGTGATCTATTATTGAGTTCTAATTTATGGATGTACAGTGTAGTTTCAATTGATGGGATTAGATGATCAAGCAAGTGGCTGGGATGTTGAGTGCAGTTCTTCTCTGAAAATGTGAGGGATTGCAAGTACTCAAAGGAAGGAGTAGGCCAGATCAAGTAGTTTCGAGGGTATATGGGTAAATTTTAATGGTGAATTTTATATGATTAAATTAACTGAGCAGTGTGGAAAAAAAAACGTCAGTTTGTCTGCAGTGTCTACTCAATCTACTCGAGGAAGGTATATTGCCGTTTACATACCTCTCCTCTCGTATGAGAATGCGAAATTCACTTGTCGCTTGATTGTGGCGCCTTTCGGGTGGTCTCAAATAATTTAAAGGATGGTTGGACCATCCGATTCTGTGACTGGAAGTATTCTAATATATATATATACATCAAATCAAATTGAGTCAGCCATGAAGAAATCGAGGTTTAAAATCGAAGAAATGGCATGTTGCGGTGCTTGTAGTCTAGAGCTTACAGTTTGGTTGGCTTCATCTGCTCCTTGACCCGGCCCCGGTTCTGTTGTGTGGAGAAAATCTATTATAGTCTGATGATTCGGTATACAGGCAATGGAGTAGAGGGCAGCAGAAGACTTATGGGTGGCAATGAAAATGCTTTCCGTCTTGAGAATTAGGACGAGAAGGTTGATGGGATTGGAACCGTTACATGGGAGACGATATACACAAAATTTGAAGGTTAAGTTTGATACCAGCTAAAGTCAATCGAGAACGCAAACCTCACTACTTGAGTTGTCAACTTTAATTCAACGGGATAAGAAAGTTTGGCTTGGTTGTACTCCTGTCTCTACCGGGATATGGAGTCTTCGTTCCGAAAGAAACCAAGTGGGTATTTTATGCACTAGCAACTACTCCTCACCCACAGGGCATTGAATTGATTCAAATTAAGTAAGAACCCACCCCCGCATCTTTCCTTAAAATTTCTCTATCATCACTTATTTATATATATACATCGACATGGGACCTATTTGGTCGCACCTGCCTCCACCAGCAGTAAATTTGAGTGTGGATTTCGAGCCAAAGGAGTAACATCATTGATTCCAGGTACAAGTAGTCTGTGATCTTTTCACGGACAACACAATATCGATATTGATAGAAAGGCTCAACTACTAAGACATGAACTTGTATCAGAGATCATGCCCTGATGATATATATCGTCTCGACATGAAAAATAAAACGACAGCAAACTAACTCTCATCTGAAAATATCAACGTCATTGTCATATATAAACCGATAATTATACTATGCCGTGCCATTATTCTAAGTCTCCCAGTTAGTTTCGAAATGTAAAACTTCAGCAAGAAGTGGTCACAGGTACCCAGTTGTCCTGGGCATGTGGTACAAAACGAAACAGCAGCTTAGCGGCAGTCGCTTCTCTTTCCATTCGATTGGACATTGCCTTGGTCATGATTTGTGCTTTTATGTAGAAGATTGTAGGGAGCTCAGGCCTAGTCACCAGCATTCGCGATCACACGTGAATATTCTCCATATTCACTTACGCGGAACACCTTACCTCAGCTTGTTTGGCATGGAACTTGTTAGAATAGCTTGCTTTGAATATTAACCACCACTGCCACTGGCAGGGCATTCTGGGGATTTTCTTTCAAAAAGATTGGAGACCGTAACAAAGGCAAACGGATTGTAGATTCGAGCTGAGTCTCCGGTGTGGGTGTATTTCCCCTAGATCATATTTTCTTTGGCTAGCTACAAGCCGATACTATTGGGAATTTCCCTGGACTTCCGTACCGTCTGATAATTTACAAGTACCCGGAAGAATAAGAAGAGACAGCGCAAAAATACAAATTATATGATAACAAAAACGTGCATTTCCATCATCGTAGTAGTACTTTCTTCCACCAGTTCCAACCGATATACCAATCCAAAAATCCTCGTGAAGATTTGCAGTATCTCGTTACTAACTAGAAGTCCAGGTACCTCGCATTCATTTTCTTCTTCCCCGTCTTCCTGTTTGTGGGATTGTATATTATTCTCAAAATAGCCTAGTAAAAAGAGACGCAATTCATCTCTTTTATTCTGGACCTCGTCGTGATTAGCTCCTTGAAGAATTGGTCTCATGATAAGAGTCTACCATTTGTGATTTTTCGGGGCTCCAATCAAAATAAAAGAAAGGTAATCTCCTCATTCAAGAGCAAATGGGTTAAAGATATGTGTATACACTTAGCTACGTGAGCTGCAGTAAATGTGTTCACTTCTTTTCTAATATTTAGTACTTCATCATTTTCTGACTGGCTATAACTTTTGTGAATTAGATATATGCTTGGATTCTCAGGTATTGGAAATCATCACGAAAAACGAGTTATCCGGTTATCCGCTTACATCCCCAGTATTGAATCTCGAGTATTGCATGATGGCACTCGATGGTAGGTAGAGATATATAGACACAAGCAAGTACCTCCTAGCGTTGAACTTTCAACATAAATATGCCATTCACTCATCCACTATCATGGACCTCCGAATGACCGAGTCCGCTCATTCTCACGTGCTCAAACGTCTCCAGTTCATCAAGTTCCAAAGATTTACTTAAGTAGGCCCGGGCCAGCCATGATCTCAAGACTTGTACTCGTCATTGGCAATCTACATATACCAGATCGAGCCATCGACGTTTCTTGGTCAATAACCTCCTTCTGAATTTCTACTCAAGTTTAGGAATGTTTCACTTGAATATTATGACCATGTCTGAGGTCGCCAAAGTAAACTATACGATAGTAAATATCAGACATCAGATGAGTCATGTTAGATGAGATTTGTTGGGATGATAAAGAATAATTGCCCTCTGCCGATTTGACCAGGTGATACATGATGCATTGCAGCATTTGTTGATTGCACAGAAAGACTAAACTGGAAAAAGAAAAGCTCTTGTAAAGATAAATACTCTACTTGTTGCATCTTTGGAAGTTAGCATGGAAAACAACAGTTTTCCATGAAGGTCGAACCTGATGCAGTAGTTGAGGATAATTTGTGCTGGGTTGTTTAACTTGGGCGCTTTATATTTCATGAAGAGATCTTGGGGATAGTAGCTGAATCCTATAATCGTAAGTTCGAGTCCGAATGTATTCACTCAGCTTCCCCGCTTTGTTTAAGGAGATAGGTGATTCAGTCAAGTTGGAATAAATCAAAAGATTTCATGGATAGAGTTTCCAGCGCATTCTATAATACATCTGAGGACATTGGTCACCCGGGACGCGGGCACCTCAACGTACAATCATCCCCCTTAACAAAAAGCACGCTACCCTCTGAGAAATCTCAAAGTTCACCAGAAATAACACTTGAAAATAGAAGATCAGTCATGGTATCCACTAAGCCCGACATCAACTACTCGAACGAGAGAGAATTGAGAGAACAAATAAGGAGAAACAGAGAGAAATCACCAGTAAGTATGGCTATACATCTCTAGGTATGGCTCTCGATAGTCGCACTTCTTTTCGCATTCCTAATTCTTTTCCTAGCTGTGTGGAATTGACGAGGAGATCGAGTTAATTTAAGCATGTCGTTGGTTCTCCTACTAGTGATCAAAGCAAATCTCAAGAGACCGATCAGTCCAAGTAGATCGCGTGTATGTAATGAAGTTCGGATGATGCCCTCAAGTTCTCTCTCAACCACATCCCACACCCACCCCTCCCAAACAACTCCAAAAATCAAGCACACTTTAAGAAAGCCATCATTGAATACCTAGATCCAAACTCTTATTATCCATTCCACACTCCCTCAAATCATAGTACAACCACCACAAGTCCCAGCAGTGAAGCCCAAGACCGGATCATACACTAAAACAAAAGTACACCCAAACATCACCAGCATCCCAAAAACCTCTACCGGAAATAAGTCTAGAAAAGGCTCTTATTCCCAGTCAATATAAAGTTGCAAACTTTGTTAGATCCAAATTGGGTTGTTGAGAAGTTGGTATTCTTATATTTTCAGATATGCAACAAAACTTTTGAGGTTGAATATTATTGGCTAAGGGAGAGAAGTGAAGTCTAAATACACAAAAACCTCTACCGGAAATAAACCTAGAACAAGCTCTTATTCCCAGTCTATATAATGAAATGCTAAACTTTGCTAGCTCTAGATGGGTTGTTGAGAGATTACTACTTCAATGTTTTCAGATATGCAACAAAAGTTTTGAGGGTGGCTTTTATTGGTCGAGGGAGTTAGGCGAGGCAAGTGAAGAGTGGATCCGGATAGGATGGCGGTGAGCTTTGACAGCAGTTGCCATTTGGTGGAGGAGAGGAGAAAGGAGTGTTGTGAGTGAATGTGAAGGTAGTATGTATGTAAGATCACGGAGTTGATAGAAAGATGGTTGGTTCAAGGTAGGCACAATCGAACCTATAAATAATGCTAGCATAATGGTTCAATCTACAATATGCAAATTGATGATACTTCCTCTACTGTCTCAAGAGCTCGAAGGAGCAATCTTGGGTAGGCGAGTAGCAAGTCTATGTATTCAGAAGCTTGGTCGCAATACTCCCAGCTGCCGGTAAGATTGTTGAGATGAGAGAGACTTTAGTCGGTTATGAATGTATAGCTTTGTGTTGCTATTGAGATTTCTCATTGCCGAAAGAGTGATCGGACTTTCACCCGAATCAATAGAAACATGCAAATCAACAGCAATGGTCCTCAACCTCACTTTGACATGATGCTTAGTAAGGAGGAATATTGTCTTCGACAATAATCGCTCCACTTCGAGCCCTTTACCGCAGAAACATGAAGGACAAGCATTGTCGTCGAGTTTGCAGTTCTTACACTCTTGGTTGAGCGAGATATCCTTCTTATACTCCGAAACCCATAAATAAGTGAGCACTAAGAAAGCACGAGTGAATTCAATTTGGTTCACTCTTTTTCTCTGGAAATGGTACAATGACTTCATGGCACAGACCACGGATGGTCCGAACTTCAGATATGCAAGCTACGAGCCTCTGTGCTGAGTACTGGATGCTAGATGCTAGATGCTGGGATATCTACGGTCAGAAATAAGAGCTCATAGGAGGACTATGGAAGTGTCGCTGCCATCGTCTAATGCTAGTCTCTGATACTAATCTTACATTGTTTGGCATTAACCTCGAAGAGTATATCGAACTGATCATTCCCTGACCAACTGAATTGGGAGACAACAAAACGTTATACACAGTGATTAGACCTAGTCCTTGCGACAGTGATGAACCCCACTTTGGATGCGCTGCGATAATTCACAACCATGTTACGAAGTCAACACCTCAGAGCTGCCCCTAGTGCAATAATAATATCGGGTCTCTAAAAGCGAGATAGTAGAAGAAAACAAACAACACGAAATTCTGTGTAAGATTATTCCTCGGAGATTCGTATATGTACTCGATTTCCCGAATTTTATATCGATGTCATACTCTCGAACCCAATCTAGGTATCATACGGTATCATTAAATGGGACCCCGCCCATTCTATGGCATACCTGTTATGATAAGATTGACTCCAACCCCACCACGATTGTAAATCCGACAGATCTCCGAGTATATAACCCTTTCTGCCATCCGATATCAGTTCTTTTTAGCCCGTGTATCTACTGAAAACACTTGCAATAGGCATACTATGGGGAAATCGAGAACGCACCCCAGCACTACACGTGTACGAAAGAAACCCAACAAGCACCACAGCATTGCCTGCGTGGAACTAGTACTACCAGCCCCAGAAGTCAGACGAGCAGATTTCAGCAGTTATCTCTGACGCTAACAAATACTTGTGAAGATATAAGTTTTGGGAATAATGAAACACGAAAATGACGGCGAAAGCTTCGTGCTGTCGCATCCTCAAAGTGATCTTAAAAGGAACCAAGAAAAGTTTGGTCAGAAATCAACCTTGACACTTTGGTCTCTGCCTACCTATTCCCACATGCCCCCGTTACTTACTTGGCTATTGAGAGTCAAGAGAGACGACTTTAGATAGACAAATAGTTGTGGTGGGTGAGGGGGCGGAGGCGGGGGTAAATGAGTTTTTCCTCTCCTGCCATACAGGCGAATCCAAAGTGCATGCTCCATAGCTCAAGTAAGGTTGAGGTGACTAGGCGTCTCTCCGCCAGGAAAAAGTATGGCCGCTGCCGCTGCAGATAAAATCGTTTGACGTATTGGTTCGGATGGAATTGAACAATTAAACAAACCTCTCTCGAAGCTCAAAATGTTCATGAAATATCACCGTTTTGGAACGCAGGGATCTTTTCGTCTTCGAACCCTCTGTATCTCTCGACTATACAAGGACATAGAAATATCACTTTTAGCCAATCTTTTTGCTAATAGAGAGGATAGTCAATCAATTAGAAACGAGACGAGAACGCAGCCTTGAACAAACTGTTACAGTAGGTACTGTTGTGTTTCGCTTCCAACGACCTTTCTTTGTTTGCTCAGGGGTCAACGCGAGTATTTAATTGGACAAACGCGTGGCCCACCTGGACAATTCACCAATGAAAATCTTCGTCAGTTGACCGACCCAATTGACATTTCCATTTCCCCCGCATAAGCAGTTTCCTTGGTTGTAACGAATGAAAGCTAAATATGACGTCAATAGATGGCGCTATTCTAGGCTTGCATTGTTGCAAACATCCGGTCGACAACTTATAATAACCTTAACATCGACCACTTTTCAGTATCGACATCGACATTCAGAAAAGTTTGAAAGACGCTGCGAAAGTACACACTACAACAAATCAAAATCACACCAGCAAACATGTTCCAGAATACACTCAGCTTCCTTCTTCAGTTCTTCTTCTTCGCTTTGGCGTTTGCTCAACCTATTGAGACCGCTGGACATGGCAATGCGTGGAAATACGGTTCCGGTGGAGGGGTTGTGGGATTCATTGTTTTGATTCTCGATATCATCGTCTTCAGTATGTAAAACTATTCCCTTATTCCAGACTAAGATCTAACCATGTATTTGCAGTTGAGGTCCTTAAATCTAATCGCCCTCCCTCCCACAAACTCCTTTGGTGCTTGGTCGTATTCCTCTTCCCTATTCTCGGATTGGTAATCTATTGGTTGTTTTCCAACAGACAAGAACACAACTCCGGAAGTGGTTCATACGAAGCTATCCCATAAATGTACAACGTTGTGCAATATCGTGGGGATACGGTCGGGTGATGGTGCGACGGAAAAGGGCGAGAATGATGGAGGAGTTTTGGTGATGAGCATGGCATGGGCTTGTCTTCTTCGGCATATACGATTGGGTGGACATATTTCTTAGGGATCGAGTTTTTTGAGGTTATTATGAATGGAGTAGAGGATTTTGCTAGCATAGCTATAATGAATAAACATCAGCAACATCACAATTCTGATTCCCGTCCTTGAAAATGAACTCTTCATCAATAATTTGTAATTTTGAATATAGTAGCCTCTTATCCAACTTTCAGCCAACCCATCCTCACTACTAAATTTGCCCTTGCATTCTCCTGTTCGGACGGCCGATCGACGCTGCCAAAGCCTGCCTGTGACTATCTGCTGACGGCGAAGCAGGAACGTTCTTCATCATATCTCAAGCACCTTCCCCGTTTCGTGATATTGCATCACCTCGGCACCGGAAGTGACTGCCCCCCCGCCCCCCAAACAGCCTCGAGGTGCCGTGATGGTCTTGGTCGCAATGATGGGTTTGCGGGTCGCTCAATATGCCGTGCATACTTGAGAAATATGTGATTCCGATCCATGATAGCAATGTATGATTAAATTATGCTGCGTCCGTTTTCGATTCTTTTGTGTAGCCCGAGAGTTCAATCTGCTGTACAGTAAAGTCCACCAAGAGGAGAAAGACATCCAAAGAAAGATCAGTAAACCACCGAGTAGTAATACTGACGATGACAGGTTCAAGACCGTCATAAAGTCATGTATGAAAGTTTGCAACCATGGCTAAAATGGTACTTATGACTCGTACCTACTTGGGTGCTCACTCTATCATGTCAAACCAAAAGGTAAAAAGGAGGCATGTCAACGTAACTGAAGGTGTGCGCCGGAGGACTTCAGGAAGCTCATTGGCAAATATCTTCTTGCGCATTGGATGGCAAGTAAATATAATTGAGGCAATGATACTTCAGACTTAGGAACCTTCAGAACCTCCTTCGTCTAGAAGAAGTGCGAGTAATTTTATGTTCTCTACTCCGTAAACTTCTACGAGAAATGACTTTGCGATTCATAAATCTCAACCCGTCTCTTGGGATGCCGAAGAATATCCAGGTCAGGTGACTGTACTCTGATTGGTCGACCATTTTCGAAAATTCGTTTGTGGGCTTCGGTTAACCCTAACCAAAAGTTCTCACGCTCCTGAAGCAACTTCAATATTTTCACGACGACGAGACGCCCGACAATCATAATCGACAACCACCCGACTCTTACTTAAAATGGTATGCGGCAGATTCTTTGAAGAGAGGTTATTGTCAAAATCGAGGGAGAGAGATGGGCTAACGGATTATCGCAATTAGTCGTCCGGAAAAGTTAAGACTGGCCAACTTTGGTCCAAGAACAAGGCGGACCTCGCAAAGCAACTCGGAGAGTTGAAGACTGAGCTCGGTCAATTGAGAACTCAGAAGATTGCTGGAGGATCTGCTGCTAAGCTCACCAAGATGTGCGTTATTCAATTAAAATATTCTTTTCGACCTTCACAACATGGATGAGGATCTTCGTGGTGCAAGCAAGATCAGCAAGATGGATACTAATGATATTTTTCATATAGCCACGACGTCCGAAAGTCAATTGCCAAGGTCCTCACAGTCATTAATGCCAACCAACGCGCACAACTCCGTCTCTTCTACAAAGGAAAGAAATACCTTCCTCTCGATCTCCGAGCAAAGCAAACTCGTGCCATCCGCAGACGCCTTTCCAAGCACGAGAAGGAGTTGACGTTGGAGAAGACCCAGAAGAGAGCGATGCACTTCCCACAAAGAAAGTTCGCTGTTAAGGTATGCGATTCTACCGACCTCATGGTCACCATTCTTTCGCGGACTTGAAGAGAGAGGAAGACATCGGTATATAACTTTTTGGGGTATAATGCTAATTTTATAATAGGCGGAGGCTTAAATTTTCTGGACGTAGGTGTTTATGATTGTGAGGATGGCTGGCATGGCGCCTTGTTGCCTGGTTTGTTTTCGCACGGGTCACGGTGTATCATCGAAAATAGCATGGCTGGTATAAAGCCTTACCAATAAATCAAACGACTTGAGCAAAAACAAACCACAAGGTTCCCTCGGATTTGGTGTGATATTTTGTGCGAGCGGCTAGGCGTGGATTCGAGGTCAAAGGAGGGTTTGAGACTTCTACGGCCATTTGTGTACCAAGGAACTCGCGAGCGTCGAAATTTGGAAGCGCATGCACGATTGCAGCAGTGATTTGAACAAGCTGTTATACTTCACAATTTGCCATGGCTCATGCTTGAGATTTTGGTCCCGACTGGTACCTTTCACCGCATCATGATGACCCTGGTGAAGAAGCCGAAGAGACCAATGGACACGATTATGCCGTCCCATGTCTCTTTTTTATATCCTTTTCCAGACCTCTTCATTATTAATGAATCGCTGTCATTTCATTCTACCCTTGCATCAAAACCACTGTAACATGAGCCTACTCATTTTACAGTCATGACCAGTATAATATCCTAGATATCATATATCACAAGATTCCGAACGAATCCCCGTCATCTCCTTTATGCCAATTATCTTTTACAGACCATTTGACCCCCTTCAAACATACCTTATCCACCCGAAGCAGGCACATCATACCCATCTTTCAATTCTCGCCCACAGAACTCCAGAATGTGCCTTCCCCTCGAGTTTTTCTTTTCGTACCATACTATTTTACTTGAGCGAACCATCAGCCTATTAAGCAGAAGCATTGATATCTTCAACACAAGCCCAAGGATCTTCATGCTCCGGATACTGAATATTTGGACTGTTGGATAGTGTTCAATCAATTCATGTTTCGTTGTATATTATTGGATGTACTCGAGTATGAACGTATGAACATGAGAACGTATGAAAAGTCTCCTCGTTCCTTTCTCTTGTTGTAATTCCCTTTCTTTTTCCCTTTTTACCTTTCCTTGGCACCTTTCTTAGAATTTGGTAACACTACATCACAGTATATTACAGTATAGAAAAGTATATTGTATTCCGACTTTGTCTTGTCACTCTTCCCCTTGCGTTCTTTCTTCCTTCCTCTCTTTTCCCTCTATCGTATTGCATTGTACGTGCGTATCACCAATAACCATAGGTAAGTACAAATATGGTTCGGTTCGGTTTGGTATGGGAAGTCATGGGAATTTATGTTATGGGCTTATAGCTTGTTGAAGGTGATGAGGTGAGAGGGTGTTAGTGGGGATGGGGATGGGGATGGGTAATGGTGTTGTTCATCATCAAATGATATGAGACGAGACGAGGAAATGTGGATATCAAGATCAAGTTAGAAAAAAACCTTGCTTACAAGTCAAGGCTAGAATACATGGCCCGAAAGGGCCATCAAGATATCTGGTAGACACAGAGGTGAAGGGAATCGGGATGTCCCGAAGCCTCCCATCTTCCATTCACTATATAGTATTGATGTTTTTACGTTTTATTTTGCATGTTGAATTAGCTAGGTACTTGGAATTATTTATTAGGTATATTTCACATATACTTTTACAGTTTCATAATTTTATAATTTTACTTATTCAGATGAGGTTTTGTGGTGAGGATGAGTGGGGATAAGTGAGGATGAGGATGAGGATGGCGATTCCACTATTAGTTAGTATTTGATTGAATGAGTAAATGAAACTCTTTTATACAAAAGTTTTTGTTGTATATATATCTGAAAAAGATAGGAATGGTAAGGTAAGTCTATAATCTCACTGAAGTTATACTTTTAGTATATCAAAGATGTTGTTTAGGAATATGAACGAGATAAGAATTATAAACTACTCAAGTATACCTACCTAGTATCCAAATCCACTCCTTCTCTCCCCTCTCCTCTTTCAAATTCTTATGGTATATACGCGTACATCTAAGGGAGATAAAGATAGAAATGCTAAGTTTGTATTTTCACTGGGACTGGGATCGTGTTTTGCTTGCTCCTCTTTCCTCTTTCTTCTTTCCTCCCCGCCTTCTCAAAGGTTCTGCTGGAATGATATGAACTATTCTGTAATTATTTGAAGAGGTATGGTTGTATATCTAATATCTAATAGACTGAATCTCTGATGGGGATATACTCGTATATGGTAAATATACTGTCATCTTACTTGATTTACTCACCTAACCCCACCCTACCCTTCGCCCCCCCTCTCCCCCCTTCTCCCCCTATCTCTTTAAAGACCTCATTGTATATTCGATGAAGATAGACAGATATGGGAAGTTGGCAATTTCACTTACTAGCAACTACCTCCCTCTCTTTTCAAGAAGTTTTGATATGTATTTGATTGAATAATTGAATGAATGAAGATGGAATTGAAAACTTACTGAAACTACTAGATATAGTATTTATTTTACTTAGGTACTTACTCGCTCACCCCTGCCAGCCTCAATGATTATTGTTATATATCTGAGTTGAGGATGAGGATGAAGATGAGGATAGAAAATGAAGAATGATAACTTTACTGTTTTACTAAACCTACTCAGTTTTGAATCTTTTTGTATTCGAGTATATATCTATGAGTAGATGAGTAGATAGACAGGTAAATGGTTAGATGCTAGGGAAAAGAAAGTATATATGATATATCTACATTTTCAACTTTTACTTTATTTACTCAATTGTGTCGATATATAATTTTGGCGTGGAATCATGGTAATGGAGTAATGGAGAGAAGGAGAGATGGAGAGATGAAGTATAATGACGGAAGACTTATATTATATGAGAGTGTATAGAAGTGATCTGGGAATGAGTTCTGTATATAATATACTAAGATAAACAAGAAATAGTTATGAAATGACCTAAATTAAACTAATTACTCGTATAAGATATCTACTCGTACTATCTTACAATATCACAATCCTCCTCTACTGAATTCGAAAAGCATTATAATCGAGTTGTACTTGAGTACTTGTGATGCTCCATCTTGTTTTTTTTCTTTCACTACTAGCTTATCGAAACTTTTTGAAATGTTCTCAAGTTTCGAATACTCAAAGATTACATTTTCCAACTACTCGAGTATAGAAAATTCATCTTATCTCCTATTTTAATTTGAATCCTCAATTTACATCCCATTTTCACATCTCATTTTCTCATTCAAAACTACAAACTCTAATTAAGATATGAGTCCTAATTCACATTCTCATCTTTCTTTGTATACTTTCCCGTTCTTCCTTTTATCTATATCCCATCCTCATCCTCATCCCTATGCTCATTACTTTCTTTCTTTCTTTTGTATTCTTATACTAGGTATTCCTATTATTTTCTATCTACTCAAGTTTTACTGGAGTATATAAATCCATCTCCATCAATTCTCTTACAATATACAATATTACTCACTCCCAAAACCTCCTTCCAGTATCTTTTCTTGAGTCTGTTATATCCAAATAGACTATACATACACATATACATCCATCTATCCCAACCATCCAACCAACAAAATCCAAACTCCAAACCATCCAAAGCAGAATCTCAACTTTTCTCCACTACTCGAGTATATTCATATTCATATTCTCTTGATCCCACTCCCTCTCCCTCTCATCTAGAGCCATCCTCAAATCCTCACATCTCCTCATCCTTATCCCCTCATCCATCCATATATTTTACCTATCAAATATAATACTAATTAATAATAATCAAACCACAACCATCCCATCCAAACCCAAAATAATTTCCAAACCCAAATTTCCAAACGCAACAAACGCAACAAACCACTTAAAAATCACTTCAAATCCTTATACTTAAATCCTATACTTAAATCCTACACTTAAAAGTTAAATCATATTCTACTCTAATAAACTCAAATATAGTGTTTAGATATTACTTACATATAGCATATAATCTTTAAATTCTAATACTACATCCACTTCCACATCCACATCCACATCCACATCCAAATTCCCATCCAATCCCACCTCCACCACCACATCCATTCTCACTTCCACATCCACTTCCACAATCCACTTCCACATCCACTTCCTCATCATCCACATCATCACCACCACCACCACCCCTCTCACCATTATTCATTCATTCACAACCACATACATACATACATACATACATACATACATACACCATTACTTTACTTTACTTTACTTACTTACTTACTATACTCCACATCCCCATACCCCATCTTACCTCCCCTTCCCACCCTTCTCAACCCCTTCTCATCCCCATCTCACCTCCCATCCCACCCTTCTAATCCCCTTCCTCCCTTCCTTTCCTTCCTCCCTCCCATTCAATTCCCTCCCTCCCTAAAACAACTTTGACTTGAACAAAATCCTTCCGCAAACTCACCTTATACTACCATCCATATTCTTCCATCTATATATATCACCATATCACATCACATCACATCCCATCATATCACTCAGTCATTTTCATATGTATATATAAATTCATTCATTAAATCCATTTTCAACTCAAGACGAGATATCATCACTACCTAGTGAGTACTTTGGAAGTATCTCAAAGCAGACTTTTAGCCTTTTCTCCCATCCTTTCATCCTTTCATTTTCTGAACCATCCATCCATCCATCCATTCTACCACCCATCCATTTATCCATGCCTTTGGTTTGACTTTCCAGCCTTTATCCATCCATTTAAACTAAATCCATAAAATGCCTGAATTTAATATACCGTCCATCAACTCGCCTCGCCTCGTATCGCAATGAAATGCATCAAAATACCTGCCTGGCTGGTATTAAATCCCACTTTGCCTCCCATATTTTATGCTTCATGATCCGTCATCTTCGTTTCTCTCTTTAGAATTAGTATAGTAATCATTATCCTTCCAAACCCCATAACCCATTCCCTCAACCATCCGCCATTGACCCCAGTCACCAAAACCACCTTATTTATCCTCATCACCCCGCATACTAACCCCATCAAATACACTCCGCGTCGCCACACTATCTGTAACCTCACTCTTCCCCTCATCACCATCGTCACCACCACTTGCACTTTCAACTCCCCCAGCAGCTCTCTCATTCCTCCTATCATGCACCGCCCCATGTCTCTTTAACTGATCCAACCTATGAAACGTCCTTGGACACTCTGGACATTCATAATGACCTCTCTCCCCATGTGTCCTTCTATGTTTCGCTAAATTCGACGATTCGCTAAAGGTCTTTCCGCAAATGCTGCAAACGAGAGGTTTTTCTAACGTGTGGATGCGTTCGTGAACAGTGCATGCACTTTGTTGAGGGAAGGATTTCGGACAATATTTACATTTCCATGGCTTTTCGCCAGTATGGAGACGATAATGCTGTTTTAAGGATTGGGCTGCTGCGAATGTTTTTCCACATCCCGGATAGTCACATGTACATTCTTTGACTATCGCAAATTGTTTAGCATTGGAAAACGATTAGAAGGAATCAACTTACACCCTGTATGACTCGCCATATGTCTTTCGAGTTTTCCTCTCTGAGAAAATCCATCCCTAGAGCCCATTTTCTGTTTTCGAGAGCAACCTTGCCACTGACAGAAATAACCAGAGATTTTGTTCAAAGCAGGCAAGTGAGCATCCTTGACGTGAGACTGAAGATCGTCTTCTGAAGTGAAGACTCGAGCACAAATATGGTTCTTGACCAACCACTTGCAAGATAGATGGTTATCTGCTTCTGGTACTTCGGTTCTGGCTGTCGGGGCGAACTCTTCTTTTGCACTTTCCTTTGCCTCTACCTCTGCTTGTATTGGTATTTTTGAAAGATTGATCTCCTCAATAGGGGTCATTGGAATTGGTAGATTATGATGATGGTTTAAATGACTGAAGAATTGATTTGAATCTTGATATAAAGTGTTACAAGAATCGATTTGACACTGTAATTCCCCTTGAAGTGGTGTAGCGTGCATTTGATCCAAATGATTATGAAACATTGAAGGATCACAATACATCTCACCAGGAAGACATTCAGGAGCAGGGCATGAGAACCCATTGATATTTTCATCGAGGTTGAAGCCATGATTCATCTGCAAATGATCCAAAGGATTTGAATCGAGTGGATTCTGACAAGATCCTGAAGGTATTGGACAATTGAACACGAATTGTGGGTCGATATGTTTTTGATGAAAGTGTTTATGCCATTCATTTTGATCATGCATTGGCTGTCCACAGTCCAGCCAATTACAACTGAACATTTCCAATCCATCACCGAAACGCATTCCAGTACCAGAAAGCGAGGAATCAGCTGTATCGTTTGTTGGTTGATGCATATGAAGTCCTGGAGTTTGGAAGACAGTTGAATCCAAATGAGGCGTTTCCATGTTCATGGCCACTGATGGTGTTGTTGGTGCAGAGGCATGCGACATCTGGTGTGGAGCTTGGTAGGTTGGAAATCCAGGTGCATCGAGTTGTAATATGGAAGCTTGCGAAGCAGCTCCTCGAGACACTGGAGAAACACAACACGAAAAGATTTTCTCGGAAAAATGACTTCCTTCGACAACCGAAGCTTGCCTACCAAGAGAACTATCCCCTATACAAGGTTCGGTATAAATAGGTGGATCACACTTTGGGGATGTGCAGACAGGTTGTTCGCACTCCGGAGAGGTGCAAGCAACAGTGGCAACGACATAATCTCGAGTACAATCTGATTCGGAACACATCGAACCACTTGCACAAGAGCTGCAGCATTCGCTAGTCGCGTCGGGATTAACTTGATGAGCTTCTTGCACTATTGTAGGTCTTGTATTAAGTCCGTTAAATCCATTCAATTCATTGACCCTTTGTCGCTTCCTTGACAACCACCCTGTGTAATTTGGAATTGAATGTATTTCGGCTCTCGAATTCGAATACCCTTGGCCCATGTTCTGCATATTCTGCTGAGTTGCAGAGTGTGGCGAGAGACCAATTGTTTGGAGATATGGGTTTAGTTGGGAAGGTTGTGATGAAGAATTAACAGGTAACATTGAATAAGTATCATAAACCCGACTCGGATGCATTTCATGACCCATTTCTGGAGCATATAGAGACCAAGATTGATTGTCGCAAAGCGGTTGTGAAGGAAAGCTCACCACGCCCCCAAGTTGTTGCTGCTGCTGCGGCATGAGGTAAGGGTAATGTAGTTTTTGATTTTGATGATGTTGTTCGTACTCGTTATACGACATGCTTGGATACCGATTTGAGGTAGCGTCTTGATTCTTCGGAGGAGGAGGTTGCTCTATGGTTGGCTCCATGGTTGTTGACTCTATGGTTACACGGTTTAACGGTTGCTTGCATGTACCTAAGTATGTATAAGGGTGGATCGCGATGAGATGATTGATCTTAAGCGTACGAAAGCAAGATGAGAAGATGAGATTTGGTTGAGTTTGATTGAGTTTGGGTTGGGTTGGGTTGGTTTGGGTTGATTGCAATTGTGCGTGCAAGATGCAAGACAAAAAGGTGTGTGTATTATATTAGGTAAGCTGAAAAGCCATCCAACAAGGTGTTTTGGAAGGGAAATCTGTTATAAGCTTATCAAAATCTTCAACTTCAACTTTGACTTTAAGAATTATTTTGAATTGTAATTTATATAACTCACTTTATAAAATCATATATTTTGATATCATGATTGATCGATTATGAATTATAATTATGATTAGGTATATTAAGTTAAAGATGTAAAGATGGAAGAACAATGAAAAATGAAATGCCATGCTGACTAATCATTCGTCTGACTTTTTCCCCGCCTTTTGTGTATCCTTATCGATAAGGTCGAAAAGTCTTATCGATAAGACTAGAGTAATAATACTAGGTAGTAACATTGAATCCCGATCCATCCGATCATTAAATTTCCCCTCCTACCTTCCTATATCCAATGACAACATAGTCTCACTCTTGGCCTTCATACTTCATACTTACCTTTGAACTTCAACTTCTTCAACATCCTCCCTGGTTTGATTTTCTATAGTATCTATCAAATACCATCCATTACTATAGAAAAACAACATTACCATTCATTACTGTAAAACATACCATACCATAACCATATCTACCCAAGAAATCACAACCGCATCATCCATCCTCTCACATCCAAGTACGAGTACCGATACTCTACTCCTCGCGCAACCACGCTTTTGCTTCTCCTCTTCGAATCCTTCTCCATCACCAGACTTCGACGTCGATTTTGATTTCGATTTCGATTTCGATTTCGATTTCGATATTAACATTCTCTATCCGTGTTACGGCGCGACAATCTTGATATCTCATCGCATCATCAATCTCAGAGTCAGTCAGCGCGGAGACGTATCTGAGACCTTAGAACGAACTAGAACAATACCACCCTCGCCAAATTTTAGTTATAAGTAATAAGAAATAGTACGATCTTGATCCGTACAACACAACTATTTCCCGCGATAGTTTGATCTATACTGGATCCTCCTACTACTGCTGTTAGGCAAAGACCACAACTATTTCCCGCGACAGTTAGATTCATACTGGAGCCCTTCTACTACTACTACTACTACTACTACTACTACTACTACTGTTGCTAGACAAAGATCTCAATCTCCAATTCACGGCTAGACTATTCACAGCAGCCCCTCACTCATCCAGTCCCCTCTTTGTCGTTCAACCCGCTCCTCGCGCACAATCAATCTCTCATCCACCAACCTCTCTCTCAACCACCCCACCCAACCCCACCAAAAACAATGGGCAGCTGCTGCAGCACCGCCGACCCCTCACCATTCGCCCAACCCGGACGCGTCCTCTCCTCCGCTCCCCCGTCAAACTCAAATACCCATCCAAAAATCCCCACCACAGCACCCAAATCCAGTATTCCACGCACTGTCGGTGGGCCCGCCCGAACTCTTGGTGGACCTGGAAGTGGAAGCGCACAGGAAGATGCCCGGAGGAAAGCTGCTGAAGCCGCTGAGGTAATTCCCCTTCCCCCTTTCCCCCCACAAACCTCACCCATCCCATCCCCCCTCAAAAAACCTCCCACTAACTCCCTCCCCACCCAGGCCCGCCTAACAACCCACACCCAAAAACCCAAAGGAACCCTCGGTAAAAAGCTGCAAGAAGAACAATCACAAACCCTCGAGACCACACGTAAAAATGCTAGTGCCATCGAACGACAAAATAGAGATGCCGATGCGTCTGCTGATGCTAGGGCTTATAATTAACATCTAAATATATTTTTGAGATGATTGGGGGAGGAATGGGAAAGGGAAACAGTGGCATCACAGTAGAAAGTAAAGAAAGGGGGAAGATGACGAGAAAGATGCGATTCGATTCGATTCTTATGTTTATGTTTATGTTTATGTACAGGGAGGGGAGAGGAGAGGAGTTTATTGGTATAGGGAGTGTGGGAGGGTTTGGATATATCCAGTGTTTTTCTTTTACTTTCTTTTCCTTCTCTTTTTCTTTTTAGGGCTCAGTCGCATGGGATGAGTAGATAGACAGATAAATAGATCCGGAGTGATCATGGTTGGACAAGACGTTGCACAAGACGTTGGACAAGGAGTTTTGGCATAGGCGGCTGGCTCATCCAACCTTATGAATTACCATTGGAGAGAAAGGAAAAGTAAAGAAGCGCGCGGGGTGGGGGGAGAAAAAAAGGGGAATTCAACACTTCCATGCATTTATCAGGTAGGTAGGTAGTTAGGTAAGTATAGGATAATTCATCATGAACACATGTACATATTAAATGGTTATAAATATGCCTACCCTACTATAATGCCATTTTTTCCACATTCCATTGGCTCATATGATGCAGATGCATATGAGGTCGAGATGAAAGTGAACAAAAAGTCACCGGGAAGAAACGCCCCCATCCCCATCCAGCATTCCGATCCAACCACCACCCACCACCTAAGTAACCGTATACCTCCCACTAGCCGGCGCCCTACCCTCAGCATCAGCCGCCGCCATCGTGCCCTCCTTCAACAATCTCATCAATTCCCTCATCGCATTCGTAACCACGACCTCTGTATCTCCCTCGACCAAAATATATAATTTGGGATCTCCACCCGCTTGCACGTCCTTTCCAGCCGAATAGAAGCTACCTTTGGTCGTAATACTCGTACCTGTCGCTTCCAATATCTTGGCCACATTGGTGCGATTAGTGACTGCCCATCTTGCTTTCTGTGGGAAATCGTTGATCTCCAGTGTTGCGTGGAAAGCGCCTGCATCTGGACCTTTGTTATCGATTGGGACGCCCGAGCGGAGTTGCCCGGTTTTGTTGAGACGTGCGTTGATGGCGTCAATGGCTGATGTAACTTTATCGAGGGGATTTTTAGATCCGCTGGAACTGGCTGCGGTTTCGGTGCGGTGGACTTTGATATCGCCGTCGAGATCGATACCTTTAGGTACACCAAGCAATTTCGGTGGAGCAGCAGTAGAAGCAGAGGCAGGTTGAACCACTGATGCAGCTTTGAGAAGAACATCATCATCTTTCTCCTCTTTCTCTTCGTCTTCATCATCGCCGCCAATCTTGTGTATCTTGCGCTCACGCGCTTTAGTAGCTTCGCGCTCAGCATCAAAACGTTCCAACCCCTTTCCACCAAAGCCTGAGCTCTCCTTTTTGACACCACTTTTGACCTTATCTTTGTATGATTTTCTCATCTCATTAAGTCTATCGGGTACTTCTTGTCCAGATTGTTCGAGGGCTTTCGCAATACCTACTGAATATTGTTCTTGCTCCTCTGTTATAAAAGTGACAGCAGTTCCAGTATTACCAGCTCTACCAGTTCGACCAGCTCTGTGAACGTAGTCTTCTAGATGATTAGGAGCATCGAAATTGACTACCAGCTTAAGCTGCTTAACATCAAGACCTCTAGCAGCTACCGATGTAGCAATCATAATGGGAACCACACCGGCTTTGAAATCATCAATAGTAGAATCACGATCAACTTGATCCTTTCCACCATGAATAGACATACATGGGTAACCTTTTCTCATCAGATCTTTCAATAAGTCATCGGCTTTTTCTTGTCGATCAACAAAGATGAGTGTTCGAGCATCTTCATCTGCATCGTAGAGCTCCCCAAGAAGCTCCAAAAGTCTGTGGAATTTCTCTTTTTCTTCTCGGACTTCAACGATTTGTGTTATCTCAGGTGCAACGACACTTCTTCCGCCAACGACAATTTCTACTGGCGATTGAAGTGTCTTCTTGGCCAAGGCATCCATAATTCGCGGCATGGTAGCAGAGAAAAGAATAGTTTGTCTGTTGGGTCGAATGTTGTTGAAAATTTTCATGACTTGGGGTTCAAATCCCATGTCAAACATACGATCAGCTTCATCTAGAACAACATACGTGACACGTCGAAGATTTGTAACTCTACCGGAATTTGCTGCCAACAATTCGATCATCCTTCCAGGAGTGCACACGATGATTTCTGCACCCCTTTTAAGATCGGCAATTTGGTCTTTGATTGAAGCACCTCCATATGCGCAAACCGCACGGAGGCCCATTGCCTTGAGGAAAGGCTTACATTCTTTATGAATCTGTGTTGCCAATTCTCGAGTAGGAGTCATGATTAAACCGACAGGTCCATCAGAACCTTCCAGCGGCCGTTGGTCTCGAATATGACGGAACATGGGTATCAAGAAAGCGATGGTTTTACCCGACCCTGTCTTGGCTACTCCAATAACATCTCGACCAGACATAATTGCTGGAATAGCTTGCATCTGAATAGAGGTGGGCCTTTCATAGTCTAATTTTCTTATAACGTCCAGGGATTTCACATCAAGACCACATTGAGACCACTTTTGTACAGGCTTGGGAACGTCCTTACCAGCTACTTTGATACCATCGAGCTCAAGTCGCAAGTCGGCAATTTCAGCTTCGGTCATGTTCGCAAGCTCTGCCGGTTCGGTGTAAAAGTTTTTCCGGAATGGTGGAAGATTCAACTTTGCATAATTGATGGTCGGGATATCCTTCTTCTTTCGAGATTTATTTGCAATTGCAAGGATCTCGTCTGGGTCTGCGTCCATAGTTTTTAGGTCCACATCATCATCCCCAAATAAAGCTTCCGGTTCTTGTGGTTGACTCTTGCTATTATCTTTGACAAATGTTGTGTTGGTTTTAGGTAAAGCGAATGGGTCTCCCATTTCTTCCATGAAAGCATCTAATGGGTCAAGTTCTTCGTCTTCATCCATAACAGTGGGGTCAGGTTGTGGAGCATCTTCCATCGGGACATCACCATTCGTATGCGGTTGAGCTTCGGCTTCTTGCAATCTTTCTTCGCGTTTTTCTGCAGCAGCTCTGGCGGCTGCTGCGGCCTCTTCTTCCGTACCGGCAGCTTCCATATCAGCATCGTCGTCATCGTCTTGTCCCTCAGCACCGTTAGCGAGCGCAGCATCATCTTCCTCTGAGTTTGTCATTGGTAGGGTCGGTAGCTTTTCTAGTTTCTTTCTTGACCCTTCATCTTCATCAAAATCTAGTGCACGTTTCTGGGATGTCTTTTCATTGTCGGTAGCCTTTGCTCCAAGCCCGAAAACGCTGAGGTTTCCTCTCGTTTTAGGTAACGCAGATACTGTAATTGAACCGATTAGCCAAACGATCATACATAAAGGAGTGTGATTTTGCTTACCCTTTGAGGTGCTGTTGAAGGCTGTTGGCTTTTTGTCAGCTTGTAATCCTTTGACCGTAGAAGTTAAGGTGGCGGACGCTTTAGACAGTTCCTTCAATGGTAAATCCTTTCCAAGAGCATGTGCACTGCTCGAGCTAGCCACTGCTTTCTTAGCTATTGCCTTTGGATCAAACTTCCCAGCATAATTCTTCGGAGGTGCGAGATCGCCGGACGTTACAGGATTCGCAGGAGAGTTTGGCGAGGTTAGGGAAGGAGAACCGTTTGCCTTTTGATCTATAGCATCGAGTAATTTTCGAGTTCCGCCTGCTGCCAGTTCTTTCTCCTTGCGCTCTTTGTCTTCGGCCATCTTCTTCTTCCATGCTTCCAATTTAGCCAGACGTTCTGCCTTCTTTTGTTCCTCGGTTTGCGCTGCGGGTGCTGATGCTTTCGGAGCCTGTAGACTTGTATGAGTAATTGACCTGATGTGATTTGATCCGCTAGGGATACTCACATCCTTGATCTTTGCACCACTATCTGATCTGGGAGTTTGTCCGCGATTTTCGTCTCCTCTGCTACGGGACCATGAGTCAGTAGAATCCTCGCGGCGTCTTCGAGCCCTATCATCATAAGAATCGTCTCGCCTGTCACGGTAATCTCTTTCTCGACTTCTGCGTCGTCTCCTATCCGGCGATCGTTCCCTATCAGCATAGCTTCTGCGGTCTCGAGATCTATCTCGACGACCAGATCTATGGTAATCTCCATTTAATCTTCCTACTGAATGATCAGTCCTGCTGGGTATCTCTCGATCACGTTCGCGACGCTGAAATTCATTAGCATTTGGTAGCTGATGGGCGCGGGGTCTGAAGGTAAGAGTTCTCACGTCAGGACTTCGAGAACGACTGCGATGCCTCTGTCCTCTGACATCATCTCTTCGATCCCGATCACGTCTGCCATTATCTTCTCTTCTGATTCGTCTCGAGGAGTGATGGCTTCCTGTTGGCGATGGTGAGCGAGAGTCCCTGTGCCGAGCCATTCTTTGGCCAAGTTATGGTATTTCGATGGGTAAAAATACTTTCGGACAACAATCAAAATGACAGAAGATAGATAATTCTCTATCCCAATTTTTACCCTGTAACTTCGGAGAAGAACAGTTCAAGAAAGTGTGAAGTTGATGATACTCGATATGTATTGTTCGTAGAATGGTATTGGCCACCTGTTTCACGAGTCTGAGAGGGTGATTTGATAACTCATATATATACATACAGCCTTATAACAAAAGATATTTAAGGATCTTTTAGTTCTTTTAGTCTACCGTACATATTTGCGCGCACGGATCCTTTTGAGGCTTCGCTGACCCTAGCGTGATTTTATACAACATTTAGACGAAGTGGCTGGATCAACTTCAACTTCGTTTGCACCATCATAATCATCACTTTCTACATTCCAATCCATCTCATTCGTGAGACAATCGGTATCTGCAAAGCTACCACACCTCCACAGTCATCATGTTGTCGAACATTGGGCGTGCAGCTATCAAGAGAATTGGCGGATCTCACTTGTCAACAGACCGATTTCTTGCTACCATTTGGCAATTGCAACGCGTTGAACATGGCGAATCCACCTTGAAAGCTCCCTCGGCATCTTTCCTGGCGCGTCGATTTTATGCTACTGTGGTCAAAGTCATCCAAGCCAAACCCACCACAGCAAAGAAACCAGCTACTAAAACGGCCCCTGCGAAGAAACCCGTTGCTAAAAAATCTGCCGCTGCAAAGCCTGCAACAAAAGCTGCGAAGAAGCCAGTCAAGAAGCCAGTCAAGAAGCTAGTCAAGAAACCAGTCAAGAAATTATTCAAGAAGCCAGTAAAGAAGGTTAAGGCTAAGGCGAAGCCAAAGAAGAAGGTAGCAAAGAAGGTGATCTTGACCGATTCACAAAAGTTGAGGAACAAGTTGAGAATACTTAGAGTTAGGGCGTTGCTTTCGGAAGGTTTGGCACTTCCAAAAGGAAAGTCCGAAAACGCTTTTCAAGTATTGTTTCAGGAGAAGGCCATTGGTACTGGAGATGTCACCCGAACGGCGAAGGAAGTCGCAGCTCAATACAAATCGGCTTCGCCAGCAGAATTAGAGGTAATGATCATACACTTTTTTTTAGGTTGTCGGTTCTTACTAATCACCTTACAGAGACTCAATCGCATCGCGAATGAGAACAAGGCTGCCAATGCAATCGTCTACAAGAACTGGGTCAAGAGTCATACTCCCGACGTGATTCGCCTGGCCAATATAGCACGTAGACACATTCGAAAATTGATCAAAAAACCCGCTACTCCAAGATTCATTAGAGATGATCGAACAGTGAAGGGCCCTTCGCCAGCTATAGCAACATACGTCAGAGATCGATATGCAACTGGTGAATATGTTGGTATCAAGGCTTCTGAATCCCTGAAGCAAATAGCACTCGAGTACAAAGAGTTGTCGCCTGAGCAGCGCAAGGTAAGCTACAATCTGTAATTCCAATTAAATCAAGTTATGCCGCTAACGTATTGATAAGCCTTACACTGATGGCGCTGCTGCAGATTCCGCACGATATATGCAAGAGTACAAAACAGTTTACAAGCGTGACTCCGCCGTTGCTCGCAAAGCTCAAGCAGCACAGACATCGTCCAGTGCTTGATAGTTCCATATTTCTGATCAGTCTTGGCTTTTCGTCTTAACTGTCAACGCATAGTTAAATCATGTGCTATCGCACTGTTATTTGAAAAGGCATGCGTTAACACTATGGAATCAATTCTTTCTTGTACCAAATACGAATGGGAGAGATAAGGTGTTTATGCCTAATGATGAACTTGTCATTCCTCATTTCATTATTTTTGTCTCTGCAGTTAATTCCTCTTTTGATTGCTCGCCATGGCGAACTTCAAGATTCTACGATTACAAGGAAGGGGCCAAAAGGAACGGATGGCAGTTTTTATAATGAAAAAATTAAGATATTATTTTCATTTCTAAGGGTTTTCAATCCAATGGTTATCTGGATTGAAAATCAATTCTCACGAATAATGCATGAATGAATCTCCTTTCCTAGTACCCTCACCTCAAACTTCACAAAGAGAGCACGATTTTCATATTTCACCCCTCCAAGAATCTCCAATTGGGCCCACTTACTAGGTACTTACCCCTCCATGATTGAGATTGGGATTGAGCCTCAGACTCGACCCCTCATCTCAAATCTCAAATCTCATCACAGTAATCACACCCCTACCCCGCATTATGCATGACATGACATGAATGATGACCCCTTACCTATAGTATCGACCCCACTCTTCCTCTTTCTTCTTTTCTTTAATTTACAACTGTGTCTGTATTTATATCTGTATTTATAATGTAAGTCAACTACCCTACTTTCGGGCCACCCTTTCACACCAAAAACAGTGATTTTCGAATATTCACAATTCTATCAATATTGAATCTAATTAAATGAAATTTTGAATATAGATTCTATATATAGTTATTAGCTCAGTTATAGTTTTTTAGATTTTTCATAATTTTATATAAAAAGTTATTAAAGTTTAAAAATCAAGGTTTTCATTTTGTATACGATTTATATACAAATTTCAAAATATTCTAAAAATCTTAATAACTGTTTAACAAAAATAAATAAAAATAAATTTATAATTTTTTATATAATATTTGAACATATATTATTATAGAAATCAAATTCAATTTCAATAAAATTGATGTTTAATCTTTTATTTAAAATTCGAAATATTTTGATCAAAAATTTGATCAAAAAATCGATTATTACTAATAAAACTTGAAATATATAATATAATCTAAAATAAAAAGTTTATTATCAAGTTTTTAATTATCAAATATTCTAATAAAATTAATAGATTATTTTTAATTATTTATATTAAAAAGTT